CGACACCGCTAGTCGTGAGCCGTGCCGCTAGCGGACCTTTAGGCGATGCACATGGAGCGCAAAGCACAATACACCACAATAGGGGCCATGCAATTGAGCCAAACGGGATAGCACAGTCAAGCTGTTCTGACCAATTGCCGACCGTGCCGTTCAATTGCAACAGCCCAGAAAGCTTATCAGTGAAATGCACGATCGTTGCTCAGACCGATAAGACGATGCAGAGGTCGCGATGAGCTCGGTGGTACAAAACCAACAGCCGAGCAGCAGCAAAAGAAATAAAGGCACCCGGCAACAAGATCATGTGGAGGCACAGAATGGAAAATGGTGTCTCCAGCTGACAAGTAGCCGATTTGGGGAGGAGAATTTTAGGCCGGTGGGAGCCAAGAAACCGGTTGAACGGTAGATCCCAGAGTCCTGGGCAGACTGGGCAGGTGCGAAGTGGCTCCAGTCCAGTGACGCAAGATCCATCATCGCTTAGCCGGCTGAGCCATGAAAAAGAAAAGAGAAATAAAAGAAGAGAAAGAGAGAGAGAAAGAGAAAGCAGAGTTGAAAAAGCGTTTGACGACGCCCGGTGGATTATCTCGTAAATTACAGGGCAGCACAAGGAATGCTAGCCATTGTAGCACACAATGGTGCGCTCATCAGGTATTTTTCAGTCCCCAGTGTAGCCCCAGCGTAGTCCAGCAGTCCAGCAAACCAGTAGCAAACCACCCTCCAAATAACTTCACCTTCTTTAATTCACCCTCTTTAATTAAATATTGGAAGAGCTGCGCCGGAAAGATGTCACCACTGTACGCCTGCTCCAGCGCCGTGCGGTCCAGCGCCGTGGTAGCACCTGGGGGCCCTTGGCGCAATTGCCGCAAACCCAGGGCCAACCTCCAGCCTTGGAGACGGGACCCCAGCTCTGCGTCCCCGCTTATCTAATCTGGGGAAGATAAGTTCCCGATCTTATCTTTAGATCTTTTTATTTTAAAGGCAGCCTAGGTCGAGTTTTTTGCAGGAGCTGGCGACATGTTGTCTGGGCGGCAGGCGAGTGCTGGGTTAGGGCAGGCGGTTTGGGCAGAAAGCGAGGGCGCGGAAGGCGATTTGGCTGGGCGCCACGGCGATGCGAAGCGGCGTTTTCCCGCTCGATAAGCACCGAAAAAAAGCCAAACTGTCAGCGCAATCCCAGCTGCAGGACGGGCATTTCCTCCCATTGGGTTTAAATATGCTCCTCTGGGGCCCTCCTCTTTCTCTCCAACACCATGTCCGACGCTGAAAAGACCCTTGGGTCCGTGGAAAAAAATGTCGACTACCTCCGTGACGACTCCCTGGAGCTCGTTCCCGAGCACGAGGTCAAGAGAAACTTGAAGGCCAGACACATCTCCATGATCGCCTTGGGCGGCACCATTGGCACTGGTCTCTTCATCTCCTCGAAAAACGCTCTCCAGGCCGGGCCTGTGTTGGCGCTTATTTCCTACATCTTCATCACCACATTGGCCTGGTCCGTCACCCAGAGCTTGGGTGAGATGGCCACCTACATTCCCTGCTCGGGTTCCTTCACCCAGTTCTGCACCAGATTCTGTTCGCCAGCTTTGGGTGTGGCCAACGGCTGGAACTACTGGTTCTCCTGGGCCATCACTTTCGCCTTGGAGGTTTCCGTCGTGGGCCAGATTATCCAGTTCTGGACCGACGCCGTGCCATTGGCCGCCTGGATCACCATCTTCTGGGTGCTCATCACCGTCTTCAACATGTTCCCCGTCAAGTACTACGGAGAGCTTGAGTTCTGGATCGCTTCTATCAAGATTCTTTCCGTGGTGGGCTGGCTCATCTACGCTCTTTGCATGGTCTGCGGTGCTGGTCAGACCGGTCCTGTGGGCTTCAGGTACTGGAGAAACCCAGGTCCTTGGGGTCTGGGCCAGGGCTTGGTCAGCAACTTGAACACAGACAGATTCTTGGCCTGGTTGTCTTCCCTCATCTCCGCCCTCTTCACCTTCCAGGGTGTGGAGTTGGTTGGTATCTCCTGTGGTGAGTCTGCCAACCCAAGAAAGGTTGTTCCTTCCGCCATCCGTAAGGTTATTTGGCGTATCATCATCTTCTACATCTTGTCCATGTTCTTCATGGGCTTGTTGATTCCTTACAACGACCCCAAGTTGGACTCTGATGAGTTTTTCGCTGCTTCTTCCCCATTCATTGTGGCCATGCACAACTCAGGAACTGACATTTTGCCCAGCATTTTCAATGCAGTGATCCTTACTGCCATCACCTCCGCTGGTATTTCCAACGTCTACTGTGGTTCCAGAATCTTGTACGGTTTGGCCCACGTCAATGCCGCTCCAAAGTGGTTCAAGCTCGCTACCCCACTGGGTATTCCATACGTGGCTGTTCTCTTCACCGCCGCTTTTGGTGCCTTGGGTTACCTTGTCCTTGACAACGGTGGTAACGAGGTGTTTGACTGGTTGTTGAACATCACCGCTGTGGCTGGTCTTATCGCCTGGGTCAACATTTCTTTCTCCCACATCCGTTTCATGCGGATCCTCCAAAAGAGAAACATGTCCAGGGACATCTTGCCTTTCAAGGCCTGGGGCATGCCATACATTGCCTACTACGCCTTCAGTTTGGGCTTCATTCTTGTGTTCGTGCAGGGTTACGAGAGTTTCTTTGACATTGACGCCAGCAAGTTCTTCACCGCATACGTTTCTGTGATTCTCTTCTTCGTTGTGTGGATTGTTGCTCACTTTTACTTCAACGGCTTCACCAGGCACGCCTTCACTCTCCGCTCGTTGCTCATTCCTTCTGACGAGTGTGACATTGAGTCTGGTGTCAGAGAGATTGACGAGATGGTGTGGGACGAGTCTCCACCAAAGAACCTTTGGGAGAAGTTCTGGAGCGTTTTGTCTTAAGCGCAAGGCGCATTTGCATGAGTTATGACGTAGAATTAATAGGAATAATGGGTATTATAATTAGCTTCATTGTAGAAACTAAGGATTCAGCCGAGGACCAAACTTTCTGAGAAGTCTAAAACAACACGAGATTACTCTCTACTCCGAAGAAAACTTTGAATTTCTCAGGATTCCACCTTTTTTTTTTTTTTTATCTAGATTATGTGAATTGGCAGGATCTATTAAGTGTCTGCGGCGCCATATCTCATCGATATGGGTCACCGCGATTTTTCACCACCTGGGTAACATCGATACATGTCTTCACAAAACGGCCAAACGGCAGCCGACGAAGCCAAGAAGCAGAGCGAGCAGGACTCGCAGAAACCAAAGATTGACTGGAAGCTTTTGGATCAGCAAAATGCCGAGCTCGACGGTGACCTGGACTATGAGTCTGACTCTGACCACGACAACGGCTGTTCCTGCTGTGCGGGCCTGGTGGGCACAATCCAATAGATAGAGTGCCTGAAGCATATGATGAGGCATGCGGCAGTCGTAGACCCGGAATTAGACGTTAGGAGCAATATTTGCTTGTCTTGCTGTGGGCCATAAGACCCCAGCTGACGACCATTGTACATATGGGGAGCTCATCTCCCAGATAGAAATAAACAACGTCCATAATGAATCGGCATTTGCTGAGCACCACAGAATTACTTTCTTCTCGTGGAACGGCGAACGGCTGTACGGGTTCTCTTCTTGGGCTCCTCACGCTCTTCGGCCTTTGCTTCCTCCTGCTTCTCATCTTGCTTATCTTCCTTCTTCTCCTTTTTGTCTTCCTTTTTGTCTTCCTTCTTCTCGTCCTTCTCGTCTTGTGCATCCTTCTCGTCCTCCTTCGTATCGTCGTCGTCCTTTCCAGAACGCATTCTGCGCTTCACCGGCGGCGTATTGGCTCTCGACCGTCTCTTTGGCGCTGGAGCATCTTCTATTTTGGCATTGGATCTGGTCCGTTTTCTCAGCGGAGGTTCCTCCACCTTTTCTTCCTTCTTCTCTTCTTTCTTTTCCTCCTTCTTCTCTTCTTTCTTTTCCTCCTTCTTCTCCTCTTCCTTCTTCTCCTTCTTTGGATCCTCACGCTTGGGCGTCCGCTTCCTTGTTCTAGACTTTGGTCTGACCTTCAATATATCGTCATCCTCCGGCATTTCGGCCTCGACGTCGCTGAGCTCCAGCGAGTATATACCTGGATCGTTGGGCTCTTTAGTTTCTTCTCTTCCTCTTCGCGTCTTCCTCTCAGGCTTGGCTGGTTTTTCTGGCTCTTCTTCGGCTTCATTCTTTTCCGTTTCATTTTCTATCGCCTCCACTTGCGTCAAATTGTAGAAGCTGCCTAGCTTCTCCCACACTTGGTCAGAGCTATAGCGGCTATCTTCAGGTATATCTTTGTTTATGTTCTCCACAATTTGCGCCATGTGCTCATCCTTCTTTTCTCCTGCCGGTTTGAAGTCACATACTAGGCTAAATAGGCGCACCTCGATCTCCACAGGCCACGCTTCGGTCATGGTACTGTGTTGATGTTGTATGTTCGCACACTGAAGGTGTATCTAAGATGCGACCAAGATTGAAGGTGAGATTGGCTTGGCCAAGAATTGAGGGTTTGATTTGAGAACAGGAGAGGGGGAAGCTGAAATGGAAGTGCATGGTTTTTGAAAAAATTTTGAATTTGTGTATCTAGGCACTGTGACTATGGTGGCATGAGAGGTGGATAGTGAAGTGGACAAAGGTAGGTGATAGAAGTTGAGGGAGGCCAATCGCTGAAAGTGATCCAAGAGATCGAAAGCGAAAAGTCCATCCGATATTCCATTATCATAATTCACAAGTCGGAGAATACCTTTTCTTGTACTCTACAGCAGCTTTCGCAGCCATACCTCGCAGCATATTCAGAATTCTAGTGAAGTACAATATAATTGATGAAGCTCACAAAATAACCACATTTATAATCTAATAAATTCACTCTCCAAAGTATTATTTCATCAGAGATATTCCAGATCTTCAATGAAACCCTCCACCCTCCGCGAAGACTGATTCTATGGACTGCGCACACTTTTCCTCCATTTTTTCAGATCTCTAGTCCACAAGTATAACCCCAAGACCATGCCCAGAAGAGCCCATAACCTCCTCTCGGCCACGAGGGGGCGCGTCCGTGCTTCTATGAACAAGGGCAATCTCTTTAACTTGTTCAAAAAGGGCCCTACCAAGTACAACCAACAGACATTGTACCAGCAAAAATGGAAAGCCAAGCAGGAAACCAGAGCCTACCACGGAGAGCACTTGGGTGAAAAGCGCTGGAAGGCCGTATTCAAGCCTAATCTTAATTCCGTGGCCCAGTTGGATGCTTCTTTGCAGGGTAAGAAGGTCAACTTCACGCCTAATGCCATGCAGACATATGCTACTTTGGAGAAGAGACTTGAAGTGGCTCTTTTCAGAGCCATGTTCGCCTCGTCCGTCAGACAGGCTCGTGAGTTTATCAAAGGTGGCCACGTGAAGGTGAACGGTGTGGTGATGAAGCACCTGTCGTTTCCTTTGAGCAGTGGAGATATTTTCAGCATCAATCCAGAAAAGGCTCTTCTAGCCATGGGCAGAGTCAAACCTAGTTTGGAACAGGCTGTTAAAGTTGACAAAAAGCAGATTGGTGCTTGGAACAACTACGTCAAGACGGCCAAGCAGCATCCAAAGGAAGTGTGGGAATTGAAGCAGAACAAGCCTCCCACCTTGAACACCTTGAACGATCAGGCAGCTTCCAAGACTGTTTCCGCCAAGTCGTACAATGAAGGTCTTGAAAAGGCCATGCTTGAGGAGCAGAGAAAAACCACCAGAGAGTCTATCTTGTCTAAGATCTTGACGGTGGCTGCAAACAAGCCAGTGGAGGAACTCCAACCTGAGGCCTTCAAGAGCATACTTCCCAACAAAGACGATGCTTCCAAGGCTTTGAACGCATACAAGATCTTGAAGGAGGCCGAGGCTTCCGTCATTGGCAAGACTTCTGTGGAAGATTGCAAGAAGTACATCTCCACCAAGTCCACCGAATTCAAGAGCAAGGACGAGGCCAGGATTGCCTCTCAGGCCAAGAAGATTTTGCTGGAAGTTCTCAGCTCCCACTTGGAGTTCCTCCGCGTCAACTGCGAGAACTCTAAGATTCCCGAGGGCTCCATCTCCATGCCTTACAGCCCAGACTTCGCTAAGAAGTTGAAGACGCACGCCAAGTTGGACAAGGATGCTATTCTTGAGGACGAGAGCACTGCCAAGGTTAATTTGCCCTGGCAAAAGGGCCTTTTTGGCCGTCAGGACCCATCGAAGCCATACTTCTCACCATGGACACCCAGACAATTCCTCGGAGCCTTTGCGGTGTTGCCTCACCACCTTGAAATCTCGTTCGAGACATGTCATGCTGTTTACTTGGCCGACCCTGTTGCCAGACCAGGCCACTCCGAGGTGATTTCTCCATACGGTCTTCCCACCCATGAGAGAGCTTTCTTGTACTACGCCAGAAAGGGAATGTAATAGAGCCGGAACCACTTGTATATATAAAAAGTCAAAGGTAATTGAGTTGTAGCAGAGGATTGAATCTATGGATATTCGATTCTGTTGACAGAGTTGGTGATGGTCTTTTTGCGACATCTTTCGCAGCCATTTCTATATATCAACTACATCCCATTACATTAGTGCCAGGCTAAACTTACCATTAATCCATTGGTGACCATCTACAATTATAAGTCAGCTTTCTGATTACAGACAAACCTAATTCAATACCCAATCATCCCAACTCCATCCATAATCAATGAGAGATGCCTAGAGTGAGTTTCTCTCAAGTCCGTGCCACATACCACAATAAGCTTCTACCGCCGCTTCTTCACGCTACGAAAAGCCTAGAACAAGCTAGGAACGAACTACGGTGGATCCAAAATGAGCTACCGTCTTCACAGTGGAGAAACGCAATAGTCAGACGCGGTCAACTCGAACCTCTTCAATACATCCTAGGGTCTCAGCCGTTTGGACCACTAGATATCAAATGCCGCAAAAACGTGCTTATACCGAGATGGGAAACGGAAGAGTGGGCGATGAAGGTGGCCGAAAAAGCCAATGGTAAGAAGTTGAGTGTACTTGATGTCTGCACTGGTTCAGGTTGTGTAGCACTATTACTCAAGCACCAGATTGGCGGACCGGTAGCAGCCGTGGACTTATCAGATGACGCAATTGCATTGGCCGAGGACAACAGAGAAAGTTTGAAATTGGATGTGGAGATCCAAAAGGGCGATGTCTTACAAGACAACTTTTACAGTACGCATTTCGATAAACCGTTCGATCTTGTGGTGTCGAATCCACCATACATTCCCAAAGAGGACTACGAGGCGCCAGTGTCTGCCAATGGAACCGAGAGATCGGTAAAGCTATACGAACCAAGAATGGCCTTGGTGGGGCATCTAGAGTTCTATAAAGCTTTAGTCGAGAACGTTGTGAAGCCCCTGCAGTGTAATGCTTTCGTATTTGAGCTTGGCTACGAGGACCAAGCGAATTATACAAAGCTGCTTCTCCAACCTGGGTGGGAAACAGCAACGTGGAAGGATTCTGCTGGGAACCTTCGATGCATATATGGGTGGAGGAGTCCCTCAGGACCGCCTCTATGATTAGTTCGTGTCCATGGTGTCGCCTTCTTCCTTCACGGGCGCTTCTTTAGCAGGCTCCTCTTTCTCTGGAACTTCCTGCTTGGCCTTCTTTCTGGAGCCCTTGCCGACAGCTTGAATATGTCCTCCAGCAGGAATAACCCTGGTCGCCCAAAGAACATATCCACCGTAACCTCTGGAAGTCATGAGAGGGTGCAAACGACCTTGGATTGTCTGATAAACTCTGGCACGGGTTTCAAAAATGGATGGCGCCAAAACACGCTTATCTTTCGTGAGCTCGTGTTGGGCTTCTAGGAGCATCTCCTTGAATGTGCTGTAGAAGACCAACGGCCTCGAGCCGCCGACTCTCTCAATGACGTGGGGCAAAAATGACGGAATGCTCAAAGTAGAGCACGAGACCAAGGCGTCGAAGTTTCCATGAAGCACTGAGTCCAAAGCTTTATTGATATCTGCTGCCTTCTTCAGTCTTCTGTGGTACTGCAATCTCTTGTTCGGCTTCAATGCATCAATCTCCTCCTGAGGAAGCTCCAGCCATTCAATCTTTTCGTCCTCAGGCTCAAGGAACTGGAGCCAACTGAGGGGTGTTATCATTTGTTCCTGAAGCTCCTCAGGGTAGTCCAGGTATCTTAAGGCAGCCAAGTTGGCATGCTCGTTCTCGTGAACTAGCATAATCTGGCCCCTTCCTTGCATTCTCTCCATCATAGCATAGACAACAACACCGGAGGTGTCGTCCAAGACGAGATATCTACCTCCTGGACGCACATTGGCGTAACTGAGCAAAAGTCCGAGAGTTTCTTCGCTCATATCCAACACTTTTTGCATATCTTTTTCAATGAAATACTGGAGGAGCTGAGAGCTTCCAAGGTACTCCACCTGGAAGCGACGCAAAAACTTCATCTGCTTTCTTCTCAAGTACTTCTGCTGAGAGAAGACGGTCTTCTTATCGAACGCTGCATGGCCAGCGATGATCTGTTCAATAATCTTTTGTCCGATCTCACTGGAGGCTCCCAGCTTCTTCAAATCGTCGATCTGCTTGTTATCAAGTTTCTGGATCTTCAGCCCCACATTGATAATGTCCTGGTTGTTCTCAGCGGACTTCTCAAAGTACTTTATGAGGGCCTCCTTCTCAGAAACTTCGTCTTCTTCATTTTCCACTTCGGCCTTGTCCTCCTGACTTGTCAACGACTTAATTGGAACAGCCTCTTGCTCATCTCTCACCTCAAAAGTTGTGCCAAATGGGTGTCCCAAGATGGAGCTCACTTTGAAAGCACCAAATTTTCCCAAGGAGATGGTACCTTCCTCCCTCAAAAGCACAATTCTGAGTCCCTCTGAAGGCAATCGAATCAAGGCATGTTGCCCTGGCGTAATCGTGGTTCTGCTCTTCATGGTACTTGTTCTACTTTGTGGAGGAGCGATGCAATTTTTCGCATCGCATCGAGGGCATCTCAAAAGTCAGATACCACTTTTTAGCTAGGATGGGACGGAGAGCGAAAAACAAGCAGGGCATGCCGCCCACGCTCGAAGAGCTTCAAGGCGAAGATATCAAAAGCAAGCCCCAGAAGAGAAAGCAGCAGCCCGTGAAGGAAAAGAAGCTGAAGAGAAGCAAGAAGGAACCTGTTGAAGAAGAAGAGGTTGAACTTCCTGAGGTTGACCTTGAACAGCTTAGCCTGGCCAAGAAGCTGCTTTTTGATGACGATGAGGACGACGAAATTCCAGCTGACGAGTTCCCAGAGGACGAGTTTGACGAGGCTGACATGGGTGATGAGTTTGATTCAGACGAAGAAGGCAGAGAGAGACCCAGATTCTCTGACGACGAAGACGATCTTGAGGACTTGAATGCCGCCAACATGGAGGCATTGTCTAAAAAGCTTGACGAAGAGGAAGAGGAAGAGGCTGAGGAGGCCGAGCTTGAGTTGGTGCAAGGTGCTGTTCAGCCTAGAGCCAAGGTGTTGCCTACTGAGGCCGAAGAGGAGGAATTGGCCAAGCAGCCCACCGATGTGACTGCTGTAAGAACCAGAATGCTTGAGATTGTGAAGGTCTTGGAGAACTTCAAGGAGTTGGCTGAAGAGGGCAAGTCTCGTGCTGACTACACCTCTCGTTTCCTCAAGGATATCTGTGAGTACTTTGGTTACTCTGAGTTCTTGGCCGAGAAGCTTTTCGACTTGTTCTCGCCTGCTGAAGCCATGGAATTCTTCGAGGCCAACGAGGTCGCCAGACCAGTTACCATCAGAACCAACACCTTGAAGGCCAGAAGAAGAGACTTGGCCCAGACATTGGTCAACAGAGGTGTCAACCTTCAACCCATCGGAAAATGGACGAAGGTTGGTTTGCAGATCTTCGACTCCCAGGTTCCTATTGGTGCCACTCCAGAGTATTTGGCTGGTCAGTATATCTTGCAGGCTGCCTCATCTTTCTTGCCTGTGATGGCTTTGGACCCACAAGAAAACGAGCGTGTGCTTGATATGGCTGCTGCTCCCGGTGGTAAAACCACCTACATTTCTGCGTTGATGAAGAATACCGGGTGTGTTTTCGCCAACGATGCCAACAAGGCTAGAACCAAGTCGCTTGTGGCTAACATCCAAAGATTGGGATGCAGAAACACCATTGTCTGTAACTACGATGCTCGTGAATTCCCCAAGGTCATTGGCGGTTTCGACAGAATTCTTTTGGACGCTCCTTGTTCTGGTACTGGTGTTATCGCCAAGGACGAGTCTGTTAAGGTGAACAGAAACGAGAAGGACTTTATCCAGATTCCTCACCTCCAGAAGCAGTTGTTGTTGAGTGCCATTGACTCTGTCGATGCCCACTCCAAGACTGGTGGTGTCATTGTCTACTCTACATGTTCTGTGGCTGTGGACGAGAATGAAGCTGTGGTGGACTATGCATTGAGAAAGAGACCCAACGTCAAGTTGGTGGAAACAGGCTTGCAAATTGGTAAGGAGGGTTTCACTTCTTTCAGAGGCAAGCACTTCAACAACTCGCTTTCGATGACCAGACGTTACTACCCTCACACTTATAACGTCGATGGTTTCTTTGTGGCCAAATTTAAGAAGATTGCTTCTTCACCTCATGATGTCTCTAAGGCCGGTGCTAAGGAGAAGGAGTCTTTGGCTAGATCTGAGGCCGAGGAAGAAGGTATCATTCACGACGACTTTGCTGAGTTCAATGACGAAGAGGACAAGGAGTTGTTGGACAAGGCCATCAAGAGAGGCATGAAGAGGAAGGGTTTGAATCCAAACACGAAAAAATAGAGCATTGCTGGAGTTATGTATCATAGAATTTTTGAGTAAAGAATGCATTTTTGTAATTAGAAGTTTCGGAGACTGATGTTACCAAGGCCGTGTTCCTTGATGTATTCGGCACCGTACTCCTCGTACTCTTGTCGGCTGACATAGCTGTTCTGTGATTCAGGCGATGCTGCCCATTTTTGCATACCTCTCCAGGAATCACCAATTGGATCTCTGGCATGAGTAACATTGAATGGGGTACCAACAGGAAGGAAGCTCTGGATTTCGGCCCTGAGCCTGTCAGTGAAATTTGGAACCAATGAGCCACCGCCAGTAACAAAGACGTTCTCGACAAGCGATCTCAGCTGACCGCCAACACCAAAATTCCCGTCAAAGTTTCTGTAGAGCAAGTTTTGGACGACCTCGGGAATACCTGCCAGATCAAGACCGGCAATGTGAGGTTGGAAGTAGATCTCTGGCACTCTGATACGCTCCACATTGATATGGAGCTGATGGTTGCGCCGTATAATATCAGGGTGGTTTGCGAGTTCTTGAGGATCGTGTCCCTCTGCTTGCATTGCCAATGTAAGTGACTGGCGTGGTCCATGGATGAACTTGTGGAGCACAGAGTTTCTCCAGTCAAAAGTCTCTGATGCGGCAAGAGTATCCTCGTAGTGGAAGTTAGGGTCATGTTTCATCAACTCCTCCTCCAAAGCAGAGATGGCAGTGGTGGCTTCTTCTTGCTCCTCCTCTAGGTTGGCATTGCTAATATCTCTGTATGCGTTCCAATCATCATCATTAGCTCCAAAAGTATCATTAGGGTCATTATCAATTGTAGCAGACGCAACATTCTTCCGCCTTTTTCTTCCATTAGCAGCACTGTCGTTCGCCAAGTCGGCAATGTTCTTCATTCTCTGTTGAGCCGCCATGGATTTTCTGTCTTTCATGGCTTCTTGAAGCTTAATTCTCTTCTTGTAGCCTGCAATGAGTTGGGCCAATTCGAGTCTCTTAGATGTGCACCAACCGTCCAAGTCCCTCTCTCTCCATTCTTGTTGCTCTCTTTCAAACTGTGCTTTCTCCTCTTCCTCCCTCTTCTTTTCTTCTTTTGCACGCATTCTTGCGTCGTAGTTAGCCTTCAAGAGCTTCTGGCGCCTTTTATCCTTAATCTGTTCCTCGGAGAGATTCTCATCAGGAATCAGGACCAAAGGCCAGGCTTCCTCTGGATTTGGCACGTCATCTTCAGTTCCATCGTCCACATCTTGTGATCTAGCCTTCCTCAAGGATTTCTCCAAGTTGTCAACATATTTGTTGAAGTCATTGAAGTCTTTGAAATCCTCGCTCTGAGATCTCCTGTCAGCTTCAGTTTTACTCAACAGACTAAGTGTCTCCTTGAGCTGACTGTAATATTCGAACTCCTGCTCCTTTTGTATAAGTTTTTCCAAGCGCTTCTTTCTGGCTTGTTCTTGAAGTCTCCTTCCCTGTTCTCTTCTTCTCTCAGCCTGTTTAGCCAATTCCTCCTCTGACTTCTTTGACTTGTCAACAGCAACCTCAACAGGCACCTGTATCACGACGTCCTTCTGTTCCAAAACGTCCATGTCAAGGTAGTTGGACAACTCTTTAGGATAATCTTTCAGCACATAAGCATGATCAAAGAGAATATGGTTTGTGTGGTGGTTAGAAAGACGAGTAGGGAAGTATGGATACTTCAACGCAAGAAGCCTCTGAAGAAACAGCAGTGCCAAGTTGCCACCCCAGTCTATCCTCTTACATTGCAGTAGGACGCCTTTGCCCTGTAGCATTGGGATCACATGTGTCAGTTCGCTTCCCACACTAATGACGAGACCATTAGGGTTCAGCGAGTTAGCATGGTATGAGAATAGCGAATCTATTCCAAGAGCTACTTTTGGAGCATGGTAAGTCTCGAAGATAAGCTCGTACATGCTCTTTCTCTGGCTCAAAGGACATGCAACTGGTTCTGATAATACAACTGGATTCTGCAAAGTACCAGTCAGGGATTGAACACCCAAATGTTCCAACGAGTAGTCGATGATGTTTTCGACTATATCCCAGTTGGTAATGTGAGCCCCGTCGTAGGGTGACTTGGCGTTCGTTCTGATACCACTATGGTTGTTCACCTCACGAAAGATGTCATTACCCACGAGGGTCAAATTGAGACCCAGTCTTTTGTCTTTGTATTTGGTCACCAAAGTAGGAAAAACGTTATTTGGATCTGGTGAGTTCACCAAACCGGCTCTGACGTTGGATGCGCCAAAGTCAATGGCTATAGGGACCTCCGGACTGTAGGATCTATAGAATGGCTCAAACAGATTTGCAGCCTGTGGCTCACGAAGGTAGTGGAGCGGCTGTGGCGGGAGGTCTTCCTCTGGAGTAACGGTCATGAGGAGTTAGGAGCTGAAGATTCGATTCAGTCGTGAATCTTGAAGCTTGGTGTCTGTACAGGACACAGTGAAGAGATCTAGGAGGAGAAGTCAAGACGGGGCTTGGGTTATTATTTAGGGGGTTGGTGTTTTTGATAAAATAAGTTATTCCAAAACACCGGTCATAGAATTGTTTCATCGAAAGCTGGTTATGCACTCGATGGGGAAGTTGAGCCTATGTCGTAGATTAGCTTCTGCAGAGAGATCTGATATACCAATGACAAGATGATACTGCCATACGTATGAATAAGCACTATATGTCCTGATTAGTACGCTATATTTCCTGATGAGTAGAAATTGTAAAGTTGAGGTCTCGAAGTTCCATGTTGGATGGGGTGAGGTCCTAAGCGATAATCAAAGTAGTGCTCGAATAGACAAAAGAAACATCAAATGTCTGTAAGATATAACGACCAAGAAACTTCGGTTTACCTGTGAAATTATGTAGATACCATTAAAGAAGGTTTGTTCGATTGTTAGTGCCCCAATTAGCTATTCTACTATGGCTGCGAATCCCTACAACAATAGTGGACCACAACCAAGCTAGCCCAATATCCAAGTTTCATTAAGAACCATAATTCCAATCTCATCGAAACTCCCAAAAAGTCTTCCTCAAGTGGCCGATTTGACGTCTAAAGACAATCACGTCATGGTGCCGATTCGGGCCAACCTGTGCACCACATACATGTATGTATCAAATCGCAACCACGTCTACTAAAACTACAACGATGCCACCTCAAGGACCCGCTGAGGAAAACCAGCTCAATGTACAGGGCTACAACATTGTGACCATCTTGAAGCGTTTGGAGGCGGCAACGTGCCGTTTGGAGGATATCACCATTTTCCAGGAGGAGGCTAACAAGGCTCAACCATTGACCCATGATCTGGTTCTGGATGCCTTGCTGGCTCCTTCTCTGACTGACGTTAGTGATATTTCCAAGAGCGTTTCTACATCTACTGAGCCCCATCCGGCCAAGGTGGACGCGGCACCCGCCAAGTTTGTCACCGTTTTTGATGAATTGATCAAGTCCCACATTGCACCATTTGTGGATCTCTCCAAGACAATTGATGAGGTTGTGGGCAATGCTGCTCAGGAATTGCAGGATGCTTTCGTGGAGCAGGCCAAGTTTTTGGGCCTTGTTTCCCAGTCTAAGAAACCCCTGCCTAGCGATGCTAACTTGCAGAAGGCATTGGCTCCAATCAACACCCACATTGAAGCCATTGTGTCTTTGAAAGACGCTAACCGTCGCTCCAACTTCTTCAATCACCTCAACACCATCAGTGAAGGAGCCCCAGTTCTCGGCTGGATCGTCAGCGATACCCCACTCTCGTATGTGCCTGAGTTCAAGGACAGCGCTCAGTTCTGGCTGAACCGTGTGATGAAGGAGTATAAGGACAAGGACGATAAGCATGTCGATTGGGTCAAGGCGTTCTTGTCGATTTTCGACAGCTTGCGTACTTACGTCAAGGAGTACCACTCTTCTGGTCTTTCGTGGAACCCTCGTGGAATCACCTTGGGTGAATCTTTGGCCGCTGCCGCTGCTGGTGCCACCAACCAGCCACAAAAAGGCTCCGCGGGCGATTCCGCTCCTCCACCCCCACCCCCACCAGCTCCTCCAGCCAACATTTTTGACGAGTCGTCTGCACAGCCCAAGGAGACCTCTTCTGGCGGTATGAAGGCCGTCTTTAGCGACTTGAACAAGGGTGAGAACATCACTCTGGGCCTTAAAAAGGTTGAAAAGTCGCAGATGACGCACAAGAACCCTGCCTTGAGACAGCAGGGTGTGTCCAAGAAGCCAACCCCTCCAAAGAAGCCCACCAGCTTGTCGTCCACTCCTAGCGGCACTGTTAAGAAGGCCAAGCCACCACGCGTGGAGCTTGTGGACGGATCCAAGTGGATTATCGAAAACTTGACCTCGGAGAACACCAAGGAGCCTGTCATAATTGAGGCTGAGATGCAGCACTCTGTCTTCATCGGTAACACTGACGGCATCACCGTTCAGATCAACGGTAAGGGTAACGCTGTGTCGTTGTCAGAGACAAGAAACACTGGTGTCGTGGTGCACTCGTTGATCTCGGGAGTGGACGTCATCAAGTCCGTGAAGTTCGGATTGCAGGTTACAGGTGTGGTCCCACTCATCACCATCGACAAGTCGGACGAGGGTAACATTTACCTTTCGAAGGAGTCTGTGGAGGCTGACAGCTCCGTTGTCACGAGCAACACTACAGCTCTCAACATCAATGTTCCAACTGAGGAGGACTACGAGGAGTTGGCTGTCCCTGAGCAGTTGCAGCACTTTGTCAGAAACGGCAAGCTTGTCAGCGAGGTTGTTGAGCACGCCGGGTAGATAAATAGTAGACGAATGATATACAAAATACTGAGGCAGTGTAGATTGACGTTAAGCAAGAACTATACTCGGTTTCATTTTTCACCGCAGTATGGCAGTACCTTATGACACATGCCAACGGCTCACAAAGACTCATTGTGCCATACAATAGCCATTTAGTTTAAATGGCCATGGTGTGGTAAAATAATTTACTTTCGATGCTTCAATGATTCTGAGGAAGCTGAAGCATGTTTGACAATTCGTTATCTCACTTCCAGCCGCTTGATTGATAAATGGAGCATTCTCACTGGCTGCAAATCAAAGGTCAACCATGAAAAAACACCCACGAGCTCGGGAGACATTTGAAAAATTTTCTTCTTTTTTCAGGCGAGTTGGTAATTATATTTTTTTCAATGAATCACAAAATATTGATAAAATCCCCTGGTTCGCCTACCACAGTGTGGCCTGGACCACATGGAGGGACTCAAAAAAAAAAAAAGAAACCCTCGATGCGTAAGCTCGGCTAAGACAGTTTCTCAAAAACCTCATCAGGGCAGAAAACAAAACAAGCGAGAGTTCACAAAAAAACAGATAGAAAAGTCAAAAAAATAAAAACATGGCTTATACGGACATTCCTAAAAAAAATTCTGGTAGCGCCGAAGGAGTCTCCCTGGCTTGCATAGCTCTGAGCCGTTGGGTTCTATGCAGCTCGAAGTTCTCACGAGGCACGTCTCAGGAGACATTACCAGGAGGAAAGATTAGAAAATTTTTGAAATTCATGTAGCCCCAGCAAGTCTCTACCTCTTGCCTCCATCTTAGTAAGCCTTCCTATTTGGGTCTTTGGCAGGTTTGGGTGGAACTTCATAGAAGCCCGAAGAACTGTGCAAACGGTGTGCTGCGAAAAAATCACCGACTCGATCTCATCGGCGTTAGGCCAGCTACTACTACATATTTATTACCATGGTGAAGGATACTAAGTTCTACGACCTCTTGGGCGTCGCTCCAGGCGCCTCTGACAACGAGTTGAAGAAGGCTTACAGAAAATCGGCATTAAAGTACCACCCAGACAAGAACCCTCTGCCTGAGGCAGCTGAGAAGTTCAAGGAGCTCTCGAGAGCTTACGAGGTGCTTTCAGACGACCAGAAGAGAGAGATGTACGACTCTTACGGTGAAGATGGCTTGAACGGCGGTGGCCCAGGCGGTATGGGCGGTATGGGTGCAGACGACATTTTCAGCCAGTTCTTTGGTGGTGGATTTGGCGGTATGGGAGGCATGGGCGGTGCCTCCAGAGGTCCTGCTAGAGGCAAGGACATCAAGCACCAGATCAGCTGCACTTTGGAGGAGTTGTTCAAGGGTAGACTGACCAAGTTGGCCTTGAACAAGACTGTCTTGTGTAAGACCTGTGACGGCCGTGGAGGCAAAGAGGGCAAGGTCAAGCAGTGTAGCACCTGTCACGGTGTGGGTATGAAGTTCGTCACCAGACAGATGGGTCCTATGATTCAGAGATACCAGACCCAGTGTGACGCCTGTCAGGGTACCGGTGACATCTGCGACCCCAAGGACAGATGTACCTCCTGTAACGGTAAGAAGACCGCTGCTGAGCGCAAGATCTTGCAGGTTCACATTGATCCAGGTATGAAGGATGGCCAGAGAATTGTTTTCTCCGGTGAAGGTGACCAGGAGCCAGGTGTGACCCCAGGTGATGTTGTGTTCGTGGTGGACGAGAAGCCCCACGCTAAATTCCAGAGAAAGGACGCCGACTTGTACTACGAGTGCGAGGTGGACTTGTTGACTGCATTGGCCGGTGGCGACATTGCCTTCAAGCACGTTTCTGGCGACTACATCAAGTTCTCCATCTTGCCTGGTGAGGTGATCTCCCCAGGTGTCTCTCGTGTGATTGAGAAGCAGGGTATGCCAATCTACAGATCCTCCGACAGAGGTAACTTGTTCATCAAGTTCAACGTGAAGTTCCCAGAGGCCCACTTTGCCTCCGAGGAGAAGTTGAAGCAGTTGGAGGGCATCTTGCCTCCAAGAACCAAGTACCAGGTCCCCAAGGGCGCCGAGGTGGACGAGTGTGACTTGGTCCACGTTGATCCATACAAGCACAGCAGCAGCGGCAGAAGAGATGCATACGACTCTGATGATGAGGAGGGTGCCGGCGCCGGACCAGGTGTCCAGTGTGCCTCGCAGTAAGCGGGTCGGTGTATATTAGAGCTGGTCGGAGCGAAAGCACAGTGGGGGCTTCGTCCAGCCAAACAACCGGGGAAACCGGTCATATAGCTACATCATAATTTTGAGATTACTTCGTTGTAGCAGTCCCATTATGCGATATACATATTAGCTAGAAAGAATTGATCAACGTCGACTGTTTTGATTATCAATATTAATGTCCTTCTGGAGGCTATTAGTGCTGTATGCTGCTTTGTCTAACGCACTTTCTGGAAAGCCATGAAGAAGTTGCCTGTACCAGGGCAGTCTGTGAGTGTCCATCCGAGTGCTGGTACAAACACGCTGCCTTTACTCTTGACATGCTTAAACTTTTCGGCGTGTTCGCTCTGTGCTAGCCATTCCCTGATCTCATGCTCGTTGATGTACTTTTCTAAAGTATGAGTTCCTTTTGGCACGATTCGAAAAGCAGTCTCAGCCACGAAAATGGTGGTAAACCAGCTGACAAAGTCTCTGTTGATGGTGGAAATGAAAACCCAGCCACCGTCTTCGACTCTTTGGAAAAGCTCGTTGAGTACTTCAGCAGGGTAAGGCACATGCTCCAACATCTCGAACGCCGTGACAACGTCGTACTTTCCTCTGTCGTCGCCAACAGCTTGGAGCTCGTAAGAAAGCTTGTCTTCTAAAACAGGGTCCAGCTTCTTGTGCCAGTTAGCCGCAGTTAACACATCTGGAGATAGGTCAATGCCCTTCACCAGCTCCACATATGGAAGTCTGGCAAACGACTCAGAGAAAATGCCGCCTCCGCATCCAACATCTAGAACACGCAATCTTCTTGCATTGAGCATTTCGTCTCGTCTTGCTTCCTGTTCTTGTAGTATACGAGCTCTCACTGGCTTCGGAAGCAAGTTGACGTTAAATGGAGGCATGTAGACCTGGTCCTCCGGGTCTTCGATTCCCTGGTTGAGCTTGAGATGCAGACGAATCATATCGTTCACAAAGTCCATTCTGACAAGATTCATCTTGTGAAGAATCCGCTGGGGTCCATCGACATCCCACCATGACGAAGCCAATGCATTGAAATGAGAGACCTCCTCGTTCGAGGCGTGAGTATTGCCTTGAGACTTGCCTTGGGAAAGGTATCTATTGAGCAGTCTGCTCCTGAAGACACCGTGTCTTATGGATTGTCTTAGCATGGAAGTTCTCATAAAGTTGGAGTTTCTGAGTTTGAAGTGAGGTGATGCAGTTTTGTAGTTTTTATAAAAGATTGAGTTCAGATGGTTTGGAAGGTTATGAAAATCCCAATGCTCGTATAATGCAGTGTAGAACCTGGTGGCTGAATTTTGCTGGTGGTTTTCCTTCTTGCCGAGACTTCACTTTCGCAACTTTCATGGAGATAATGCAAAATCATCGCGGCATTAGGAGAGCCGGAACAATGATACTTCAAAAGTATAAAATGGATCAGAGCTGGAAATATTGAAAAGTTTTATCATTGAAGGAATCTAGTTCATTTTGTGCAACTTCACCTGCCAGTTTTCCATAGGGTTTGCTCCAGAGGCAATAGTTGAACCCTGTGCATTTCGCAGCCATTTGAGAGCGCCTTCTACATCTAACTGGCTGTAGTTATGATGAAAAACAAGGAAGAAAGAGAGTAATAGGGTAACCTTTTGAACATAATGATCATAGCACTGACTACTCAACTGCTCGACGCTTGACTGTCATAATTGTATCAGATTCATGGACCAAGCATTACTGATGCCTATCCAAACGAGCTGAATTTGTGATTCCAAACAATCGAAGCATTTGACCGGCTTCAATTAACTCTTCCACAGTATTGTTTCGTTTTACAAAAAAACTGTTTCCCCAAAGAGTCCTCCATCTGATGGATTCGTTTTGCACCCGGTTGTTACTGCACCGCGAAATATCAAAGTCTCGGTAACTCCAGCTTCTTTATTATGGACTCCAACGACGGGCTTGCCACATCAAGGTCTCGCAGAGCCAATGCTGGTTCTCGACTCAAGCATCTTATAGAGCTTGAAGAGGCCGCCTCAGGTGTGCAACAGACATTCCTCACCGAAGAGGATGAAGATGTTCATCTTCTATTCCAAGAAGACGAGAACGATGCAGAGTTTGAGGAAGAGGAGGAAGATGAAGAAGGCGAGGGTGACGAAGATGGCGAAGAAGCAGAAGACGAGGAAGATGGAGGACGCGAAGAAGATGGAGATGACGTTGATGATCCACAGAAGGAAGCTGCTCAGCTACTAGGCGAGGATAAGTCTGAAACCGAGGCAAATCCAGACGAGATGCTCTCAGACTCCGATTTGTCTGTATCTGAAGACGACGAGAGTGAGGGTGAACGTGAACTCCAGAAAGAAGAAAGATCCAAGAAGAGAAAGAAGAAGCAGACCATCATTCCCGCTATCAAGAAGCGTGCTACACAAACACCCAAGCCTAAGTCAGCTCCAAAGCCCGCATCTAATGCCCTTCTATACGGCGAGCGCAGAGCCTCTTCAAGAAAGTCTGCCGTGAAAAACAAGGAAGTCTTGCTAGAAAAGCTCAAGGCAGACGAAACTAGAAGAGCTGCTCTCACACCCATTGTTAGGGTGAAAGAGAGAGAGCCAACTCAGGAGGAGAGACTTGCACAGGCTCAAGAGACAGAAAAGGAGAATACTCTTTCATTGAATGCCTTCTTAGAGCAGGAAATCGTCAAGAAGGAGCGTCAAAAAATGATGTTTCAACAGAAGCGCCAAAAACTTCGAAATGTCATCCGTCTTGTTTCCAAAGCAACCTTCGTTACACCCCTAGAAGAGGTTGAAGATGCCAGGCATGTTCAAGACATGTTTGAGAAGAAGCGCCGTGGCCGTAGAAGAAAGAACGTTCAAGAAGAGCCCGATGTTAGACGTCCTGGAGATGTCGACACAGACCTTCCTTACTACAGAGCCGAGATGGCTGAGAGACAGCGTCTAGAGGCTATTAGGCTTGAAGAGAAGCGCAAGCTTGAAGAAGCTAGAGCTATCAAAAGAGAGAAGCTTGAAAAGGAACGCGCTGAAAGAAAACGCAAACTTGAAGAGGAGAGGGAAGAGCGCCGCAAACTCAAGGAACTGCGCCTTAAGGAGTTCGAAAATATTGATGCAACAGACCCAAACTTTTCTGCGGAATCACTACGTCTAAAGGGCGAGCTTTCTTCTTTAGAGGAGCAGGATCGTGAAGCCGATGAAAAGGACAGAGCCGAGACAGAAGAGTCAGAAAAAGAGGATCAGAAGGAGTCACAAGATGGTGCTGCCGAAGCCGGTCTGGAAGACACCCAAACAAAACCTCCTCAAGTTGACGAGACTGAGAAGGAGATAAAGAAGGAAGCCGTTGATGAGGTGCAAAAAGAAGAAGTCACCACTTCAAAGGAACAAAGCGCCGAGGTCGTCGACGACAAGACGCCAGAAGTTAATGATGTCGAGATGACCGATGCCACTGAGCCCACCGATGAAAGGGCGAACCCTGATGATCAAAAGGATGACGAAAAAGACAAGTCTCATGAAAAGGAGGAATCGGTTGTTGCTGATGGTGAAGCTAGTGAAACGAAGAACGATGAGACGACTGAAAAGGGCACTCCCTCGAAAGAATCGGAGGTAGTCAAGGTCGAGAAGAAAGTTACATTCTCCGATGACGTTGGCAAAGGGAAGAGAAGGAAAGTGAAATGAAGGAAGAGCAGCCCGAGGAGGTTAAACCCAAGAAGGAAGAGAGCCCGAGGTCAAGTCAGTCGCACCTGTTTACAAAGCTCGCTCGGACGGAAACGTTTTCGAGGGCCCGGTGCAATATGTTTCTCGTAACATGGTCTACCTCATGGACTTCGACGAGGAAGACAGGTATTGGAAGCTTCCAGAGACGAAGATCAAGATTGCCCTTTTCGGAGAAGAGAGTGTTCTCAGTGCATCAAGGAGATTCAGAGATGTCAAAACGATTCTTCGAAGCACCTCTCGCAACGAGAATCCTTATGCCACACCCAAGGATGACAGAGAGGATGAGCTCTTCCAGCTGGTAGCCGATATCACCGAAGACAGTCCGATGTTTGACGATCTTAAGAAACTCCGCAAGATTGGTGTACGTGTTGAAGACGAGGAGTCTGAAGAAGAGGAGGACAGGGAAGAAGAAAACGTGGTGCAGATCAGTACCGAGGCTCCAACCGGTCTTTACCTTCCCAATGGCAACAAGAAGATTTGTCTCATTTCCGGAAAGGAAGTCAGGTACTTCGATCCTGGCACTGGTGTTCCTTACGACAGTGTGGACGACTACAAAGTTATCAAGACTATCGAGGCTGGCACTATTCCGTGGTACAGTATTCCTAGAGACCAGAACACATACGGAGCAGTGGAGATATATTTAAATAACCGAGAGGGAAGCCGACACGCCCGCGGCGTGCCAGAGGGCTTCGAGGGCTGTTAACTCGGCGATTCTAGTTTAATGCAATTAATGACCTGTTGAGTGTTGAACGTTTTTCTCGTGAGCGCCGATCAAGTCCGACTGGAATTTGACGAGCTTGGCCTTCACCAAAGGAACCAAGTGTTTTTTGACGTGAGAAGTGTTTTCACCTTCGACGTTGAAGACGTACTCGTCGTCGTCCTGATCGTGGAAGAACTCGTCCAAAGCGATGGTAGAAGTGAAAGCGCTATCTTCCTCCTCCTTTTTGGATCCTTCCACCGCAAGTCGGAGCTTCATGTCGTAGATACACAAAGTCTTGCCTTTTCTCTGGGTAACGTCACAGTCACCGTCAACGGAGGTGACTTCAGTGACAACAAGCTTCCATGCATCGTCCTCGTATGAGGTGTTCACGACCTTTTCACCAAGATATTCCTTTGTCCAGGGAAGACAGTTTCTGTCGACCCAGTGCCTGAGGTTAGCATAGTCCAAAACAAACATCGAGCCGATCTACACATACCAGTTGTTTGGGTTGTGGACCACCATTTGTGAGAAGTAGATTGGTTTAATAATTTTTCGCAGCATATGTTATCCGCGACTACCTGGGGTAAGAACATTCTAGAGCCGCGAGGGAAGATCCGAGGTTAGGGCCAGGAGTGAATGAAATTAGAATATGTTTTGGCTGAAGATTGTAGCTGTGATACTTCGCCGGTCACTAGGCCTCGTATGAAAGTCAATGTAGCGATATCTAGTCGTAATAAGACTTTCGTATCACGGCTGAAGAACAAAGACTTCAAACTCAATATTAGATGCTTGTAGATGATTGCTGGACTTCAGTTACTGGTACTGCAGTGATTTGATGGTATTCACTGGAAGTGAAGGTGTTTGATGGAGCATCGCATTTTGCACCCAAAGACTAGGTGAGACATTGGTCAAGAGGCACAAAACCGGGAATGAAATTTATTAAAGACTTCAATAGCTTTGATATCAAACTTTCTTGAAACATCCACGTGTTGAAACACACTTACCCCAAAGAGGGATTTATTAGTGGCTTTTATATGGGATCTGCAGCAGCCACATCGCTTAAGCCCGCCTGTCAACGCACGTTTTTACCACAATATATACAACTGCAATCTTTGAAGCTTACATTCAAGAAAATATCTGGGTGGCATGCTCAAGTGGTCCAGATCTTATCTTTGCCATTTGATCACCTGAACTGGATTCAAACCACTCAGCCACATCTTCTAGATGGCTGCGAAAACGTCATCATCACGGTGAGAGTTGCAGCGAGTTCCTTTAGGAAAACGTAGATGTCAAGCCATGGAAACGAAGAAAGCTAAATTACATCACGATTATATCGTATATTCACTTTTTCTACACGCTGATGGCTTTGTGATCCCTCTGTTCCAGGTACCGCCTCGTCTAATGCGAAGAGCCGAATTACAGTCATGAAAACGACCAGCATAGCGTGATTCACTTAGTCGAAAAAAACCCAAAAAGTATTCATTCACTTGCATTCAAAACCTCAATCTCATATTGACTTTCATTTCCCCTGACGGGCAAGAAATCATCCCCTGGATCTGAAAAGCGTATTAGACTATGCATGCGCGATTTGTTGATAGCTTTTTCCAAACAACTTCAACCACCAGTGGTTCATGCCCGAAAGTATAGAGCTTTCAGACTTGAAGCACAAACCGTTTTTTGAATATGAAAAACCAGAGGGCCGCTTGAGCCCGCAAAACCGACGAAAAATATGGCTCCATATCCTACTAGAGACTATTGCATCCGTGGTGATCTACTCATCTTACACCAAGCTTGTTCTGCTATACCTGTTCTTGGCTCCTACGCTATTGGGAGCATCAACGGCAGCTCTAGCTCAGTCCATGAACCAGCTCTACAAGGGCAGACTATCGGTTTCGAAGTTGCTTAAATTCTTGATATGGGGATGCATCAACGGCTGCTTCACCGCCTTGTGGATCGACACTCTTGTGGCCAGAGTGGACTCTGTGTTCTATAGAATATTGATTGATCAGTTGATCGGCGCTCCTTCCTTCCAGTTGACATTTCACTTGCTTGGTAAAGTGTGGGATGTGGCCGAACCGGGTCACCCATCTCCAAGCTTCTCCACCTTCATCACAGCCTTGAGCATCTCATACTGCTACTGGCCATTTGTGTCCATTGCCATGTTTGTCTTCATTCCGCCGCTGTTGATGTTCATCAGCAATTGTGTCGCAAACTTAATCTGGAACATGATCCTCAGCAGAATAGCATAATACACGCATTACCTGATTCTCTTCAACGGGTCCGACTTGCGGCCACCCTTCTTTTTATGCTTTCTAACCTTGTTTTTCGTGAATGGAATGAAACCAAGGTCTTTCTTAGGGCCGGCCCTGGCACTGGCCGGAAGCAAGTACTCAGGAACTCTCTTCAACTGTGCTTGCACTCTGCTAGGGTGCAATTCCTTGTCGTGCCTAAGGGAGGCCAAGTCTTGAGGGTTTTCTTCGAAGAAACGCTTGAGCTTGTCAGAGTTGATCAACTCGTTCTTCAACTCCGAAATTCGGGCTTCTCTGATAGCCACTCCAGTGACAGCTCTGAAGGCATCCTCTGATCTGTACCTGAAACCCTCAACCTGCTTCATGTCAAACTGGTAAGGTTTGATCTCGAGACCATTCTTCAGTTGCTGCTTGACGATCTTCTTAAGCACCTTTTCGTCCTTCTTGGCTGTAGATAAAGTTGCAACTCTGTGCTTCCCGACCTCGTTCTCTGGAATCACAAAAGACAAAGCCATACCAGCCTTGCCCGCTCTGGCGGTTCTTCCAATGCGATGAACGTATGCTCTAGCTGTTGTTGGTAAATCAAAGTTGAGCACACATGCAACGTTTCTGAAGTCAACTCCTCGAGACACACCATACTCCTTGTCCTTTTTGGCCTTCGATTTCTTTGACTTCTCAGTGGCCTCTTCTTCTTCATCACCCTCATCCTTTTCAACCGTGAAGTCACTCGTCTCATCGGTAGCAATGAGCAATGAGTAGACGTTCTTGTTGAACTCGTCAACGATATGCAAACGGGAGTTGACGGGCAACTCACTATTCAAAATGCAACAACGGATACCAAACTGCTCTAAGAACAACTTCAAACGGTACCCACGCTCGATGGAATTCACAAAGACGAGCGACTTGCCCTTGATCAAATTCAACTTGTAAATGACGTATGCAAGCAAAAACTTGTCAAACTCGGTAGTTTTGGCGTAGTATTGCACGAGCTTATCGTTAGCAGAGTTGTCTTCATTGAGCTTGAGTACAGCTGGTTTTGAACAAAACCGGCTCTTCAAGTCGTTGAGATCGTCGTTTATCGTAGCAGACATCAAAAAGGTCTGCAAGTTTGTCTTGACAGGCAAGAAGGTCTCAAGCTGCTCCAAATCTTCCATGTAGCCGTAAGAAAGAACCAAGTCAACTTCGTCAATAATCAAATGCCTCGTCTTTGAAAGGTCTATGAGGTTCAGGTTGACGTTATCCTGAAGCACCTGGATCAACTTGGCTGGCGTGGCCACCAAAATATCTGGCTTGTTCGTGAGCAAAGATTTTAAAACCTGCTCGGAAATATTACTGGAGAGGTTCACCACGCTGATCTTCTGGTTGCTGTACACCAAAAGCTTCTCGGTGAATTGAGCTACCTGGTTAGCTAATTCTCTCGTAGGAACAAGCACAATGCTCTTGACACATTTCTCCTGTTCGGCCGTAAGCAAGTTCTGAAGAACAGGAATCATATAAGCTGCGGTTTTACCGGAGCCGGTGCTAGCTTTGGCGATGATGTCTCTCTTTTCTTCTAGAGCCAATGGGATAGCACTGGACTGAATAAGGGTGGGATTTTTGAAGCCGAGATGATCCACGGCTTGTATAATGCGGGGATCAAGATTGAGCGAGTCCCACTGACACTCGTCGTCAACATAGGCGGCGTCTGCTGCTTTGTTCATTGAATTATGCTATGGAGATGTAGATCTAAAAATTCAGCGATGCTCATCTTAGGGCCCTATGTGGTGTGGACATGCAGGAGTATCAAGAATCGAGAAACGGTTTCCAATTTATCTCACTACCAGATTGACTTAGGGAGATGGAAAGTGTATCAGAGTAAAGTTTCTATTTTAAAAACACATATAAATTGTTGTTAGAGTTCTTCGGTTTATTGTTGAGATATAGGGTTTTTTTAAATTTTCTCGCTCAGGAGAGCTTTTCAGGGAAAATGAATCCACAGGTAGCAAATTTTGAAAACTAAATGAGTGAGGCATTTGAAATTCAACATTTCAGTGCCTGGAAGTACCTTTTTTATTACACGATATATATTGGCGGCATTACAAAGCTTCCAAATTGGGGCGTGTGGCGTAGTTGGTAGCGCGTCTGCCTTGCAAGCAGAAGGTCACTGGTTCGAATCCTGTCTCGTCCAATTTTTTTTATTTTGCACCCAAATTCCTCTGAAGTTTTTCTGTTGTCTACTCAGTTGTTCATGAACGAAAATAAATTATGCTATTGATGCTAACGACTTTCGTCAGGTCGCCTTCGACCGTTCGTTGGGTCGTAGGGCTGCACTGTTGCAATCGATGTAGGTGTACTGGAACGTTCCTCGTCCACCACTGACGTGGGGCCTAGTGTCGATTGGGAGCGGGTCATTTTCATGGGCTGAGCACGGTCACGACCAACAAAGTCAGAAGTACCAGCCGCTTCGTTCGCAGCGTTGGCTGCTCTTTCTGTGATACCCGCTCTATTGAACCTCGAATTGAGCTCATCAAGCTCGTGTCGGCTAGCCTTTCGATGGCTGGCAAAAGAGAAGCTCCGTAGCTGTCTCGGTATGTTGATTGTAGACACAGATTGTCGGCTGTCCTGCGATGGATGCAGCCCTTGAGCTTCAAGATCGCGTTCTTTAGACCGCCTAGTAGGTTGACGAGATAGCGTTCTTCTAATCTGGTCACCAAGATACGCTGCACCTTCATCCTCCTCTCCAGCAGCATCGAAGAAGTCGTCGGCGCTTTGTCTTCCTGAAGCAATGGATTGTTCACGTTCACGTGGGTTCTCCATACCATAGACTGGGAAAACGTTGTTAGGTGATCTGTATGATCTCTTCTTGCGTAACGACCTTCCTGACCGTACAGATCTTCCTGTAGACGGTCTGTACAAACCATTGACGGGAACATGCAGCTCGGTGCCGAGTCTAGAGCTATCGAGGGAGTCCAGGTCGCCCTTCTCCTCGCGGGCTTCCTTTTTCTCTTCTTCAAATTCGTTTTCTTCCTCAGCCTCCTCTTCATCCTTTGGATCAACACGAACCACTCTGGAGTCCTGGTTCAATTCGGGTTGCTCGTCTCTCAACTCGAACAGAGGCAAGTGGAGTCTGCGCTGGTCTCTCTCCACCACAAACAAGTGAAGATACCATGGAACGACGAGGCCAAAGAACGATCCGCCAATAATATTGCCAAGAGACGCAGGTAGAAGCACCTTCCATGCGACAGTGCCCACAGATATGTGGTCGTGATTGATCAAGCCAATGATCACCATGTACATATCCGCAACGGAGTGGGAAAAGCCCATAGACACGAAAGTGAACACAGGTAGGAGCATCATGAGAAACTTGACATGCAATGGTTTGGCCATGAGCTGGAGATAGATGGCTAGACAGACGAAGAAGTTACCCGCCATACCCCGTATTAGTGTCTGATGGAAAGCAAGCTCGGCCTTCTCGTCCAAGATCAAGCGTGAACCTTCAATCATGAGGTCGGTGGACGTGACTTTGGAATAATGGCAGACGATGTAGCAAACAAAGATGTTGCCCACCAAGTTGAACCACCAGCTGACGAACCACGATATTAGTAGATCGAGCACGCTGACGGCACGGCGGGCAACGCCAACCAGAAAGAACAAGATGTTCAGGTTGAACAAGTCCACACCCATTATCACCACGTAGAAAAGGCCGATCGGGTACACGAGTCCCTGGAGCAACATAATGTAGCCTGGGTTGGTGCTGAAGGTTTCAGGGCACTTGGAGGTGATCATGCCGTGGAGCATACCGCCCGAAGTAAAGAGCATTCCTCCCATGAACAGATTCACTATGAGCGTATCTAGCGATAGTCTCGCTTTTTTCATTGCCGTGGCCACCACCGCTAGAGCGGTTTCGTGGGTGGTCAAGTACAACGATTCGTCTCTCATGGAGCAAGAGGGAGTTCAGGTCACACTTTCTAAAATTGGCCCGGATCAAAAAGGTACGTAAGGAGGGGTGACGACCTGGAATGGAGGGGTGGAGGGGCACTGGAAGAGTGTATGCAAAACAAAGGTGTGTCTCACGATGAGAGATGATGGAACAACTGGGTGGTGTGAGGCTCCGGTGATCGCGGATGAATTATCCCAATGAGGTGCGATGGCTGCAAACCGTTAAGTGGGAAGTGGGAACGGGCTGCTTTTGGAGCTGATAACATATGTTGACGGCTTTCCAATAAATAAGATAATGTGGCCGGCTGTCATAGCTAAGGTGGCAGATCGCAACCATGGATGATTGAGTGAAGTCCGGACTCCGAGGGATTTTAGCCGAGGCGGCTACTTCGGTGTCACAAAAAGCGAACTTGTGGAGAGATCAAAGGATAACTCTGGTGAATCTTCTTCGCCTTCGTGAGCATTTGTCGTTTCATTGATTTGCCCGTTTTTCTCCTCCTTCTCAGTTTCTCCGTTTGCAGCCTCAGTGTCAGCCGTGCCTCCAGATTCAGGCCCATTGTCACTTGAATCGTCTCCGTTCTTCTTTTTCCGTGTCCGTCGTGCTGCACGGATCAACCGTCTAAACTCTTTTTTGTAAGTGTTCAACCAAAGGCCCACAGGAAAATCCTTATCACTGACAGTCTTGTGGCTCAAGGAGCCGCCAAAAAGACCTCCAGGAGCCGCTGCCGCCAGAAACGCAGCATGCGATTTTTCCCACTGTAGGAGTTTTTGCCGTAGCGTTAAATCACTCACAGGATGTGAGCTATCAGAATTGGAATTGTGCAAAACGTAGTAGTGGTTGTACCTGAGCTCGAGTTGCGCCCTTGTACCTGTAGTGGGAAGTTTGAGCTGGGCCAACTTTTCCTTGATTTTCGGCGTGGCAAGGGAAGCAAAGTCGATTTTGGGAATCTTCTTGATCTCGTGCCGGTGCTTCTCTGGCTGGGAAAAGTAGAAGGACGAGTGGTTGACATCCTGACGCTTTCTGGGCTGGAAAAACGACGAAATGCCTTTAGGGCGTTTAGCAGGTCGTGGAGCAGGAGGTACCTTAGCCTTCTTTCCACTTAGACAATCGTCAATATGGCTTCTCTGGAGGAATTCGGCAGTCATGCTTTGGCCACAGACAGGACACTGGACATGGTCAGCAGGGATCTTGTCAGGCCTGGAATCTTCGTCCGACACTTCTATAACCTCGGGTTCGGATGTCGATTCTGTAGATCTGACCGGAGCCGGTTCAGTCGGTTCATCTGCCTTGAGCTGATCCAAGAGCTCTGGTCGTAGTCTCTCGAAACACAATACTATCTCCTCAAGAAGGATATTCCGCTTTAAATTACTTTCAAACTGCTCTGTTTTACATAATGGACACAGGTTCTCGGCCATAAGATGCTGTCTGATGCACTGGGAGCAGAAAGTGTGGTTGCACGATGTGATCACTGGAGCTTTTAGGAGATCTTTGCAGATCAAGCAACGCTGGAGAGAGTCCAACTGGCTGAGACGCGGTAGTTTTGACGCCTCCCAGTCGGACGGGTCGGAATGCTTGTTGCTCATAAGGAGCGATCTATTTATAAGGGTATTTGCTTAGTGGAGCACTGGTGGTTTTTCACATCGCGTATCGCGGTGCCATCGTAGTAACTCATATCGGTGGATCCAGTGCAGGAGATAAGTTGGGTGCAAAACGCACCCTCACCGTTCTAATTAAAATGCTTGTTTTTAAAGCTCGTCGTGGGCGGCGGCAGTAGCGGATGACTTGAGGGAGCTGACTTCGGAGGAAAGCTGGGACATGGCTTCACTAAGGAGCTCGGTTGTTGTGGACACAGACTGGGGTTCCTCCTCTGCACTCTGAGAGGCAGACTGGTAGGATTCGATGGATGGAGCATCTTCAGACGAGGAGGCGGTAGAGGCAGCTTCTTTAGCTGAAGAAGTTTCTGTCTGAATGCTTTCTGAAACAGATGACTCCGATTTCTCAGACACCTTCGACTCAGCGGAGGATTTGACTGGCTCGGATGACGCCTGAACAGACTCCTCAGCTGGAGCAGGAGACTCCACAATAGGCTCGGATTCTGAATCGATGATAGATGAGCCAGCAGGCTCCACGGGTTCAATGTTTGATGAAACAACGGGCTCCTCGATGATAGAAGATGCAGAAGGTTCCACGGGCTCAACGTTTGATGAAGCAACTGGCTCCTCGACGGACAGAACAACTGGTTCCTCGACGGACTGAGCTACAGGTTCTTCAATGGACTCAGCAATAGGCTCAGTGGACACTTCACTTTCTTGCTCGATAGCTGGTCCCTCACTAGGCTCATTGGAGGTTTCACTGACTGATTCAGCAGTGGTAACATCCAGAGTCTCATTAGTGGGCTCCGAGGAAGGTTCAGCGACCTGCTCAGTCTCGATGGTTGATTCGCTTTCGGGTGCAACGTCAGAGGCGGTAGAGCTAGTTTCCGTTGGGAGCTCCAGAGAGACTTCAGAATCCTCAACCTCCACTGTCGCAGAGTCTTCAACCTCCTTAATGACTTCTTGCTCACTAGGCTGCTCAATTGGCTCCTCGACGGGAACATCAGGGGTCGAGCTGTTCACTTCCTCCACTGCTGGCTCAACAATTTCAGGAGACTCGACCTCCTCGACGGAGACACTCTCTTCTGCGACCTCCTCAACAGGGTCCTCCACAGGCTCAGATGCAACAGAACTCTCGCTGCTTGAGATCTCGGTTTCCTGCTCGAGAGACTCCTCAGTTGGTTCCGGGATTTCTGCTTCAGCTACCTCTGGTGCATCAAGAGATATCTCTGGCTGTTCAGCTTCGACATTCTCAGCTTCTTCAACATTGTTCAAAGATACTTCAGGCACACCAGTTGAAACAGTCTCAGGGGTTATCTCTTCCTCTACGACAACTTCAGGCTCCGCATTCTCAAAAGCGGCCTCCTCCGTTGGAACATCCTCGACTTCACCCTCGACGGGAATGTTGGTAGGTTCCGGAACCTCACCGACGTCTTCCAAAACGGTGCCAGCGAAAGACTCTGGCTCTTCAGCAACAGACTCTGGCTCTTCAGCAACAGACTCTGGCTGCTGCTCGGATTCTTCAACAGGTGGGGTTTCTAAAGAGGGCTCATTGACACTGGATTCCGACTCGACAGGCTCATCTTGCGAGGTCACGTCAGTCTCGACCGCTTGGTCTTCAGTTGACTCAGTCTCTTGAGCCTCAGGGTCTATAGTTTCGATGGACAGTGGTTCCTCGTCAGGCACAGCAGTGTCTAAGGTACTAATCTCAAGTGTCACAGCTTCACTTATAATAGAGTCAGTGTCGATTTCGCCTTCGGCGTTCGTGAGGTGGTCGACAGCCTTGGTAACTTCTGAGACAATGTCATTAAGGGTATCATTTGGCTGTGCTGCGGTAGAGGTAGTCTCAGTTTGCACCAAATTCTCGGGCTTGTCTTCCCAGTCGGTCATGGTGAAAAATTGTTTGGTATCATCACCATCATCAAGCTTGTCACGGTTGAGTTTTTCCTTGATCAAGTCAAGACCGTAAGCCGACTTGTCCTTAAGCACCTCGTATCCAATTTTACCATACACCTGGGCCTTGTCGTAGTATTCGCTGCCGTACTTTTGAGACAACTCGAGGGCCACCTTACCGTATACCTGGGCTTTGTCGTAGACCTGTCCTCCATGTTTCTTGGAGAGATCCACGTAATGGTCAATGGGGCCAATATGCTGCTCGAGCAACTGGATGTATTGGTCAAGCTGACCCGCCTGAAGGGCTTGCTGAAGGAAGATTCCAGCAGCGATGACAAAGAAGAACATTAAGAGTTTGAAGAACGACCACACAAAAGAGGATCCCTTGGCAAAATTAGGAGGGATGGGCATGACGTTCAAGGTTTGGGAAGCACTTCCGGAGGCTAACTTCGTGCCGCTAGGCGAGAAGCTCAAACTGGTAAGCGCAAACTGATGCAATTTTGGTACGGTGGAGATCACCTTTAAGTCAGACAATCGAAGGAAAGTGACGCAAATATCGTTGCCAGCCAAGGCAATGAGGTTTTGGGGAACAGACACGTCCATGGCGACCACCAATACGTTTTTCTTTGTCACAAGAGACTCCTGGACGACTTTGTGGTTAACAATGTCGTAACGTAAGATGCCAGTGCCTTTACCGTTCTTCAGGGCGCCTGTCACAACAATATTGGTATCTGAAATGAAGCGCATCTTCGAGAGATTGTACTTGGCCAAAACCTTGATAGACTTCTTGTCGGCCTGAGCAGACGTGGACTCCGGTCTACCAGTGGCTGTGCTGATCACCTCAATGGTGGATGAGGTCACAAGACACAACGACTTACCGTTATCCTGGCTAACCTGAAAGTCTTTGACCTCTCCCTCGGTGGAAGCACGTATTTTTGCCACCAATTCCAAACTGTCAGGTCTAAAGATCGACACTTCAGACGGTAAGTGGGATGTCATGAAAGCACCAATTTCACTCTCTGGAGACATGCTGATGATCTTTGGGTATTCGCCCACCGACTCTGCCAGCACAGCGTTTTCATATTGCACAGCGTCCAAGAATCGTAAGTGCTCCTCGTCGCTGAACCCATACTTTCTCAAGTTGTTGTTCACGTTCATGTTTTTGATCAACGCCGTAGACTGGTTGCATCCAACGAAGATGTTATTCTTGTTACCGTCGTCGCCAATGGTCCTTGCAGCGTCAACACACATAGGTGAATCCTCATTTGGCGGCAACGTGATCTCACGGTATTTTTGTAATCTTCTGTTCTGGTCTTTCACCTTCAAACTGCATTTGACTGCTGTGATCTTATTAGGAACGCCATTATTGCCTTCTCCACCGCCGCCCACGGCCAAAACGGTCTTATTATCAATAAACTTGATGCCGAATATCGGGTAGCCAGTATTCAATACGGCTGCTTTTTTGGCGGACATTGAGTTTAGCGAGTGTTTTGGGTTTTGGTTTGGTGATGTAGAGAGCGACGTTGCAGACTTGGACCCGCACCCGTACACCCCGAAACAAGGCATCCTACTACAAGTTCCAACGCCTTCCGAAATTGGGGAAAATAATTTTTATTTTATTTTGAAGCAGAAAGAGTCTCTGGGAAATTGGAAGGGGTTCTGGGCCACTTTTGTATTGGTATCACGTGCAGACCTACTAATCCAGCGGTGAGCATTGGACCAACTACTCATGGAGACCTTAGAGACAAAACTGCTTCTATCAGTGTCGCTGCACGTGGCCCATGGGTTTGTTGGCAACAGAAGCGTGGTTTTTCCTTTGCAGTATCTAGGATGGGACGTGGATGCTATAAATACCACTGATTTCCTGAACCACCCAGGATACGGTACGTTTGCCGGACGGAAGTCTGATCCCAACACCATTGATGAATTATTCAAGGGTCTTAGGCGAATTGAGGACATAAAAAATCCATATAAGGCTGCTTTGGTCGGATACTGCCCCAGTGCAGGCATGTTGAAGGTGGTATACGATCATATAGAGCAGCTCAAGAAGGCCAATCCAGAGATGATGATTATGGTGGATCCCGTTTTGGGCGATAATGGCCGTCTTTATGTTCCAGAAGAGGTGGTGCCTATCCATGAGGCATTTTTGAAGAAAGGCTTGGTCAGTTTGATGACCCCAAACCAGTTTGAGTTGGAGCTTCTCACGGGTATAAAGATAGACAATCGGGATTCTGTTGAGAAGGCATTGAGAGAGTTCAACAGAATCTATAAGGTTCCGTATGTGGTGCTTTCGTCCATCACGTTGGACGACAAAATGGCTTCATTTGCATTGGCCCAGAAGGACGACACAGTGGAGATATTCTCTGTTGACATTCGCAGAATTGAGTGCTCCTTCAACGGCTGTGGCGATGTGTTTGCGGCTCTTCTTACTCACGAAGTCAACAAGAATCAGGGTGTTCTTTCACTGACCGTTTTACGTACTGTGGTCGCCAAAATGAGCAAAATCCTTGACATCAGTTACCGGGTTGAGGAGCAAAAGACAGGAAAGGTGCCCACGGCCGTGAAGGATATTGCTCTTGTCGCTCTGCGGCACGTCTTTGAAATGTCGTTTGAGTGATGTTCAAGGACAGTTTAGACGTTTAAAAGTACATAGACTTGTCGACGTGCCAGTGGCATTCTGAAATCGACAGATATAACATTTTAGATTCCTAAATGAAGTAGTAAATGGGAATTAGACAGAGTGGTACACAAGCTTCTTGGCAATTGTCGGTTTACAGAATCTGGATTGCATTTCATGTATGTCCTATGGTAGAATGCACTTCATGTATGTCCTATGGTAGAATGCACTTCATGAGCCTATCTATAATAACGTCGGTCAACAGAGGACAATACAGTCACAGAACTGAATATCGTAAGAAGCCAATTCAGGAAAATGGAATAGCGTCAAATCGAAACTTTCTTGACCTACCACCTTATAATCCAGAGCTTGGGGTATGGAAATTATTTCGCAGCCATTTTGATGCACTGTCAAGGCCACCACATGAGCCTTCTGGACCTTCCTGCGACCGAATATAGTAACTTTAAACTCCACGAAAAAAGAAAGAAATTGAAGGTCCACCAAATTCGAATTTTAAAATTCCGGGATTTACACTTTGTTGGGCACGGTGTACAGTGGCTGTCATACACGGTAGTTGCGTGCACTCCGATAAGAACTCCAACTACACTTATCTCAGCATGTTCAGCGAAAAGCAACCCCTACAGCGAAGCAATACAAAATTTAGAATATTCAAAGGAGTCATCCACATTCTTATTGCTGGAGCCCTCCTCATATACCTTTACAGGCTTTTTGATACAGTTCCTGAGCCACAGCCTTCCGTGGGGGCGATTCTTGAACCTGAGAGATCGTCTCAGTTCCGTCTCAAGCATGTGTTTCACCACGGAGCGGGTAAATATAATAAGATCCACCGTCGTTTGGACGTGACGCCTGAAGTGTTGGAAAATCGCCAGTGGAAAGTCCAACATACGCCGGAGAAACCGGTTGACCCAAACAACGCTGATTCCGTGCTAGCATCGGAGGAACCATCCAAGCTCTTTAAAGAGAGAGACCCGTGGACAGCAGAACTCCAGATCAAGACAGCAGAGAAACCAGCTCGGCTCAAGAGACTCAAGGAGCGTCACACACCGCATTTTCTAGATTCCTATCTCCAATACGCCATGGAGGTCAAGGGCAACCCACAGAAGCTTAACCGAATTGGGCTTGAGTGGGAGCCAGAGCAAGACGTTTTGCTTCCAGATGTCGAAGACAAGGACTCGGTCGTGGCGCTTGCCCTTATCTCTTCGAACGCTTACGTGAGATTACCTTTGAGTGACGACGAGAAGGATAAGCTGGACTGGATAGACGTCGGCGATCCGTGGGACGTGGACGAGGAGAACCCAGACATTAACTTTGGCTGGCTTGAGGATGGACTCAGAGGGCATGTCTTTGTCAGCAATGACTCTAAGACTGTGGTTATTGGCATAAAGGGCACATCCGGAGCTGGTCTCCCGGGAGGAGGCTCGGACGAAACTTCGGGTAACGACAAGACCAACGACAATCTTTTGTTCTCGTGCTGCTGTGCCAGAGTGGGGTACATGTGGACTACGGTGTGTGACTGCTACGAAAAGACATACACTTGCAACCAGGACTGTCTTGAGAAAGAGCTTCTACGCCAGGACAGGTACTACCAGGCAGCATTGGATTTGTACCGTAACGTGACCAAGTTGTACCCTCCTGAGGGCCACGACATTTGGGTTACTGGGCATTCGTTAGGTGGAGCTGTGGCTTCGCTTCTCGGTAGAACATATGGTCTTCCTGTTGTGGCCTTTGAAGCACCTGGCGAGATGTTAGCCACCAAACGTCTTCATCTTCCCCAACCCCCAGGAATTCCTAAGCACATGGAGCACATCTGGCATTTTGGCAATACTGCTGATCCTATCTTTATGGGCGTTTGCAACGGCGCCTCCTCGTCATGCTCTGTGGCAGGGTATGCAATGGAAACCGCATGCCACACGGGTAAGCTTTGTGTCTACGATGTGGTTGGCGACCTAGGCTGGCATGTCAATTTGTTGAACCACCGTATTCACACCGTCATTGACGAAATCATCCTCAAGTACAACAAGACGGCTACGTGCGTGGATCAGCCGCCGTGCCGAGACTGCTTCAACTGGCGATACATCAGTAAAGACGACAACGAGCCGGATGAACCTAGACTTCCTCATCCGCTCAAACCCAAACCACCAAAGTCAAGCTCCACACAGAGCTCGACGCCTACAGCTACTAGCACACCTACCGAAAGCGAAAAGCCCAAGAAGTGTCTTGAGCGGACGTGGTACGGCTGGTGCAAGAAGTGGGAAGGTGATGAGGATTAGACTAGCCAAAAGTGTTGGTTATTCTCATATTGCGTTCTGCAATTTCAGTAGTGACGAGGTCGTGCCGAGGTGCGGAAAGTTGAGCCGTGCTTGCCTTCGGTGGAATGAGCAGCTGCAGAGCTACAGGAAGGTCAAGATAACAACAACAGGGAGGCCTTTGATGATGGTGTTGGTGAAAGACGTTTTGAAACCACAAAGCAAGCAGAGTTAAAAAATGGTTTGTAACAGACGAGCAGCCAAGCCTAAATTTCACCTTGGGTATCAAACACAGCCGGACCATCAGCAATTAGACCCGGCAGCAGTTCCGGAGGCTTGCTTGAGGCTGCGCATTCCCACCGCACATGACTGGTGGTGATGCCCACCTACACCCTTCCGGCTGTAGACCAAGGAGGGGAAACTTCATTTTTTCTACAAAAACGTTGCACGGCTGGACCACGGCCAAAGCTTAAAGACATGTCATTGACGAGGCGGTTCTTGATGCGCAAGCATAGCGCTGATCGAGCGTAAAGAAGGAAATGGTTGCGAAAAAACGCAAGCAGAATGCGAGGAAGCTTCGCGCAGTGACGTAACGGGCAATGCCCAAATAAAGGAAGTGCAATGAAAGAGACAGGCAACGGCGGCGTTAAAACCGAAACCATCTGGATCTAGCAAGCGATCTAGAAAATGGGAAATGCGGGCCGCCCCTCCCTCGTGGACAAGCCGGTTGACGAAGGTTGTCTTGGCCCCCCGATTATACCCAACCACTCCGCAGTGAACGGCTGCAAGCAACTGACCTTTGTCCGTGAAGGCACGTCTGTGACGTTTCAACAAGAATACGGGACGTTGCGGCAGGCCAATGACTTGCCCAAAAAGTTGCAAATGACGCTCGGCATGATTACACAGAAAACCAGAGCAAGGCTTCCAACAGCCCCAGGCGGGCGCGCAGAAGCCTCGGGGCACGAGCACAAGATACATACAAAAAATCGGTGACCTGCCTCATCCGGCGTCAGATGTTTTGACGCATTGAGAGAAATAACCGCCGCATTGGGTCAATTGCCAAACATTCTTCCTGCAGAATCTCACCTTCCTTGCTACCGGGTGTCGGCCACCGCAGGCCATGCAACGCTTCATGAATATCAATCGCTATACTTAGTGGAACTGCCGTTTCAATTTTCAGGTAAAATTATCCCCTCCAGACCACCCGGATCTGGCTGAGCCTTGCGGTCACCTTTAGCAATAAATGCATTGCGAAGAAATAAGCGCAGGATCCGCACTGGGCACAGGGTTGGGGGACTGCTGGGGCTGCGCACGCTGCAGGACAACGCTTGTCAAGTCATTCCCATACTGCTTCCTTTGCCGGGCCTTAAATACTTTCTCACATCTCCCGCACTTTTGCTTTTTCAGGGAAACTACTTTTTCTTCTTTTCAGATAACCCGCCAAGTGTGCCCAACAGAAGGTCCGTCAATTGACTTGCAACCAAGCTACTCGGCCTTTATCCCCACCCACCCACCTACACTTATTTCAGGCATTGTTTTTCCTTCGTTGAAGAGCAACCAACAAAAACAGAAGACTTTTCCTTCTTTCCACTAATATTCCAAAATGCTCAGAGTTCTCGGTACTTTCACCAACCTTTTCTTGTTGGCCGGTACTACCCTCTTGTTGGTTTTCATCGTTTTGGGCGGTGCCGTGAACCACTTCCCATTCAAGAAGTTTGACTGGATTAGCGTTGACACCTCCAGCATCCTGGGTGCTTACGACCAGTCCAAGTGGTTCTTCTGGGGTGTCTGTGACGCTAACGACCTCAGCAGATGTCACCTTGGTCCTGCTTACCCACTCTCGCCAAACAGAAACTTCGGCACTGAGCTGGGTGTCCCACAGGACTTCATTAAGGATGACTCCACCTACTACTACTTGTCGAGATTCAGCTTCGCCTTTTTCATTATTGGTTTTGTTTTCACTGGTCTCGCTTTCTTGGTTGATGTCGCTGGCTTCTGCTTCGACTTCGTTGAGAGAATTGTCATCATCTTGGTCACTTTTGCCCTCTTCTTCATTGCCGGTTTCGCCGCATTCCAGACTTCCGTGACCGTCTTGGCTAGAAACGCTTTCAAAGACGAGGGTTACTCTGCTAAATTGGGTGTCCAGGGTTTTGCCATTATGTGGACTGCCGTTGCTTGTTTGGCCATCATCTGGTTCATTACCTGCGCCAACAACATTGCTGCTTCTTACAAGAAGCACATTGCAAACGTGCGTGGCTCTGATGGCTACTACCAGCAGCAGCAGCCTCACGAGGACGGCGAGCTTGCTGACGACTCGTCCTTCACCAGATCCGTTCCTGTGGAGAAGGATGCCAACACCGGCAGCGGTGGTATTCGTTTCTTCAGAATCAAGAGAAACCAAAAGCCCTCCGACGAAGAGAGTGTCTAATTTGGCAGTGCCCGTGTAGGGCGCTTCGCATACCCTGCTCCTTCATCGGTCGGGTGACTCTTGTTAGTCACATTCGAGCCGCCCGGCTGCTAAATATGTGATTTGTTGATTTTGATACCGTTTAGTGTAATATACAAGTAATCGAAGATTTGTTTTTTGTAAGCCCCCTACGGGACTCATTATCCCAAATGGGTAATATTACGTTAAGCCGTGGTTTGGTTGCTAGCAAGGCTGATCCACCTGTGAACAGCCGTTTGCAGCCAATAGTATGTAACCCAATTTGCACATCAGGCCATACAAGAAGGGTGATTCTGGAACACCCTTCAATGGTCATGGAAGCGCCTTGTCTGCCTTACAATGGCGGCCCCACATCGGGCTTCTCTTTTAAGGGCCTACACTAGGAATTGGAAAATAGTACCTACTAAGTCTGTTGAGGTGACCCAGTGACTGAAGCAGAGGGTCTTATTTTATTCTTCCTTGCTTGGCTGCGACAAAGCTTTCCGACTACAAGAGAGCCCCAGTTGCCTCGTAAACAAGAATCAATGGAAATGAAGGAATTTCCGTCCTTTGAAAAATCGTCTCTCAAAAAACCCCTTAAATGGGCTTTGGCAGGCCGACGCACCGAAGGTTACGCAATATTCCTCCGCAGCCACGACGCTGGGGCCCTATCAAGGAGGCTCAAGTTCAAAGCAATTTGTCCAAACAATGACGAGAAGAAACGAAAAGAAGGAAAGAGGCTTTGGTTTTTCCGTAGGCAAACTCAACCTTTTTTTTTTATTGTTCCTGGTATTTTAGGTTGGCGCCGCCAGCTCCGTTTTGGGTTTCGCCTGAATCCATCCACACGGTTGCGAAACGCTCCATCAATCAGCCCATGTGGCCGGCTTGAGTTTTTCCGAACAATGAAACAAAAAAACACAAATACTGGTTGGCGATTTATCAAACTGATAGATCCCGAAAACAACTCCGTGGCCTTTCTTTATTGTGCCCCTCGTCCCCTATTCTGTAGCACCTGCCCCACCTGAACTGTTGCGTTCAACACTCCATACACTTATACTGAAGAATGTAGCACAAGGCCAAGCTCCCAAACCAAGGTTCCTTGATCCTCTCAAATACCCCAACAAAACTGATAAAATCCCTTAAAGTCTATTTGCCAAGCGCCGGCGTGGGTTTCCTGGACTAAGGTGCCCCTCAGGTCCTGTACTACACCCATTCGCAATTAAGCTCTACTCTTCTATTCCTAGGTTACATCGCTACATGACAGAAAAACACAACTTGAAGAGCCTATTCCATAGAGAAAAGAAGGCGGATCACGGCCACCACGGCATCTCTCGCTTGTTCCATCACGACAAGAAGAAAGGCCTGCCTGAGCCGTCGGACAAGACTTCCTCAGACTCCTCCAAGGTCTCCAGAACCCCATCGGCGATCCTGTTGAGACGCCTGGATCTGAACGCCCAGCGGGAAAGACTACTAAAACAAGAGCAGCCACAGAACCGCCCAATTAGAAGAGCAGAGACGTTTGCCCATGCTCCGCTGCCCAAGTTGGGGATCAGCAAGAAGAACTCCTTCAATGGCCAGCACCCGGGCCCCGGGAACCACCATGAGAAAATCAAGTACAACCCTTACGGCATGATCAAAAACCCGCTGGACCAGGTACCTCATTCGGCGCTGTTTTACTTGAAGGGCGGGCCCGAAAGCGGCTTGAGGGTGCCTGCCAATCCGGTAGCAAACCCGAACGACTACTTGCCCGAGGAATTGCACGAAAACCACATAAATTTCCTTGACGACTTTGAGTTCGAGACCGATGTCCACAAACTCGGCGACGGCGGCTCTGCTGACGTTCGAACCGTCCAGCTCGCAGGCAACAAGAAGAAGGTCTATGCGCTTAAGAAACTCACCATGTTCCCCAAGGAGACGGACGAGGAGTTTTATAAGAGGGCTGCAAAGGAGTATATCATCTCCCGCCACATTGCCGAGCTGAGGCATGTCGTCAATACCGTGGCTATCTTGCGTCTACAATCCCAGGGAAGCATGACTCGTGGCTGGGGTATCATCATGGAATTGTGTCAAGGAGGCGATCTCTTCAACCAGATCGTCAAGCCCGGCTGGAAGCGCTCGCTGATGTCCGAGAGATACTGTCTATTCAAACAAGTTGCATTTGGTCTAAAATTCTTGCACGACAAGGACATTGTTCACAGGGACTTGAAGCCCGAGAACGTTTTGTTGGACTGTCACGGCGTCGCCAAGCTCTGTGATTTTGGTGTCAGTGACTGGGGCCATGAAGAGCCCATGAACTTTGACTCGCCGATTAAAAAATCCACCGCGTACGTGGGATCTCCGCCATACTCTCCTCCAGAGGTCATGAAGCTCAAGGACGCTAGCTCCTCGGAAAAGAGCTCTCTCGCTTATGATCCGTTCAAGATGGACGCTTGGGGACTTGGAATGCTTCTATTCTGCATGGTCTACGCTGGTGTGCCGTTCCAGCAGTCTAGTCTTCTGGACAACCAGTTCAGGGATTACAAGTTCAATAGAGACAGATTCTGCTCCGACCACCCACTGTTCAAGAACAATACAGAATATGCAAGAGGCCCAGGCAGTGAATTTAAATGGGCTGCTAAGTTCGAACACAATGGTGCCGCCAGAGCTGCTTGGAAGCTTTGTGACCCTAAGGTTGAGACAAGATACGACCTCGATTTATTGCTTAATGATCCTTGGTTTTCTGGTCTTGAGATGTGCATTTACGAGCACCCAGATCAATTCGTGAATCCATTCATCAACGGCACAGGCGCTCCATCGTCATCAAACTCATCTGTCCACGCCCCATCCGCTACAACTTCTAGAAAGAACACGTCATACGGCCAGAATGATGAAGAGAGTGTTGGAATGCACACACCAATTAGAAGTATGTTGGATATGGCAGGCTTGCAGCAGAATGACGATACCGCTTCCATCAAGTCCAGCTCACTGTTGCACAATGCAAACAAAGATGATAGGGTCTTGAAAAATAGAGGAAGCAGCGAGACGTCGCTTCACACCGTCTCGTCTGCTGGATCAAACAGCAAATTGAAATCAATGTGTGATATCGGCGGTAACGATAAGAATACCTTGCCGCGGGTAGCCGAGGCAGAGCATGAGGACGTCAAGTCTCCATTGCCAGCAGTACACGAGAATGATGACGCCAATGCACCATTACCAGCGGTGCAAGAAACCGAAGGTACTGCGGATGACAAGCCGCTGAATGGAAAGGGCGAAAAGGGTGCCGAAGACGGGTTCCAAGACAGTCTTGACCAGTTTGATCAGCTTCAACTCAATGGTGAGGCCAAGCCCAAGGCAGCTGAAAAAAATGAAGCCTACAGCGTCACAAACGACGGGAGAGGAGAATGAGAAGGCGAACTTCTTCAGAGATAAGGTGCTTCATGACAGTGATGACTTGAAGCTCGATAACCAAGGGTGCTGCGAGTTGGGATACAAGATCAAAAAGCACCACCATCTTGATATCAGTGCCGCCAAAGCCAAGCGATAAACAGTTAATAGTAATGTGATCTAACGACGGTTGGGCATGCCCGAGTAGAAACTACTGATCGAATCAATGATTATTGTATTCGTTACGTCAACCCGGATTATACAGAACTATTTAGGCCTCCAAAGCAACTCTACCCTTAGGGTTGGTGACCTTGACACCCAAAGACTTGGCCTTGGTAACAATCTCAACTCTGTTCTTAGAAGAGACATTGTGGGCGATCTCAGCAGCGTGAGTCTTGGTGTGCATCAACAAAGCGTCCAAGTCACCGGTGTTTCTGACGAGGTAGACCTTGTAACCTTGTGGGTTCAAGAACTTGGTCTTCTTGTTGGAACCGTAACCGATGTTTGGCTGACGGATGGTGCCTCTGAATCTTCTTCTGACACAAGAGTCAATACCCTTCTGCTTTCTCCAGTTCTCGGCAACTCTGTCATATCTGTCAGAGTGATGTCTCTTGAACTTCTTGGTGTACTTCTTAACAATCTTGACAGAGGACACTGGCGGTTAGTATATTTTTCACTTGGGGGATCATTTGGGGCTAGACGGATATGGAGCGGTGGGAGCTTTTCAGGATTGGAAACTGATGGAGATAAATTCTGCTTTGTTTGCTGATATCGTGTGTGCCCTTTGTTCATTCAACATACTTTTGAAGTGTTGTCAGTAGCTGTAGAAAAGGAATCCTAAGACGGTAGGTTTAAAATTTTTCCCTGGGCATCCAGCGAGCGCTGCACTGGGGACGCACAGTAGAGAGAGTGCCATGTGTGCAGGAAGAAAAGGTCCTTAGTATGGCGCGGTGGCTAGGTCTGAGCCCTAGGTTGTGACACGTGATCAACCAAGGCAGTCAAGGTGGGCATGAGCGGTGCCAAATGGATTAGGTGATGGAGAAGTAGTGGTGTGAAGTAGTATCTTTGAGTTTGATTGGAGAGCTCGTATTTGACAGGATATCAGTTTGACAAATGCTCGATTTTACTTTGAAGTGGTGTGTCAGTACATCTACTATGGCTGCGAAATATAGTAGGTAGGCAAGTGTGATGATGCAACCAAAAGCTTAACTTACAAAGAAACCTTGAGTCGTTTTTTCAGAAATTACAAATGTCAAGGATGAAGTAGGGAAAGGTTGGTGCAGATCGCAAATCAGTTGGTACCCCAAATGTCCATACTGGTGCCTCTACACTAGGTTGCTGGACCAATTAAAGCACCGGAACAAGAGCCAGTATTACCCTCAGTACAAATGAGAATTCGGGTTGAAAAGACTCATTCAAGTGACCTCAAAAATACTTCTGTTTTTTCCAGGTGACTTCAGGAAGATCAATTGACCCGAAGCATTACAGAACATCCCTTCATGAGTCTCCACCCACTTCATCTCCCAATTATTAGCAACCCTTGTAATTAAGTAGGCATTTCATCAACTATTCCACAAAACCGGTGACCGCAACCACTAGTACACACAAAACGCCGGACTCTCCGCATAACCTCGATGTCTCATTTGATTGCTTCTCTAAATTCCACTCTACACTAAACCTCCCCTTGACCCCTTGTACCTAAAAGAATAATCTCTCTACAAATCTCTCCAAACCAGCTGCATGTGTTACCGAGATCGATCCTCCTTGCATCTCGAGACCCTTGTCCTGACAATCACTCACCCCACCTCAGTCAAGCCTTTTGGGATGCTCCTTGGACCAAATTAGCGCTTCCACTTCTGTAACCTAAACTCTCCAATTCAATCAAATTCCCTACTAAGCCACCCTAAACCCGCCCAACTTGCCAGATTTTCAAATCCTAATTGACGAAGCTCACATTCCCCTCCACATCAATACACCTCTTTGCCATATCGGGTCCTTAGTCTCACTATCCACCCCGGTTTCTGCGCAAGCCGCTCAAATATGCACGAACACATTTAGCGAGAAGACATCTCTCCAGCCATACCCCGGTATAAATAGCCACACATGGCCGGTAGAAAAAAAACTAATTTGACTAGCGGCCAAGCCGAGATCCATTGACTCTTTTTCGAAACCCCTCTTTCCCTAATTGTGTCTGCCATAGGTGGCTGTCTCGGAGTCCCAATTTGCTGGATGGTAAACACTGACTCTCTGCACACTCCCAGCATACCAACTCTAAAAGCAAAGCCTCAATACCAACTTCTTATCAGCGAAGCTACTTTTCACCATTTTCAACACGCTGGCCGAAATCCAATTTTTCCAGCTGATGCACCCGATTCTCTACTGGGCCACTGCGGCAGTAGCTTCTTGGGTTGCTTTCTGGCTTGTGGTCTACTACCTCTTTGGAGGCTGGTTGGGCTACATCTCCATCAATAATGGTATATCCTTCAACCACATACGGCTCAAGACGAGGAAAGTCGACCTCTCGGCGAATACCGTGCGTTTCAGGCTCTGGGGAAACTCCAAAAGGATCATTGTTTCAGATCTACGGGCTGAAATCCTCCCGAGTAGCAGCCCTAGAAAGAGCAAGCCTAAGGGGTCAACCAGCTCGTCCGAAAGCAGTCCGGACCCCATTTCCATCCTCCCGAGATACTTCAGATGGCTCTTCCGTTTCCTCCTATGGCACCTTCCTTCGGTTGCTATCGAATTGAAACTGTCCCAATTGGTGCTCTCCAAGGATACCGTGGACTTGGATTCCCTTCTATTCGTCTTGAGGAGGAAGAAGGCCCCTAATAGAAAAGACTTTCTCCGGTTGATCTTGGAGGTCTCGGGCCACAGCATCTTCTCCTCGCCAACATCAGCATCTTCCTTGGTGCCTCCATTGTCCATTGGCACCTTTAACATCACCAGCAAGACCATTGTTGACACATCCAGTGGTATCTTGAGCAACTCCGTGATGCAATTCTACTTGGACAACTCAGAAATTGGTGCTTTCCAAATCTTGAGACACCTTTTCCAGGAGGTCACCGAAAGTCCACATCCACCCCCTCCGAAGCAGCAGTCAGAACCAAAGGAGGCCCAGCTACAAGAGCTTGTGGACAAGCTTTCCAGAACATACCAGAAAATCTCCGGCTTGGTCAAGGAGGTTTCCCTCAATATCTGCAATTCCCGTGTTTTGGGTATTCCTTGCATTCCAACTTCCTCCACCTGTGACTTAGACGAGTACTTCTCCCATGTTGATCCACCCACATCATTCTCCGTTTCCGTCAAGTCTGTTGCTGTCCAGGCCACGCTTCTCACAGACAATGCTGCTGGCTTCATGGCCTTGTTCAACAACAAAAGCGATCGACCATTGCATCTCACAGCCTCTGTGGTTTTGCTTCAGCTGTTCTTCGTAACACGCAAGTACGACAAATCCGCAGACCTCTGGCACTCGGAAATCGACGAATTCCTCAACATACCCAATCTCAGTTGCACCCTCAAGACGAATTTCCTTGACCACTTGGCCAGAGGGTTAGGTTTCAAGGACTGCTCAATGGAATTCTATTCATCCGTCAGTAACCCAATTGTGGATCTCAGTGTGAGCCAAATTTCATTACTTTCATACAACCGTGTCTTGGCCAAGAAGGTGATGATTCTCAGGAAGTTGAAGAAGAAGCAGCATGAACCCTCTCACTCCCGAAAACAATCCAAGTCAGAGAACGAAACTGATGATGACAATAAATCCACTACAGAGTCTCCAGAAACACCCGTCGCTCACAAGTTCGATGGTCTATACAAGGCTCACCAGGCTCCACCAACAACATTACTCGATAAAGCTGTGAGCTTACTAAACGAATACTACCCGCAAATCGGTGTCAAGTGTGCAATCGAACAACCACAATATGTCGTTCGTTTGGACGGAGAGGAAGTGAAACTAATTGACATTTCCTATTCTTTGATGTACTTCCATTTGCTCACGACTCCTAATAATGATTACGACGCTAAATGTCATGTGCTCCATCCATGTCTCAAATATTCACAGAAGATCGATGTTCCTGAAGGTGACGAAAACCCTCGACTCAGCGAAGAGGTTATTGGCTGCAATAACGCCGAGCTCCTGTTCCATGTTCTCAAGAACCTTCGTTGGAAGGTGTCTGCATTGGCAGAAAACGCGTTCATCAATTTAGCCAAACCTGACGTTCTCAACGGTATCAACGAAATTGTTTCCAGAATGACAAAGATCTCGTTTGAGAACCTCGAGAATGGTTCAGTGAACCAGTTCTTCAACAAGCGTCTTTTAGAAGATTTTGGAGCTGAACCATCAAAACCTTCTCTGCTGTCTCATCATCACCACAGTCACAAACAGTCTTCCATTGACAAGCTCTACAAAAATCTTCCATCATGGTTTGTTTCCGCAGATGTCGAACTTAAGGGCCTCAAGGCTGTGCTTGGTTCTACATCTCCACTTCTACCACCGGAGTTGATTGCTGAGCTTTCAAAGAAATCAGAGGCTCTCATGTGTGACTCTGACCAGCTCATAGAGCTCAAGATCGAACATCATTCCATCAACATAATCAACGATCAAGATGCTGAAGCTCATGCTTATACAGATGAGAACAACTCAGACTCACTGGAAACTCTAGCATTCGAAGATCTGAACTTGATGTACTGGAAGGTTCTGGCTGGCCTCAAAAACTTCCAGCTTTTTGCTAAGAGGAGGAAGACCAAGGACACCCCATTGCTTACTCTTGACAATATTGAGACATCGTTGTCTGCAATTAACCGTGATGAAGTCAATGAATTGGTGCTCGACAACAACATCGGAGAGATTGGCGGTACTATTGACAGGACCAAGGTGTTCACAGTTCTTGGTCTGATTCATTTGATCTTGCAAACTATTGTTATTCCGGTCAAGAATGTAAGATCTCAAATCAACAAGGATTTGGAGAAGTTTGAGAGGTACGAGAGACGTCAAAGTGTTTCTGAAGGATCCAAGAAGGTGACTGTTCTGTTGAACCTCAAGAAGATCAACTACATTGCTAATCTTTCTGACGAGTTCAAGCTTCGTCTTCAAGCATTCGATATGAATGTCGTCTCGAGAAACAAGGTGACAAACATCAATCTCTTTTTCGTGAGACTTCTTGCGGATTCACCTAGATTCAAGAACATGTGGTGCAGACTTGGTTGTGTCGATTCTGTCGATATCAAGTTGAACGATCCCAATGAGGCAGAAAAGATTGCGATATCCGCATCTCATCTTCGCTTTTTCCAGCCTGATGGGTTTGTGGCATACAAGCTTTTCGACAATATCTCCATCTTCCTCAAGATCATCAAGCACCTCGTCAAATGTCTCAAGGCTTCTGAGAAAACAACCATCATCTATCCAAACGAGTCGCCTCCACTTAAGGTACCCAACATCAGATTCAATGCAACCAATGTTAGTTACATGATGGAGGATGATCCATTCGAAACCGAACTTGGATACCAATTCCAATTGGGCCTTGTGGAGCAAAGGAAGCGTATGGACATGCTTTCAGCTTTTGAGGAGGAAGTGAAGCAAACAGGCATTGACGAGGATGAATTTGACGTTCGCCTTCAACAGATGCGTATAACACTCTCGGATCTGTGGATTAGAAAGGTAAACATGTACAAGGAAACTGTGGCAAAGGAGTTGAAGGATCATGGCAAGTACAATATCGGTAACGAACTCGAGCTTGCTGACAGTGAAAACCACAAAATTGTTTCCTACAACATTGCACCTCCATTATTAAAGATCATCATGGCAGACCTCGACATTCTCATTAGCTCTACCCAATTCTCTTTGGACGAGCTTCCTCAGTATATTCATGATGTTGGACAGGGAGTGCCCCTTGACACGACTTACAATCTTATGCTTCCAACTTACATCGACATGTGTGTCAACGAATTGAGAATTCACTTAAGAGACTATCCTTTGCCATTGCTTCACTTACCTAGAGCCAAAGATTCTCAAGGCAGAGGACGAGCCCTTATGATGAAGGGCCACTTGGTGATTGGTGAAGCTCTTTGTCTTGAGAAGGAACATTTGAGACAGATGGAAGTCCAGCTTAGAGGCCCTTCAGAAGACTCCAATGACGAACTCCACAAGTATGACCATCTTACCATCAACAAGTCGCTCACTTCTGTGAAGATCTTTACCGATATGGATGTTCAGTTTGACTCAAATGCGCCATGTCGTTTCGTTTGGGGGCAAGCCTATCAATTCGGTATTCAGCAGGTCATGCTTAATTTCGATTCCTTCTCTAAACCACCGGTTGATCCATCGAACAAACTCGGTTTCTGGGACAAGTTGCGTATGCTTCTTCATGGTAGGTTTTCCATCAGAGCAGAAGGTTCGACTCAGGTTGAAGTGGCCTTCAAAGGTGGAAGAGATCCATATGACCTTTTCCCTGAAGCCGCTGGTTTCATCCTCTCGTTTCAGGACCAAGTCAATTGGAGAATTAATCACGAAGACAATTCACTCAAGTTCTTTGATATCCTGGCTCAGAGGGTATCTTGGTATATTCCTAACTACCTTGCCGCTCCACTTATGGCTTGGACTAGAGACAGTTCAGACTCTGTTTTCCTCCCTGATTACCATAGGATGACAAACACGATTCATGCCTACTATTTGCTCAGAACCCCTCCTCATTCTACTGCTGAAAATGCCACCAACCCTGACATCAACATTGAGGAGAAGATGGCAATTGAGTTAAGTGGTGGTATCAGATACATCGTTGGATTCCTTTTACAGAGAAACAAACCTGAAGGGGGTGTCACAAACGACTGTATTCCTCACTACGACATCATTCCTTATAATCCAGAATTCTGCTCCGAAGACCATGATACCTACAAGGGATTCAGGAGTTCCAGACTTCACATGACGATGTCTTTAGCTGCTCACACTGAGGACAGTTACAATACTATTCATTTGAGTCCTGGAGCGTTCAATATATTCTTTAAGTGGTGGAAGATGTTCCAGGGTAATATGATGCTTCCAATCAGAAGAGGCATTGTGTTCGGAGAGAAGAAGGCAAGTCCTAAATTCTCACAACATCTTTTCACAAATAAGTTCTTGTTCCAGATCCGAAACCTTTTCATCAGTCACATCTACAGAGAGGAGTATTTCAAAAAGGATGATGACTTCATTGAGTGCTTTGGTTTGAGAGCCAGAGTCAAGGACTTTGTCGTCGATTTGCATCAACAGAAGGAGGAGCGTATCTCATTGCATAAACCTTCTGGTAAGGAAATCAAAACTCTTAAGATGATCATGAAACTAGGTGAAGTCAGTCTTTCCGAAATTGATATGCGCCTGGTTCGTGCTAAAATCTTCAGAGACACCTACCACTCGGAGGACTTGGGTAAGAAGGGTTGCAAGATGAAGATTTTCGACAACAACAAACAGTGGTTTGATCCAAGAGACTTCCATGAGGCATTCAAGTCCAACAAGAATGAGAAATTCAGCTTGGTGGAGGTCTTGCCGATGGCTTACTCAGAGAGATTTTCTTACATCAGGGATACCACTGATATGACTGGTGGAAATAAGGACTCGGCGGAAGAGAGTCACGATTGTAAGTTGAACACTAACGATATCCATAGTGCTCAGATTAATGTTGCAAAGAGACGACTCACCGATTTGGAGGAGCTTCACGAGAAAGAAACAAGCCCGGACATTGAGAGACGTATCAGTGCTTTGAAGGTCTTCATGAGAGGCTTTGCTAACGAAAGGAAGAAGAATGAAAGAAGAGCTAGTCAGCAAAGTGCCTTCAACCGAAAGGAGCATTTCCATAACCGTTTCGTGGTCACATCGATGTTGTTCAAGTGGAATGTGAAAGTTCGTGATGTGTTCACCAAGTACTTGCTTTTTGCTCAGATCAACTCCAAGTCCAGAAAGTTCTTATCTTACGAGTTTGTCAGTATGCTCGAAGGCTTGATCAACAAACAAGACTCTCAGTCTGACCGCTTTTCTGTGGCATCCTCGTCAGTTTATGAGGACAATGCAAGAGGAAGAAAGCTCAGTCATACCTCGATGAAGATGGGCAGTTCGCAAGAACGTCTTGACAATTTCGATGCTATTTTGAGAGAAGTTACTGGTGACGAGAGAATTGCTGAGGACTACAAGATCGAAGTGATTGGGGTTCAGATTCAATTACACACCGAGCAAGTCATTGATACTGTTTCAATTATCTCAGCGCCTTTATTGGAGCTGAAGATTGTCTCGGTTCTTCCAAAGAGCGACAATCCTTTGGTCATCAATACCACTGTGCCTGAAAAGAGATATGGTGCCATGCTTCACGACGCCAGTGTTACCATCCTTGAAAAGAAGACCGTTAAACATGGCCATCCTATCCTTGATTTGAAACCATGGGGAAGCAAGGCTAACTGGCCACCATGGCTTGGTATTGAGACTTGCAGAGACAGCTCATTCGTTGAACCAACTTTGATGCCAATTGAGCGTATGTCTGTGATGTTGACTTACGATCAGGTCAATGCACTGGCGAGCGATTTGGAGCATCAAGATGACAATAATGAAATTGCTTCTCGAAATGAAACACTCAGTGATCTGTCGTCGTCAGCGAAGAACAAGCTTAGAGTTGATATACCGAAGGTCAGTATCACTTCCACCTCCAAACAATACCTTGCACTTTACGCTACAGCACTCAATTTGATTCACTACTCCGACCCGCTTATGAATGAAATTAAGGACAAACTACTGAAACTCAATTTCCAGACTGAGTTCGAGGATTACAGAGCCATGCATAACCGTTTGACCAGTCTTCACACTTATATGATGACGCTCAATGTTTTGCTGAGAGGATACGGTTACAGGCACGAGTATCTCAATAACGAGGAGCTCAATTCCTTCCTTTTCATTAATTCTGAGATTGACGATACCAACTTTGAGATTCTATTTACAGTCGAAGCACTCTTCATGCGTGATGCATTTGCCGATTCTTCCAAACTGACCGTCGCAGACTGGATCATTGGAACGGATGAAGTCACTTTGCACATGTTGCAAGACGACAGAAAGCCAATTCTTGACTTGAGAGTTGAAGGCGGCACTTGCAAGAGAGTTTTGATGGAAGATGGTTCGAACGATAACAGAATCCAGATCAGAGACATTCAGGGCAACAACTTGGTGAAGGGCGCTCCATACAAGAGGTTTGTCGAGTCGGTGTATCCACCTGACGACGAGAACCTCATTGTCGTTGACTGGTCGATGCAAAAACCAGTTGGAGGAATCAAGATCATTGAGAACTTTGAGATCAACTCTAGACCCTTGAAGATTCGCTTTGATGAAGTTACTGGACGGCAATTGATGCGATTCATCTTCCAAACGGATCAGGAGAACGAGATCGAAAATAGTACTCTCATCAAGATGAACAACGACATGAAGGAGATTGATGAGCAGGACAAGCCCGACGGTGATGATGATTCCAAGAAGAAGAAGAGACAGAAGGAGAAGCTTAAGCTGGGCGAAGAAGAGGAAGAAGAAGAAGAAGAAGAAGAGGACGATTTATCTGATCAAGCTTCATTGACAAGTACAACCGCTATCTCCAACCGAGATCTGAAGAATTTCGATGCACGCTCGAAATCTGTCAAGAAGAAGAGCTCGTTGAAGGATTCTTCCTTCTCCAGTGGAGATGAAGGTGATTTTGAGGAGGATGTCGCCAAAATGATTGAAAGGTCGAAGAAATACTTCAGTGTTACCAACATGAACTTCCGTCCTTTCGAGGTGATGATCTCGTTGAAACTCAAGTCTGGCTTCAAGCGGGTTTTGAATGTCACAGATTTCCAGCTTGAGCTTCCTGGTTTCCACGTTGAGAAGGAGCTTCTCTCCATGCTTGACGTCGTGGATATGATGAAGAAGATGTTGACAAAGTCGCTTCTTTCACACAGTGGGCGTCTCCTCAAGAACATGTTGAAGAGCAGCCGTCGCAACAAAAAGAAGGATCGCTACGAAGAAGTGGTCGGCACGGCTAAAGACACCGTCAAAGACACTGCCCAAGGGCACACATCAGGTCATTAATTAATATATGCAACGCATTATATATGCTGCCTCTTGGCGTCCACAGACGCCTGCTTCTTCTTTCTCTTTTTCTTATTCTCGTCATTCTCGCTCATGTCATCTCCTCTCATTAGGGTCAGCTGGTCGCTGATAGCCAACTCCGCCGGGTTGAAACCGGGAATGCCGTTCACTGGCGTCTTTTCGAACTTCAAGGCGTGATTCAACAAATCAGCGTCAAGCTCGTGGATTAGGTCAGGCTGCTGGCTCAAGTTGGGTCCAAGAGCGCAGCTGGAACGGCCTTTGCCGGTGGTATTTGATGCTTTCCGGGTAAGTCCTGGATGTGATTTTTGTAAGACTTGCGTAGTTTGACGCCTTTGGAGCCGTCCGGCTTTGTACGTTCGAGCAGCTTTGCTATAGGTTCTAGGCCATACATCTTGAGGAGATTATCTAGCGGCGATGGCTCGGCAGTGTGTATTTCGCTGGGGTTAGTGATGATGCAAGATGCTCCTTATTGAACATACCATTTGCGTCTATGAGGTAGTAGCTTTCCAAGCCCTCGGGTTTGGGTTCAGTCATGGAGTAGTTGATGTTAGATTGTACAGTGCGAAAGATGGTGGTATATAGTGAGGCTGGTGAATGGATGAGGTGGACCAGGTGGATGTAATTGAATAAAGAAAAGGCTTTTCTATATACACTGAGGAAAAGGCAAAAAGAAAAAGAAAAAACATGAGGCTATTTTGTGGAATTCTGTGGTTTGGAGTGGGGTTGCTTGGGGTATCGCATGGCTGCAAAATGAAGGGTCCGCTCTGTAACCACCTCATATATCCGATTCTACGTGATCCCTTTTTTGCTTTATATTTTTGACTGTAGGTTTACCCTTCAGCTTCATCAATTTCAATATAGCTTAATTGAAACCACACATCACCATACCGATGAGACAGCATCCCAACATTCCGACAATCAAACATGACTTCTCCACCAGAAGCTCCACCAGTTGTATCCTACACTAGTGCCACTCCCTTCAGATGTGTATTGTTAAACATGGCGGTCTATGAGTCCCGTATAGCAGTCATAATATACAGTGGAGCCGTCGGGGAGCCCTCGGGCCGTTTTCATTAGCGGACGGGTCTTACTCCAACTTCACGTCGGCCACCTTCTGCTCGAGCCCCGTCTCCTCGTCGTCCTCGTCGTCGTCCACAGACAAAACATCGTACAACGACTTCTGAGGGCCAGCAGCGGCCTCCTCCTTCTTCTTGGGAGTCTCCTTCTTGCGAGGCTCCAAAGCCTGGCCTCTCTTCCAGTCAAACTCCTTCTCGTCCTTCTTTTTGGTGGCGGCGCCTCCTCTGCTCCAGTCGAGGGTGTCCTCCCTGGGCTTTCTGTTCAGCCTCTCACGTGGAGGCAAGGGACCAGTGGATCCACGAGCAGCACCCCAGTCCAACTCGGGCTCGTCTCTTCTGGGCTTTCTTTCTCTGGGAGGCAAAGGTCCCGAGGCGTTTCTGGCACTGCCCCAGTCGAGCTCTGGCTCGTCGGGTCTGGCTCTTCTCTCTCTGGGTTCTCTGGGTGGAAGCACTCCAGAACCTCTGGCGGCACCCCAGTCAAGGTCGGGTTCCTCTCTTCTAGGACCACGAGGACCTCTCTCTCTGCCACCACCGCCAACAGGACCGGACGAGCGGGCAGCACCCCAGTCCAAGTCAACCTCCTCTCTTTCTCTGTCTCTTCTGCCTCCACCTGGAGGACCTCTGGCCAGTCTCCAGTCGAGATCAAACACATCGGTTTTCTGTGGAGCAGCGACGTTCACGTACATCTTTCTGCCGTTGAACTCCGACATGGTCAAGTTCAACGCCTCCTCCAAAGCGGCTCTCTCGCTGAAGGTGACAAAGGCAAATCCCTTGGGCTTGCCGGTCATGTTGTCCATAGGCAACTTCACATCGGTGACGATATCTCTGGCCTGCAAGCGGTCCTCGAAGAAACGGGTCAAGGCGGGCTCAGTGGCATCGTAAGGCAAATTGCCAACACGGGCCTTGTAAGGAGGAGCATCTGGAATAGGAATCTCCTCTCTGTCTCTTCTAGCATACTGCTCCGAGAACTCGGTGCTTCTCAGCACAGGGCACCCGAGGAGCCGCCCACAGGGACACCGATCGACGACATGTCGACTTCGGCATCGGCCACAGGCCGCCTCCGACGGACTCGTCGTTCAAAAAGGACCAAGGTCCATCTTCCTCACGTTCTTCTTTGGTGCTATTGTTAGTACATGTGATCTGGGCGGCCGGGGTTTGGCCCGGGGGCTAAATGACGACGAGGAAGCGATTGGTCACATCGCCAGGGTCTCACGACGTCTTCCTGGTTACTTGTTACATACGCATGACGGTTAGTGTTTCTTAAGCTGAAAAATCAGAAAATTTTTTTACTTGTGCGCGCAGTAGCTAACAGAGATGGTGGGATGTTGATCTAGGGATTTTAGCACTTTTTTCACGTTTTTTCACGTAACCATGGCATAGATGCCGGTATTATTCATAAATACAAGTGACATTGTCGTAGCAGTGTCGTAGAAGAAAACTGTTTGCGTGGAGTGGGTTGAATCGACTGGTTAGGTAGTTCTGCATGTCTCATTTTGCAGCCGTACGGTCAAACCCGTCTGTCTACCACTTCCCGAGCAGCTTCTGCCAAATCCTCAGTATTGTCCTCAGCATTGTGGTAAACGCTGTTTTCGCTTTCCTGTGATCTTCGAGGACTTTGGCGGCTTTCGTTTTGCTGTGCCTCGGGTGCTTCTGTCAGCGCTATCTGCTCCATCTGCACAGTTTCCTGAGCCGGCTCGTCCAGCGTTTCCAGCGTTTCCACATGGGCAAGTGCAGCACAGGGAAGTCGTGGCTGACGTCGTCCCGTCCTTCCTCTGCCTGCTGGGCTTGTTCCTCGGAGTAGAGCGAGATCACCGCCCAATTAAACATATCCTCCTTGGAGATCCCATGAGTCGCCAGAAACTGCGCTTCCAGCAATTAGAAAACTTTTTGTTTGCCACCACATGGGCCGCCAGCTCGAGATCAAGCGTGTCCTGGCCCGCAAGATGGCATTGGCTCGCTCCGAAAGCGGAATGAGCTCGTTGAGAAGGTTGCGTAGGTTGGGGTCATTTCGTAAAACATCGTAATTGATCGTGAAATCTTCTTCTGTGTGGGTCGTATTATTATCGGTTTCACGGTCGGTGGTATTACCTGCCTCGGCCAAATCCACCTCTTGAGGCTGAGAAAGATCCTCGGTTCTGTGCTCGTCTGTCCTGTTTTCTTCTGTCCTGTTTCCTTCTGTCCTGTTTTCTTCTGTCCTGTTTTCTTCTGTCCTGTTTTCTTCTGTCCTGTTTTCTTCTGTCCTCTCGGTATTAGTGTTGTGGAAAAATCCCTCTGGACGCTCAGTAACATTAGCTTCTCTGTTATTCTCCTTGTAGTAATCTCTCTTACAAATAGGACAGCACGCACGCCGGCGGGTCAACCAAGGGTCGACACACTCTGCATGGAAAACATGACCACATATTAGGCCTCTGACGACATCGTCAGGTTCATAAGTATCCAAGCAAATTGCACAGCTTCCAGAGTCGAAGTGAAGCTCGGTTTTGACATTAGACGTGGCCAGGGAAGTGGCATCGATATCAGGAGTTGTTTGGTCAGGTGAAGAAAGACGCCGAAGCTCGATGACCTCAAAGTCACCTTGAACTGTCGTCGTAGCATTAACTTTTTCATGTTCACCTCCCATGTCCATTCGAACCAGGGCCAAGTCGTCTTCTGTGTCGCCATTATGGAGCCACTCAGCGTATGATGTCTTGGGGAAAAGGCGGTCCACCTGGGCTATCGTAAGCTTCTTCATTTTCAGATACCTTCCTCTTCTACGCCGTCTACGCCGGCGTCCCGCAGCCAAGGCATCTAGGCCTTCGACGGCCGAAAGATATCGTCTTTCGAAAAAGTCATCTCGAAAGAAATGATTATTTCTGAGATACGTCAAGTACCAATCAAGCTCACGGTCGGACGGCGAATGACTCAATGCTACACGGTCAGGTCCCACGTTTGCAGTGAACATCATCCCATGGTGGGCCACGGGTATATGTGGAGACCATAGCGGGAACGCACAAAGTACCTCATGGTGAAGAAAATGAACACAAACGCTATGGCGACGCCAACCAGCATGGCCAAAAAGAAAAGCACTGTTGACGGCGTGTTTCCCACAAAAGACGACGAGGAGTCTGAATCTCCGGTTTGCGTGGAAGTAGCCGTGGGGTCGGTATACACCGAGGCCACAGCTAGTGTGTGGGCGTGGAAATCACTGATTGTCGACATTATTATGTTTCGAAGGAGCCACCGGAGTTACGGGGTTGACACGAATGAAGGGACTAAGATGAATCTTGAATTTCGAGGACTTGATGAAGTGGGCGGTCAAGTTCTCGAGGAGATGAACGAATAGAACGTGGCAGACGAAACCTGACTAGTGTGCCTGCTGAAGCAGCGAGTTTCCTTTGTCTTGGACGTAAAAATCAGTCAATTATAGATGATGCTTTCCTCCCACAGTGTTTCGTGGAGATTCCCCAGATCGACTTGTTTCTGTGGGGAAGAGGTTCCTGAACACCAGATCGCGGCGTGATGTTGGAGGTGAATCGCACCCCTATATAATAAAGCAAAAGATCCAGAAAGATCCAGGATCGGGTCTTTCAAGAAATGAAGAATGTGGTTGATATTTGCTTCGACTACCACTTGCGCCTTGGCCCGGCTTATCTGAGGCAGGGCGGCGCGACAATGTCGTCGCTGCCTCAGGAGCCCCGAGTTAGAGTGGCCGGCACACTATACATAGAATGTATAATTAGCTGAAGGGGGTTACCATAATGGTTCTTGCTATTGGTATCTTGTTAGTTTTGCTTTGGGAAGATTGGTGGGCCAACTGTGTGGGGGATCATGGGGGTAATTAAGGACGACATTTTTGCAATCGTGCGACAATGTCGCGATCTTATTACAGCACCCCCGGCAAAATCGAGGGAAGCGCAAATCGGCTTTCCAGTGAAGCCAAACATTAAGATCCTCGACTTTGGTCTCTACATTATGGTCATTTCAATTTTTTGCCCGAATGCGACATTTTTCTACTTCCCAGAGTGGGGACCGGCCATGCCCGAACACAACAGGAGCAGGTGGGGGAATGGCTGCGAAAAGCCTCCTCACTATGAATGACAGCTACAGCCGAAGGGTAATTAAGATACGAACAGGGAAATTTGACAAAGTCCGAGAACAAAAGAAATTTGACAATTTCTTGCGATTTGAGTTTCTTGGTCAATTACGAATGGCCTGGTGCTAAGATTTAAAAGTGAACAGGAAGCTCGATCTGGCTTATTGTCTGATTTTTGGTGCTGTCATGCCTGTCGCATAGGTCAAGGCGGGGTGTATTGAACGGCTCCTACTCTAGATGTTGAGACCTTCAATTCGTGTGGCACTTCAAGATTGCAATTCCGAAGATGCTAAAAGATTTGAAAAAATGGGAGGATTTTAAAAAGCTTTGATAAGTCGAGAAGTGGAGGTGAGAAAAGTGCGTGTCGTAAAATGGAGCCAAGTGGATCTGGGGAAATGGTTGCAACAAAAGGAGGGAAAGGGCGATTCGAATTTGTGCTTTCTTTGTAGGTTTCTCCAGGTACGCCATTTGTCACAATGCTGGGCTTCGAACAATCGGCGAGGGTTCATTCAGGATCATGCCAATGGCAGCTGATTTAGCCTTACGGTCTGGGATGTCTGCATCCTTAAGGTCTAGCCAGCATGGTGAAAATCCAAAGCAAGTCGATTTCCTCATAAGTCAGATTGACGACATTAGGGTGTCAGCGTGTCGAAATACATGCAATTGCCAATCTAAAACTATAAGCCTCGAGGATCTTGTTTAGTCGGTCACGAAGTGGGAATTATGAGGATGGCATGTCCGAGATCGAGATTCTCGATTTTGCGGGGGTGGAAATTGTCTTCTAGTGGGCTCATTCAGGAAGACAAGCGTGATTTAGGAAGACAAGCGTGATTTAGGAAGACAAGACTGTTACGAGAAATTGACAGTCTAATTAGGAGGTTTTTTAAACGATGAAAACTATTAGCTGAAGCTATAGTAGCACATTTTCAATCAGAATCATCTGAAGCTCCACCACAACCTCATCTCATCTCCAACCTTCAAATTCACCTCCATCTGAGCTCACTCTCTTCTTCTCGCTGTTTTGACAACAATGCTTATTCTCTTGCCAGTAATGTTCATTTGCTGCCTCCACGGAGGTTTCATAACCTCCACCGCTATACGACCGGCTCACCTCTTCACTCAGCACTCAGCGATACCCAGACACCTACTCAACCTACACTTTGTTGGATTTGCAGTAATATGTATTTATCTGTACATTTAAGCACCCTTTGGAGCCTCCTTGTGGGAGATAGCAGCCTCCTCACCCATAGCGGAGATGACAGAGATGATCAAGTCCTTACCGTCTTCAAAGTCGTTCTGGATCTTGTCACCAATGTCACCCTCAGGAACCTTGACGTCGTCCTTGGTGTCACCGTCAGCGGTCATCAAAGACAAGAAACCATCGTCAATGTCCAACAACTGGTAGTCCTGTCTAGAAACGTTAGGAACCTCCATGTTGTGGGTAGATGGGGACAAGTCCTCCAACTTCTTGCCAGTGAAGATGTCAATGGCGACCAAGTGGACCTTGGCGTGACCGTGCTTACCGGTCTTGGAGGTGGACATGTCGACAATCTTACAAGGTCTGCCCTTGATGACAACGTGACCGTTCTTTCTCAAAGCAGAACACTGCATTGGGAAGGTCAAAGCGGCACCAGCATCGGCGGTCTCAAAGACGTGCTGTTCGTTAGTATTTCGGTGCTTATGTCGCCACGGTCTCATTGGCTCTCTTGGCCCCTGATCCCCACTAATTTGGGTTCCCTGTTACCTTTAATCACTTCTTCAAGGTGCTAGAACCCAAAAACTTCACTTTTACATACTTCTTCGTCAGCCATTTTACTTTCTGAATATGTGATGGAAAAGAGGAGGAGGAAGAAATTCCAATGGGATGTATTTTTTTTTTCCGCAGTCGTTGGATGCCCACCGAAAAAAGGGAACCCTGGGTGCGAACGCTTGCCTTACTCGGGACAAATCCCCACAATTGACTGCAACTTTATATATAAGGCTGTGAAATTTTTCAATATATTTTTGTCATTTTCATTGGAATATGTGTTTTTGCGTTTGCTTCTTCGACAATGTCCAGAATTGACACTGCCCTGGCGGGTTACCCGGCCACGATCTGGCGACTCAGAGACAGCGTTCGCGAACCACAAATTCCTGTATTCTCTGGGGCAGATGAGAAAACGCCAATAAAGACGTCTGTATGCAGGTCCAGATCTCTCACTGCCAATGGCCTCGATGGCAAGCGTCAGCACTGTCCGAGGCTGCGGCTGTCTAGGAGTGGCTACAAGGAGGCGGTTGTTGCCAGATGGCTGGAAGATCACGTGACGAAGTTGCACGGGGTTAAGTGCCCCGCCAATTCCAACACCCAGTGATCTTCGTCCAATGGCTGCAAAATCGAAGCTCTTTTGTACATTATGTGGGCGATATATTGGCCTGCTGCTTTTGTCGACATGATTAGGCAAGTGCTGCTGCGGCCGAAGGCGACACTTGCATGATATATGGGTCGTGACCATGTTATGTCACGGTATAATACAGCTGCAGATAGCTTCTTTGTAAGAACTGAAGAGGGCTTGATGTGTAATGCGAGGTGGCCAGGTTGGAGGGAAAGAGGTTAGACCTCTACTTTTTCTGCATCTTCGCCCTTGAGCGACTTGGGAGTGATCTCCGTGTCTTCTGGAGCCTGGCTGCTCAAGCGGGACTCGTATTTTGCCTGTTTCTCGAGCTTGAGGCTCTCGATCATATCCTTCCACTTGTCCAAGAGCTCATTGCACTTCTCGTGCAACTTGAAGCTCTCTTCGTATGCTAAATCTTCATCCTTAAGAATGCATTTCAACACTTTGTGGATCTTGGTCTCGCGCAAAAGCTCCACGTTCAAGGGGAAGTCGGCAAGACGATGCAATATCAATCTGGCTACCAGCAACTCGTCAACTGTGGGAGGTGGGAACTGCTTGGGGTCCTTTGGGGTCACAGGCTGGTTTCTCTGAATGAGAGATCGTTGTAGTTTGATCCGGCACAACCACAACTGATGCTGTCTATCCTTCTCGGAGATGGGTTTGGGCGATGCAGAGCGGCCATTGCCATTGCCGCTGCCGTTGGTCTCTTCCGTCACGGAGGAGTTGGACACAACACGCTTTTTGGGAGGCGCCGATGAAGCAGTCCCGCGTGTTCTCTTTCTGGATCGTGAGCTGTCGGACTCGACGTCACTATCCTTCTCGTCTTCAATTGGCTCCTCTTCCAGGGTGCTTTGGGCATTCCCATTGCCATTGCGAGAGGAGCTTCTTAAACCCCCTCTTCTGCGAGCTTTCGGCAATGGCCTTCCCTTTTTAGAGTCGGTGTCAGACTCGTGTTCTATCGAGTTGTTGGCAGCGTCGTCGTTGTCGTTGGCATCTTCGGCCTCGCCAGTCTCGTCCACTTCATCTTCTTCCTCTTCGTCATCTTCATCATCATTTTCTCCTGCAACGCCCTTGTTGACGGCGGCAAGTTCATCCATAAATTCGTCAAATTGTAAGCCTTTGGCTGCAATATAGGCTTCGGCAACATTATTCGTGCGACCGGTTTTCTTCTTGGGCTTGTTTTTGAGTTTGTCCTTGGGGACCTTCAGCAAGTAAGTGTCAAGCTTGGCCGGCGTTAGAAGCTCCAAGCCCTTTTCGTTCATCCAGTTGAAGTCGCCATCGGGTATGAAGATGACACACGTGTTGGTGGTTTTCTTCTTCGCTTTCATGATGGCGGGAGGGATCATATCTGAGGGCATAACAAAAGACGGCCAGGCGGGGAAGCCTGTCATTTTTGATAGAACCAATGCCTTGGGCTCAAACTCCGTCTTTGCTGATTTGCGAGGCGGCATGGCTTGTTATATGAATATGGCTGTTGGACGACGAGTGAAACAGCTTTTGAATTTCAAATGTGGGGGTCAATTGAAGACTTATTCTAGTGATTTTAAGGAGCTTGGGCCTTAGGGCTAGTATTGGCTCTCCTGCCTCTTGTCTGTGGAGCTGGGCTTCTGATAGTCAGACGAAAGTATAAACAGATAGGAGCCAGGAAACACAAATAGGAAATCAACGGCACAGACGCGCTTCTATGTGGATTCCGGGGCTTGCGTGGCTAGGCGGCGATGGATCTGTCCACAGTCGAGGTCAGGAAGGTGTTGGAGTAGAAGTTGATGTTTTGTATAGGGATAACAGAACGATGTAGCGCTAGACGCCGGAGATGGGTCGGGCACGACGCTTCCCGAGATGGACAAAATGGGGGATATGGGATGGATCTGGGTAATAAGTTTGTTTTTATAAATTTTTAAGAGTAAACCAGGGGCCTTTGGTTTAATTGAGTGGATTTTGTGGGGTTATTGATTTGGGTTGTGTTGCACTGGTGAGCTCTTGCTGTGCAACCACCAGGCTAGTCATGAAACGAGAGACCCAACGGCAGTGGACTAAATAAACTAAAAGTCATTCAGAAATTAAACGACGAATTGAGAAGAAAATCATTTTATCTGAAGGCGTCAAGACGTGGAAGGGCATGTTAACAAGGTGAAACAGCATTTCGCAGCCATTGACCACGGTTGAAGGTAGGAAGAAGGAGTACTCGGTTATTCATATTTAGGAACTCAATTGAGGCCGCCACAGAAGCTTGCTGGATATAAAGCTGCAGCATTCCGTAGCGGCATTTTGAACAATCTTCATATTTGTAAGTAAAAGCGTAAATGAAGGCTCGACGTGAGTGGACTCCGATTCATAAAGCCACAGTTAAAAGCACTAAGCTGTTTTTTGATCTTCATAACATCAACTTAGTCTGTCTTGTGACCGCCTTCTTCACGCTTAGCTGCGGAATGTGGCCGCATGTCCCACCTCCACATGAATTCCAATTAACTGTGGTCATCTTCAATCGAAATGTAGCTTTTCAATTTGGATCCTAAGTTTTCTTCTCCTTTTGAGATGATAGTAAATCAAATTTCGGACTCCTTAAGTATGCGCCTTGTAGGACTTTCTCATCCACCTCACAAGGCTTTGCAATCCGCCTCGGCTGCAACTCGTTGCCCCAGTTAGTCAAAAGAAAACAAAGCAAAAGAAGAGTAGAAACGAATCTATGGAATTGACCAAAGTCGAGAACAACAAGTTGCAAAGACTCAATGAGGTAAATTTCGAATTCTGTTGTACTGATATCTCTAAATACCGATGGGTGCTTCATGCTCACACTAGCCTCAACCGGTGACCATGGACCAACCCGCCAATCATTAAAAAAGAGCAGGTGAAATACTTTATTTGCAATCACCAAAGTATAGTTAAAATATCCACGACAACTTAACCCCATAATTTCCACCTCTAACATTTATTTGCTAAACACCATTGTTCTACGTCGTGCCTAATGTAACACCGGCTAATCAATTTTTAACAATTGTGCGCCGCAACCCACCACTTGCAAAAGTAAAATTGTTTTCGAAACTCCAAATTTTACAGACCCAATATCCCAACGGCTCCATTAAAAAAGAATCCCTTATTAATTTCCCCCCGCCCTTGCAAAAACCTCCCTTCCAGACACTTGTGACCCACGGCTGCTGGGACGCTTTTTTCTCGCACTTTTTGTCCACCAACTCTTTTTGCACCCACCAATAAATCCCATTCCTAGGGTCTGTTCCAAACCAACAGGGATTTTTTTTTGGCCATGTCGTCTCTCAAAAGACCCCTCCCGGAGCAGTTGCCCACGCCGGAGGAATTGGCCCGGGTTTTCAAAAAACCTACTCGGGACCACAACGACACCAAGGTCATGGCACAGCTACCACCGCCTTCAAACCACGAACTGGGACTAGATGCTCCGCTAAGACATGCTGTGCCTCCTTCCATAATGCCCGTTTTGGCTTCTCCCTACAATGAACACGACTTCTTTTCAGACTTGCAACAATACTCAGACGAGGAGACCCTACAACGGAAGGCACAGATAGACCAGATATTGCACTTCTTTCCGCCACCAGCACAGCCATTAATACCGCATGAACAGGTGAAAGCAGAGGGTGGAATCGCTGTGCCTTTTATATATCCGCCAGTTCCGGCCCTCCGACCTGACTACCACTTGAACGATACCTTCTTGAAGCCAACAATCAGCCCTGTGGAACAGCAGCACACAACACAACAGCCATACGAGCGGGCTGAAATTAAACGCTTCGGTATGAATGATAGCATAATCTGGCCCGTGATACCGCCACTACCGTTCCCTCCTCCACGCTACATGCCTTACCCATTGATGGCACAGAAGGCACCCTTAACCCCAGGAGAGGTTTTTGAGGAGTGGATTGAGGCTCTGGAGCACTTGCCAAGGGTGGATATGGTTGTGGCTAGTGCAGCAGGCTCGATCGTGGATATACGGTCGGAGCTGGAAGCACTCGGGTTTGATGTAGTGAAGCTCGACCGATGGATTAAGGATAGGCAGCAGGAGCTGGATCCTGAGGGCGAAGAAGGTGTGAAGAGTGAAACGGATCTGGATGCTGAACGGGACGACTACGCCAGATACGTGAAACAAGTCGACACCACCAATGTATTTGACATTCATGCAAACGACAGGCCCAATTTGCTTGAGGTGCATTCGGATCTCAGAAAGGAGTATTTACGAGTGGCGCCTTCTGAAGAACAAGACTCCCTGCTGGTTCTCAAGACTCACGAATGGAGTGAAGAAGACATAGTCGAGGGTGCATCTGATGTGATGCCTCTTCCAGCATACTTGAGACACGCAAAGGACGTTGTGAACGCTGGAGGTGGTACAAAAGATAAGAGGAGGAGAGAGCTATTGGAGTCAGCGAACACCGTGACACGGTTTGTCGACTATCACAAGAAAAAAGTGTATGCTGCTCGTAAGCTCAAGCTACTAGAGCGTTTACGGAACCTTCAGAACAGCAGAATCTCCCTCAATGACAAAAATTTGTCCACAGACGATGTCGAGCTCAATGAGTTTATTCAAAATCGGAAAAACGAGCGGGATCACGAATTGCTCCGTTTGAAGCTCTATCACAATCATGAGAAGCTCAAGGCGGCACAATTGTTCTACCAGTCGTCCAACAGCACCTACAAGGGCCTCAACAGGATCATCATCAATAAGTTGCGCAAGCTCAAGCACTTTCTCGAACACCAACAACTGGTGCTTGCCGGTATTGGCCCCGATGCCGAGATATTGAACTTGAGAAGCAAGGACAGCGCCAATTTGGTGAATTCCTTCGTGGAACAAGATTACTCCAACGATGTCAAGCAGGTGTTTCGTAATGCCACCATCAACGAAGACAGGGGAGAGAACAACCCACCCGACGTGAAGGTTGCAAACTTCAACAAGGTCTACACCAGTCGGGAGCATTCACCTCTGGTGCATGACTTTATGCCATTGGCAACTGAAGAAGAATTCAAACTAGTCACTGGAGATGCTCCAACGAAGCTAAGTGCCAAGGATCAGGCCCTCAAGGGCAAATTCTCCAGGCACCAGATCTTCCAGAGTCCATTGTACGACAGAATCACGTCTGGATCGGATTCAAATGCTTCTGACAGCACAGCATCGACAACCAAGAGAAGGCCGGGTAGAAGAGCGGCGCCCAAACCCTTGTTAGGAGAAGAGCCCAGCAAAGAACGCAGTGAAGCAGCACTTGTGGCCAAAATAATGAAGCAGTTCGTTGGACCAGCAGCGGCCAACGCAGACGAGCTCACTGAGGATCTCGACTTGATGAACGTGAACACTCGGTGGCCCGTCAGGTAAAACTACAGGAATGGAAACGGTAATAGTAATGGCGTATTATAGGACAACGTAAAATCAAAAGGGGAGATAAACTATAAAAACGTTTGCGGGCACAAACAATCAGTTGACTTGAAAGATAGGACAAACACAATGTTAGAAGTGAAGAGGCGAGGAGCTTGGCAGATTAGAAGTCCTCAAATTGCGAGTAGAGTCCAATAGCCACATTGGCAAGGCCAATAACAATTGGGAAGTTACCCAAGCCGGTGACGAATTGGTGGTAAAGCCCCAATTGGATGATGGCGTGGTTTTTCAAGAAATGGAAGATGTTTGTGTAAGAATCGAGCGAGGACAAGGCGCCGTGCTGAAGAACAAAGTAGTAGACCAACACCTTGGCCAAGGCGAAGATGAAGGGGTCGTACTTGTAGAGTCTGACGACGAACGAAATGTCCTCGTCCTCGTCGTCCTCGTCGGAAATCACAACAACTCTTCTGGAGAAGTTGACGTAGAACGAGATGAGCAAGGGCAACAACACGGCGTAGATGACCCAATTGCCAAACACAGACAAGACAGAAAACTCTAATAAGGCAGAGAAGTCGGGGGATGGCCACGAGCTCGTCTGCAATCTGGGGATGTTGTCTCTGAAGACCTGGTGGATCAGGTTGTTGTGCTTGACGGGCACAATTGGCACGTTGGTGTACAAGAAGAAAGCAGCCTCAGCAACAACCTCCAAGTAGTTCAAGGCCACGACTCTGGACAAGGACTCTCTCAAGTCGTCGTTGACGTCCAAAGTGGTGAGGCCAATGGAGTCGGTGAAGTCCAAGACCTTGGCTCTCGCTTGCTCAAACACATCAATTGCTGGGTCCACCACCCATTCCTGGAAAGAAATTGGAGCAGGAGCATTGTAGTCCTTGTCCTCCTCCTCGACTTCGACGGCAGCGGAAACTTCCTCCTCATCCTCGTCATCGTCGTCCTCAATCAAGGTAGCAACCTCATCCTCGAGGCCGGCAGACTCAATCAACTCTTTTGCTCTCTCGGGCTGCTCGTCGATAAAGCTCTCGATTTTTTCAAGCAACAGCTGTTTGGTGTCCTTGGAACGGACGGAAATGCCAACTTTTCTGGCGACCTTGGCCAAGTCGGCTTTCTTGAATGCTTTGAATTCAGACATGGTAGAAAAACAGTGTTGTAGGGGCACAGATGTTTGGCGCTGCGGCAGGTTGTTGATGAAAACAGAACCCGTGACACTTGACAGAAAAAACAGTGAAGCTCAAAATGCGCCGGCGACTCGTTACAGAAAAGAGCGTCCACGCTTGTTTACACTCGTGTGTTTATCTTCTTCCATTTTGGGCGCGCCGTACCGTTACTGAGTCCATGTGGGAGACCCAGGCGAGCCAATTGTTGAGCTGGTGACGAGATATACAATAGTGTAGCGGTGTGTGATTGGCTGGGAGGGCGGATTTTTTGTTGTTTTGGCCGGGTGGTTTTTTTTTTTTTGAATTTTTGGTTGGACTGGTGGTGTTGTGTTGGTTGTGGTAGGGTGTGGCGCTCATTGTTTGCAGCCAACCCGGGTTAGTGAGAGAGGTCACAGAGGGATTTTGATGATGGAGAGGTTTTTGATTTTGACTGGGGGACGCACGATAGTCGATACAGATTCCTCTAGAATGTACCTTTTTCAAACGATTAGGCCAGTTCTGGTGGGTGGTTTGCAGCCGCTGGTTCTCAAGTAGACTAGATAGCGCAGATTCTCCACACCACGGTAGCATGGTTTGGCAATTAATGGCACTACAGTCAAAACAGCACTTCAATTGCATTTTCTACCAATCCTTTTTAGATTTTGAAGCCTTCCCCTCGACTTAATCTACGAAGTTCCCGTACTCTCCAGGTAGTAGTTGAAGAGATCTGGTGCATCAACACCGCAACTGAGACAGATGCCCGATTGCGTCTGGGGCTTATAAGCAGCAATTGCTCCTCCCCAAATGGCTGGTTTCGCCTTTGCTTCTGGGGTTATTTAATAACAATATTATCCTTCTGCATGTACAGTCCACGAACCATCTCCATGGAAGCTTACTTTGCATCAGCGAAGCTTTCTGGATTTTCAGCGCTTTCCCAATGGGGCTTTTCTGATATTACCGACTCGCTTGGGTTGCTAGGTGCCTTTTCGCAACCATTCTTACACACCCATACGCGGCCAAAGTAGAAGGCAGACAGAACCAAAAATTGTGCTTTTCACAGGACAGCTCATAAATTCAACAATAGGCTCCACCGTTCTGGCCCCGGCCAGCCAGCCGTATAGTTTTCGTGTTGTACACGTGACTGCGCACGTGACCAAATATTTACCTTTTCAACCTTTCTGTCAAGGCTCATTTCATGATCCTTCCCTTTTGAGGATTCTAATAGCCGTCATTAAGCTGATCGCCACCAGCCCCTGCTTTAAATAAACATCGGACGACTATTGCTCTACTAGAGCTTCACATCATGATTTCCAAAAGGGCAATGCTGCTATCGAGGCAGTGGTCCCGACATATTCAGCACAGTGCCGTCCTTAGGCAAGTCAATAAAGACAAAGAACTACCCCGAGTCAATCAGCTAGGAATTCAGTACTTATCCAATGATATTCACAAAAAAGTGTTTCCCAAGAATCCTCCCAATGCATATCAAACCGACAAAAACCCAGAGCTTCTCAAATTGACGAAAGAGCATCTCCAGCACAACCACCTCCTAGGCAAGAAAACCAACATCTCCGAGCCCATCACGATACCCAATTTGCCCGATCTCGTAGGAAAGAACACCTTGGACGAGCATTTCACCAGAATCGGCTATGAAGCTGCACAACCTTACCTAGACATGGCTGAACGGTTCTTCAGTTCCGATCTAAAACTACCGAAGCAACCAAACAAGTGGGAGTTCCAAAGCGGCTGGTTCCGCTACGCTCCTGGTAAGAAGCCGGAAAAGGTGGATTTCCCACTCGAAAAAGAATTGGTTTTTGACGTCGAGGTCATGTACAAAGCATCGCCTTATGCTGTCCTCTGTACGGCAGTGTCACCCGAGGCATGGTACGGCTGGGTGTCTCCCGTACTCACAGGTGAGTCAAAAAACTGGAATCAGCTTATACCCTTCAACACTCAGATCGACGAGAAGCTTCTCATCGGCTACAATGTCAGTTATGATAGAGCACGTATTCTTGAGGAATACAACATAAAGGAGTCAAAAGCCTTCTTCCTAGACGGAATGGCACTCCACATTGCATTGAGTGGAATCTGCTCCCAACAGCGACCCGCATGGGTAAAACACAAGAAGCATAAAGTTGCATTAGAAGAGACGGGAACCGAAGACACAGACCTGGGAGCTGCAGATACTGAATCAGATTTCTCCTTGACAGACCTTGCACGAGAATTAACAGAAGACCCTTGGCTCAATAAAGGCGCCACCAATTCGTTGGCCAATGTCGCAGAATTTCACTGTGGTATAAAACTTGCCAAAGACATAAGAGACACTTTTGCTACGGAGGATAAATCTGATGTGGTGGATAACTTCCAAGGACTAATGGACTACTGTGCCCTGGATGTCACTGCTACTTATCAAGTAACGAAGAAATTGTTCCCCCAGTTTAGGGAAAGAAACCCCCATCCAGTCTCATTCGCTGCCCTCAAAAGTCTTGGAAAGCTCTTTTTGCCAACAACACGCAAATGGGACCAATACCTTGAAAGCGCAGAAGCTGTATATCAGCAAAATCGTGACGAAGTCGGCACTATTCTACAAGACCGCGCCAACGAACTAATTCGCTACATCACTGAGAAGAACGATGCACTCAAACCGGATATCGAGAACGATCCCTGGCTTAAACAGCTCAATTGGACGATCAAAGAACAACGACTCCGTAAGGATGGAACTCCCACCGCCAAACAGGCTTACTTAACGGGTTACCCTGAGTGGTACAGAGAGTTGTTCAAGACAAGTTCCGACAATGGAGACAAGGGCAGGGAGATGAACATCACTGTACGGACACGGATCACACCATTGCTCCTACGTCTCAAGTGGGAGGGCTATCCCTTGATCTGGACAGACTCCAGTGGTTGGTGCTTCAAAGTGCCATACGAAGATGAGATTGTTGATGCTATGCTCGCAAAGAATTACACAAAAGCTCGCTTGACTAATGAGGAATTTGAGGCCATGCTACCCGAGTTGCGTGATAATGGCGTTTACGAGTTGTTCAAGGTTCCACATCCCGAGGGTGCCAGAAGACGCTGCACAATCATTATGTCCAAAAGCTATCTAAGGTACTTTGATAGCGGGGTTCTCACCTCGGAGTACGACTATGCTACCAAAATTCTCAGTTTGAATGCCACCGCATCTTACTGGACTGGTAATAGAGCACGTATTTCCGAGCAATTCGTCGTGTACTCCGATACTCAAGGAAAGGAGAACAGCTTCTTCAAGACTAAGAAGGATCGTTCCGCACATTCTGATATGGGAATGATAATTCCAAAGCTTTGTACTATGGGAACTATCACAAGACGTGCGACAGAAAACACTTGGTTGACCGCATCCAATAGTAAAGCAACTCGAATTGGGTCGGAGCTCAAGGCAATGATTGAGGCTCCTAAGGGCTACGCATTCGTCGGCGCTGATGTGGATTCTGAAGAGCTTTGGATTGCATCGTTGATTGGTGACTCAATGTTTCGTATTCATGGCGGCACATCTTTAGGCTGGATGACTTTGGAAGGCGATAAGTCTGAGAAAACTGATTTACATTCCAAAACTGCTGAGATCATGGGAATTCTGCGAAACGATGCGAAAATCTTCAACTACGGAAGAATTTACGGTGCTGGTGTCAAGTTTGCAACTCGCCTCTTGAAGCAGTGTAATGCAAGCTTGTCAGATGACGAAGCTCAAAAGCTTGCAGTGGCTTTGTATGACCAGACCAAGGGCCAAAGTTGTAACTCTAAGATTTTTGGCCGCCGTGTGTATCACGGTGGAACAGAATCTGTGATGTTTAACGCCCTTGAGGCTATCGCATATCAAGATCGTCCTCAAACGCCTGTTCTCGGTGCTTCCATCACAGATGCATTGACTCAAAAGTATCTCAACAAGAATAATTACTTGACATCGAGAATCAACTGGACTATTCAAAGCAGTGGCGTGGACTACTTGCACTTGCTTGTCATATCGATGGAGTATCTCCTCAAAAGGTACAAAGTCGATGCCCGGCTCATGATCACAGTGCACGATGAAGTGAGGTATATGGCGAAGGAGGAGGATTCATTGAAATGTGCACTTCTTCTACAGATCTCGAATCTCTGGACCCGTGCAATGTTCTGTGAGCAGCTAAGAATTCTCGAGCTTCCACAATCCTGTGCTTTTTTTTCCGAAGTTGATATTGATCATGTTTTGAGGAAAGAGGTTCTGCTTGATTGCGTGACACCATCACATCCAGATCCTATCCCCGCTGGCAACTCCTACGACATGGTATCTCTCATGAAAGCCCTTGATGCGAAAGACGTACTCAAAACTAAGAGCAGTGCCTCCAAAACGGCATCAAGTGTCGCCTTTTCGCCTCGCTTACCTGTGATTAGTTCGCTTCAAGCTGACTGTTCAGAGAAGATGCAGATTGAAAGATTGAGACTCCAAAATTCCACGGATAAGGACGACTGGAAGCTAAATGTGATGCTTTACAGCCAGGCAGAGAAAGAGGAGAGGAGAGCTATCGCCAAACCTGCTCGTAAATCTCCCGCCACGAAGAATGTTCGGAAAAGAAAAGCAGAGGAAGAGCCAGACTTGGTCAAGGATGGTAATGCATCTCTCTTGGAAGAGGTCAAAAGTACTGCTGATGTACCCAAGACAAAACCACGGGCCGCATCCAAAGTCAGAAAAGAAACTCGCAAACCAAACTGGACCATGGAAACTCAAAATAGCTCATCGGCAAAGAGTGATGAGCGGACCAAACTGGCTTTTCCTATTCCACAAACTGCGAATACTACCAGGGCGAGGTTCACATCCACTCCGCAATATGTTCCATCATCGTTTTATTCCACTGTCAACGGCGCCTGGGGCGGCCGAACAGTGAGCAGGTCCACTACCGGAAAGAAACGGGGACAACTTTTGAACTTTACTAAATTCAACACAGTGCCTAGAAAGCAGAATTTTGCAGCCACTCAGAGAAGACTCCACATGAGGGCCTACTGGCCCAAGATTGACGACCACAACTTTGAGCGACCGAGAATGCTTCGCCACGAGATAGAGCAAAGAATCAAGCCCAAACGGCAGAAGGAGATTTTCCGACGACATCACTCACCTTGATGTGTGGAATGTCTTTTTGGGCCGTTCATGATTCCCACCTCATTCTCTGGATCAAGCGAATTCGGCCGTTCGAAGCGAGCGCGTCTGTGCTACAAATCAGCACCCGCCCTTATAATTGACTTGTTTTTATCGAGGCATCATCCAGCGTACTCTGCTGTCGAGACTATTGCTTCTAACTACGATTCATTGACTAGGCGTGCTGACTTAGAGTATGTGGAAGACGTTCCGCTAGAGCACCGCTCCTCAACCACGCAGAACACTCCGCTTTAACAAGGCCTACGAAACTTTACGACAAAGATTCCAGACGAATCCATATAATCGCTCTGCAGAGCACTTGCATAGAATCATGGCGACTGCCAAAATGTACATTACGATCAAGACTGTATAGTTGTAACATAAGCGAGTAGCGCATGAACTCTTCTCGAACTACTTGAAACTATCGTGATTTTGAAAGTGAAACATTAGATATGCTAGATCACATCGTTACACTCGATCTTCCTTTTGAGACGGAAACTCAGGCAGAAATAGCCATGAAGACCATGTCTGTGGACCCCATTTTGAAGAAAGACGAAATCAAAGTTGACTACACCATACAAAGCAATTTACTTACGTGTCGATTTGCCGGTGTCAGCGATAGAGTCATTCGAGTTGCTGTCAGCAGTGCTATAGACAACATCAAGACAATTATTGAGTGCATGGAAGAGTTTGATGGGAAGGAGAAGGTTGTTTTCCAGAAGGAGGGGTAACGATCCGGATTGGGTAGATTCATCGAGGATGAATACCGGTTTCGTCTCGAAGTTGTTATCATGAGGCTTTGTTTTGGGACAAATTTACATAAGCCCGTTCAGTGGAGGTTGAAATATTCTGATTCAACAATGATAGGAAGGCGCCGATAGGGCAGAATTCCACAGGTCCGTTGCGATAGGTATTCAATGATAGTTTTCGAAAGTATGGCCAATCAGCCGACACGACACAGTCCAACTAATTTGCATCCCAAGCAGGCATGGATTGAAGTAAGCATGGCCATTGAGCCTAGTACATAGTTCATCAGAAATACGTTGAAACAAAGCCGAACCTTGGATTCGACATAACAGAGAAAGCAATCAAAGCTACTCGATCTTTATAAAATATTCCAAAATCTAATCATTTCTCCATCTTTCACCAAACCTACCCCAGGTGAAGTCGCATCGCGAAGTATTGGTTCTGATCCACTACTACTCACTCTCGATGATATGAAGCTTCCTGGCTTAGTGAGTAGGACCGGCAGGCGCCTGCTTTTTCAGAATTTCCGAAAAGTGCCTTTTAAGGAAGAGGATAGCGGAAAACATCACGAATACTCCATCAGACCAGATACCTTTGCATTCAAGGTCCTGAACGACCCCAGCAAAACAGACTCAATTGGAGCACATCCGCTTCAAAAAGGACAGGGCAGTGAAAGCTCATTCAATGTCTTGGAGTACATCTACAAAAATGCCACAAACTATCCTTTCAAGGACCACAGTCCCCAGGATGTTTTCAACAAGTACCCAGAAACGAATGCTGCCAAGATGGCTAGACTAAAAACGAGGCCCCGTAAAACAAAAATGCTTGTATCAGATTTCATTGACGATTCCCTTTATAACCCTCATTATGGGTATTTCTCCCAAGAAGTGGAGATCTTCCACAAGGACAAGCCATTCGACTATAATGAGATTGAAGACGTTGACGAGTTTATGGATGCCTGGAAGAAGGCTTATACAAAGTATGACGAGCTCAATCCAGAAGTGAACAAGGTCAAGGCCGAGAGAGCTCCATCGGAAGATAAGGAAGCAAAGCCTAAGTCGTCTAGCAAAGCATTGATATCACCACAAGATATGCCTCGAGCATCTCCAACATCCAAATTTGCCAAAGCTGCGCAAACAGTGCATCGTCAAGATTTGGTAGCTAGCGGAGGTTTTCCAGAAACGAAAAAGTCACATCAGCTTTGGCACACACCTACAGAGCTCTTCTCTCCATACTACGGTGAGGCCTTGGCCAGATTCATTGTCGTGAACTACAAGCTCAACGGCTACTATCCATACGACGATCTCATAATCTACGAAATGGGCGGTGGAAATGGTACACTCATGTGCAACATCTTGAATTTCATCAAGCAAAACGAGCCAGACATCTACAGAAGAACCCAGTACAAGATCATTGAGATCTCTGATCAATTGGCTCTCAAGCAGTACTCTCAAGCGCTAGGCCAGAAGCTAGTTTCACAAGGCCTCGACCAGAATAAAGTGCAGATCATCAACAAGTCTATCTTTAAATGGGACAAGGTGATCCACGATCCCTGTTTCTTCATTGCATTGGAGGTTTTTGATAACTTTGCTCATGATGTCATCCGTTATGATGTCACCACTGGCGAACCTTACCAAGGTCATGTTCTCGTAGACGAGTCGGGAGACTTCTACGAATTCTTCACCCCAGAATTGACAAGATACGCTGACGCATATTTGAGTTTGAGAGAGAATGGCAGCTTCCCAATATTACCCCAGACAAGGAATATGATGGGAAAAGTGCTCCTGTTGAAATCAATGTTGCCTTTTGTCAACACCGACAGCATACATCCTTTGTTCCATTCGACCTTCAAAGCGTCGGTCAAGGATAGACTCCTCCCATTCAAGGACCATCTTACACCAGGAGAGTTTATTCCAACCAGGCTTCTTCAATTCTTTCAGATCTTGAAGCACAGGTTTCCAAACCATACCCTCATAAGTTCAGATTTCAATTATTTGCCAAACACAATGCCTGGCTACTACAATGCCCCAGTGGTCCAAACAGTCATCAAAGACAGAATGGTGGATGTGTCTACCTACATGTGCCATCAGGGCTATTTCGACATCATGTTTCCTACAGACTTTGCCTTGGCTAGTGACATGTATAAACAGGTTACGGGCAAATTGGCTCGGGTAGAGCTGCACAAGGAGTTTTTGCAGCAATGGTCTGATGTGGAAGCCACCACTACCAAAAAGGGTGAGAACCCCATGCTCGACTTCTACAAGAACGTGAGCTTCATGGTAAGCTAACGCAGTCAACATTTCGATACTTGTATATATTAAACCAAACCCATTCACCTGTATGCACCATAATATCGCTATGGCATGATGTTGATGGCACTAGAGAAGAGCCGTATGGTTTTCTCGACTCCATTCTGTGCGGCCGCCATAGCTACCGAGCTGAGTGATTTGACATTCTGAACGTATGTGTTGAGCCAAACCAACATGTCGGAGACGAACTTTGTATCTAACAAGCTCATAGTTGCATCGATGACACCGTGAGTCCAGCTCACGATGCTGTTACCAAACGCTTCTGCAAACTTGTCCAACGACTTAACCTCTGCAACCACATTCAGTGGAACCCGTGGCGTTGATACCTTATGAAGTATCTTCTCGCATGCAGCCGAAGCGTAAACCTTAGCTGAATCGTAGAAATAAACGGCAAACACACTAGCCGCACCACTGGCCACAGTCACTCCAACTCCAAGACCCATGGAAAAGCTGCAAATTAGCCATACGTTCCTGGCAGGCACTAAAGACCAGATCCAAGAAGTGAGGCTTTGAGAGCCGCCCACACGCTGGAGCTGTGAATCGTCGCTGGAGTTGTGAATACCCAAGAGAGCCTTGGCGATACGATAAATGTGTGCAAAGCTGTGTGCGTCCGAGGAGAGCCTCAACGGGTCTGTGTTGCTGAAGCTTTGGGACATCAGAAGCTCAGAACGAATCTGCCGCTCGATGCCCTTGTAGTATGGCTTGCTAGGCCTTACCAAGCTGTCATACATGGAATTGGAGGCATTGAGGGCTTCTCCATCCACGACATTATCATCAGCCGTCTCTCCACGCTGGTGCTTCTTCTTGTGTGCTTCGAACTCCTTGGCGTACCGGCCGCCAGAAGTGTCGAGGAGCTCGTCTTCCACGAAGCTCTTGATTCTCGTAAGGAACGTGTCGCTGTACAAAGAAGGACATTTCCAGATTTGGAAGGGCCGCCAGGCGGAGATCAAGTCGACAAGATTGACGAAATAGTTGGTGGTGACAATGTTAATTATGGTGAGCTTTGGGAGATCTTTCTGGCCCTCAGCGGCGGCTAAAAGAACCTCAGGGATGGCCATAGTGCCGTCATTGACAATAAACACCAAATCTGAAGACTGAAGCATGGACACATCGAGCTTCAGCGGTTTGCTTGAGACCGCCAAGTGAGAGATCTGGATGCGCTGCATCAACAGGCCAAATGCGTCTCTGAAGAAAGCAGTGAGCTTCAGCGTCTGGCTCTTCATGTTGCTGTTGCCAGAGGTGACGATGGTGAGGCGGTAGCGGTGCTGTGGATCAGATAAGGAAATCTTGGGCATGATGAAGGAGGGATTCAGGGGGAGGGCTATCTTGCGTTCTGGCCTCTCCTCGGTCAACGTGGAGTCGTCGTCGTTAAACTGTGGGCACGAGCCGTACTTCTTGGGCATTTCTGGAAGCTCTTCTGCCTCGGACTCCTCGTCAGTCTCAAAGACCATCACCAGACCTTTGGCCAGGGGCACGAGCACCATGCTTTCGTCCTCCGACAGCAAAATCAGCAGCAGCGGTCTGAAGGAGCTTGGAGATCCGCTGGAGCGAGCTGCAAACAACAGACGTGTCACGGATTCAGGAAGGTGGAGGTTCTGCCACAGCAGGAAGGTGGATGTGAGTCTCAGGTCCATGGGACCAGGAGAATTGGGGATATTGACATCGAGATCTGGGTTTGTGAGGGCATTGTAGATGGAGGCGTGCAGCTCAAGGAGCTTTCCCAGCGACGCCGAGTTCTCCTGGTTCTCCAGGTTCATTGTGGAGGCTGGCTATTCAGATAAGACGGAGGGAGGAAGGTGAAGAAGAAACTTTCTTTGGGATTCAGGAAAAGTCTTGTTCTGCAAAATGGCGTTTGTTTTGCGTGGCCTCGGAGGATTAGAAAGAAGGACCCTTTGTTTGCAACTGTTCTGAGGTGTTGCTTGGAGGGGTTTGATAAGGAGCACGCGGGGCCGGTATGGGAGGGGGGCTCGAGAAATGTTGGTGTCGTGACGTGGATTGAAAGAACCCTTGGAGCGTGACGGGATGGATTAAAAAAAGTTTGATTTAGTAAAAGAAAAGCAAAAAGATATTCAGGGATACGGGTTTTTTATGTTTTGTGTATTTGGCTTATGCGTGGGTGGCGTGTCTGATATCTGGTCCACTGTGGCTGCTTCGGAGTTCCAATTGGGGCGATAAGGTAGCTCGGAGGGTGACTGAGAAGGTTTTTCAAGGGAGAAGAAGATTTACATGGATTTGGCGAATTTCAGAAAAAAGGCCGATTTCGGAAGAACGATGGAGTCTCGGCTACCTGGACCATCCTTATCTATTCGCAGCCAACCGACTCGGCCTCACCGACTCGGCCTTACTGACTGGGCACTTTCTCCGATACCGGGTGGCTCTTTTAGTGTTATATACGGTTGAACTTTCATGGTTTTGAAGTCCGAAGTTTTTGACTTTCTATCGCTTGTCTCTTGTTGCGGCTGTTTGACACCATGCGGCTGATAAGGCAACTCAGGGGAGACGCCATAGTGGCAAGGGATACAGGGCTGTCGGAGTTACACAAACCGAAAGATAAGAAATCACGGGATGTTGAAGGATGGAGGAAATTGAAAAAGAGCGGGAACCTAAGAAAAAAAAAAGGGTTTTTCGAAGATATTTGCTTTTAAGACTGACATGCCGCTGTCTCTTAAGCTCGCAAGATCGTAGATAATATCTGCAACAGCGGCAGCCTCAACGGTGCGGTGGACCGATACGGAGACCCTCAAAGTATAAAAGCCAGCGATTTCGCTGTTTTGTTATTTTGCAATTCTTCTTCTTCTTCTTCTTCTTCTTCTTCTTCTTCTCCTTCTTCTTGTTATTACTCTTCGTGATCGAAATGTGATGGCTCGAGCTACGGTGCATCTGCTTGCTTCGGCAGACATGTCGTAGCATTACACGACAAATGTCTGGTTTGAGGGGTCCGACTGCAAGATATGTGAATCACGGGAGTTCACACTAAGCCTGGATTCATGGTCTAGATGTCCCAGGGTGTAGGGATTTAGTGCAGAGGCTTCGAGGATGGTGTCTGTTGAAATGGAATCTGAGATGGTTGGAAAGTGGTGTACGTGGATTTATTGACACTCTTTTGATCTGGTGTTTTTAGTTACCCTGTGCAACCTCAGTCTACGGACTAGCTGAAGAACAACAGGCCATTAACTGCATTGTTCATGATTCTTTTTTTTTTTTTTTTTTTTTTTTTTTTTTTTGAGTTGTTTGTCGTCAACAGCAAAGTATGCCTTTTTTCTTGATTGAGACTTCTCTCGTTTATCATCGTCTGTTGTGCTACTCCCACAGCCTCGTCTGGAACATTGCACCTCGTGGTCCGCTGCACAGCCTTGCGGTTAGCCGCCGTGACAGCACATTTTTGAATTTGGCGGAGGAGGAAGCAAAAAGTAGGTTTTAAGGAAATACGAAAATAGTTGCTGAACTTTAGTTGAGTGGTATCGATGTGAGTGAAGCCTGGAAGGTGCATGAGGGCGCAGCTGGCCAGTATTTTGCAGCCATTCCACACTGAGACACGTCGCCAAAAGGTCAGGGAAGAATCCGAGGAAGTCCATTAAAATGAGTGATTCTCTAGGCATAGTCCGATTAATTGACAATTCAGTAGAAATCTTGAAAATTTTCGTGCTAAAAGTCTATGGTATATGTAATAGGTTGGTGTGTCCTGCTTCATCAGTCTAGCCATGCCATCTCCCTCTAACTCCATCTGATTCTTCATCAAATTTCAAATAAAACAACGTTAGAATCCTACCTCCAGCTATCTATTACCACATCTGTATTTTTCAATCATCATTCCCTCCACTAACTCTATAAGGGTCTGCCGCGTCAGTCTCTACATCCTCCAGAACTAACCCACCCACCAATTCCACCAATTCCACCAAATCCCGTGTCAAAAAACAAAATCACCGAAAAACACCTCCAAAACCACTTCCCCCTCCAATTCCCCCATATTCAAAAACACCCACTTTTTTTTTCTCACCCGTCGCCCAAACACGCCTGGTGTGTTGATTCCTTCCCGTTGTGACTTATGCTCGCTACGCTGCATCTCCACTGAACAACTACTCCAACACCATGGTCGACGACAAATACATCGGGCTTGCGCTCGCAATGCTGTCGTCGTTGGCGATCGGCACCTCCTTCATCATCACAAAAAAGGGCCTCATGGACACGTCCAACAAATCGGGCACCGACAACGCAAACTCCCACCAGTATCTTCAAAACCCCATCTGGTGGGCTGGCATCATCACCATGGCTGTTGGTGAGGTGGCGAATTTCGCTGCTTACACGTTTGCGCCTGCTATTTTGGTGACGCCGTTGGGGGCGCTTTCTGTCATTATTGGCGCTGTTTTGGCCGCCATCTTCTTGAAAGAAGAGTTGGGTGTTTTGGGCAGAATGGGCTGTGCCATCTGCCTCATGGGCTCCGTCATCATTGTGTTGCACGCTCCTCCAGACAAGGAGGTCGAGACCGTCGACGAGATCTTGAACTACGCCACCCTGGCGGGGTTCCTCTTCTACTCCTTCTTGGTCACTGTCTACTCGTTGTTCACCATTTACAAGATCGTGCCCAAGTACGGCCACACAAACCCCATGATCTACATCTCCATCTGCCTGAGTGTGGGCTCCATCTCCGTCATGTCCATCAAGGCCTTTGGTATTGCCCTCAAGTTGACCTTTGCAGGCAATAACCAGTTCACTCACATGTCCACCTACGTGTTCATCGGCGTCGTGGTTGTCTGCATCCTCACGCAAATGAACTACTTTAATAAGGCCCTTGACCAGTTCGACACTTCCATCGTCAACCCGCTTTACTACGTGACTTTCACCACTTGCACGCTTGTGGCCTCGTTCATCTTGTTCAAGGGCTTCAACACCACATCTGCCGTCAACGTGATTTCCCTCTTGATTGGATTTTTGGTTATCTTCTCCGGCGTCTACCTCCTCAACATCTCCCGCAAGGAGCACGGTGGTTTTGACAAGGAGATTTTCGGTGTGCACCAGGGCAAGGACATGGGACCCTTAGATAACGGCGTGGGCGGTTTCTCCTCGATGAGAAGATCCATGCAAATGAACAGAGGCGAGTACGACACCGAAGAGACCTTGGGATTGCGTCGGTTTGACTCCTTCGAGTTGGGCTCAGACGAGGAAATGGAGTCCCACCAGCGCAGGTAACCCTGCCTCCTCGCCTGCCTTGTAAAACAAATTATTTATGGCAAAAGTAATCATCCACGGGTGATTCTAGCTTGCTACCATTCAACAATCCGGTGTTCTGGAGGGGTCCTGGTCTAGGTAGGTGTGCACCTGCCTGCAGTCTATCAGCACAGTTATGTAGTAGTAAATACTCACCTACACCATCATCAATATGGGTGTAAGTCTCTCCCTTTTGGCACCACAAGCACACACGGTGGCTCTTAGAGCCTATGTGGATGTATTACCCGGCTTCACCTTCCTTGATGTACTTAACGATAGTCGATTCCTCAAAACCATCAGAGCATATGACACAACCGACCACACACTCGTGGTGATCAAAGTATTCATAAAACCACCTGCCGTGGGTATCAAACTTCCAGATACTGCTGAGCTTTTAGGAAAAGAGGCACTGCTTTTATCATCCCATCCAAATGTGCAGCCCTGGCATAGAATAATCGAAACTGACCTGGCAGGTTACATGATCAGACAGCTCGTCAAGTCCAACTTATACGACCGTCTTTCACTACGACCTTTTCTTGTACCTGTTGAGAAAGCATGGATTGCTTTCCAGCTCCTCAATACTTTGCAATTGCTCCATGACCAGCTACACATATGCCATGGCGACATCAAGACTGAGAACCTACTCGTGTCGTCCTCCAATTGGCTAGTTCTTTCAGATTTCTCAAGTCACATCAAGCCGGTGCATCTTCCTGGCGACAACCCAAGTGAGTTTGTGTTTTACTTCGACAGCTCTAACAGAAGAACGTGCTACTTAGCCCCAGAGCGGTTTTACCAGGAGAAAGCACCGGCACAGTCTGTGCTCACCAGCTCAATGGACTTATTTTCAGCGGGTTGCGTTATTGCAGAGCTTTATAATGACGGTGAGCCAACCTTTACTTTGTCTGACTTGTTCAAATTCAAGAAAGGCGAGTTGGAGCCCAACATCTCGAGCATTTCGGATAGCAAAGTGCGTCAATTGGTAAACACGTTGATAAGTATTGAGCCTTCTGATCGCTCGCTGGCTCATGATCTTCTTGACGAGTACAGAGGGTCTCTTTTCCCAGAATACTTCTACGACTACTTGTACAAGTTCATGTGTGACATCAACAACGCCGAGCTTCATGTGGTAGCAGAAAACAGCGACTACGTTTCGCCTAGTGATTCCAGATTGGAGATGATTTACGACTCATTTGAGGATATCACAAGAGCTCTCCTGTTTTCCTACGATTCTGATACACCTCCAGTGCGTTACACCGGCCCAGTCTTGAAGATAAATTTGGGAGGTCTTCCTGAAGACTACACCATACGTAAGGTTGAGCAGGAGGAGGCTGGAGCGTTGATCTTGTTGAACACTGTGTGCTCTCTTTTGGGCACACTCAAACGCCCGGGTAATAAAGTTAAGGCCTGTGAAATCATCTTGGCGCTTTCTGAAAGAATTAGCGATTATGCTAAGCTTGACAGAGCGCTTCCCTACATCTGCAGCTTAATAGATGAATTCTTGGAGGAGACTGGTTTTTCTCAGGCTACATATACCATGAATGATGGCAACAATTTCCCGCCACACACCAGTCTTTCTACGAGAGTTCCTTGCGTTGCACTTTTGGCAGCTACAAATTTGCTTGAAAGTTGTGTTTCCATCAACGCCATTAATTCTCAACTTTTCACGGAGTATTTATCACCACTCTTGAAAAGCATTGCATTTCTCAGTTCAGCTCACAAGGAGGAAGTGAGATACCTTCGCTTAACGCTTGCTACATGTCTTCCCTATTTGGCATCGGTATCTGAGAGGTTTACTCTCAGCACGAGGCAATACCGCTCAAGCACTACTCAATTTGCATCAGAAGTGGGCAACGGGGAAGCCGCTCCTGAACTGGACTCGATAAGGCAGCGATCACTTACAGACTTCAAAGATCTCACCGAGGCCCTTCTTACCGATTCAGATGTCGCTGTCCGCATAGGCTTGGTGAATGAGATTTTACCGCTCTGTGAATTTTTTGGAGCAGACAAGACGAATGACTTAATTCTTCCGCATTTGATTACTTACTTGAATGATCCCAGCTACCAATTGCGTCTTGCATTTTTATCCTCCATTATCAGAATAGGGCCTTTTATCGGTACATTAGCTTTCGAGCAATACTTACTCCCTTTGCTTTTTCAGACGCTTGGAGATCACGAGCTGTCAGTCGTTCTCAAGATTCTTGAAATCTTCCATCATTTCTTGAAAGAGAAGCTTATCAATCCAGCTTCCGAATTCAATGCATTGTCCATCTACAAAGAGGTGCTAACCAACTGCTCCATACTACTTCTTCAACCAAATGAATGGATCCGGCAATCCGTCCTCAATATTATTTTGGTGGTAAGTGACAATCTTCTGAATGCCGACAGGTTCTGCTTCTTATACCCCATCATCAAAAGTTATTTATCTTATGACATTTCTGTCATCAATTGGCAAACGTTATATCCTTGCGTCACCAAGTCACTTCTGAAGCAGGTTTACGAGACCGCCCTCATTTGGTCGTCAAATGCAACAGGTAAGTCACTATTTTGGAAACAAACCAATTTTTCCGCTATCAACCAAATGAACGGAAGAAGGAAGTTGGTGTCTTACTCTAAGGATATGGGAAAGTCAGTTTATGTTCCTCACTCCACCAGCAGTTCAATTGGTGAAAGCAAGAGACTGAGTGATATTGCGTTGTCATCCGAAGACAAGCAATGGATTCTCAAGCTTAAATCAGTCGGCATGGAGGAGAAGGACCTTTGGAAGGTGTTTGCTTTAAAAGATCATTTCATCAGTCTTAATCGCTCAAAACTCCATGCTTCCAGCAATAGTCTGGAGGAGTACAACATGGCGGCGAAAGTTAACGTACCACCTATCAATGTCTTTTTCGACATATGTTTCAAGACTGAACCTATAGACAGCCACGCGAAGACCATAGAAAGCATAGCTGCTCCTGATGTCAAGGAGACTGGCTCCATCCGCTCTGCTAACGAAGGTAAAGGATTGTTTTTCTCCAGCACTCAGAAAGCAAGGGCATCATCGCAGACAGTGGCAGCCAACGTTTTCGGTGAGCTCGAAATAAGTCACAGCGATGGTATTGGAGCTCACAAGTCTCATCATCATCACCATCGCCATCAGCCAACTCGAGACGCGTACCTGATACACAAAGTTTTCGGTGCTGGGTCATCTAGTGTCATTTCTGCCTCTATGAGACACAACTACCATGATGCCAATCCTCACATTTCTGAATACCTTCGAAACCTTTCTTTCGGCCCGTCACTTGATGATTTTGCTGACTTTGGTTCTGTGATCAAAAGCAGTGGTGAAGCTGCGGCCTTGCCTGAATTGAATCTACAAGGTATACTAGTAACTCTGATCAATGCTAAGAGCGACCCAAGCTCACACGAAATCATCACTAAAATTGTGGCTTGTCCAACTTCAGATTTTTTCGTCACTGGTTCAGAGGATGGAAAAGTTAAGGTTTGGGATGCAAGCAAATTGGAGAAGAACACCATGTCCAAGAGTGCTAGTCTAGTCGTCGATTTGAAGAGCGCTGTCACGGACATAGTCTTTCTTCCCCATCGTTTCGTATTCGCTGTTTCCACCGCTGATGGTAAGATTCGCTTGTTCCGTGTGATAGTAGCAAGGAATAAAGCAAAGAAGATCACGAAGTACACGAGGCTTTTCAAGATTCGCAGCACGGACTTGAAGGATGGATTTGCTACGAGTTTACATTTTGCCATGACGAACGACCGATCTCTCTGTGTGGCGGTCACAAGCGGCTGCATGGTCGTCGCCATCGACATCATCACCCTGGAGATATTCTTTGAAGTTCAGAATCCACTCATCCATGGTGTGCCATCATCCTTCCTTTTTTCGAAGAATGGTACGTGGGTTCTTGTTGGCACAACAGATGGCATCTTGTGTCTCTGGGACCTCCGCTTCCTTGTACTCGTGAAATCCTGGAGGGTCACGATTGATAGCTCTACGGTTCAGAAGTGCGCCATTCGGAAGCTAATCCTGGTTCCCAGCAGCAACAGGCTCACGGAAAAGCCTAACAGTAATAGCTATTTTGCAATGATTGGTGGACTGAGGGATGCTGACATTACAGTCTGGGAAATTCCCAGCTTCGAGTGTCGGGAAATCTACACCGCCAACACTGACAACCCTCGGATCAAAAAGTATGCTCTTCAAGAGATGAAGCTGGAGAAGGATGTGAACTTGGATGAGCTTTTCTCAGAATTCACCTTGGATCTTGACAGACCCGTGGACGAAAGCCCTCTGACACTTGATTTAGTTCAAAGAGGCGGCGTCAACCCGCATAGTGATGGATACTTCGTCCTGACTACTAGCGAAAGCAGCATCATAGTTTGGGACCTACAAGACACCAGAGCATCCAGCCTGCTATTCCATGACAAAAGCAACTTTGGAAGAACCCAAGTTAATTCCAGACTTAGCGTCGCCTACGAGCAAAGCACGGGTAAAATGAACAAGAGAGGATCGGACATCCCACGGTACGATGCCATTACAGGATTAGCAGTCTTGCGGCGAGCAAAACCGATGGTGGCTGCTGTGGAGCGTAACGGCAATATCAACATCTATCGATAGCCTTTCAGATTTTCCGTTATATCTGAATGTCTCACCTGCTAAAAAATGTTAACGAACTCCGAGCGGTATAACAAGCTGACTTGCAGCGTGTGCGCAAAAACCGTTAGAGCAAAGTGTCGCAAAGCGCGAAAGACCCTGGGGTTAACATTCGATTCCGTGTATGATGCCCGTACTGCACCAATAGTGTCTCCCGGGTCTTGCGAAAGCTCATCAAGTTTCCGAGATTTTGGACCACGGTTCAAAAATGGCTTTCGACGACGCCAAGGGCATGCAAATTGCTTTTGAGGAGGCTCAAAAAAGTATGTAACGCGGAGAAACTCCAATATTCCGGTCACGATACTAACGTCAGGTTACGACACTGGAGGAATCCCCATCGGAGGTGCCCTCATTCACGAGGATGGCACTGTCTTGGGCCGTGGCTACAACCTGAGATTCCAGAAGGACTCTGCCACTTTGCATGGTGAGATTGACACTTTGGAAAAAGCCGGCCGTTTGAAGGGCAGCGTCTACAAGAAGTGCACCATGTACACCACTTTGTCTCCGTGCAACATGTGCTCTGGAGCTTGTATCTTGTACGGCGTCAAGAGAGTCGTTATTGGCGAAAACGAAAACTTTGTTGGTGCCGAGGAGTTGCTCCGCTCGAAGGGTATCGAGGTGGTGAACTTGAACGACACCAAGTGCAAGGAATTGATGTCTCGTTTCATCAACGAGCGTCCTCAAGATTGGAACGAAGATATCGGCGAGTGATCGTCACGGATAAATAGTTTGTTTTGTTTCCGGTTGTTGGTTACGGATGGTTATGGGAGATAGGTGGCTCACAGAGTCAATATACAGACGGGGTATGGCGGTGTAGAGTTTGAGGCCAAGTAAGAGAGAGGCGTTTATGATGCCTTTGAATGCTACAGATTTACGATACCTGGCTGGCTTGAAAATAGGGTCTACAACTCTGGCTGCAAATGGGTGTACGGGTGTAAGATATGTCAGAGCAGCACTGAACCCTCTCACCGATATAACCCAGCCCAATCCATGGACAGTATAGCTGATAGCATCTACACGGACCTTCCTGCGCCTGAAGAACTAAATGACAATCCTTCGCTTCTAACACTTATATTCGAGCTTACGCCCAGATCCTGGTATGCTCTTCGCAACCAAGTCACCATCCAAGAAACAGTCAAGACTCTATTGGTTTTCTTGAACGCCCATCTTTCACTCAACAACAGTAACCAAGTCTGTTTCATTTTGTCACTGCCGTTTGGGTCAGAGATTTTGCATCCTAATGTTGAAAGTCTGTCAGAGGAACAGGATGTAGATGGCACTGGAGACAAGCCAACATTGGTCAACAAAGGCATGTACAGAAACTTTCGACTTGTTGATGAAATGGTGATGAGAAAGCTAAACGAATCTTTGGAGAGAATGTCAAAAGAGCTTGGAGAGAAGGAGAAGAATACGTCCACAGTTGCGGGTGCCTTACTGCGAGCTTTGACATATACCAACCGTCTATTGCATGTGGATCAGTCGATTTCCACCACAACTGCATCAGCCATTAATTCTACGGCATCTACAATGAATTCCCTGGGCGGCTCAGGAAACTCAGGCAATGCCCTGACGACTTCGATGCATGCTAGGGTCCTCATTGTCACGCCCAACGACACTTACGAGTCAAATTACATTGCTATCATGAACTCCATTTTTGCAGCACAAAAGATGAAGGTTCCCTTGGATGTGGCCAAGCTAGGAGGACACCAGGCTCCATATCTTCAACAGGCGGCTGATGCAACCAATGGTGTGTACTTGCATATCAAGGAGCCCCAAGGCTTAATGCAAGTGCTTTCAACTGCATACTTCTTGGAGCCCTCTCTCCGTTCGATCGTTATTCTTCCAACGAATTCGAACGTTAACTACAAGGCAAGCTGCTTCATCACAGGAAAGCCCGTCGATATCGGCTTCGTTTGTTCCGTGTGCCTTTGTATCATGAGCAAGGTCCCCGAACTGGGCCTGTGTCCTACCTGTAGGTCGAAGTTTGACGAAAAGTTCTTGAAAAAGCTTCTTACAGGACCCACCATAGCACGTAAAAAGAGGAAAGTTGAAAATGGCGCTGCAGTTACAAACGGTGAATCTACAGCGACTTCAGAGGCCAAAAGCACTACAGAGAGCTAGATTGACCTCGGACGATCATATTGGGGCAAAGAATAGATTATAGATTCCCAATGTGTGTGTCACGTGATCAACCCGCTATTAAGACTGGGGTTATTATCGAGTTATCACAAACATGACTACCAGCAGAAAACGCCAGAAAGTCCAGGAGCCTAGCTTCCGGTACACCCAGGGCCCTTTAGATGATGAATTTGGCCAACACGGTGCATTTCCCCTCAACAATATCGATAGCGATGACCTGGTGTATCGCTACTTGATGTCTGTCCGAGAAGAGGCCAGAGCAGATAGGCTGTTCCACTACGTGGAGAGAACCAAAAAGGAGAGTCACAGCGCGTCTTCTCAGGAGGAGCAAATTGTGCCACAGGAAAAAGTGGATGAGTTCATGGGTAGCTTTAAGGTTCTGCAAGAGGCCAGAGAAATCCGGTTAGAGCGCTCCGAGTTCGATTACAACTGCTTTATACCCAACTCAGCAGCTCAATGGAGGAAGAAAGTGTTTTCGGAGCAGCCTGACGCAAACTTTCTCGAGATTCTAGACCATACAACCATCGTCAAGCTCATAGTGTATTACACAAAGTGGCTACTGATGAGCATGCCTGATGAATTAGGCAAGTGGATCTTTATAACCTTTGTTCGGCTAGATCGTGATCTTGAGCACAGGGAAATGGCCATCGTCCGTGACTTGGCCAAGAAAGCAACCAAAATACGATCCAAGCTAGACGAACTGTCGGACGTGTCTCCGGTCACAGAGCATATCATTGATATGATACTATCCATAGTTACCATGCATTTCGGTCAGCGTGATCTCTTAATGAAGAGAACTTAGAGTTCGTGCTGGATCGTGGTCATCAAAGTTGGTAGACCGTTAGCGTCAAGTGCAGCGATACCACAATTAATTAAAAGTATCAAATAAGCATCATCGATTAATAATTTATAGATATAATCTTGCCCAAACTGGACACCACCCAGGGCGGTCTGGCTTCTATGCATGCCGCGACCATTTTCCAAGTATCAAACTTCAACAACTACTACTACAATATGTCCCGCAAGAGAGAAGACCTAGTGGTGCCGTATGCATAACAATCCCAACCTATTCCAAATAACTACTAATATTCAGTTACCACCACGTTCCAGCTAAGGCTAGAGCTGACGCCGGAAGCATGATTTCCCAGACTCTTCCAATGGCTGCCATGTTCATGAGAAACAAGATCATGTCATGGTCTGCTGTCTTTTTGGCCCTTCAGTCTTACTTGTCTGAGCCAATCAACAAGCCAGAGGAGGATGCTCAAGCTGGTTCTCAGCCTCCTTTGTTGAGATTGGTGTTTGCCTTGGTGTCCTTGCTGACCTGCTACCTCGACCTTTTCTTTCCAGGCACCAACCCTCAGATCAAGAAGTCTGCTCTTTCTAAGGCTGCCGAGACTGTGTCTTCGGTGGTTTCGGAGGCTACTAGTTGAGTCACTTGTTCCGTCGCTATAAATACATAATAATACAAGTTACAGGTTCGATTACTCGTAACCGTTCCACTTGAGCACAATGCTCTCGCTACCTTTGTAGCACACCGTAAGAAGCTCGTCCTTGCTGTCCCATGCTATATCACAGATACCCACGTCCTTGGCGTCGTCCTGCTCTTTGAACTCAAAGAACCCTAGACACCGAAGGCTGGTGGCGGTTCCCCTGTAGCGCTTTGTAGCTATGTCCCATACAGTCACATTGCCAGTATCGTCTCCAATGGCCAAGAAGCGGGCGTCGTGAGACACGGCACTGGCGAATATTAAGGGATTGCTGGTGTCGATGGCATTGTGTTCACCAAAGTGGTAACTTTCGGGACTCTTAAATATATTAGTGCTTTTGATGGCTTCTCCTGTGAAAGCGTCCCACACATTAACCACACCATCCATAGACACGGAGAGCAACTCGTTGCCTTGGACGTCATTGGGTCCTGTGAGCCAGTGGAGGCCGATTATAGGTGATGTGTGGTAACTGATGTCGGCATCATTTTCGCTGGCCACGTTGAGCTCCAATGCATCTCGGGAAGACAGGCTGTTCCACACCTTGATGGCGTAGTCGACGTCGGAGGAGGACGCTAGGAGCTTGGAAACTGGGCTGAATGTAAGGTTGGTGATTGGATTATTGTGACCGGCAACGAGACCCACTGTAACAACGGATTCAGCAGAGCCAAATGGTGCCTGAGGATTGACCGTATTAATTTTGATGGCATTCTTTGACGTTGCTAGGGCAAACTTGTTTTCGCTGACCCAGCACGCCTCAAGACAACCAGAGCCAACATTCTCGTGACTTCGGAGCTCCTGAATCGGCGTAAGGTTGTCTCCTTCCCATATACGTACAATTCCTGTAGTATCAATGGTAAGCACAAACTGACCACGCGGGCTCCAGGAAACTGTGTGAAGAGGTGCAGCCACCTTCGTGGAGTCCACTGGCGTATTTACAATATTCTTGAGTTTTCCGTCTGGCGTCCATGCTCTGATTTCGCCGTTCACGCCTGCTGTGAGCACCATGGTGCCTAGAGGCGCCCAGGAGATTGTAGTGATTTCGTTGGGTAAAGGAGTGTCGTCGCTGCCGTTTATGAGCGGTGGGTAGTTTAGCGTTACAGTTTCAGCAATAGCGCCGTTTTCGAAGGCAAGGATTTTGGCCGTAGAGTCGTCACAGCCGTAAGCTAGCACAGGGGAGGTAGGATGGTATTCAGCTGCTAGCGAGCTCGTAAACCGAGTAGACGGCTCTAGAAGCTTTGTCGAGAATTCGATAATCTCGGGCTCCTCCTCTTTTTCTTCAGTCTCTTCACCCTTTCCGTTGCTAACGGTCAGCTCGTCCATATCCACATCGTTTGAGCCGTTTTCAACGGTGTCCTTCTTTAGGGTGAATCGCAGTGAGTCCTTCTCTAGACTGTCCACACGGCTTTCGTTCTCCTTCAATATAGCGTTCACGAGAGAGATGCGTTCATTTTTGCCCTCAGCAGCGTCCTCGACGAAGGTGTAAAGGATGCCTTTCTGCACAAGATTGACCAAACAGCCAGGTTCTATGGCGTCTATCAACTTGTTCTTGTCGTGTTCATATTCAAGGCACTGGGAGCTCTGTTGTAGGGCGTACGCCGCTAGCTCGAACCCACTTTCCTGAAGGTACCTCCAGATGAGGTAGTTTAGTTCCAAACTCGTAAGGGACATTCGTGGGGAGAAGGTGTAGTTGAAGATGAAGTTTTACTGGCTGGTGCAGGAGTAACCAGCCCACAGACGGTGTAACGTTATTTTAGTGTTTATAGGGGCCTTTTGGTTTTGAAAAACCTACGGAATATAGATATTATGTTTTATGCGTCTTCAAAATAAAAGTTTTTCAGAATAGCCATGTATGATCATTTTTTCATCTTTTCGTTGCAATGGTTCTCGACTTTTGGTCGCACTAAACATTACCAGCCTCAAGCTGTCTTTCCAGTGGAAATAGACGAGGCACATGCCAAAAATCCAAATGGCCATAAATATGAAATAAAATCAAACCAAGGCAAAACTTACCACAAAAATAACCCCAAACCAACTTTTCATCAAATTTCAGGCGGTTTTGCCGGTTTCGTGGCAGACACGCCCGGCTTGGTCAAGTCCTACTATCTACACAACCACCAAAGTGTACTCTTCAGTATGGACAAGCTGAACAGAAAAAGCAGGGCACCATGGCATATGGGAGGGGGCAAGGCTCCGGCAAACCCATACGCCAATGCCAACGTGTCCCAAAATTCGGCTGAAAACGACCCATATGGTACTTCCCTTCAAGTGCCGAAAACAGCCGCTTCCAATAGAAGACACAACCGGCGAATGTCGATCCAGGCATCGGCAGCGGTGCCGTTTGACCCTTCAATGATGCCTCCGGTGCCTGGAGCAGCAATGTACCGAACAGGAACAAACAATTCGGACGTAGGGCTGGTCAGAAGCTTCGCTGCTCCTAGGAGATCGTCCAACGAAGACGATATCGTTCAGATCATCAAGACTGAGCTCCACGACAAGGACGTGACGGTAATTGACGATTTCTACAAGTCCTTGCTTGCGCAGAACAATAGTTTGGATGCGGACATCAAGAGCAGAATCAACACCAACCAGAAGAACATATTGCAATTGACCGACGACCTTCGGGTCACCCAGGAGGAATTGGTCACACTTCGAGTATCGACGAAAGAGCTCTACCAGATTTTGGCTGAATTCGCCGAAGCCGCCGAGAGAAGACTTGCTATCGAGCAGGAGGCTCCCAAGAACCAGGGCTACAATGGTGGATCCTTAGATGTGCCAAACAAAAAGAAGGACAGGTCATCTGTCTTGGTGCTTCAAAAGATGTGGGCAACTGAGTTGCAATCACTCTTCAAGCACGTTGACGGTGCTCAAAAATACATCCAGGCAATTCCTGGCAGACACGTTCTCGCTGAGAGTGGTCGCTGGCACGAAATCAACATTGGTACGTGGAAACCAAGCAGGCCTATTCACTTGTTCTTGCTCAACGACTTGGTGATGGTGGCAACGAGGAAACTGCCTCAGGAAGGAAGCTCCAAGCGTCTTCAGGCCATCTACTGCTGGCCCCTCCAACTGGTGGACATATCTGAGATTCAAGCTCCATCTCAAGTTTCGAGCAAAGGAGAAAAGATACATGTCATCAACCTTCGAGCTCCTTCATTCAGCTACGTCTACCAAACCGATCGTTATGACCATTTCACGCGAGTCATGAATGCCTACCATAAGGGTAAGGCTGAGCTCGCTCAAAGGAACAAGATGATTGAGGATGAAGAGCCCAAAAACGTTCGGGCTAGCGGTGAATTTGGCTACGGTCTTAATAGTAGTTCTGCCAGTCTACACGATGACAAGCTGGAGCTGCGTAATTTGCGCGAGTCTCTTCGCTCATCAGGCCTTCAAGGACACTCAAGAAGTGGGTCAACGGAGGAAGTCGGCTTCAACAGACGTACAAGCGGACAAAGACACAGTAATGACGTTATCTTACAGGATATTTCTGCCAGAGTGCATTCCAGAAACCGGTCACACGACTACAATAAAGAAGCAGGTATCAAGAGACCTGGAAGCGATAAGCTGCCTCAGAGGCTTTTCTTGGAGCTTAAAAATGCAGAGGACAAACTTGATGAGGTGGATGTCGATCTCGCTCATAATAACTACTCGCAAGCCACGCAGCTCATGACGATAATCGACCAGAAGGTCGCCAGCATTGTCATGCGTGTTGCTGGCTTCAAGTCAAAAGAAGACGATGGTGCTCTAGAAGAATTGAGAATTCTTGTGGATGTGGTGAAGCTCAAGTTGGGCAACAGACGTTTTAAGATTCAGCAAAACCTTCAATTTGACTTGCAGCATAACATTCTGACATACACAAACGAGACCATCTCAGAGCTTCTCAGCTACTACTCGCAATTCGATATGCAAAGTGAGGGTATTTCGGCCATCTTGGAGGCATTATCTGCTCACTTGTCAAAGACTGTGGGTAAGCTCATATCCAACGCTCACGGGTCAACTAAGGTTGATATCATCAACTACCTTGCAAACTTAACCATCATATACGTTCTGATCATACGCCGGGCGTTGCAGATATATGGCGAGTGTATCGAGGGCTTGCTTCATGACTCCAGACATGGCAACCTCGACTCCAGTGGGTTCATTACCTGGTGCATTTCAGAAATGTCCCGTTTGGTGGACATCATCAAAAAGCATGCAGAAGAAACGTTGCTTTTTAAGGAGGGCAAGATTTGGTATGTCAAGGACGACCAACACTACAAAGAACTCTTGGCTATCATATTACCGCAACTCTCGTTCTTGAAGGATGAGGGTCTCAATGTGGACTATCTTTTCGAAGACATTCTACACTGCCAGCCTAAGGCTCAATAAATGCATTATGCCATTAAATAAGTTAGATGTGCGTCCTAGAGACGCGCATAGTAGTCCATAATATCATAACGCTCACGGAGAGATCCACCAGTACGTTTAAGATATAATATGATGAAGCTTGCCACAAGAATAACGCCCATGATAATGGAGAACAAGACACCTGTTCCCAAGGCATTGATCAAAGGAACAGTGACGAAGATAGCCACAGCTGCGAGGACTTGACGGACCAAGTTGTTCAAGGCAACACCAGTAGCACCTTTACCAGGCAAGACATCGATAAGGTATGTCACGGTGACACCAATGACAAGCATCGAGGAAAAACCGAAAAGCGCCGTTCCAATCAATGGAGTGACCCAGTGCTCACCGTACTTGAGACACCAACCGAAAATCAAACATGCTGGTGGGTAGAGAGCAACAGCAGTAATGACATTCCACGAGAGACGAGACTCTGGTCTCAATTCACCATGGCGCTTAGCCAGTCGTTTGATAAGCCAGTCATTCCACTTTCCTCCGAAAACCGAGGCCATCAAGTAGGTAACAGAATTAGGGATATACATCAAACCCACAATGACAACACTGAAGTTGTATGGATCACCACCGTAGACCTCTGTGATGGTGATGTTGAAAAAGTAAATGACACAGAAACAGATGGACGAGTAGGCAATGGTAAGTGTGACTGGGGGATAAGTGAGGAGGATGAGGGCGTGAGTAGGTCTGATGAAGTAGTCGTAAAGGAGATGGGACCATTTGGTGTGGTCCACTGGAGGCTTGCTTTCTGCCTGGATTAATTCTTGCTCCTTGATGCGTCTGGAGTAGGCCAGCTGGTTAGTGGTGAGTCTATTCAAGGTGGGCAAAACTGGGTCACAAGCGGTTTCATCATTGAGAACTTCCCTTCTCAAGGAAGAGTTTTGGGACATGTTGGTGGCATATCTGGTGATGGCGTCTTCAGTAGGGGCATCCGGATCCAGTCCTGGCGAGCCCAATTCCTCCTTGAGTCTGCCTTTCATGGCGATCATGGAGTCCTCAGTTCTGAGGGTTTCTGGTAAAAGGAAGATAATGGTGAGGACGTTAAGTCCACAGACAATCACCATGACCCACATGGTAGCTCTCCAGCCCCAAGCCTGAGCCACAGCACCACCGATAACTGGCGAAAGGAAGGGCCCAAGAAGAGGACCAAGGTAAAAAAGTCCCAAAGCGTATCCACGCTCTTCTTGGATGTACAAATCACTAACGGTAGCAGCACCACATGCCTGAACAGCAGAGGCACCCACACCTGCCAAGAGACGAAGCACAATGAGGGAGCTGATGGAGGGAGCTAAGCAGCAACCAATGGAAAATGCAAAAAACCAGATGAACGACACCACGTAGACGCTTCTTCTGCCGTGCTTTTCGGAAAAGTTGGACCACCAGATGGGGAACACACCCAAGGAGATAAGGTAGATACCGACGGAGACGTTGACGATGGAGGAGGTCGTATCTAGGTCTTGTGAAACGTCGCTGACGGCAGGTAAGATGATACTTGTACCCATGGGGCCCGATATACCTGCGAAAGCGACAATGATGACGATGACGAACTTGATGTTGGGGGTGTAGTTTCTGGCATCGTCAAGCTCTGGAATGACCAGGAGCCTGGCCAAGAGGCCTCTTCTGGCAGACATGGGCTTCACGTGCTGTTTCATCTCCTTGATCAGCATCTTCTCCAGCGCCTGGACCAGATGGTTGATCAGGCCCTGCTCCAAGTCAGGTAGGCCCCTCGGCGAGGACGTAGGCGTGACGGATTTCTTATCGACATATGTCTGAGGCGCCTGGGTGCCTTCAGCACTGGAATCTAGCGAGACTGAGGTAGCTAGCGACGCTGCTGGGGAGGATGAACGGGAGGGCATGGCTGGAACACTTTAAGGTTTGGAATCGAAAGGCTGAAGACGAGATGAGGACGAGGTGGCGTGGGAGTATTAAACAGAAGGACGCGAGGTCTGAAAGTCTATAAGGATTGGCGGATGGCCGGTTCAATAAATAAGGGGCGTTCAGGAAGAAAGTAGTAGTGGGAGTTTCTGATGTGGAAGAGGAGGCTCGGCCGGTAGGAACAATAACCGATAGCGCAGGTGACAAAGGCAGGAGGGCGAGCCACGACCAGGTTACACAGGAGTAGAAAAAGCAAAAGGAGGGAGGAAGCAGCAGTATATATAGAGGCCGTGGCAGCAGGCGTATTTTGAATAAATTTCTTCAATTCTCCTTTCTTCATGCGTGAGCGTTTGGCGTGGTCTGTACCATCGGGCTGAAAACAGTGGAGAGCCGTTGTGCGGCAGGTGCACAGACTAGCGCATCGCCTCGGGATGGATGTGGGGTAGCTGGAGATATGGATTTCTGCCAAGGCATTTTCAAAAGGCCCGTTAAAGTGAATTGTGAAAATGTGAAACTTTGAAAGGAAACAAATTATCATTGGTTTTCTGGTTTTGTGGGGCTGGCTGCAAACGCGCAAAGCCGCTGTTTTTGACAGGTGCGTCGCAGTACGCCGGGGCGCCAAATGCCATTTTCGTCGACACAGTGGGCTAAGGGTTTATCGAGGATTTTCTATTTATTTAGCGGTTCGGTAGTTTTGGGTTTTGGAGATTTTTGTAAATTCTGCGGCGTGGTTGGCGTATTTCCGGTTGTATGATCTGGCACCGGTGATTAACGGGTGGGCGCAACAAGCGAGCAGATGTACTCCAGGCAGATACGACAGACCCTCATGACAGAAATAGAGATTCTAAATAGGTCTGTTGATTTGTCGAGTTTTTTTCGAAATCCCACTTATTTGCTGCCGTCAGTGCCAAGGAACAAAACATTTATCAAGAACGGCGCCCAGAATTCAAACACTTGACTCAAAGGTTGCGTCTCAGCACCTACGCGGGTCGGCACGTATTGGGCCGTTATGGATCTGAGCCGCTCTACATGTGCAATGCAAAAAGTGAAACTTCGTTTTTTTGTTTCAATAATGGCAATTTGCCTTGAACATGCACCCATCGGGCATTTACGACGCCGGAATAAAGGAATATGGCATAGGTGGCCCCGCCGGATATAAGACGAGTGGCTGCGAAATTTTCAACACTGCGGTCCTGAAGCCTGTTTTGCGGTCCTGAAGCCTGTTTTGCGGTCCTGAAGCCTGTTTTGCGGTTTTGCCTGAGACAAAGCTACATAGCCTCTTACACGGTTGCTTTCTGAGTTTTGGTTTTGTGGACGAGCGGGTGGCACCTGCAATAGGTGTTGTTTAGCCGCCAGATCCGATCCCTGAGTGGCTCGGGATGGCTTTGGTGGGTTTTGATTTGATGAATAGCATGATGTGGTACGGTAAAATAAGGAATTGTCAGACCAAGGCCTGGTCTTGAGTTCAAGGTGGGAGATTGATGTATGGCACGGCTGCGGAAGGTCGAGACGTGCTAGATACCCTATGGCAGCAAACAACGATTTTGTCAGTGTGATCAGAATTTTGGCAAGGATCCACAAAAAGTCATCAAAGCATTTTCATCACATCGCTGGCCGTTTTTTGGCTAATAGCGAGACTCAGGTTCGGCTGTCTCACAAGACGGGATGTGGATATGAGGTTGGCTGACAGTGAACCAGCGTTGACTGAAAGAAGCCGAAAAAAAATCCTTTTAATGCCGTTTCTGGAATATAAAAAAAAACATATTCACTTCTGCTAAATCGCCTGGTCACCTCCACACCTCCATTTGGCTCGGACTTGGCTGTTTCTGGACCGAGGTATGGCTGCGAAAAGACCCAACAACACCACAGTTGGCGACAGAGGCACTGGAGGCACCAAAAAGCCAGGAAAAGTCGAAGGTTGCAGGTTTGAACGATCACTTAAAGTCGATTCTCGATTCCCCTATCTCAATGGTTCCGTTTCTTCTCCCGCCATTATTGCTTGATCTGGCAGCCCAAGACAGCACCCACACGGAAAAATCACCCACACAATCTCGCAAACTCAACCGACATCACTTGCAAAATTCACACCCAAATCAAATCAATCACCCATTGCGATGCCTCACGCCGCAATCAGCCCACGATAAGCCCTCTTCATGAAGGCCTTATCTCCCCCGCAATTGGTCGGCCCAGCGCCCCAAACCAAGCCGGATCCCGGTGATTCCGTGACAACAAAGTATTAGATCTTTCTTTTCGTTTCAGAAAAAGCTCTTCTTGTCCTCCCCAGATCAATTGCTTCTTCCATGCACCGTGATGCAGCAATACCACTACTCGCTTACGTCAAACCGCGGCTCATCTCGATGATCCACCATCCGAACAATTGCATTCAACTGAAAAAAGTCAAATTCTCTCTCCGCCTCCTTCAAAGGTAAATTCTCAAATTATCCAATGCTTTCCCGGTTTCTCTGGAATTGTCCCCCGCCTCCGGCTCGGGTCCTCGGCTAAACCCAACTTTTCGCACTACATATTTTCCCTTCTAATACACCTTCTACTTCCACATTCCAAATCCCAAATTCCTCGCCATGCTGCTTTCTCGCCATTCCTGGCCCGTGGCGGTGGCTCGTACGGCTGTGGTTGCCGTGGCTTTCATCATTGGCTGCCTCAGTCTCAGATTCACCCAGGGTACAGCCAGAATGCTTCTCTATAGACATAAGAAGGCGTTCCACGCCGTCCTCAACTTGACCAAGCGCCAGTTCGTCCAGATTTTGACGTTTCTCACCGTGTTGATCAACCCGCTGAGAATCGCCGTCACCTACGACAAAAACCACCTTCCTGAACTGACCCTGTTCAGGGTAGACTCCAAGGGCAACCTCATCCTGAGCATTGTGCCCAACTCCGTGTGGATATGCAACCACCAGATCTACACCGACTGGTTGTTTTTGTGGTTTTTGAACTACACGGGCCGTTTTGCCGATTGCGTCTACATTGTGCTCAAGGCGGCTTTGGCCAACATCCCCATCTTGGGCCCGGGAATGCAGAACTACAAGTTCTTGTTTCTCCTGAGAAAATGGGACCTCGACAAGGTCAACCTTACAAACAGCTTGCTCGAAATAGATGCCGACGCCAGGGGCATGGGCCCCGCTTCCGGCGTGTCTCACCTTACTTCAACCTCAGAGTCCACCACGCTACCGGGTGTGCTGATCTGGCCCAAGGGCAATGTTCCCGAGGCTGCTAAGGGCACCACGGCGCTCTGGCCGTACCAAATGATCATTTTCCCTGAAGGCACGGTCATTTCGCCGCATACGAGGGAACGTCTGAACAAGTTTGCCAAGAAGCTAGGCAGACCCGAATTGAAGCACACTTTGCTTCCTAGAGTCCGTGGCTTGTTCCTCATGTTGCGGTCGTTGAGAGACACCGCCGAGTACGTCTACGACGTGACCTGCGGCTACACGGGTCTCACGGCGGAGGACTACGGAGAAGATGTGTTCACCTTGAAGGCATACTATATCAAAGGCTACGGTCCCTCGAAGATCAACTACCACATCCGTGCATTTGCCATCAAGGATATTCCTTTGGGCGACGACGATCTGGCTGACGTGGACAACGTGCCACCCGAGACCTTGGCTGCTTTTGAAAAGTGGCTTCTCGATATCTGGGCCGAGAAGGACGAGCTCATGAAGGTGTTTTTTGAGAAAGGCCTGTTTGAAAGCGAGGGCACGCACACGGTCGAGGCTGATTTCAAATTGCGTTCTCGCCACGAGGTGTTCCAGGTACTATTGGTTCCAGCCACTGCTATTCTATTGGCTAGATGCGCCTGGATTGGGGTTCGTAAGTTAGTGCAGATTTATGCCTAAATCTGAAGTGGGTGCGAAACCGTTTGGCTGCGAAAAATGGCTGCGAAAAAGGCTCGCCTGGGGTCTATTCCGAAACAACCCTCACACATCGCCAACTATAAATGCTCCTCTGGTTCCTCTGTGGCCCACTAATGATGTTCTGCATTTCGCTTCTTTGCAAGACCTTCACCTTGGTCTCCCTCATCATTGCATTGTTTCTCTTGGGGTTCCTCCTCATAGGCAATGTCTCCTCCGCACCGGCCTACTCGTCTGTGTTCATGATCAAGCTTCGCTTCAATACTACAGCGGATGCCTTCGATGAATTGGTCACCCACAATGCCTCGCTGCTTGCTGACCGCTACATCACTGCAAACTACATGGGTATCTGTGCTGGCCTTGAAAACGGAAAGAAGGTGTGCTCCGGTGCGGGAAACTTCACCTCGTTGGATGAATATCTTTCGGTGGAAGTTCAGGGCACCAAGATTTCTCTCGCTGAGATGTCGCTGCGCTTCACCGATGCCTGCCACCCAGGCCTACTTGTTGTTAGTCTTATCTTTGTGGTGCTTCTTCTTCTCACTGTTCTTTGGTGTGCCATCCCATTGTTACCATCGAAGCCTCTAGTCCGCAAGATCTCCGTGGGCTTGTGCCTTCTCAACATCCTCATCTGGGGACTTGGCCTGATGCTCCAACATCAGACGGTTGCGTCTGCATTGAGGCTTGTGGGGCCAAGCTCGATGGGCATGGTCTTAGCGTCCAAGGGAGGTCGTGCAGAAGCAATGACGTGGACGGCGTTTGCGTTTCTTTTGGTCGTTTTGGGTTTGCTAGTGAAACTGGTGTATCAAGATATGCGGGCGAAGAAGCCAGAGAAGGAGCCCGAGCAGCTGTATCCAATGCAGCAGGAGCGGTACTACTATGGCGACCCCAAGAAATACGGGTACGTCTGAAACAAGGCATTTGTTTCGTATGCTGGTATGAATAGAAATTAAGGTTAAATTTAGAATTATGTGAGTGTAGCAGGGTGGTTTCAGATTTCGCAGCCAGTGCCCAGGCGTCCAGGGTATACCTTTGACAATTGATTCAATTGACGGAGTTTGGTCATATATAGTAGGCTCTTGATGTCAATTGGGCTCATTCATCTCATAAGTCTGGAATATCGGAGTGAGTAGTTACAATAAGATTATGCTCATACAAAATAGACAGACTTATGCACCTTTGAGTATGTAGACAATCAATACTTGGAGCCCTGATACCATGAAAATTCCTGTTTTACCATGCAACTGACACCTCAAGAATTATTCAACTGACTGAGTTTCAATTAAAAAATCTCAAAATGACTCTGTTGACTCCCAGACTTGAGAGCCTGCTTATTCGTGAAGCTATCATAGTGAGAGGCTGCATAAGCACACACCAAATAGCAGTCAACTTTTTGAGCAGTCAACTTTTTTATTATAAAGCAGAAGAAACGATTGACATGATTCAGCTTTCTCAGTACACCAACTAGCCCTTTTTTCAACTCAAGCACTTAAACTATTTACACTTGGTGCATGTACATGCTTATGCTCTTTCGAAGCCTCACTGGCTTACCCCAGACGCGACACCCAGGACCCTTAGCCATTGACCTGGAAAATGGACATAAACAGCTGGTAAACAAATTTGATTTTTTGTCTAAGTTCAGAGTCTATACATTCAAATACTATTTGCCCTCTCATAGACCAATGACTCCCGCCGTTCTTTCGACGACCGTTGGTCTGGGCTGCACGACCGGCATATAACTCATCACATGACACAAAATCACACGCATCTCACGTGCCCTTAGACTCACCGAGCCAACCTCATTCCCACTTTTTTCACCGCGACCTGGAAAGCACCATAAACACCAGTACTACGGCTTCTTAACTCCACGATATCCAAAATGAAGTACACTGAGCAGCTCGACATTTTCGTCCAGCGGCTCAAGGACTCGGGCCAGGACTACAAGGAGGCCCAGTCCGTGCTCCTGGAGCTTCTAGACATGATTGAAGCCTTCAACGGAGCAGCCGAGTACGAGTACTTTTTGAAGAACATGGTGCCGATTTTCCTAAAGATTCTTGACGAGGTGCCCATTGCCTTCGACAGCAGCAGCCCAGAGCACAAGTTGCGTAATCTGGTGCTTGAAATCATCCATAGATCCATCATGACCGACACTTTCCAGCCCTTCTCAAAGCTGATTCTCGAGACCTTGACGAGAAGCTTGGAAAACGAAAACGAAGACAACGGTGTGCTTTGCATGAAGATCATTACAAGCTTGCACAAGGCGTACAAGACCACTTTGGCCGACCGCGTGGAGCCTTTTGTCGAGATTATCGGTAAGGTCTACGATAACATGGAACAGACAGTCAAGGAGGTCTTCAGTGAAGCTGAGCCTTCGCCAAAGACCGAGGACGACCTTTCCAAGGAGATGCTGCCCCTGGCCTCCTTGGGAGACGAAAACCCCAAACCGCTACGCAAAGCCATGCACTCGTTCAAGACGTTGGCTGAATGTCCCATCACCATGGTGTCGCTTTTCTCGTCCTACAGCACGCTTATCCAACTGTCGCTCCCCACATTCCTCCCAAAGATCATCAATATCCTCTTGCTCCAGGTTGAGCAGCAGAAGGAGTTCAGGGAGGAGCACCTCAAAACGGCACCCACCGTCACGGCCATTTCACCGGAAATCACCAACAGACAGGCCTATTCCGAGTACATTTTGGGCCAGGTGAAGGCTGCGTCGTTCCTCGCATACGTTTTCATCAGAGGATACGCTAATCAGTATCTTTCCCAAAACCAAGCAAGAGTCGTTCCGGACGTGATCCTCAGACTTTTGCAAGATTGTCCTGCTGAGCTCTCCGTAGCGAGAAAGGAGCTCCTCCATGCCACACGTCACATTTTGTCCACCTCCTTCCGCTCACAGTTTATTCCCAAAATCGAGCTTTTGTTCGACGAGAAGGTGCTTATTGGCCATGGTTTGACATCGTTTGAGACACTTCGACCTTTAGCATACTCCACCGTGGCTGACTTCATCCACAATGTTCGTAACGAGTTGACGCCCAAGCAGATCTGGTCTACGGTGCAAATTTACTGTGACCTCTTGAAGGATGACTCTTTGGCCTTGACGGTCCAAATTATGAGCGCCAAATTGCTTTTGAACTTGGTTGAGCGTATAATGAAGTTGCCCAACAAGCTAGAAGGTAGACAGCTTTTCATGATCATCATTGACTCCTATGCCAAACGTTTCCACAGCCTCAACAACAAGTATGCCTTTATTTTGAGACGCCACAACAAGTTTGAAGAGCGCAGAAAGCTCAAGGAGGTCGAGACTAAAAAGGCAGTCGAGAGATACTGCTCCAAGAAAGACAAGATAGAAGAAACCGCAAACGAAAACGGTACGACTAATGAACCCGACAATGACGACATGAAAATGGATGTTGATGAAGACAATGCAGACAATGAAGAAGCCGAATTGGCTGATATGTTCAGTGTTGAGGAGCTCTCACCAATCTCGCTCACTTCTCCAAATCACAGCTCAGACCTCCTCAAGGACGCTCGCTACTTGTTTAGAACGCTCATGACTTTCCTCAAGTCCGTGATTTTTGGTTTGAAGAACTGCAACCCACCTGTTCCTCCTCAGCCTACACAGCAGGATCCAAACAAGCCTGGCCAGGTTGTCAACTACGACAAGTGGAACGAATCTGCCAAGTTAACGTCTAATGAAGAGATCAACATCCTTAGAAGCTTGTTTAGAGGTGGTATCAGCTGTCTCCGGTTTTTCTCCGTGACTAAGCCAAAGACTGCTAATAAACCTCAGGCATTCGATTTTTCCACTGGAGGACCTAATCTCCCCATTACTTCCTCCAAGGAAGAGAAGGACTTGATGGAGATCTTCGCTACAATCTTTATTCATATCGATCCGGCATCATTCAATGAGATTGTCAGCGCAGAATTGCCCTTCATGTTTGACTCCATGCTTCAGAATGCTGCATTGCTTCATCTTCCTCAATTCTTCCTTTGCAGTGAGATCACATCGGCTAATTTCTCGGGCATTCTCATATCATTCCTCCGTTCCAAGCTTGATCAATTAGATAAGGTGGACTACGTCAAATCCAACATTCTCATCAGACTCTTCAAGCTCTGCTTTATGTCTGTTAACTTATTCCCCACTGCTAACGAAAGCGTGATTCTCCCCCACTTGAACCACTTGATTCTTGAATCCCTCAGATTGGCTACCAAGACTGACGAACCAATCTTGTACTCGTACTTGATTAGAACATTGTTCAGAAGTATCAACGGAGGAAGATTCGAGAACTTGTACAAGGAGATTATGCCAATCTTACCAGTGTTGCTCGAGAGTCTCAACAAGTTGATTGTGAATTCCAGAAGACCTTTCGAAAGAGACATCTATGTTGAATTGTGCTTGAATGTCCCCGTCAGAGTTTCTGTATTGTTCCCACACTTGAACTACTTAACGACGCCTTTGGTCTACGCACTTAATGGTAACCAGGAGCTTATTGGCCAGGGTTTGAGAACATTCGAGCTTTGTGTTGACAACTTGACTGCCGAGTACTTTGACCCAATGATCGCACCAGTGATTGACGACATCATGGCTGCTTTATGGAAACATCTCGAGCCTGTGCCATATCACCATCAGCATTCGCATACTGCCATCAGGATTCTTGGTAAGTTAGGTGGCAGAAACCACAAGCATTTGAAGCCCTGTAACTCTTTGAGGCCTCAGTCGGAGCTCGATCAGGAAGTGAAGGCTTTGTTCACGATTCATGGATTTAACGGCAAGGTTCCAGTATCGGTTACTCCAGGCATCGAATCTGCAATCAAATTGTTGGAAGACACCAGACTCAAGATACACTACAGAGTGAGCGCTTTCAACTACCTTTCCAGTATTCTCAAGTTGTTCATTGACACCACTCCAATTCCAAAGGACTACAGTGCATACATCCAAGAGCTGGTGGAACTCTTGAAACAGGACGAGCTCACAGAATACCCAGAACTTGATCCATCTGACATCAAGGACGCTTGCAAGTTGGACAGACAGCAGAAGCTCTTTTCCAGGCTTTTAGAGACTTTGTTCTTCTCCCTTTCGATCCCTGAACTCAAGGACGAATCGAGCAAGCTCATTGACAACATTACCACTCATTTTTCGCTTATTCACCTTGGCACTTCCATAATTTCCAAGATCAAGAAGGACAGACCTTTCTCAGTCAAGGACCAGGAAGGCAAGGCATACATTAGTGAGACTGTCTTTTTCAACGCCTTGAACTATGCTTTGAGCTTCTACGACAAGGACGTTCGCGAGAAGGGTATTCAGATCATCAAGAATCTTTACACAACCACTGTCACATTGTTTGGTTCTGACGAAGATGCCCTTTATTCGCCATTGTTCCGCACCATGTTTTACAAGTTCACTCACTGCTGCTACAGCGAGTTTTACTTCAGCAAGCTTGGTGGTGTTCTCGGTTTGAAGACTATGTTCGAGGAATTGAACATACCACCCAAGTGGTTCTTCAAACGCCAATTTGAGCTCGTGAGATCGGTGTTTTTCATCTTGAGAGATACTCCCGAGACTGCCCCTTACGAGGTCAGAGAATTGGCCAAGTCTCTTGTGTTGAACATTTTGAAGGAATGTAACGCAGACTTGAACAAGGATTCCATTCTGGAGAAGCCATTCCAGACTCTCGTTGGAGCTTTGGTGTACGATCTCGCAAGTGCCATCCCAATGGTGAGAGAAGTCTCTCAAGAAGCTTTGAAGGTATTGTCAGAGGCTACTGGTGTTCCTGTGGCCACCATCATGGGCCCATGCAAACATCTTTTGTTGACACCTATTTTTGGCAAGCCATTGAGAGCTCTTCCTTTCCCTATGCAAATCGGTAACATTGATGCTATCACCTTCTGCTTGAACTTGGATAACAGCTTCTTGACCTTCAACGACGAGCTCAACAGACTTCTTTTGGAAGCCTTGGCTTTGGTTGATGCTGAAGATGAGAGTCTTGCTAACGTGCATCGTCTTTACGAACATAGAACTTCTAAGCAGTTGGTTGAACTTCGTGTGGTCTGCATCAAGTTGCTATCCTTGGCTTTGACGAAGCCCGGATTTTCCTTGGGCTCCTTATCGGAGGCCAGGATCAGAATTCTTGGAGTCTTTTTCAAGGCCCTTTGCAATAAGTCAACTGAGATTATCAATGCTGCCCACCTTGGTCTCAAGGCCAGTCTTGATGAGAGTGCCAAGCTTCCAAAGGAGTTGTTGCAGAACGGACTCCGTCCTATGCTTATGAACTTGTCCGATCACAAGAAGTTGACAGTTTCCGGCTTGGAGGCTTTGGCTAGACTCTTAGAGCTTTTGATTTCATACTTCCGTGTGGAGATTGGTCGTAAGTTGCTCGATCATTTGATGGCATGGGCTCAAATCAACACTTTGCGCCAGATTGCCGGTCAGGATTTGAAAAACAACCACACTGTGCAAATCGTCATGGCTATTTTGAACATTTTCCATCTTTTGCCAGCTAAGGCCTACACCTTCATGGAAGAGATCATCAACACGTTGCAGTACCTCGAGGGTCACTTGGACCGTCATCAGGACTCCCCATTCAGATTGCCTGTCCTCAAGTTCTTGAACAGATTTGCCGACAACTGCTTGGAGTACTATTTGAACAACTACAAGAACAGAAAGCTCGGCAACATGTTGGCCTACTTTGCAGGCTGCGAGGATGGTCCTAAGATTCGTGCCGTTGCAATCACCAAGATGGATGGCATTCTTGAGGATCTCAAGAAGGAAACTTCTGAGGAGATAAAGGTCATTAAGTTTGCCAACACTGTCGACCTTGTGGCATCCATTGCCAAGTATGACAAGGAATGGTTCAAAGAGCAGGCTCCTTTGTTGGATTCTTTGTCGGCTTTGATGGAGGACATCATCAAGAACAAGGGTCAGTTGCCTTTGGTTTCCAGCAACCACTTCCAAGCCGACCAGGCCATCAGCAAATTGCAAATCACCATTGTGGACTTCATGCAGCACAAGCCAGAGGAGACCAGTTTGGTGTTCTACACTGTTAACAGACTCTGCAACTTGGAGCTTAAGGTCCACGAGGAACTCGAATTGTTTTTCTTCGACACTGTTGTCAGATCGGAAGACGTGGAGCGGAAGAAAACGTACTTGCTTAGAGCAGTGGAGTTCTTGGCTGAGGATGTCAATTTGAAGGCGAAGATTTTCTTCTTGAAGAAGGTGTTTGATAGCACTTTCCTCTACGAGATCAGCAAGTCCGAAAATGCTGATTGTTTCTTTGATGACAATACTGAATGGTTGGAGAAGCTCAACGAGGTGGTATGGCAGTCTACTCATGACATCACCACAGACAAGACATCAGGAAAGATCGACAGCTACAGATTCGCTCTTCTTGAGAGCACATCTATCTTGCTTAAATGGGCGCCTGAAAAATTAAGCCAGTACAGAAAAGACATTGTCAAATTTAGTTGGAACTACATCAAGCTCGAGGACAACATCACCAAGCAGGTTGCCTATGTGACGACTTCTTACTTCATCGCAGCTTACGAGACTCCGGCTAAATTGGCTACTCAAGTGTTCGTTGCATTGTTGAGAGCTCACCAAAATGACTCCAGACATCTTGTGAGACAGGCTCTTGACATTCTCGCTCCAGTTATGTCTTTGCGTATTGTCGATAACGACCATCCTAACAGTTGGTTGAAATGGCCAAGACGTGTGCTTTCTGAAGATGGATTTAATGTCACCCAGGTATTGAATGTGTACCAATTCATTGTGCAACACCCTGACTTGTTTTTCGTTGCCAGGGAACACTTCATCTCCAACATCATCACCGCCATGGGTAAGTTGACCATTTTGGCTAACGCTGCTTTGGAAAACCAGGTTCTTGCCATTGACTTGGCCGAGCTTATTTTGAACTGGGAACACAAGGCCGATGAATTGAAGCAACAAGGCAAACTTACTGACGGTCTGGAAATGGATACTGAAGACAAGGCTGATGGTGATAGCGACTCTGATTTCACCACTTCCCCAGACTACCAGATTCCATTTGGCCAGAGAGAGGCTTGTGTGACTTTCTTGATTAGATACGTCTGCATCAGTCCACAGAGAGCTTCTGAAAGTGAGCTTGGCCAGAGAGCTTTGGGGATCTTGTATGACCTCTTGAGCCCCAACCACTGGCCAGAGGTCTCCGTCAAGACCACCTTCTTTGAGAAATTTTTGCTTTCCAACGACCTCAATTCTTCCAACCTTTTGGGATACTGTTTGAACGCATTGGAGGTGTTGGGTGTTGTGTTGGAGTGGAAGAAGCCTGACTGGATCGTGTCCAACCTTGGCTACTTACACAAATTGCTCGAGAAGTGTATTAAGTCGGATAATCACGATATCCAAGAGGTACTTCAAAGAGTCTTGCGTATCATTCTCCAGGCTATCAACAGTGAAGTGACTACCGAGCCCGCTGAGGACGAAGACTCCGAGGTTAAGACATTCATTAACGATTTGATCACAACTGTGTCGGATGATTTGGGTGACACTACCTCTCTTGCTGCTGGTGTCACTTTGTCGTGGACATTGGCGAACTACAAGCCATCAACCCTCGATCTGTTGTTGCCTGGTATCATGAGAACCTTCAACAAGCTTTGCAAGGACCACATCACTATCACCCACCAGGGTGCCCAGTCATCCTCTAAGGAGGCCAACAACTCTGCCGATGAAGCAAAGATGACCACAAAGTTGTTGGACAAGATCTTGAACCTCTGCTCCATGCGGATTTCCAATTTGGGCGACCAGAGACGTATCTTCTTGTCATTGTTGGCTCAGCTCATCGAGAGGTCTTTGGACAAGGACACCTTGGAGAAGATCATCAAGATCGTCAAATCGTGGGTGTTTTCAAGGACTGATCTTTTCCCTACCACCAAGGAGAAGGCTGCTATTTTGGCTAAGATGATGGTGTTTGAGATCCGTGGAGAGCCGGTCTTGTCGAAGGAGTTCTACCAGATCATCGTGGACATTTTCGAGGATGACACTTTCAGTTGTACTGAGTTGACGGTGAGAATGGAACAACCTTTCTTGGTGGGTACCCGCTCATCTGAAGTCTCCATTCGTCGTAAGCTCATGTCCATCTTGAACCACAGTTTGGAAAAAGACATAAGCAAACGTCTCTACTACGTCATTCGTGAACAGAACTGGGAGTACCTTGCAGACTACTCATGGCTCAACCAGGCCTTACAATTGCTCTTTGGTGCTTTCGACTTCAACGACAAGCTTGAGTTGATCTCTGAGGAAAACACTTTGCCACCTTTGACGGCTTTCCCATACAAGGAGAGGGACATGGATGTTGATGGCCGCAGCGAGCTTGACGAGTTGTTTGAATCTCACAACAAGTTCTTGGAAGAGGTTTCAGAAATCAGATCTGGCGCTATTCTCGAACCAATGATCGATTTGTTCTACCAGAGCAGCGAGACTGTTCACCAGGTGTGGTCCACCATTTTCCCAATTGCGTTTTCGTCCATCCCACGTTCCGACCACTTGGACTTCACCAGATCTTTGGTCATCTTGTTGTCTAAGGACTACCACACTCGCCAAGTGGATGTGAGACCGAACGTGATCCAGTCTTTAATGGAAGGTGTTGCTAGATGCGAGTCTCTCCAGTTACCACCATTTGCTGTCGAGTGTCTTGCTTCTAATTTCAACGCTTGGTCGCAAGGAATCCATATTCTCGAAAACATCGAGCACCAGTCGGTCAATGGTAATGCTGAAGTCCGTGAAGTTACACAAGATGCTCTTGCCAAGCTCTATTCCACACTCAAGGAAGACGATATGTTTTATGGTTTGTGGAGAAGAAGAGCCAAGTACTCTGAGACGATTTCCGCCTTGTCTTACGAACAAATCGGTTTGTGGGACAAAGCACAGCAGCTCTACGAAACAGCGCAGATCAGAGCACGTAGTGGTGCCTTGCCTTACGGCCAGTCCGAGTATTCCCTTTGGGAAGACCATTGGATTTTGTGTGCTGAAAAGTTGCAACACTGGGACATTCTTACTGAGCTTGCCAAACATGAAGGCTTCAGTGACCTTCTTTTGGAGTGTGGCTGGAGAGTCGCCGATTGGAACGCCGACAGAGATACCTTGGAGCAAACAGTCAGGAGTGTGATGGACGTTCCAACTCCAAGAAGACAGGTATTCGAGACCTTCCTTTGCTTGCAAGGTTATGGTCAGGAGAAGGCAACGTTGCCAGAACTTTCCAAGTTATGTGACGAAGGTATTCAATTGGCTTTGAGAAAATGGCACGGATTGCCACAGAGATTTATGGGTGCTCATATTCCATTGCTTCACACATTCCAACAGTATGTTGAATTTATGGAGGCTAGTCAAGTGTACTCGAGTCTTGTCTCTACTAATGCCCAGAACTTGGATGTGAAGTCACAGGAACTCAAGCGTGTGTTGCAGGTGTGGAGAGAAAGACTTCCTAACATATGGGATGACATCAACATTTGGAACGACTTGGTCACTTGGCGTCAACACGCCTTCCAGGTGATCAACAAGGTGTACATGCCATTCATTCCTATCTTGCAGCAGAACAACTCTGACGGAAATGCCAATTCTTATGCCTACAGAGGCTTCCACGAGATTGCATGGGTGATCAACCGTTTCGCACATGTCGCTAGAAAGCACAACATGTCTGAGGTTTGCATCAACCAGCTCACCAAGATCTACCAGCTTCCTAACATTGAAATCCAGGAGGCTTTCTTGAAATTGAAGGAGCAGGTCAAATGCCACTACCAGAACCCTAACGAGCTCAACACTGGTCTTGATGTCATTAGAAACACCAACTTGGTTTATTTTGCAACCGAGCAGAAGGCTGAGTTCTTCACTTTGAAGGGTATGTTCTTGAGCAAGCTCAACCACAAGGACGAAGCAAACAAGGCATTTGCTACATCTGTTCAGATCGACCTCAACTTGCCTAAGGCCTGGTCCGAGTGGGGTGTTTTCAACGACAAGAGGTTCAAGGAGAACCCTACCGACTTGGTGTATGCAAACAACGCCATCAGCTGTTACTTGCAAGCTGCTGGTCTCTACAAGAACGGAAAGACCAGAAAGTTGCTTGCTAGAATTCTTTGGCTCATCAGTTTGGATGATAGCTCTGGTACCTTGGCACAGGCCTTTGAGAATTTCAGAGGAGAGGTGCCCGTGTGGTACTGGATCACGTTTATCCCACAGCTTCTTTCGTCGTTGTCGTACAAGGAAGCTAAGTTGGTCCGCCAGATTCTTATCCGTATTGCAAAGAGCTTCCCACAAGCTTTGCACTTCCAGCTCAGAACCACCAAGGAGGACTTTGCTGCCAAACAGCGCCAGTTCATGGAACTTCATCGCCAAAAGAGTACCACTGCCGCATCTCCATCCAATGCAACCGGTGATCCACCATCAGATGAAAAAGAGAAGCTGGAAGAGTCCAAGAAGGAGTCTGAGGAGTCCGACAAGAAGGGTGAGGAGAAGAAGGATGACGAAGAGGTGAAGGAGGAGAAGAATGACGAAGAGGCCGTGAAGGCCGAGGATGCTATGCAAGAAGACAAGGAAGAAAATGAGGACTCCAAATCTCCTAAACAGAAGAATGATCCATCTTCTGAGAACTCCAAGTTGCCACCAGCAGCTGGTGCTATCAGACGCTCCTGGGAGTACGTTGAGGAGATCATGGGTATTTTGAAGACCGCCTACCCATTGTTGGCACTTTCCTTGGAGTCCTTGGTTGACCAAATTAACCAGAGATTCAAGTGTACTGCCGACGAGGATGCTTACAGACTCGGTGTGGCATTACTTAATGACGGTGTTCAGTACCTCAACCGTCTTGGAAACCCTAGGGAGGATGCTAAGCTTCCTCCAGTGACGGAGGTCAACATCACCAGATTCGCCGAGACTGTTCTTCCTAAGCAGATTCGTGCTGAGTTTGAAAAAGACTTGGTTATTGGTAAACCAAACTTGGAGACCTACATTATCAAATTGAGGAAATGGAGAGACCGCTTGGAGGACAAGTTGGACAGAAGATTTACTGAGGTGAACCTTGAGAACTTGTGTCCTCACTTGAGTGAGTTCCACCATCAAAAATTTGAGGACATTGAAGTGCCAGGCCAGTATTTGTTGAACAAGGACAACAACAGCCATTTCGTGAAGATAGAAAGATTCTTGCCTACTATCGACTTGGCCCGTGGAACCAACGCATGCTACAAGAGATTGAAGATCCGTGGTCACGATGGAAGTCTCCATGCCTTTGCTGTGCAATTCCCAGCTGCTAGACACTGTCGCCGTGAGGAATGCTTGTTCCAGCTTTTCAGAATCTTTGACGATTCGTTGTCGAAGAAGGTGGAGACCAGACGCCGCAACATCCTGTTCACCCTTCCTATTGCTGTTCCATTGTCTCCTCACATCCGTATCATCAACGATGATCTGAGAGATATCAGCATGCAGAAGGTGTACGAGGACTTCTGCTTCAAGGAAGGCAAGAACCGCGACGAACCATTCATCTACACCATCGAGAAGTTGCGTGCTGCCTTTGACCCAAGATTGCCCAAGCCTGACATCATGAGTATCAGGGTGGAGATCTTGAGTGCCATCCAGTCGCTTTTGGTGCCTTCGACTGTCTTGAAGAACTACTTCTTGAACCTTTATCCTAACTTTGAGGACTTCTGGTTGTTCAGAAAGCAGTTCACCTCTCAATACGCCTCGTTCATCTTCACCACTTACATGATGTGCGTGAACACCAGACAACCACAGAAGATTCATGTGAACCGTGGCTCAGGTAGCGTCTGGACTTCGGATATGTTGCCATGCAAGATTGCAAGCAAGAACGCTACTTTGGATTCCTCCAACGGCGGCCGTCCAGCTCCATTGTTCTACAATGCTGAGATGGTGCCATTCAGATTGACGCCTAACATCCAGAAATTGATTGGCAAGTCTGGCCTTGAAGGCATCCTTTCTGTCTACGTGCTTGTTATTGCCAGAGCTCTTACGGAACCCAAGTCCGACTTGGACCAGTACTTGACCTTGTTCGTTCGTGACGAAGTCATTTCTTGGTGCACTCAACAAGATCCACCTAGACCAGTTCCTCAGGATAACCAGCTCCGTGAGATTGTGATGCTCAACGTGGATCTTATCATCAAGAGAGTGTTGTCTATGGCCCACGGAAACTCGACTTCCAATGTGAGTACACAAAGTGTCTTGGAGCTTATTGCTCAAGCCGTGAACCCACACAACCTTGCTGCTGCCGACACATTGTGGATGGCGTACTTCTAAGCAAGTTGTACTATAGCTATATGTATAAATTAAGATGTATATTAAGATTCTAGTGTAGGTAAGCCCTCTGGAGGCGTTCAAGAGGAACGCCAGCTTCCATATCGAGCCTGTTCGCCTCCCGGTCCCTTACAAGATGGTTATTTTTGTAGTGAAGATGTCTGGATATGACGAACAAACGAACTAACCCAAATAAAGCCCACACGCCCACAAGCACGGCTGAAGCAAGATGAATTACCTTGAGAAACTTTGTGGCATCGACATTCGAGTTATCGACGATAAAAGGACCATCTGCATTTTCCAATATGACGGCACTGGCGATCCACAAACCCAGTAAAATTAGCTTGCAAGTCGTGGCAACCAATACTAGCCTGTATTGTAAGATTGTTGGAGAAGCAGGGCCAACTGAAGAAAAAACCAACAATATGCTCTGAGGTTAGTGGTGTTTAGAACCAATAGAGTTGCAAACATACAAAAATATAGGTGATAAAGGGCAATACCATGCTATAGCGGGGGACTCCGCTGACCTCTTGAAGGTGCAAGACACTCATCATCAACACCGCATAAGAGAAACAAATGTCGAGGGCATTGAAGAAGCCCCAAACGGAGGAGACCTTATTCGAGTTTCTTCTGAACTCTTGTTGATCATAGATTTCGTGGGTATCGATGGCATCGTCGAAACGGGGTGGCATTCTGGAGTAGTATCTTTGTGAATGGTTGCAAAAAGATGGTGCGAGCCCACAAAATGTGCCTAGAGTCTGACACAAACTGAAGAGGTGAGTTGCCGCTATATGTGCTCATAATCCATGCCACGAAGAAATCCTTTATGTCTCTTGAGGTTCAGAAGGCTTGAATTGAGAAGTCAGTGAAGGTCTATGGCTGCAAATTTGGATACCCCACTTGATGCTCCAGACCAAAGCTAATCACGTAAAATAGATGAAGTGGCTAGGCAAATAGCATCAAATAAAGCAAAATCCACAATGTATCTCAATTGACTAGAGCTTTGACTCCTCTGTCTCACCAGGGGTAGGAGCTTTGACTGGAGGATCCCGGTTCACCACCATTCTATCATACAACCCCCTCTCCATCTTGCACCATATCTTGTTAGAGAGTTCCACACCCTCACTGAGCCATATACCCCAGGCACCCATCATGTTTGCCATAAGCATATCTGTGAACAAACGGTCACCAATGACGACAATCTCGCTGGGCTTTTCGATACCTTGTTTGGCAAAATAGGACATAATCTCTTCATGACAGCCTGGCTTCTTTGTAGGATGTCTCAACACAGTGACCCCCGTGTCCTTCTCTAGCTTCTCTGCCTGTTCGTAGTTGGTGTCATCATTAGTTCCAGCAGAGTTCGACACGATAAGCAAGTGTTCCTTGGGGTAGTTCTTTTGAAGTTCGGCCCAAATGTCGTTGTAAGCTGGCCAGACCTTGTCGTCCTTGTCTTTGGCGAAACAATTGTCCTTGTCCAAAACAACACCTTTGATGTTGGCATCTTCGTGTCCTGGAATTTTGAACGGAATTGGGAGTTTGTCGAAGGAAGCGACAGCTAAGTGCGGTAGACAAAGGCTGGGGTTGTAGGAGAGCCTTCCTACATTGAGAATGGCGCTTGCGTTGAAGATTTGCATTGGTGGAGGAGTAGTTGGTGAGAGCGATAAAGTGTTGATAATACTGGTGCGATCATGTGATCGACGACACTTTTGACAGCGGGGGAAGGAGATGAATGGCGGGTAAAAGAAGCTGGCATGCGTGATTAAAGAGTTTTGATAATTAAATTTGTGCTGTCTGGATTAGGTGTGTAAGGGCATTCTTGACAAGTTCTTCTGCGTAACTAGAGGGGATCGTATTTGAGTCTGAGCCCTCCAATCAAGGCGTTCTTTCAAAGTTGAAATCATCAAATCAATTGGAGTTTATTTCAATTCTTTGACTCTTCTTACCTTGGGTCATTGTGAGTTCGACTGTCTTGAACATATGATTCGCAGGCTATGAGGAGCTAGAATGGGTATTGGGAGGCAATTAAAACGGCGATTTTTCCTAGTCTTTCCTAAAATCACAAAATGTTTCAGAAACTTGATTTTTCATTTCCTGCTCCGCTTTTGTCGCTTTTTGATGTTTTTCCATTGTGAGATATGGCTGCGAAACGCATGGCCCTGTCAGATAACGCACCCAGTTTTGAATATGCAATACTGAAGTAGACTAGCTTCCCAAGAGCTCAAAAATATTCGTTCACTTATGTGAATTTTTTAATAATGCTAAATTTTGAGACTGGGATTTTGCTAAAAGTTTCAGATAACCAAGTGTGACAGCGTCATGCGAGGAATTCGCTTACATCAAGTCACTAACCGAAGCATGCTATGAAGTTTTCCAACACACCAGCATCAAAACTATTAGTCTTCTCGGCACATAAAAGCACTCAGCCACACCAAACGATCAAACATTCACTGTTTCTTTTGAAACAGTCTACTACGGATTCTTGCGATTGAACACTACCCGGCTCTTCCAGAGAATTGCCTACAAGCTTCTCCATTTCATCGATTCAATCAATAGCTGGAGAGACAGAAACTCATTTATCGTTGAGGTTGCCATAGTGTATGAAAGAGCAAAAGAAGCGTAGTCTTGAATATCATGATGCAGTTACCAAGCTAAGTGTCTGCGAACCAACGTCATAAAGAATATTTCTCTACTACATATCTTTGGCATGTCTAGAAGCCAAAACAACTCCAAACAACTCCAAACAACATACTTCTTTGCCATCATTCCTTTTCTGTCCTCCCAAAATGAAATTGCTGATTGTACCACATCTGTTACTATGAGCAAGCGTACACGCCATTTTGCACCCAGTCAAAACCACCCAAGGAGCCCTCCGTCTGAACCAAAAAAGTCACCATATCTATTAAAGCTACCAATTCCTTAACAATCAAAAGTAAAACCTCTCAAGTCGCCTCCACCTCCACATTTCTCCAAACCCTTCACCTCCCCACGTTCGTGCGCTCCATATACAAAATTTTCTCACCTACAACTACACGATCACAACCAATGTCCAATGATACCACCAAAGGCCGTTCCCGTGTGAGCAAGCCGAAACCGGGAAAACAGAAAAAGGAAGAAAACCTTCCGTCGAATGAAAACTCTTGCATAATTTGTGCCGAGGCGATCTTGTACTCGGCGGTTTCTCCATGCAACAACGTCACTTGCCATCTCTGTTGTTTCAGACAAAGGGCGCTTTATGAGAGGAACACGTGTTTGGTATGCCGAACTGAACACCCGCAGGTGGTGTTCACGGATCAGGTTTTGGAGCCCGAGGCGAAATACACCCATTTTGAAGATCTGAGCAAGGTCCTCATCAACGATAAGTACGGGATTCGGTTCACCTCGGAAGATGCCCAAAACGCCACCATGCTGCTTCTAGAACAGAAATGCACCATGTGTGACGAGACCTTCCCAAAATTCAAAGATTTGGCCGACCACACCAAGAACACTCACAATAAGGAATACTGTTCCATTTGTGCCAGCCATAGAAAGGCTTTTACGAGTGAGTTGAAGCTATACACTAGGAAGCAGCTCCAGCGACACCTTCAGGATGGTGACTTTGAGGGCTTTACCGGACACCCTCGTTGTAAATTCTGCAGAAACAAGCAGTTCTACTCCGAGGACGAACTCAATATCCACATTAGAGACTCCCACGAGAGATGTTACATCTGTGACCAGGACCAGCCCCGCCAGTCAGCATATTATAGAAACTACGACCACCTTTACGAGCATTTCAAGGATTTCCACTACGTGTGCTCTGTTCCCTCATGTGTGGAGAAACGATTTGTCGTCTTCAGAGAAGATCTCGACCTCACGGCTCACATGTTGAAGGAACACGGAGGACTTACAGGCCACAACGGCAGGGTGGTGATTGGCGCCGGCTACCAATCGCAGCTCTCCACTTTCTCCCAAAATCACCGTCCTCGGCCTCAACCCCAGCAGGACTCCATGGATACCAAAAGAAGACGGTTGGAGGAGCGTGCCAAACATTACCTCAACAGTAACGAAGAGGACATGGCCCGCTTCGCCGATATCAACCAAGCATACAAATCCAAACGCATCGACGCCCTGCGTCTCATCAGTGACTACGAAGCCTTATTCAAGGTGCCCGAGCTGGACCTTTCTCTTTTGGTCTACGAGTTGGCCGAATTGTACCCACAAAGCTCCGACCAAAGACAACAGCTCCACTCGGTTTATTTATCGAAATACCCAGCATCGCCTTCGTCCTCTCATGCTGCATCTCCAGGCTTGACCGAGAAGTTCCCTGTTCTTGGAAACGGCTCTCTGAGCTCCATTTCGCTCTCTCTGTGGGCGCCATCACAGCTGAAGAAAACACAAAATGAGCTTTTCCCAAGGTTGCCTAAACCAGCTAAGCCTACGGTTGTCAAGAACGATCAGCCTGTTCGTTACGTCAAAATGAAGAAGCCACAGCCCAAGCCGTCAGTCACTGTGAACAACTTCCAAGGCAATTCAAGTTTTAGACCAACTTACTTGGAGTCTCAGAGACTGTCTTCAGCATCTTCATTTCCTTCATTGAACGGTTCCGCTAGCTCTAGCAATGCCAATCTGCGCAGTAACTCTCCTATGGTGAGTGCCAGTCCAAAGCTTTCAGATAAGAGCTTCCCTGCGTTGGCGAAAAAGACTACCAAAAAAGAAATTCCTAGAGTTAATCCCGTTAGCAACGGCTCGGGCTCTTGGGGAACTGGCCTTGCTCAGCCCACACCAAAACCTACGGAGGATTTTGGTATTCCCATCATAGATAAAAAGGCTGAAAAGCTCAGACGGAAGCAGGAGCGGGCTCAGCGGAAGTGAGTGCGTTTATGAGCCGCGCACGCTATCGAAGAGCATCGATTCCACGAGAAGCACCAAAGGCAATCTCCACATAACTTCCACTTTTCTGCATTTCATTCCCCCACATGTTTCGCCTAGCTCGCTCTAGCATCCTCAGATCGGCCAGACTAGCATCTAGACCTAGCGTCCTTCGAGTGGCGCCCAAAATACCAACTTCCTTTTCCTTCCCCAGGCCCCAGATCAGATGCCACTCCACAGACAAGTCGGCCACCATCCAAGGCCAAAAGCCCGAGCTCATGATTGCATTCACATGCACCAAGTGTGACACGAGATCGTCTCACGTCTTTCTGAAACAGTCATACACGAACGGAACAGTCTTGATTCAGTGTCCCGGGTGCAAGAACCGTCACTTGATCGCCGACAACCTCAAGATCTTCCGTGATAACAACGTCAACTTGGAGGACATTCTCAAGGCCAAGGGTGAGCTGGTGGCCACCACAACAGAAGATTTAGCTTTCGAGGACATCCCGAGTCCTTGAGGAAGACCATTGGCCACCACGCCAAAGACGCTCCAGAGGAGTTCCAGAAGAAGTGGGAAAACAGTGACAACGGATTGCCTCCCACGAAGGAGTAAACAGGTAAAGTATAGAGGGGACAGGACTGGAATACACAGGCAGAGTATTGGAGTGTAGGCTACCAAGCCAGTAGATTAGTGCTTCTGAATTGCGATCGATAAAAGAAGCCACATTTGCAACTTCTTTTGTATCTTTTCTCTATGAAAGTGGTGGCTCAACCGTAGCTAGTTGGTTACCAGATCGGTTGGAGTGCGCTCCATAACCGAAAATTGAAAATCGTAGACTATACCACCATGTCCAGATCTCTTTACACAGCGGCACGTTTTGTGCCCAGATTGGCACTTCCACGGTCATCTATTGTTCGGAGCTTCGCCACAAAGCCAGAAACGCCGTTGGAAAAGTACAAGCTGAAACTTGAGCAGAAGGCCAAGGAAGTTGGTGCACTGAATGTGGATGAGTTGAAGGAGAAGCTCAAGGACGAGATCGAGGCAAAGAAGAAGGAGTTCAATGCAGTTGATCCTTTGAAAGAGCTCGAGGAGTATGAACTCAAACAAGCTGAAGAGCTCAAGAAGAAGAAGCAGGCTGAAGAGACTAATCCAGCTATTCGTGCTGCCATCGATAAGACCGTCCCCAAAGAACCATACAAGACCCTCTCGTCGTTCGTAGACGTTGAGAAAGTCAGAGAGTTGCCATTGAAGGAGTTGGAGTTCATCTGGAGAGCTCGTTTCCAGAACAAGGAGAGAACCCTCCAGGCACTCTTGGAGTCTCATCAGTTTGCAACCATCTTCGCCAATGCCTTCAAAAACCCCAACTTTGTCTTACCGCTTCCACGTGGCGACGACGGCTACGAGATCCACTTTGTTCAGTGGGGTTTCCCTGGTCCAAATACCACCCACTGCATGTTGACCACATTGGCGGAGTACCAGCTTCACAAGGAATACGCCAAACCTCACACAACATTGATGTTCCACCAGGAGTTGATCGAGGATAAGGAGGTGGTGTTGATGAACGGCCAGGTTGAATCTGACGTTTCGCTCACTATGGACGAGGCCCAGCTCTTAGTGCTCAATGTCCAGCGCTTCTATGGCGGTTTGAAGGAGTCTGAAGGTTCCAAGAGAAAGCTTGCTTTGCTCAGGGACTTCACGGCAGGTAATCCTGAATTTGATATGAAGAAGCTTGTTGAAGAGGCTGCTTCTTTTGATTAGATGAGTCGCCTCTTGTATATATAGAATGATAGGCAATCACCCAGTATGCGTAGATCAGCTGCCTAAGCTGATGATGTCGTCGAGAATGGAGTCCTCTTGGCGAGCGGGTTTCTTAGCTGGTGCTCGTTTCTTTGGCGCTGGCTTGGCCTTCGCTTTAGCTTTAGGTTCTGGCTGAAACTCGACCTCTGAATCGTCAGATACCACTTGAGGCTCTTCATCTGATTCGTCCGAGATAACGACTTCCTTGCTTTTCACATTGCGACGTGATGCTGGCTTGGCTTTTGCTGGAGCCTTTGAAGTCTGGGCTTTGGTTCGCTTCTTAGGTGCTGGTGCTGGCTCACTCTTGGTATCTATGAGCATTTCGTCTGACTGGGTCACTGGAACATCTTCCACGGGAATTCTCTTATTCTTGGTTCTGAGCTGATTAAGAAGCTGCCCGAAGGACCGCTTGAGCGTCATATCGTCACCAGCATGGAAATCGTTCTCGTCGATGTTGATATCCAAAAGCAGCTTGGACGCTTGCTCGATAGACAGCTCCACGTAGTCGGTGAAGATCTGCTTATCATCTTGCTCAATGAACTTCTTCGTGACGTCGTACATACCGTTTTCTGGCATGAGGAAGAGACTCGACTCGTCAAGGAACTGTTTGAGGATTTGCTGGATAGAAACTCTGGACGTGTCGCTTTGTTCGGGCACGGTCACATCTTTGGGCACTTTCTTACCCACCTCATACTTTGGCGCTTTTTTCTTGTGGTATAGAAGAATGTCATTGACATTGGCAACCTTGCCCACGAACTTATTGGAGAATCGCCTGGAATTCTCAATTTCGTAGTCACCTGTATGGTCCACTCGAAGGCGGATCAAGGGAAGTGGGATTTCCTGATCGTCTCCCTCCTCAACGCCATTTCTGTCTCTGTATTGAGCATTTGCTTCCTCTATCATGCTTTCCACCTGATCGACCAAAAAGGCCAGAATGTCAGCTTTGGAGGCGGGCCCTTCCACGAAGTTTTCCTCTCGAAGCGACACGTCTCGTGTAATGAATGGTCGAACTGACAGTAGAAGAATAGGTTCAAGCAGGTACTGCTTGTCCTTGATGTCGAGAATAAATACATGCTTTGGTTCGCTTTCGCCCTCGGTCAAAGAAGTAGCCACGGAAGAGCCCGCCTGGAGCGTATCAAAGCCCGTGGTGGGATTGTACTGGGGAAAAGGTATGCAATCGTGTTCATGACCCCAAAAGACGAAATCTAGAAAGGGAGGAAGAAAGTCCTCTGGAACATATGACGTGGGGGTGTGACGGGCATGGTTTTGGTGGATGCAGAGTAGACTGAAGAAATCGTCACCGTTCTTGGGTCTCTGGAACGTGACGTCGCCGTTTCTCATGATCCGTTGTAGTCTTTCGTCTCTGAAGTTGTTGATGCCGTACAATGCAAATTTGGTGGTTCCTTTCTGAAACACCAAAGGCGAAACTGTGATTTTGTCAGCTTGCGGGACCTGCCCAAAATAGTTGATAAGGCCCGTGGCTGAAAGCACATCCAATGGAGACAATAGACCTTCTCCAGTAGCGTCGTCGTGATTTCCCGAAATGGCGAAAACAGGCACGGCCACGTTGATATTAGGATCTTCGTAGTTGACGGTATCGTTTCCTGAATGAAGCGCCAAGGAAGGATCACTAAGAAGCTCCATTTCACACGGCCTGTCACCTAGGCAGTTTGACCTAAGAGCCTGAACAACATGGAAAAGCGACTTTTTGGACGGCTTGGAAACGTGAAAAAGGTCACCTCCTTGGACTACCATATCCACGTCATGCTCCTTAGCCAAGATAGCAATTTCCTGGAACGTTTTCCACGAATCGTCACCTCGAATGGGGTCGTTCTCAAGGTACCCCACATGATTATCTGTGGTGAGGAGGATCCGAATCGTATCCGGTCCGCCTTCTATTTTGTCCACCGGAGGCATTCCTTTCTGGAAGTTTAGAATTATTTATTATTGACGGCGTCGTATCAATCGGACTAGTTGTAGTAGGTGCGATATGAATGCACAATGGATCTTCGCAGCCATCACCATCATCAGTTAGATACTACTCCGATTAATGAACGAGGCTCGGCAGCAGGATGAAATCGAGCTGCTCCAGTCAATTTATGGCGACATTTTCACAGACCTCACCTCAAAGTCCAAAGTATGGAACAAGAACCCGAGCCCCATTTCCAGGTAGCTCTTCTGTCACACATCAATCCAGACAGACCGGTGGTCTCCTTGATTCTAGATATCCAATTCACCCCGACATACCCGACCCTGGCGCCTTTGGTGAAGATTGTGGAACCCAAGAACTTGCTCAGGGCCAGGGTTGCTTCGATTGAAAATAAGGTCCTGGAGGTGATCAAGGACTACCTGGGAGAGGAGATCTGCTTCACGATGATCATGGACGTGAAGGAGATGCTCGATGATTTCCAGCAAACTACAGAAGAGGTGCTATCTTTAGAGGAAGAGAGAACCCGGCGCATTGAGCAGCAGCGGAAACAATTGGAGAAAGTTGAACAGGAACAGCTACAACGAGAACAACTGGCCCAGAGAAAGAGGAGCACGAGGTCACACAGCAACTTCAGAAACTACGAGGCGATTATCCGGAATCTCGAGAAAATACGCTTAGGCTGCTGCGAGAGCTGGATGACGAGGATGAGCCTTCCTTGGTACCCACGAGTCTAGACAATACCTTCGTGTTTGATAACAAGCTCAATGGATACTGTGAGCAGACCAGATCTCGATTTGTGTTTCGAGCCGTTCAGGGCTTTATCCCCTTCAAGGCCAAAAACCTCCTTCTGAGCATCAGCTCCCAGTACATTGTCACACCCTATGTTCCGCAGGCGGTTCAGAAACTAGATGTATGCTACTTGCTCCATGTGATTGAGCTCAATGATAACCACTGGTCAACGAATCAGGGCAAAAAGGAGATCAGAGAGTTGGAGAGACAACTCGAACAAGTAATGGAGCTCAACGTGAATGAGGTATTGCTGGTCTACGGCTTCCAAATCGACCAGGACCTCGAAGATCACTCAAAATGGACCATAAGAATTCTTTCGGAATTCTCCTCCAGCATGCAAACATTGGACGAGGTTCTCCAGACTGCCGATGCAGTGAACTGGACACTTGCACGTTCATGGCTTATCCAACTATTGCCTACACTTGAACTTCTTCATGATGTTTCCCAACCACATTGCCTTCTATGTCCGTTGAGCGTGGTGCTAGCGGCATCCCAGGGTGAAGAGTCTACTCTGCGCAAGATTCTCAAGTTGTGTCATCCACGGTACGGTTTGACGGTTTTAACAATGTACCATAGATCATCGGACTTCCTACCTCAATTCATACCCAAGGCCTGGATTGATCCAGATCCTTCGGCAGGGCTCATCAAGACAGATATCTGGAACCTTGGTGTTTTGTTCACCAGGGTTATGCTTGGCTACAATGTGCTTACTACAGACTTCAAGACACCCGAGCTGTTCCTTCGAGATTTCGATGTTTCCCAGTATGGAGAATACGAGGAGTATGCTGATAGAGTGCACGACATGCTCAGCAAAATGCTTCAGCCCAAAGCGTCAAAGAGACTCAGTCTTATGGAGCTCAACGCTGTCAAGTTTTTCCGAGCCGGTATCGATATGGGCCACACTGCATCTGCATTTGGGAATATAGAAGAAGAAGAAGAAGATGATGAAGACGAAGCAGAGCCATCTCAGTACAAGAGCGTCTTCTTTGATACTTCCAGAAGGAATTTGGCTCCCGCTCACAGCACTCGCAGGAGACTCTCCAATAACAATTCTACCATGATGAACACGAACCACGAATCCATAGCCCTGATCAACAGAGACTCTCGTTATGAAACCGAATTTGAAGAGGTGGGAAAACTTGGAAAAGGTGGTTTTGGTGAAGTTGTCAAGGCCAGAAACAGAATGGAAGGCACCTTCTACGCCATCAAGAAAATTAGACACAGAGCTGACAAGCTAGAAGGGCTCTTGAGTGAGGTGCTTTCTTTAGCCAGACTCAATCATCAGTACATCGTGAGATACTACGGTTGCTGGGTGGAAGAGGATATTGACCAGGTTAGTGCCATTGAAGATGATGAGAGTCTGGATAGAGAGACGGAAACCAGCTCACTTTTCAATGAAGATAATGTCAGATCTTCGTCGTTCTTGAGTCGCGAGAACTCATTCCAGGTGGACTATTTCACGAACTCACTAGACCCGCTGTTGGAGTATAACGATGACGACTTTGATGACAGAATTGTGTTTGCAAACAGTTCAGACGATGAAGAAGGCGACGATAATAATGCTATTGCTGATACATCTGATGAGGAAGAGAGCAATTCCACGGTGGACGATTTGTCTGTCCAAAAAGCACCAACAAAGCCCGCCCAAAACAGGCCACAATCGAAATCAATTCTCTACATTCAGATGGAGTTCTGTGAGAACAACACACTTCTGGATATCATTGATCGAGGTCTTCCTGCCAACCCTAATGAATACTGGCGATTGTTCAGGCAGATTTTGGAGGCTGTTTCTTACATCCATTCATCTGGATTTATCCATAGAGACTTGAAGCCTACCAACATTTTTATCGACAAGTCGAATAACGTGAAGGTGGGAGACTTTGGTCTTGCAAAGAACTCAAGGTTGTACTCCATGATCCTGGACAATAATCAGGTTTCACCCGCTACTAATGATTTGTCAACAGTTGTCGGTACGTTCTTTTACACTGCCAATGAGGTTGCATCGGGCGATTATAACGAGAAAGTCGACATGTACTCATTAGGAATCATATTCTTCGAAATGTGCTATAAGCTTGGAACTGGCATGGAGCGTGCAATGGCATTAAACAATCTAAGACTTGAGAACGTCCAGTTCCCGTCCAATTTCCTAGCAGCAAACCGTTCTACTGAAAGAAAGATTGTTCGTCAGCTTCTAGACCATGATCCTAACAGGAGACCAGGAGCTGCAAGACTCCTTCAAAGTGGTTTGTTACCTGTTGAGCATCAGGATGAGGTAATCAAAGAGGCATTAAAATCTTTAGCAGATCCTGCTTCTCCTTGGCAACAGCAGGTGAGAGAAACCCTTTTCAACCAACCTTACCTGTTGGCTCGTGACATGATGTTCGATAAACTTGGCAAGAGCTCACACAGTAAGGCGTTGGATCACTCTGAGAACGACTACCTTGTGCTCAACGCCACCCTTGATGAATTGTTCAGAATCTTCGGCAATCACGGTGCGATAAGAGACTATGATGGCAGTTACCTTCTTCCAAAGCTGTCTTTTGATACGAAAGATCTGGTCTACGAGATTCTCGATAAATCTGGATCCGTCCTCACTTTGGCATATGACCTTGTCCTACCAATGGCAAGATTCTTGAGCAGAAATGACTTGAGTATTACCAAACTCTGCAGACATGAGTTCGTTTACAGACCAAACGTAAGGGGTATTGGAATTCCTGACAAATACAGTGCTGTTGGGTTTGATGTGTTTTCACAAGACAAGAGAACGCATATTACTGATACCGCCGAGTGCATCAAGGTAGTCGACGAGATACTCGACAGCTTCCCATGTTTCAAGACAAAGAATGCACAGACAATCATCTTGGTCAATCACTCAACAATCCTCAACGCCTGTCTAGACTTTGCCTTTGGTGGAACAAATACTCCCACTCGGTCCAAGCGCTACGAGATCATGGGTGTGATTTCATCCATTTTAGTTGAAAGAGGACCAGAAGAGGTGAAGACTTACCTTAGGAACGAATTCAAGATTCAGCATACTGTCGTCAAAGACCTCATTGACCATTTTGATTTTACAGTGGAGCCAGAAACAGCCAAAAAGAAGTTGAGGAAGGTGCTCACGGATTCACCTCTTCTCGCCAAAGTGGAAAGAGCAATGCAAGAAGTTTTAGATGTATTGGCGGTGCTTAAGCGTTTTGGAATCAAAACTTCAGTTTTGCTTTGTCCATTGAGCAATTACAATGCTCGGTATTACGATGGTGGCATCATGTTCCAAGCCATTCACAGAATAGACAAACTGAGAAAGTTTTCTAGGGTTGTTACTGGTGGAAGATACGATAGACTTATTGACTCGATGCTGAGTGAGGGAATTGCGACTTCCAGAACGCCACATGCTGTTGGATTCCAGCTAACCTCAACGCTCTTGTTCCTATTGATGAAGAACTCATTGAAGCGTACTAAGGCAAACACCAATGTGTCAAGATCAATGGCTAGATGGAGGAAGTCCAGGTGCGATGTTTTAGTGACATCCACCCAGGATTCAGTTATGAAAGATTCAGGATACTCGATTTTGCGTCTTCTTTGGTCTCATGATATCAGCTGTGATCAGTTCACCAGCTCCTTCCAGGATGAAGTCTTGCAAAAAGCTACGGATGATGGATGTAACTGGATTGTGGTCTTGAAGCAGTCTTATCTGAACAAAAAGACCAAGAAGAGTCAGTTCAAGCCTATCAGGGTTAAGAATTTGAGTGAACTGAAGGAACACGATTTGGACTATGATGAGCTTTTGGAGTTTTTGCAGCACGAGATTGAAGAGAGAAGAACAGAACATCAAAATGTCGAGTCAGCTAAGTCCCAAAACAAGCCACAAGAGGAGCAGAGCTCTTCACGTGTGGGACAACCACTTTTCAGTATCGATCTTGACCAGAAGGTTACAATTGTTCCTAACGATGCTCCTAGAGGCAGAAAGAATAACAAAAAGGAGAAGTGGGAGTTAGACAATGACGCAAAGGTTGCATCCGCTTCTATGATGAAGGATTTGGCTGACGCCTCGATCATCACAGTTGAGTCTAACGATACTACTTTAGATATGATTCTGTCTATGTCGTTGCTGTTACCGCTAGAAGAGTGGTTCAAGAAGCTCTTTTTCACCAACAAGAATTTGCCAAAGCATTACGCCAACAATATCTACGATTGCTTGTGGAAAGACAAATCAAGAGGGCAGCAATGGGCAGTACTTTACAACCCGAAAAGCGACAAGACATGCATTGTCGACCTACAGCGCTAAGCTCGCATTTCTCATAATTATCATATAGGAACTCTAAGCCAGACGACTGAGATACTTCTCTTTCCACGTCCAGTATTCTTCAAGTCGGAGACCACTGTATTCAGCGTAGTTGAAGTCAATGGTCGAGAGCTCACTCTGGATCATGGACCAGATACCCCAGTAGAAGCCTGGCATGCCATAATAATATGCAATTTCATCAATGAGTCCGTTGACCTCCTCCTCGGAAGCAATGGCGTTGTCAAGGTAGCCCTTACACCAGTTTACAAGAACAGGATTCAGCGGAGATGGTTCAGGGATTGCGGAACGGTCACAATCAAATCCTTGCCACTCAGCGAAATGATTTGCGATATCGAATGCACGAGGAGCAGGTAGCATGTACTCGTAGTCGATGAATTGAATAGGGTTCTCCAGCAATGGGCGGAGCTCAAAGTCTGGAGATTGTTTGAGCTTGTTGTCGAACTCTTCCGTTTGTGGGATGATGATATTGCCAGAAAGCAAATCACAATGAGAAACGACCACAGGCGACTTTGTGGCATTGCTCAACGTCGATTTCATCCACCTATACTCCCTGTGAATGACATCTCTGACGTTGTCAATGTTCACGTCTTGATCAGGCAAGTTATCCCTGAAGATCTTGACGAGAGCATCGTTGGCAGGAACCACCAGGATCCAATCGTCGATGAGGTCCCAGATATTCAAGATTGCCTTCTTTAAGCCTTTTTCACGTTTTTGCTTGGAATTAACCGGTGTGACGGGACGAAGAGTAGGCAGAAGCTGGTTCTTGATGCGAGCAGTGTATTTTCGTAGCTTTTCAATGCCATCTTCAATATTGTCACAGTCCACCTTGGTGTGCCAGTTACCGAGCTGCTGAGCGATTAATGGGTACAAGTATGGGTTTGCAAGCTCCTTGGGGTCCAAAGAGCGACCTTCCAAGAAACCGTATATGAGGCCATTGGCAAAACGGGCATGCACAGGAGGAGCCAAATGCAAAGAATTGAGAACCAAATGAGAAACAAACTCACGATGACGGTCAATAATTAAGTTGGTGCCCTGACCGTAGACACGCATCAAGAGCGTCTCCTGGGACGGCTCGTGGGTGCAAGACAAGAGCATGTTGGTGATGCCTCCGGTCAAGCGCTTTATAAAAATCGCATCATCCGCAGACCAAGAGGGGAAGATCTTCGCCAAGAGCGTCTTGATCTGCGTGTAGTCGCTGTCTAGGTTATTACGAATGTCCACAGAGAACTGGGGAAGGTACACGGCGTGTGTTTTGTAGTCGTCAAGGAGAGACTCGAGATTCTGCGGGTATTCCTCTGAATCCTCGGTTGGCGCCTCGAGGTTGAGTTCCAACTTTGGCCTGGACGACCCGTTGGGCTCCTCCAGATCGTTGATAACCGGTATCAGCACAGGAATCTTAGGCTGGGGAACCACGGTAGCAGGATTCTCATCCTCTGAAGACAGGGCGTTTGAGTTTCTGCGGTCCGAGGTGTTGCAGTTTTCCGACTCAAGGTCCAGTAGCGAAGGGTTGTTCAACGTGAAAAGCAAGTTTCGACTTTTGATGTTCAAGGAAGCTGGACTCAAGGAGTTCTGGGGAACAGGCGTGTCTTTATGGACATCCACCTCAGGGTTTCTGGCCAATTTCTCGGGACCCTTCGAGCTGAAGGCGTCCACCAGTACGCAGTGTACGGCGCCACCGGAAAGAATGCAGTAGACGGGCGTGGCCATTAAAAAGAAGAACTGGTTGGTTTTTGGAAAATATGAATGTGGTTCAACTACTGAGAAATTCGTGCGTCTGGCAGGTGCAGAACCACCGCACAAGCCTTGTCTTAAGAAGGTGGGGGGTTATCTTTGAAGGAGATTGTTTTAGAGATGTTTATGGAATTGCTAAAATCGAATATCTCAGGTTGTTTTGTTTTCTTGATTTTGACGTGGAAAAGAGGGATGGGTGGTTCAGCCGCACCTGATAAGAGTGGATGCAAAACATGTGAAGGGTCCAACAATGAGTGTGTCGTGTAGGAAACCGGGTACGGTCTTGTGCCTGATAGAGAAATTATGCTGAGCTTTATTAGGGCCGTTTGCGCCAGTGAATTTATACTTGATGGTGCTCAAACGGCACCAAATCTAGTATTGAATATATAGACGGTTAGCAGCCGCGGCTGAGGTCGCTTTAACGCATGGATGGTCGGCCTACCCAATTGAACAGCGAAGGAAGCAGCAATTAGCACATACTTTTGATAACGACAATGACTTCATCTGCTCATGGTGCCTGTATTATGGTGGCTTTTGTGCCACGCGCTGCCCGACAAGAGTCGCCGACCACTGTCCCACTAAGCCGCCATACATCAGGGCATCGAATGAGGGAAATATGCCGAAGCCTCCAATACGTACTGAGTTTGTGGTTATTGAAAGTGATTTGAACAGTTGAAGAGGGCGGTTTGAAGCCTGCTTAGGCCCTTTGTTGGCGCTTCACCTGCTTACTCGTTCAACAGAATAGACTGGCTCGAGGTCCCTAAACTGGGCTGTAGCCGTGCTCTTCGGCCTCCTCCTCGACAATCACCCTAGGCTCGAAGCTCCTCTCGTGACTGATGGCTGGGAAGAGACGCAAGTACAGCCACACAGCGATCAAAATACCAAGAAGCAGGCCCACCGTGATGTCGATGAAGTGGTGTCTGTAATCCTCCGTTCTACTCAAGGCAATGAGCAGCGCTCCAATGGTGGGGACGGCAACGATGGCCCATCTCCAGAAGCCCAGGTACGGCCTTGTCACTGCAAGCTGGCCTGCAAGCCAAAGACTGGTGAAGAGAAGACCCGCAAACGAGATACTAGAGTGGCCAGAAGGCGTGGTTCTGAACCCGTCCAAAAGACGGTCAATGTTCTCGGTGGTGCACACGTCCTTGGCCAAGACAAGAACGCCCTTGGGAGTGTCAGGCTTAGGCACACAGCGAGCCAAGAAGTCTGGTCTGTGTCTGCCAAAGGCGTTCTTCAAAAGATCCGTGATGATGCTGGCGCTGAACACAGAAAGCAACAAGCCAAGAAGCGACACGTACGTGACGTACACCTTGTGCTGCGGTTTGGTGATGATTGCAGAAACCACACCGATACCAGCCACAGGCACCACCAAGGCGTAGAAGAAAAGCTCACCTGCAGTGACTCTTTCGTGTTCGGCAAAAGGGTGGGAGATGGTCAAATCGTCAACGTAAAATTGCCTTTGAAAGGGCTCAATTCGGTACACGACAGGGTACAACACGAAAAGCAACACCAACGCTATCAAGTCGGAACCTCTCCAACGAAGGAAAAACGGACCTCCTCGGATTCTGTCGATTCCGAGGGTCGTTCTATTTATGGTGTCGTCCTTGTGGAAGTAGTTGATGAAATTGTAGACTCTGTCCATTGGAAGAAGAGGAGTATTGAGGTTATCGCATTCCAGGCAGTACTTTTGGTCCTAGGATGGTACGGCGTGTGTACGGCGTTGTGGAGGTCTGGGCCCTACTTTTGGCTTTTTTTTAGGAATGTTGTTTTTTTTGAGATTTTAACAATGCATTCATATTCATTTTTAGCAAGTACTAAGGAGTGAGTTTTTTGTTTTGTTGAGTGTCTTGGACCATGTGCCCTAGAGGAGCCACACTGATGTACATATATATGCAGATGAATGGATGTGATTTGATTCAAGGCTTGACCAGTATTCCTAGAACGGTGTATTCATGGAATGGTGCTTTTGCCTCATAAAAAACTCATCCGTTCCAAGAGAATTGAACTTTTTCAAGGAATAGAAATACTCCCGACAACAAATGTGACTTTACAGTAGGTGTATGAGCCCATGGCTGCAATACCTGTAATCCTCCAACTACAATATATGCTAAGACCCAACGTTTGGTTTATTGTACTTCTGCATCACTTTTGAACATCACTTTGACAGACTCGGCTGTTCATGAACAGCTAAGCCTTATGAACTAACCAGATATTCTGCCCAAGAACTACTACAATTGATGTCCTTTTAGACGCAAACAGAGCTTATGTCAAGTTTTCTCTCAGAATTATCTATCACAGCATATTTGAAATAATTAACCCGAGATGTTTACTCACTTCTTACAAGCCCCTCTTTCACTACACGAGGTCACGCTGCACAAGTCTGCATCAACATATTAGTAGAAAGTCAATGATAAAAACCAACTATTCACGGAAATTCACCGAATATTGTAATTTTCAAACATTTAAAATTATTTTATTCCCCACTTGATGTACCTTATCTGTAGATCGGACCCTGAAGGCGTGTTTTGCAGCCACTTCCGATACCATCCGAGGCATACACCAGCAACACCAAACATATGCAAATTCCGGTATCATCAAATACTTTCACTTCATAAATTCATAAGAATTCTTCAAAAACAATCAAATCCCACCCAAACGGTCTGTAAATCACCACCCTGGGAATATCCGTTAGCACAGGGCCTGCACATGTGCAACCTACTACAGAACGCATTCTTGCATCTCCACCTCCAACTACTTCTACAATGAACTCCAACTTTGGATCAGACGATCTATTTGAAAATGGCTGGGCTTCTTCCGAGCCTGCACGCCAGGACCACGGCTTCGCCTCCACCGCTTACCTGGGTTCCACATACTTAACTTCCTCTCAGTTGCTTGGACAAAACCCGTCTGCTTCTTCGGAGATTGACTTGTCCGATAAGGTTCCTGACTCGTATAAGCAGATCTGGGAACGCTTGCTGTCGAAATTGAGGTCTGTGACGGACTTGGAGTCTGAAATCTTCCTTCCCTTGGTGGACCATCAGCACCTTTCCGATTACCAGAGTTCCCGAATCATAGATGTTTTGTACGAACACACCTTGTTGCCACCGTCGAAGGAGCTGAATTTCTACCAGGCGTTGGGACTCATTGCCTTGGAATTGGACCTCGCAGGCACGGGTGATTACGTGACCCTCCAGTTCAAGCTCAACTCGGGTCTTCCAGACTTCCCTCGTGAAGTGACCGATTTGCTTCTCGGTAAGGTTGAAGCTCTGGGAGTTAGGCATTCCACGCTGCATCCAGCCGAAACTGACCCCTTGACGGCGAACTTGGCTTCTACTTCCCTCGAAGACCAGGACGATTGGAATGACCCAAACACAGAAAATATGCTAGCTGATCACCTGAACATCCTGATCGATGCAGACACAACAGCCCCAGAGGTGTCTCATGTGAACGACTTCCCCTACATCACAAAGTATGTCACCGATCTCAGAGAAAAGTTCAAGCCGTTGATAGCTGGTGGCGACAGTGTCAACATCAAGGAGGTGCCAGAAAAAGAGGGCCTCGTCTTCAAACACATTAACTACTGCATTACTCACAGCCTAAAACTCGGCATGCATAGCCCAGCGGGCCAGAAGAAGGTCATCAGACGATACTCTGATTTTGCCTGGCTTCTCGAGTTCCTTTTGAAAAAGTACCCCTTCCGTGTTATCCCTGGGCTTCCACCCAAAAAGTTCACCGGTATGTAAATTCAGTGGTCCTGTTATCACCACTTACTAACCATTCTAGTAGGCGCCTCACCCGATTCTCAATTCTTGCAAAGAAGGCGCCGCGGCTTGCATCGTTTCCTCAACCAGCTTGTCAAGCATCCAGTTTTGGTTCAGGAGCCTATTGTAGTCACCTTCCTTAGTGTTCCAACAGACCTTGCCTCCTGGAGAAAGCAGGCTCGTGTGGACTATTCCCTTGAGTTCAAGGGACAGAAAATCGAGACCGAGTTTGTGAATTCTATCTGGCCTACAATCAGTGAGGAGTTCCTCACTAGCTGGAAGACCGCCGAGGCTAACATTCCTCGTTTAATCGAGACGTGGACAAAGTTAGTATTGCTCGTGGAGAGATATGAAAAGAGACAACAGCAGATTGCGTTCGATAACGGCAAATTTGTGGAGATGATAAATCGCTTTACAGAGCTCGACAATGTCATCTACCCTCACAGAAATCCTGAAGAGAAGGTGCTTAACTCTCTCAACCAGGACGATACCACCACGATCAATGATTCGTTGGGTACGATCTCTGCATTCTTCAACAAGTCTTCTACATTGCTCATTGATGAAAGCTATCTTATCAACACGACGGTGTTGGAGAAGTTTAAGAACTTCTTGGACTACTTATATTCCTTGCAGGAGCTATTTGACAGAGCCAAGAAACAGTCCGTGAACTCGATTCCACAGCTTCAGAAGAAGATCGAGGATAGTCAAGCCAAATTTGACAGACTCAATGAAAGCGGCACTGATATGAAGGGAAGTGACATTGCTAAGCTCAAGCAAGCTATAATCAACGACAAACAGGAGATGTTCCAACAGCTCAACAAGGACTGGCTCATCAAGAGCTGCTGCTTCCATGAGTTTGCCATGTTCCAGGAGACGCAATTCCTTATTTCTGAAGCTTGGGCAGATTGGTGTAAGGGACGCGCCAAGTTCCAAGACAAGTTTTCAAGTCTTTACGACCGTTTGAGCCAGGACGTTGTGCCAGACATGCCTTTGGGTCATTAGGATTGCACGAAAGCTTCCCACTTTTCTACAAGGGAATGGGAAGTTTGATTTAGCGAGTCGTCAAAGTGGTCTTTGCTGAGAACTGATGCAACATTGAGCTCCTTCTTGGCTTGGTCAAACTCGGGTTTTCCATATAGAAGAGCAAGGACGCGACCTACTCGGCTCCCCAACGCAGCGCCGTGGGAAAGCCTTCATCGAAGCCCTTCTGCAATCCCTCCTCTTGTGCCTGAGTGATACCGTCTATGTAACCTTGGGTCACATGAGCTCTTTGCAAATCAGCGTAAGTATCGATGTCGTCGTCGCTACCCCAGATGTCGTCGTCATCAGTGGCATGCAGCGGCTTTTTCAGCTTCAAGTTTTTGGGTACTTTGCATTCGCCTGTGCAAGACATGTAGAAGAGTTGGGAGATGGGATTATTGATTAGGGCGTGATGTACAGGACAGAGGAAAGACGAACACAGAATACGGGGGACACGAAGACCCTATGGTCGGAGTTTATCGAGAAAGTTGGGTAAATGGGATTTAGCCAATGGAAATGAGTCTTCTCCGGACCATCTTTTTTCGAAATGTCATCAGATGAGTCTCGGAGCCTATGTTGGGGGACCGATCCAGGCAACACCCGTACACCCAGGAACCACCAGCATTGGTGACCATAAGCAGCGAAACCTTCCTTAAAAATGGTCGGTTCATGAGTATTCAATTTCAGATTGAATCACAAACCTCTCGCTTAACCAGACCCCCCATAGCGGCTCTCAATTGGGCGGTGCGACGAAAGTCTATGGAGTGCATATAGTGGCGTAGCTGGCGCCTTTCGAAAGTGAGATTACTTCTGACTATCTTGCTCATACTGCTCACTTCCAACACCTAATTGACCATACCACAATATATCCGTCGGGAAGGTATCATATAACGAAACCTTCAATCCAGATCCTTTGACAATCGTTTCAGACGTCATAACACAACGGTGCTGGGAACCTTGTGTTCGTGTTCTCCCATTTTTTTCCTTTCCGCATTTGTGACTCTTGCCTAGAGAACAGGTCGCCAATTCATTTCATAATTAAGTCTTATATAAAACCATGGCAGATAATATCATTACCCAGGTCTCTCAGGACTCAGGACCGGCGCCCATGGTTGACGAGACCAATGGCAACATCGACTACAACTCCAAAATCCACCTCAACATTCGCGGGAAGCCCTTTGAAATCACTCGTGATGAGCTCATGAGTTTACCCGAGAGCATATTATTAAGTCTTTTCCCCAATGGCGTTTTCTTAGATGTCAACGGCCAAGTTATCACGAATTTGACGGAAGAAGACGTGGTTTTCGTTAACTTTGATCCGGACTGCTTTGAATACATTTTCAACGTGTTTGGCGAAGCCCAACGTAATCTTCAAGAAGGCACGTTGTCACCGCAAGTTTCGGCTGGAAGCCGACTTGATTCTGCTGCGTCTATTTTGCAAACGAAGCCTGCTATCATTGTTTTGCGAGAAGATCTAGATTTCTATGTAATTCCGCCTGTGGCAGGTTGCACGACAGCAGATTTTGCATTTCTCAAGGTCAAGGTTGGTGACAGCATTTTATTGAATACTTCCGTGTTTTCCGGCCTAGGATACAACCCCGAGTTACCTGCCTCGGTAAACCAAACGCTCGGCCCTGCTGAGCAGCATTTATTCGAGATGTTGTGTTCCTCAGGTTTTGACAGAACAGAGCTTTGGGGAAGCCGCTCAATGGAGCCTCACAAGTGTGTGCTTTCATCCTTGCTGTTGGTTCGTCTTGTAACGCAACCACCCACTCCTCCACAGCTGCCTCTGTTGCAGCCCGTGCAATCCAATGCATCTGGGCGTTCGAGATCAAGGTCTCGAATCGCCACGTTGGCATCAAGTGCGAGCAGAGCTGCTTCTCGCTCGTTGTCTCGAGCTAGAAAGAATAATGACACAAACTACACGAAACTATTGTTGTTCTGGAGAAAGCCCGCAAGAAAGTGTTGGTGGGCCAACAATGAGGTTACCGTGTCTACAGAAGGAAGTGAAACTCTCGCCAAACTAGGGCCGGAAGTTAAAGTGAAGGTGCACACTCGACGCGTGTGGACGTTGGAGCTTTCGGTTGTGGGTGTTCAGTAAACCCGATTTATGGAATACTCAGCCTAGCTCTAAGCATCAATGGCATGGTGAGGCAAACTCATAAAATTTTGAGGAGTGGCCCTCGCAAACTAACCAATTCTTTATCCAACAGCTACATATTTTGATCCGACCGGTTCTTCTAATGCGGTGGCCTCAGACCACCACCAATACAGATTTAATTCTACATAGCACGCAATTCGTATACATCGTTAAGTTGACGTGTAGGTTATTGATATGCTTATTTGCAAGAGTTCACATGTTGAAGGGCACTAACAGTATTTGAATCTTTTATTGGAATGTCTTCTAGAACAATGAGAAGTCATTCATAGTTGAGGAAGTTACTCATCAATGCATTATTATAATACCAAATTGGAGAAAAAAGTCGTATCTGAACCACCTCGTCAAGACACCCCATCCTAGTGATCACTACAGTAACTTCTCTTGTCATACCAGATGGCTCAATGAATCTCCATCCAAAGTAGTGCAACAAAAAAACTCAATCAATCCGCCTATAATTTTAAGCCATTCAATAGCCTATCAAAAATAAAATATTTGTTTTCAGCCAGAAGTACATCAAAAAACTCGTCCACGAATTTTCATCACCTACCCATTTGCAACCGCGAAAACGCGTACATCAACTCTTCATCATGGCTACTTACGAAGAAGAACGGATTGGCCACACGCCGTGGGTTGAAAAGTATAGACCCAAAAAACTCGATGACGTGGCTTCCCAGGGCCATGCTGTGAAAGTTCTCAAAAAAACATTGGAACTGGCCAACCTCCCACATATGCTTTTCTATGGACCTCCAGGAACTGGTAAAACCTCCACGGTGTTGGCGTTGGCCAAGCAGTTATACGGGCCTAGATTGTACAAGCTGCGTGTTTTGGAGCTCAATGCTTCGGACGAAAGAGGTATTCTGATTGTCAGACAAAAGATCAAGAACTTTGCTCGGTTGACGGTGTCGAACCCTACTTCTGAGGATTTGAGAGACTACCCATGCCCGCCTTATAAAATCATCATCTTGGATGAAGCTGACTCTATGACCAACGACGCCCAATCGGCCTTGAGACGTACCATGGAAAACTACTCGCTGGTTACCCGTTTCTGTCTCATCTGTAACTACATCACCAGGATCATCGATCCATTGGCTTCGAGATGTTCGAAGTTCAGGTTCCGTTCTTTGGACAACGAGAACGCCATGCTGCGTTTGCAGTATGTGGTGGAGGCGGAGAATGTACCTCTCAGTGGCAACGACGTTCTTGAGGAGATCATCAAGGTATCGGGAGGTGATTTGCGTAAAGCCATCACTTACCTACAACTGGCGGCGCGTCTTTCGGTGTCTTTGGATAATAGTGAGCCTATTACAGCAGGAAGGATCAGAGAAATTGCCGGTGTTATTGATGAAGCGCTCATCGACAAGATTCTTAATACGCTCCGCAGCAAAGACAACAAGGCCATTGCGGCACAGGTTGAGGAGGTTGTCCTCGAGGGCTGGAGTGCTCAGCAAGTTGCCGATCAGCTACACGACCGTTTGATCACGGACGATGGCTTGTCGTCGCAGGAGAAAAACAGCATAGCTCGTATTTTGTTTGAGTCAGACAGGCGTTTGAACCACGGCACCGACGAACACATACAGCTTTTGAACTTGGCGCTACAAATAAGCCAGGCTTTGCAGTAATGTGGGGTGTCATAGAAATGGAGAGACACAGAGTAAATAAGGGTTGCATCAATGCAGCCAGAATAATCACGATAAAGAGTATCTTTTTCAGTGTAGGTTTCTACGTTTTGTATTGAGTGGATCCTCAATTGCTATATACTTGCATGCTACAGCTGTAGCTCTGATACCACTACTGTTTGGGTTGCTGTAGTTGTTGATGTTGCTGCTGTTGCTGCTGCTGTTGATGATGATGCTGCTGTGCTTGAGGTTGATGTTGATGTTGTTGCTGTGGAGGCATTCCGGGACCGCCAGGCCCCATTCCGGGGGAAAGCCGTAGAAACCTGGAGGTGGCATCTGACCGCGTGGCATGCCCTGTTGGTTGGGCTGTCCATCCTGTGGAGGTCTGCCTTGCATTGGGAATCCTGGAGGTGGGGGTCCCATTCCTGGAGGGAACATGCCAGGAGGTGGAGGGCCTTGGAATTGATACATTTGCTGTGGTCCTCTCTGGAAGCCTGGTGGAGGACCCATACCTTGAGCCATCCAAGGGGAATGCCATGAGGCAAATTATGGGGACCTGGAGGTCCTTGCTGGCCTTGACGAGGACGGCTAGCATCTGGCTTTGCATCTGGTTTAGCGCCTTGTTGCTGGTCGGAGCCCTTATCCTGGTCTCGCTTGTTCAACAACGAAAGGAAGAAGGAATCTTGCGCTTTGCTATCACCGCCTAAATTAGGAGGCGTGAGGCCCGGCGGACCGGCCATTGGCATCCCCTGGCCAGCCATTGGGGAAGGCACATGTGGAACTTGGCTCTGGTGAGCTACTGGTTCCTGCTTTGGAGTAGCATGTTGTTGAGCAGGAGACCCTTGGGCCAAGCCAAAGAACCTCAGGCCGGCGGAAGGATCGGGCTTGCCAGCTGGGTTTCTTGCAAGACCGGGAGGTGGGCCTGAACGCTTTGGTGATTCTTGGGGACCTGGACCGCCGAAGAAGGACGAGAAACGTGAACTCTTACCGGAATCTGAGCCTGGCGTGGAGGTTTCGGGAGCCGAGCTTCCGGTCCTGGGGTTGACAAAGGAGAAGAAGTTGTCGACCTCGTTTCCCTTTGGAGCTTCAGGCTCAGTTGGTGTTTCGTCAACAAACTGTTTACGGTCATTCTCATGCATACGTTGCTTCCAGCGCTCAAAGTCCTCAACTGTGGAACCCATGTCCATTTGCAAGTCGGAGGCGCCTGGGTTATCCCACTCGGGGTCCCTTCTTCGGGGTTTTCACCCAACAATTGTGAAATCTTTTCGGCAGACATTCTATCAAGCTCGGAGCTTTTGGCGAACCCGGTGGGTTTGCGCTCCCATTTGCCGTCGTTCAGATTCTGGTTTCTGCGGTTGTTCCTACGAGACGTGCCGCTCTTTTCGCTTGTTTTCTGGTTGCGGACGGGCTTAATCACCCAGAAGGCCTGGTCGGGAAGAACCAGGGTGTCGAAGGCCGCCACCTCAGGCGTCGAGCGCAAAACAAGCAATTCCTCGATCGAGTACACGTTGGCCTTCAGCGAAGGCACGGGCTTGAAGTCCAGCAAGGATTCACGCCGAGGCAGGGCTATCAGACTAGGTGACCTGGCTGTTTCTGGTTCCGGCGTCAGCTCCTTTGCAGCATTGGCCATAGCACTATCAAGAAGTTTTGAAAGGGCACTGCCGGGTTCTAGGCCATTGGAGTAGCTGGTTCCTCGGGACACCAGGGGTTTATCTTGGGTCCTGGGTGTTCTGGAGCTGGATCTGGACAGATCCATCAGGATGATGGAGGAGTCAATGATGGCCGGGTCGTGCGGGGTGGACATGGCCTTTTATTTATAGGAAACTGAGTGGTGCAGGTGGGTGGGAACGAAAGAAGGAGGAGGTGTGGTGGTCAAATCTATGCTGGAGAGATGGCACTGAGGATCCTGGGATGTTCAGTTCGGGTCGTGCGATGATCAGCCCAGGGAGTGGTCAAGTCTTTGGTCCTGGGATAGGGGGGATTGTTTAGTTGAAATTTGGTGATTTAGAATGCTTCTTTGTGTTTTTGGGTTTTCTTACGTTTGGGTTGATTGGGGTCTTTTGGAGTGTGTTCTTCCGTATAGTGCTGCGAATGAGTCAAGGTGGTAAGGATGGATGAGTCTGTGGAATTGTATTTTGAGTTGGAGAAATTGGAAGAAGTAAAGATGGGATTGTGGAATCTCTAAGTCAATTGGCGATTTTGATTTTATTGATGATTTTGGTGATTCAGTGTACTACACTGAGGTGTATGTGAATGTCTGCAACTATACTGTGGCCAGTGTACACGATCTGCACTAGCTTCAGGACCACTAGTCAATACCTGCCAAAACCACCGGATCGCAATCCAAAAATCTTGGCTTCTTAAAACGTTCAAGTTATCTTTGTGAAGATTTAAAGGAACAAAAAATTGATATAAAAAATCCTTCATTCTCACGTAACTTGTAACGTCCTAGAAGTGCTTGGTGTGTCTCTCTGTGGTAATTATATCGTTCAAAATTGTGAATGAAACGTCCGGGTGATCTACAATTGACAGAAAATCCTTCAATAGCTGAAATTGGCCTGAAATCTTGGGAAGCTTAATTCGCTTCAAACCTGGGTAATGTCTTTTTATGAATCAAGTTGTACTTCGTAAATATTCATCATGAGAACATTCGAAAAGCTTATTATCACGGCTGGTTGACGGGAATTGTTTGTAGCAGACAAATAAATAGAACCGATCTTAGACTCCGTGAGCTAAATACCGCAACCAAATCGAGGTAATAGTTGCCTACAATTAGGTGCATAAGGCACCCGTTTGGCACTGCAATTTGGCTTGGTCTAAAAAAGCCCCATCTTCACCTTGGTAGTATACCGAATCGGTTTAGCCTAGCCGCTGAATTTTGAAAAGTGGACTCTGGGTTTATTGGTGCTGTGGATGTACCTTGAGGGGTGGCTGCGAAAAGATATGGTGGAGGTGGTATATACGGTACGGTGAAAGTGACGAGGATGTAATAGAAAGAGTTGTTGAGTAAATTAGTTCCACTAGAAATCTCCATTATTTCGAACAGTTTCTCTCAATCTTCTCTCAAACCTCCTTCTGCTCAAATCTGTACTTTCTAAAGCACTGTAGATATCCCAGTGGCTACCCCAACACCGTTACATCTCTAATCCAAATTTAGATTTCTTACATCCATCCTGAATTATCACTTCCTACACTACCCCACCCCGCTGCTTCCAAAAACCCCAAGCACCACCTGATCTACCACAATACCCACAGTGCCATTGATGCACCCGCACAATGGCCTCCACCGCTTATCTCACCTACGATCATTCCACAGCGATACATGGCAAATTTACAAATCTCTAAAAAACTTTTAATTCCGTATGTAACCTGGCGCTTAGTAGGCGCCCTTGATGGCAGACAAAACGCCAGCGGCAGCGCCAGCGCTGTCCTTGGTGTTAGCAGGAGTATCGGTGCCGTATCCAGCAGCACTGGTTGGAGCAGTAGTGGCGGTGGCGGTGTCAGTGACTGGGTTGGTGCCGGTGGCAGTGGCGGTTCCAGCACCAGAGGTTGGGTGGATCTTCTTGCTCAAGAAACCAGAAGCGTACTTCTTGAGCAAGTTGAAGATCTTGGAGATGAACTGCTTCTGGTTGTCCGAGAGCTCGAATCTCTTGTGCAACTCGTCCTCAGAGGCGCCGTTCATCAACTCACGAACCACCATGTCGACGGTGTCCTCGTTGAAAAAGTCCATCTCTCTCTTGGAGAGCACAAGACCGCCCGAGTGCATCTCATCGACTGGAGCAGCACCAACGAGGGTGGAGGAGGTCAAGAAGGCGAGGGTAGCGACAGAAGCGAATTTCATTGGGTATCGAGGAAGAAGGATGTAGAAGATGATGAGAAAGGGAAACCTGGAGGGATTTGGCCCACCCTTATATACTTTTCTCCCAGTGCCTGGCGGCCAGGCTGAGGAGGTGTATGGCTGCAAACTGGGTGGCTGCGACCCCAGATGTCATTTACCCAACTGGGTAATTCGCAACCCTGCCAAATCCTGTCCCGGCTTTTGACAGGCGTCCACATGCATATTCTCATGAACCCCTGTTACTCCTCTAGGAAAGGCTACAATGGCTTCCAACGCCCGGGGGGCTTCCACGTTACGGGGACCTGCAAACCACCGTCCGATCTGGAATGTGTCAACTGGCACCGTTTCTAGAACGGCGGGGCCCTCCTTTCAAGGTGAGGGCTTGAAGCTTTTGAGAATTATTCTGAAATATCCTGTAAAAGTTGTAAACCCTGGGAGGCACGGCTGGGGGTAGATCGATATGGTTGTCCATGCACCCCAGGCCCGAACCTTGCTGTGGGCGTTTTGGGTGCAAATTATGGCGTAAGGGGGGAAGATTCGGTAGTGCATTCATTTCTGGCTCGAACAGCTGTAATGCGTCTCGGCTGTGTCGAATCTCACCAATATCGAGGAACCTCACAAGTCATGTGCCGTTTCTCCCTGAAAGGGCTATGAAGATCTGGGGCTGAGATGGCATTGTGGATCGGTATATTTCTTTTTGGTTCAAAACTTGTTTTGGGTGCCCGTTGGGGCATATCGCCTTTTTCCGTTGCATGTGGTGTGAGCTATGTGGATTGCAAGGGACAAGTTGCCGTATTTACGATTTAGGCTGAGGTGCTGAAAAGAAGCACTTTTGTTCGCTGCCTTTTCTGGAATCGTACCTGGGGCTCAGCGGGAATAGCCGTGGCACTTTCCGAGAGGAGCTGTTACAACCTAGTATGGTTACGGGAAGCCCTGGGTAGTAAACTATGATTTCAAATAGTGACAGTAGAAAGCTTAAAAAAAAAAGGATACAAGACAGTAAAAAAAGCTGACTATAATGTATGCTTCGCTGGCCTGGGCACCCTCTCAAACATCAACAAAGGAAAAGCGCCGCCAACTACCCGTAGACTAGAAAAGTTGCGTTTTCTGGTTTCGGGAATTTTCTTCAAAAACACCTCTTCTTCCTGAAACGGTGAAGTAGGTGAAAACCGCCGGTTCCCATTCCGTATCGAAGCATTCGAAAAAACAGAGAGCAACAACGTTAAAGCAAGCCATCAAAACAATTTCTACATTATCACTTAACAAAATGCAATTGAAACGATATAACTTTTCCTAGACTACGCCCACCTTGGCATGGTTGGCAACCTTGGTGACGAGAGCGTGGGTATCAGCAATGTGGTGCTCTCCATCCTTGGCTTGAGCATTAGCTCCAGCAGAAGCGTATCCGCCCAGACCAAAGTCACCGCCAAAGTCGCCGCCAAAGTCTGGCAAATCCCCGTTGCCTGGGTTCGAGTTGCCTGGACCAGAGTTACCTTGGTCAGAGTTGCCAGGAGCGTTACCGCCAGTTGGAGCTGGGAAAGAGCCGCCGCTGGTAGGGTTGGCGCCAGGGTAGGTCCAGTCAGAAGGAGCAGCACCGGTAGGGTTGGAGTTACCTGGAGAAGTGGCAGTTGGAGCGTTAGATACACCACCGTTGCCGCCAGAAGTGGCGATCTGTGGAAGCGAGGTTGAAGCGTTACCACTGGAAGTTGGTCCGTTTCCACTGGAAGTGGCGGTCTGTGGAAGCGAGGTTGGTCCGTTTCCACTGGAAGTTGGAGAAGAGCCACCGCTGGAAGTGTCGTTAGATGGAGGAGAGTGGCCTCCACCGCTGTTCTGGGACTGAGCAAGAGAGATCTCCTGGTTGTCGAGGTCGTAGTACACGTAGGCGTTTCTCAAGAAGGCGTCACCCAAAATGTACCTGTCCTGGTAGTCGGTGAATCCCAACATGCACTTGTTCTCCTCGAACTCCATGATGACGTCCTGGTAGGAGGCTCTGATCTTGTTCTTGCCGAAATCAAACTCGATGAACTTGTCGGTGGGCTGCTTGCAGTCCACGTAACGTTCCACAAGGCCGTTGGAAGGCGTCACCTTGTTGGGCTTGAAAATCTCGTCAAAGTGGTTCATCACCTTCTTGGGCAAAATACCACCAGTGGTGCCCGAGTCCAAAAGCACAGGTGCACCCACGTTAATGCTCTTGCCGTCAATCTTCATGTTGTCCAAGGTAATGGCCAACCCGTTGGCACTCTTGTCCACAGGGTAGGTGGTCAAGTCACCCTTGTACTTGGAGGAGTCCTTTCCACCAAACAAAATGGTACCCTCGCTCTTGTCGCCACCGCTGTTGATCCACAAGGAGTAGGAAGCCAGCTTGATGACTCCTTGTTTCTTCAAAGCCCATGGAAGGTTGTCGTATTCGGATCCTCCGCTCTTCAACGAAGCCTCCTGGTTTCTGTCGGCAATACCTAAGATACCGTATCCGTTGTCGTTGGACTGGGAAACAACACCGAATTGGAAGTCCTTGAGAAGTTTCTCGCCGTCGAAGCTGAACGAGTCGGTGTAGTAGTCACCGTTGGAAGAAGTCAGGTCCAAGTAAGAGATCTCAAACTTCTGGTCGAGTTTCTTGCCCAGCGACGAGTCGTAGTGGCCACCTTCGCCAGATCCAGACTGACCCCACACCCAGAGGTCCGACGATCCAGTGTCCAAGGAAACAGTGCACTTGGACTTACCCACATTGACATCAATGTGGTAGATCACATCCTGGTAGTTGGTGATGGTCACCTCCTTGTCTCTTTTGAAGTGACGTTTCTCAATGCCTTCGACCATTTTTGGCCAGAAGTCGCTGGCGGTGTGGTCTCTTCTGGTGATACCAAAGTTCAATGAAACAGCGGTGGCCTCGACACCAGAAGAAGACGATTTGGTGTCGGCCTTTTGGGACTCGCCCAGGCTGGGGCCCAGGTTGGGGATGTACAAGGCGTGAGTGAGCGAACAAGCGAGGGAAAGGAGAGTAAGGAACGAAAGCATGGTGTTAAGCTGGGAAGTAGGGATCTGGCGGTGTATTTATATGATTTCCGTTCCAGAGGGTCTTGTGGGGCTTTGGCTGCGAAAAATACAGAAAAAAAGAAAAACACTCTGTCAATCTGCTGCGGCTGCATGTGGGCCTTGCGTCCCCGGGTTTGTCAAATAAACCGCCTTATTCTAGACGCTCGGGTTTCGCCTTTGTCCACAATGCGGTTGTCTGGTGCAGCCAGTGTAGGGACTTTCCACACCTTGTGGTAGGTTCCTGGTACCTGGTTCCTGGGACGCGGTGAGTGGCTTTGACCTGGGATACAGGACTAGTTGGGGCAGTGCAGTTCTAGATGGCAGCCTAAACTGGAGCCAAGACGGTGTTGCCCAAAGTTTGAAAAAGGTATTCGATGACAGCTGCATCTAAACGTCACATAGCAAAGATAAACAGATTTTCCGGACTTTTCCAGCGTGGTGGTGTCAGCGTAGTATGAGCTGCGTACCTTACGTCATTCTGGTTCGCTACGCCATCGCATTCTCAACGTCCTATTGTGCATTGCATCATTTCCCGCTGCGACAGCCACTTTCGGCGCAATTGAGTCCAGATCGGTTACCGACTGCTCAAGTATGGAAGATTCAACTTTTCGATCTCGCGGCACATCATGAACCAGTCGATCTTGCGGAGAACTTCACCTTTCTCCTTCTGTGCATCTCCTTCTTCTTCCCACTTGAACAACTCGTACATGAACCGTAGATTCGGCTGGATCACAATATTCAACCTTCTCACCCGCACATACAAGTAGGCTTGAGCTAAGCTGAGCTGGAGCCGCCTCATCACTTCGGCTATCACCACCGTGGCTGATCTGGAAACCCCAACTCGGCAATGAACCAAGATCTTCGTATCTCCATGGCTTCGTTTGAACTCCTCGTCGATGGCTTTGAGCATCGATGGAAGGGCGTTGCTGAGTTCATCAATTCCATCGTCTTGCAAGTTGTTCACCTTCATCACCAGCTGCACAGAACATTGCACTTTGCTGCGATGTAGGCTCTCCTGCTTGGGTTTGATCGTAAACTGCTCGATGTTACCATTGTCAAGCTCGTCGATGATGAGGTCATTATTGTGTTGGAATTTGTGACCGTGGAGCCAGTCGAGGTTCTCCCCGACGCTGATCACACACTTGATTCCCAATCGAGACAAGAGCGCCAAACTGTTGGCATGCTTAAGCGACCCCAAATAGAGGTAAGGGAGAATTCTCGAGGGAAACGACCCCTCAACGTCTTCCACCCAGTCCTTGTCGAGGTATGACAGTGTATCGCTAAGCTCCTCCTCGTCCTCGGTGTCGGACGAGTCCGTGTCCGAGTCGTTTCGGATATAGCCTAACCGGAATTTCGATGGAATGTGTTTCACTTTCTGAGGTCTGATGGGACCTAGAAGCACCTCGTTGAGCTCCTTGCTAGTAATGACCTCTGGCTCGTTCCACTCCACCGTTTTCGAAGGATTATTTGGACTGAACTTGCGCATCAATATCTCGAGTTTACGCAAAATCACAACATCGCTGCTAAAGATGTAGAACGGCCTTCCGTACGTCAAATGCACCTTGATCATTGCGTCATTTAGCGACAAATTCTCGGCATACATGATATAGCAGAAGATGAGTAGCGACAGCTCAGTGTATCCATCCGAGCAATAAATAAGGGAAGCGAGGCTCCCAGGTGCCGTTGATGACGAATATAGATAAAGCAATTTGCAGGTGTTGACAATGCACATAAGGTTTTCCTGCTTGCAATCGCCTATGCCGATTGACCCAGAAGATGGGAAATCGAGATGATGGGTATCGTCGGTCTCCAAGGCGCTATGTGAGGAGATGGTGTACTTGAAAAGCAATTGGGAAAGCGTCTCCATCTCTGGAAACTTGGCGTCATTATGACAATGAACAAAAAGCTTCCAGTGAGCACGAGGCTTCGGTAACAAGCTTTCGAATCTTGAAGGAGTGAGCTCGTCGTATACCACGGTGGACCTTGAAGGCTCGCAATAGTTTGGAGACTCCTGAGTTTGTTTGGGAGCTTCATCGACAGCAGCTGGATACTCGTCCAGGCGCAAGACCTGAAGCATGACTTCGTGGTCCCAGGTGTTACCCAGCCAAACGTTTTGGTGCAACTTTGAAGCAGCCGACATGACGGTGGTTTCTAGTTTCTCCTTGATTTGCAAGTTTGAGTCCCAGAGTGGGTAATAATGAAGCTTCAGGTGGTTGAAGCAATGGTGGAAGAGCTGGGTACGCTTGCTGTATCCAAAAATATCCTTGGCTTTTGCGGAAGCACGAGGAGTGAAGATACGGAACCCTTCGTCTTGTTTGATGGAGTCCTGGGGTTTGAGCAAGAAGACGTTATACTTTCTGGGATTCGTTCGTTCGTCCACGATTTGGGCAAGACGAAGAAGCCTGGCAACGCTGGCAGCCCTAGACCTACCATCAGCTAGTGCCTTGGGAGAGCCGTAGACCACAAAGTCGGCACACCGAGCCAGCTTGGCGACCTGAATGTGGAAGTTACGGAGCGAGATACCTCTGTCGGGATCTAGATTGAGGAATTCCGGCATGAAGCCGGTCACGAAGCAGTCGCTGGTGATGGCAGCCACGAGAGACTCCATTTTCTCCATTGGAACTTCGTCAAAGAGCGTCATTATGAAGGAAAGTATCATTTTCTCTACCTCCCGCCGAGAAAACTCAATCTTCTTGAGAACCTCATCAAGGCCTATGGAGTTGTGAAGAATCTCGTCCTCGGGGTAGCTGTCCTTATCTGCCTCTATCGTGATCAAAAAGCGGGCATCGGCAGGTCTAGCAAAGTGGGTGTTAAATTCCACACTGGACTCGTCAGACTCACTATGAGCCATCTGCTGAAACACAAAGAACAGCCGCTGGGTAAAGTTCTCTGGGTGGAGTCCATGGAGCCACGGAAACATCTGGTTGGTTGGCGGTAGTGGTTTGTTGAAGTACCACTGGAGCACCGTAGAAAGCCTCTGCGGCGTGATTGTCCGAACATCTACCTGGTCACTGTCTGGAGCCACCGGTAGGTGTGAGTAGAAGGAGGAAGCCGGGTCAAGTGGAGAGGTTGTTTCCAGAACCGAGTAATCCTCGTCAACATTGAGTTTCTTCGTCTTGGAGCTGATTCCGTAGCACACCTCGCAGTCTGCGGACTCCTCCCCAATAGGGTTGTCTCCGGCGGTATTGAGATTGTGGAAACGGGCCCTGAACCGGTCTCTTTCGTGGACCAGGTCATTCAGGGCCAGCGACAGTCTTTTGCTCTTTACTCCCGAGAGCCGAGGAATCTCGTCCAAGTCGCCGGCTAAAACACCAGGGTCCAGCTTGAGGCTGCTCAGGAGCTTGTCATCCAAAGACGGACTGAGAAACGCTTCATTGTCGTCCTTGATGTCCTCGAGTCTGGGTAATCTGCTGAAGGAAACCACCCGAGGAACCAGATCGTGGGTACTGGCTATAGGAGGGCTTCGAGGAGCCGGCAGGACCAGCATCGAGTGTTCTGTAGCGGTCATGGCCACAGAGCTGTTGGAGTGGAAATTTGTGGTGATTGTGGAAACGCTGAGGCAAGTTGAGAAAACCACAGATGTTGGGTTCTAAGCGTCTCGAGGATTCAGAAAAAGCAAGATTTTTCAGAAAAACAGCCAGTTGAATGGCGGGCCACAGGGTGGCAGAGACTGGGGTAGGAAAAGACGGTAGCGATACTGACTTGATACGGAGTGCGAATCAGGCGAGGAGATAGCTTTTGGGGGGTGTGGGAGAAAACGCCCAGGAAGTGATTTTTTTAGCTTTTGGAGCTTTTTTTATGAATAAGACGGCTTTCCCAAAATGTTGATTTGCTAAAATTGTGAAAATCCTTTGGCGCTGCCGGAATCGTATCTCCTTCGTCTTTTGTGTAGATGACTCGGGGCCGCCCGGACGAGATAAGGCTTGTCCACAGGCGCCACGCAGGGGCCTGGCTGTTTTGAAGCCACATTGGAAGAAACTTTTTTGAGTGAGAGTTGGAATTTTCAAAATTCTGGAAATCTGGGGAATCGCTTCGAAAGCACGGAATTCTCGTATTTTTGCGCCAGCCGTGCTCTTCGCTGCACCGACGTTTCGCAGCCACTCCAAAGTCCGAGAAATTCCGTCCTCCACTACCATACTTCAACCTTTTGTTTTTTATCTTTTTTGATGCAGATTTTGACTTTCGCTAAAACAACGGAATTGCTTCATCTCGGCGTTTGCACCATTGTCGCCAGGGCGGGTGCCCAAAGAGGAAACTCGCCTAGGCTTGCTGATAGCCTCCTTGAACAATGGCAGGGTATGGTGGGGCACTCTGGGGTAACTATGTGGAAAATGTCTGAGGGGTTGTTTTGGAGATTTAGGCTGGATCACAATGGTTTTTTTTGCTTTTGAAGGGATGCCAAGTTTTGGTTGGTTTGGACGGGCGTTGTTAGTTGTATGTGTGGCTGGAGATTCACAGATGGGGTACTAAAGAATCACGAAAGGTACATTCTGAGATCAAGAAAGCTCTGAGATCAACACTTCGTAGTATTTTTGTCGTTGGCGACGACTCAAATTAGGATTGTTGGTCTAGCTATATGGTCTCCTCTCTAGTGAGCTCATAACCTACCAAGGCTGCCTGATACTTTCACCCGGTTACGAGGCTTGGACTGCAACTCCTAAAGCATATCCAATCTTAAAATTAATTTGTTACTAGGGTTATTTTCGACAGCACAGTGTGCATTGGATGCACATCAATACCATCATCATAATGTATAAACGCTTATATGAGGCTAACTTTCAATGACCTCAGATTCCTTCAGAAACTAAGAAACGTTTCAAAATGATCACTCGACTGAACTTCACTTAGGTCTTCTTTAAAGGCTAATGGAGGACCGATTTTGTACTTCGGTGTCCAACGGGTGGCTACCTTTGGAAGATTCACTGCCAGCCTTCGAACCTGCGGAGAGGCACAATTATCGCTGAAATTAGTAAATAGCTAAACAAGCATGAAAACTATTAAAAACTATATATGTGTAGATCGACTTCGGTGAAGCTCGACTTCAGCGGTGCTAGAGTATCGATGCGAATCACTCTCTTCTGAACGTACAAGTTGATATATCATTAGGCCACCATTCAGGTCAAGCTGAAGATTAAAACTCATACAAATCCATAAGTATCAGAAACTATGTTCTGTAGCCTGTCGTTTCAGTGCAGATCACAATGCCCAATCCAAACTTTCTCCATGCCCGGTGCCACATGATCAAGCCAGCCACAGAAGAGCATGATAATCTCAATGAAAATTTTCTTTTCCAAAAAAATAACAGTACCAACCTCTTATTCCATGCCTTGATGAATCCTCCTACTGGAGTTTTTGTCACATGACTCGGGTCACATGCGCATACACCTACTTTTCAAGCTTCACCATCAACACCCAAACTCAACTTCCATAATCCACCATGGCCGACGAAGCCGCAGCAATAATTACGCAGTTGGACCAAGCACGTGAGCTTGCGTTCTCCAGCGCAGACATGTTTCCCCAAGTGGTGAAGCAGATTCTCAATTTGGTCAACCACCCATCGCTAGAGATCCAGAGGTGGTGTGCTCTTTTTCTTAAAAAGGCCTTCGCTGCCGGACCTGAATTGGTTTCTGCAGGCGTAAAAATCGACCTTGCAATTGACGCTTTAATGCCTGCTAAGACATTGGCTCAGACAAAAGACCTCGAGGTGTTCACTGCAGTGATCGATTTGAGTGTTACCCTCTATAAACTCGTATTCCGCTATGTGGCCGAGAACGACGGCAGCCATGCCATTTGGGACAATCTCCGAAGCCTCAAAAATGATCTCATCTTCAAGTACGACCTGCAATTTCCATTTGAGCCATCTTTCGAGAAAGAACACGATCAGGTGAGAAACTTGGACTCCAAGTTGGAGCTTCTCAAATTCATCTTTACCGTGATCGACTACCAACTGCAGTCTGTCTCTACAAGATACTACTCCTTGGCCCGTGTCAATCCAGGCCATACGCTTATAAAACAGGGCCCCATGGAAGCCGAAGCTCTGGCTCTTTTGGATAAGGTGTTCGAACCACTCCAGGACGACATATTGGTGACTCCCGTAATCACAGCTGTGCTTAATCACTTGGCTGTTTTGGTCCGTAGAAAGCGCCGCTTCATCGACCGCATCATCCCAGTGCTTGAAGGTTTCGAGTCTAATCTGAAACTCCAGTCGAACTACGAATCTCTAGAATCATTCAAGTTATCGAAGAAATATTGTGACAGAACTTTGAGAGTGTTACTTAATTACATGAGCAAATGCCAGGTTGTTCCACCCAACTTCCAGAATTCCGTCGCCAAAAAAATCTCCTTACTTACTGCTAGAGGAGATGACATCAGAAAGAAAAACATCTTGGAACCATCTCCCGCTGACGAGAACATCAAAAAGCGCAAGTATGAAGGCTTCGAGAACCCACTGAAGAAACTCAAAACCCTTGACTACAAGAACTTATACGCCTTGACCAATGTGAACAGCGACCTTAATAACTTCGATTTATCAACACTTCCACAGAACATTTTGGTTTCTATGGCTCTCACAGCGTTGCTGAGGGCTGACGTGAAGAGACTTACGAGAGCTTTGGAAATCGTGGGTGAGAGGTATACTGACGTTGTTAAGGATGTTGTAAGTGTCAAGAGCGAAGGTGCAAAACGTGAAGGCGGAGATGACGACGATGAAGATGACGATGATGCTGCTGAGAATTTCGCTGCTGAAACGACATACACGGTCCCCCCACCTAAGGCACTTTCGTTCCAGGAGAAGAAGGAACACGTCAAGATGATTGTGGAGAGCTTCTTTGAGCTTTCGGAACGTAAGACCAAGAATGGCGAGGTGAAGGAGAAGGATGATGACAAGATCAGCAAACAGCTCACCAAGGTGGCCATCAGAACGTGGGACCAGGACTCCTGGCTCATTCTTCTCACGCGGTTGGCTACAAGAGGAATGCTGACGATCGAAGGAGACGAAAGCCTGACAGACGTTGCTCAGAATGAACAGCTCAGTGACATAATCAGGCAAGCGCTTTTTGACCATTTCCTCGGGAACATCCACGAAAGGGTGGATACCACCATTGAATGGCTCAATGAGGAGTGGTACAGCGAGAAGGTCAGCAACGAGGAGAAGGCTCGTCAGGAAATCGAGGAGAAATGGCAAAAGAAGTACGAAGAGGATCCCAATCTGGTGAGCGACGTTCAAGAAAAAGTGGACCAGGAAGTGGAAAACATCATTGTGGAGACCCCACGCTACAACAAGTGGTGCCAAAAAGTGTTGGACGCCATGATTCCTTTCCTCGAGCCCACAGACAGAAAAATATTCTTGAGAATGGTGAGTGACTTGCCGTATCTCAACAAGAGCATGCTCGGGGGCATCAAGTCCTTATGTGCTGATCCTGCTCGGTCCAAACTTGGGTTTTTGGCGCTTCAGTTCTTGGTCATGTACAGACCGCCAGTGAAGGAGGCTTGTTTTGAGGTGTTGCGTGAGCTCAAGGACAGTGATCAGGAGGATTTGAAGGAGGAGGCGCTGAAGCTTCTTACCAAGTACGGACAGGCGTAGGTCGACAATGCTGCAGGTTTGACGTGGACTAAAAAATACAAAGAGAAAAAGCAGATCGGCTGAGGGTGATCAAAGGAGGCTGGGTATCCACGGAAACTTGTCAATGCTACTACTTTTTGTGGCAGCAGATCACCTCGTCGTTAGGGCTGCATCGAGTGGTTCTCGGCTGTGTGTGCCAGACGACTACAGGATGTTTAGGCGCACTTACACGAGGAGAGGCCAATGTTGCAATTCCGCAACAAAGGAAATCCAGACGACGTTCCTCAAATTCAAGGAGTGTCAAAACATTGTCCAGAATGTCAGAGGAATGAGAATGGTGCTATATTTGTCCGTCTCAGAGTTGAAACAGAGCCACATCTGGAGCCATGCCTGGCTGGTCGAGAACATCGAGGCAGGAAGAGGGGGCAGTCGCGCCGCGAATGAAGATCTATCGGAGTAACGAGAAACGAAAAAAAGGTGAAAAGCTAGGCCGCCAGCGAAAAAACCGTTGGGTGTTTCAAATATTGCCGTTGCAACCAGCCTTTGTTTCGGGCTTCTTTGCTTGCAATGGAGCTTTTCTCGGCCCTACACGTTTCAGAAGGCACGCATTGTTTCAAAAGCGTTAGATCGCCTCCCAAAAATAGCGCGCCTTGCGACTGCGCTCTAACTGCCTGCGACTAAATCGTACTTATCTGGCGATCCTCTGCATCCTCATCTCAACCTTCTTTAACCTGTCATTCCTTCACTTTCTTTCTTTTGCTGCTATTCCTTCTTTTAAAAACAGCATTGACCGAATCACCGGCAGGGTATGCCGTTTAACACTCAGAAACAGCTCAAGGACGTCGATGCCTCTACCTTTGATATCGTCAAGGTGGAGGCCTTCCACAACACCAGATTCGGCACCATCTTCACGTACATCTGGCAGTGGTTCCAGCTTCTCCTTATGATCGCTATTTTGGCTGTTGATACGTATACATGTGTGAATATCTTGGTGTTCAACCGTTGGTCCACTGGCGAGTACCAGGTGTACGAGTACAATGTGGCCAAGTGGATTTTCACGGGGTGTATTTTGTTTCGTTACGGCTTGATGCTTTACCATTTGGCCTGGGGCATTCATATCTACAGAACACGCAACATTGCCCTTGCCTACTTGAACAACGTCGCTAAGCTCATGTACCGTCTCAGACATTTTGACTACCACTGCTTGTTTCATGAGATCGAGCAGGAGGGCTTCTTCGATTGGGCTTGTTTTCTTGTCTACGAGGAGATTGATAATGCCATGGAGGTGCTTGTCGCTGATATGCCCAGACAGGTTATCAATATCTTGACCTTGCGTTACTACGCCACGGGCGGCGACAAGAACAACGACATTTTGGAAAACATCAAGAACATCGCCAACACTAACGTTCGGCTCTCGGTCATCCTCTCGCTCCAGTTGGCATCGGTGGCTCTTTTTGCATTTTTCTTCTTCAAGTTCTTGCTTGGCATGCTTCTCTACATTCCCATCAGAGTCAAGGTCTCTCACCGCGGCTTCAAGCTGTTGAAGCTGTACTGCTACGATGTGGTGAACGACAAGGTTCGTATTCTCGTGACAAGGAACCACAAGTCGAGGAAGCAGATCCTCGAGGAAGGTATTCTCGACTTGGAGAACATCAAAGCCAACCCTTTGCTCGGCTCCGAGTCGCTGTTGGACTTGAGCGATGTGAAGGTGGCTCAGCCATTTTCTCGTCATCAAACGGGAGAGTCGTTGGCCAGTCTACGGAAGCCTCACGTTGCGCATACCACAACTACATTGGCGTCCGCTCGGGAAAGTCCCTACAGAGACGTTCAGCGAAACCCGTTTGCGGACCAGTTCCAGCAGGCGTCGACAAGAACCTACACGGCCGACGTCAGCAACCCGTTTGCCGACACCAACGTTGCCATGCCGCTTCAGGCGATGCATCCCGTGAGAACGGGTTCAGCATCGTCACTCACCGAAGCGCCAGGTGTTGCTCGTCAAACCTCCGCCTCGTCGCTTCAGGACCTGCCGCTTCTTCCCAAGAGCGACAGCTTCCAAGACTCCATAGCCTCGCACCTGTCGAGCATCTCATCGTCTTCCAATGAAGACGCTCCACAAGACACCCCGTACCCTGTGCGTGGCGTGTCCATGTATGGTTCCGATACGTATCAACTTTAGCATAATAGATTCATTCCTATGTACATTTCCCAAACTTTTTTCAACCTCTACTTCTGCTCGTACTCCTTCTTCAACTTGGCCAACTCCTCGTCCGAGATAGGAGGGATGGGAATGTCGGCAAAGTCGTCCTGGTTAAGCACCTTCCAAGTGTAAGCATAGACACCGAAAGGAATGGCGCCAACAACACAAAGAGCAGCCATGTTCTTCCAGAAGTATGGTTTTCTCACTCTGTAAAGAGCAGGGGTCATCTGGTGGGTGACCGGGTCTCTGTAGCGTGACTGGCCCTTTCTGACGGTTAGTAAGGATTTAAATGTGGTTCTTTATGGTTTTTGTTTGACATACGGGGCACCGATAACTGGCATCGTGGAGGAGTGTGGTAATTATCAGATCACTTTCGCGAAGGCAGAGTTGATAGTGTAGATGGGGTGGGTGGGGAGAAGTGGGGGATGAAAGTGGCAAAATTGGAATAGAAGTGGATTTAGGAGAAGTTTTAAAAAGGTGTCTTGATTAGAAGTATGCTTTCTTTTTTTGTTCAAAGTCAAAGGTCCATTGGTTGGTATTCTAATGCCGAGTTATAGTGCGGCACTAGACCATCTGTCTCACGTTCATGAAGCGATAGATGGAGCCATTATCGGCGTTATTGTAAAGATTAACCTGTGCCTTTTCATCGTGACATTGAAAGCTTGGTAAGACTCGAAGTTGGTTTTTTTGTTGATTCTTGATTTTCAACCAGTCACCTAATTTTCCAGATGGCTGCGAAAGTTCATAAGTATTCAAAAAGGCACATAAGGTGGAAAAATGAAAGAAATGTTTTTATATATGAACTTCAAAAAAGCTTAGGAAGCTAAAAGGAGACGGATTCTTCGCCCCGTAGAAGCTACGTATAATGCATTACCTTTACTACCCGCTACTTAAATCAAATACCCATGGGAATCAGTCAATATCCTATACAAACTCCAACTTCTACTTCTACCCTAATAGCCTCTACAGCTTCTTCCATGCACGTTTTATTATGTAATGCTAATAGTGGTCCAAGCGCCAGAGAGTGACCTTTCCGGTGTCGTTGGCGATGGCCAACATCTGGCTGTTTGGAGTGAATTGCACGCAAGTCACTCTACCCAAGGGTGTGGCTGCCGTAGGCCAGTTGGCGAAAACCGTGCCCAGCGGCATGTGAATGAGCTTGAGGGCGTCCTTCTTTTGCTTTGAAGCCACACACAAGATCTGGCCATCTGGGGAGAATTTGGCTTCGAAAACCTGGGTGACCAAATTGCCGACGCTGCGGAAGGGCTTTGGATTCTGGCCATTGGTGAAGGTCGTACGGTCGAAAAGATTGACGACACCGCTTTTCGTGCCGATGGCAAGCCAGCGGTCTGTGGGGCCACCAAGGGCGATTTTTGTAACTGCAACCGCAGAAGAGTCGCTCCAACGACGAACAATCTCGATGTCGGGAGCCAGGAGATTAAACTCCCATACATCGCCGGCGAAGTTCGCCACTATGAGGTGCTTCTCGTCTTTTGTGAATTCAAAGTCGGCAACATAGCCGTCCACCTTGTATGCCCTGTGGAGCTGGGTAGTTCTGCTGTTTATAAGGTTGACGTAGCCGTTGGAACCAAGCAACGCCACGAAGGTGCCTTTAGGACTGATTTTGAAGTACTCGAAGGAACGCTGGCTTTCTTCCTGACCGTACATTCTCAGCACCTTGTCAACTGCTTCAGTGGTGGTATCCCATCTGCTCATGTAACGTCTTCTGCCGGAGGAGTAGACAAGACTGGAGTTGGGGTCAGGCGAAAACTGACAGCTTCTTATGGGCACATCTTTGAAGAAAACGGTGGACACAAGCTTGTTGGTTCTTCCGTCTATGTTGAAGATTCGTAACGTCTTGTCCATACCGCCTGTGAGAAGAAGGGGATGCAGCGGGTGGAAGCTCATGGCAAGGATAGGACCCTGGCCACGACGAGCAATGTTGGCGTCCTTGAGTCTGGAAATCAGAATCTTGGTAGGCAGAAGAAGCGCAGTTTTCAGCTTGACGTACTTCAGGTTCAGACTTAGGAGCTGCGTCAATCCCTTGATGTTCTTGCCGAGATCAACCCCGCTGTCCTCGTCGCTGTCTATGTTCTCGGCGTCGCTGCCGTCTTCTATTTGTGTGGTTTCATCAGCCCAAGAAGGTCTGGGAAAGATCTTTTCAAACTGGGCTCTGAGTCTGGCAACATACGCGGGCGCCAGAAGAGCGGTTTCTTCGTGCAGCTGCCTGAGCTTCTTCAGACGGTCGCTGATCACCAGAACGGTGTGTTTTTCGTCATCTGAATCGTGCCATACTGCCTCATCTTCATCCACGTCCATGCCATCTTCATCCTTGGTTTCGACTTCATGGAAATTGCTGGCGTCTCCGCCATCGTCAAGGAAAAACATGTCTTCCTCTTCTTCATTTTCACTCTCTCCTTCGCTGAAGCTCTCCATGGCTTCCTGTTCATCGTCTGAGGATCCGTAGAGATTCTCGATTTTTCGGAGGTTGGCCTCGAATCCGGCATTGTCACCGAAAACAAGCTTCTCTAGCTCCAACTCCTCCTCGTCTTTGGGCCTGGCTCCGTCGAGAGTGTCTGGCATGGGCTTTTATTATATAGTTTTGGATCTATTATGGAGCGATGGATGCGATGCTTTTTCAGTGATGAGATCGCACCCGTGCACCACGCCCTTTGTCTATATGCTATATACACTGATTGCCTGAACCTGTTTGAGCTTGAACCACCGTTTACTTCTTGAGTTCGGCCAAAAACGACACGTAGTACTTCTTGAACAGTTTGGCGTCCATATCAACCAATTTCTGTCCGAAGTCGTTTGTGAGGTCCTGAGCCAATCCCACGTTAACCAAGTAGTTCACAAGAAAGTTGACAAACTCTCCCGAGTCAGCCTGTTCTGGTAGGTTTTGAGAAGCAAGGAGAGGTCCTGAGCCAAGTTGCGGAACAGCGCCTCGGACAAGTCAAAAGTGGCGTTTGAAAAGGGCAATTCAAAACACAATTTGACCGTACTCTCCATGAGGTACTCGTCAATTCCCTCTATTGGGGCCAATGTAGAGCTGAGCTTGTCCTTGGCGTCAGTGATTTTTCCGTTGTTGCATCCAAGCACGGCGATGACGTTACCAAACTGAACGATTGCCAGCTTGGTAGTAGTGATGTCGTTCAAATCCTGCGAGTATTCAATAATTGAAGACAAAACCTGGGGAAAATGGGCTTGTTCGTCTCCGTCAACATCAAGGAGAATTGGTTGTTGATCACAACGATGCTGATGAAATTAAGAAACGACTTTTTCAACTGGTACTTGTCCCTGGTGACATGAGGGTTGTTTTCTTCGTCAGCAGAGAGAAGCTCAAAGATCTTGCGAATCATAGGCGTGATCAAATCATTCAAGAGTTGGAACATATCATCGTTGTTCTTGAACTGGTGCACGATCTGGCCAACGAAACTCAAAAAGTCACCAAGCTCAGTGATCTTCAACTTTGGCGAGGCCAAGATCAACAGAATCAACTTACTCAAATGAGAACTACTCTGTACGTCCAAAATTGGCATCAAACGAGCAAACGCAAACCTGGCAGCATCTCTGACGTTCTCTGACTTGTTGAGGTTCTCGAGTGTGATCAACACAACCTGAGCAGCATCACCAACCTTGCTGACCACCTTAGGATCATGCTTGGCAGCAGCAGATTTGCCTGGAGCCTGTGTGTCTAAACCACGAGTCACAGTTGCAAGCGCCATCAACAGATGGTTGGCTTGCAAGGGAACGAGAGGGTTGACATCTTTATCGTCACGAGAGATACAAGTTTCCAAGCTGCTGAAAAGTGGGTTGAAAAGAATTTCGATAGATCTGGCCGTGGAGTCTGGAGAATCAGCCATGGAAATGAGGATACCAAGTGCTTCAAACAAGTACAACTGACTGTTGAAGTTGCCGTTCTCCACAACATCGTCGTCCTCATCCCTGGTTGGAAGCTCAGCTTTAATAATGAGCAAAGGCTGGAACTTGATCAATAGGCTTTCCAAGAAGTAGTCATTCAACTTAGGTTTGGTGATGTTGACAAAACGGAAGAAGAGGTACCAAGTTCTCAAACGGACGCTTTCAACAGAGTTGAACAAGCCAAATTCGGAAAAGAGCTCTAGAATTTTGATCACGAGCTCATCAATGCTGGTGTTTGTAGTGTTATTGAAACTTTTAGTGGAGAAATGACGAATGATTAATTCGAAGAATGCAAGTTGATTTTTAGGGTGGTTAATCGACGTGAAGTTGTTAATGATTTTGATCAAGAAGCTCTGCACTTCTTGGAATGGCTTGGATGTAGTGATTTCAGACTTGGGGAAGTTGACCAAGTTGTTCTTCAAGGAGTCACCGAAGTTGCTTAACTCGTAGAGACCCAATTCGACAGATGCCCAATCATCCAGAGAAGCGTTGAAAATCGAGCTTTCAAAGAACATAGGCATGACTTCGAGGTACATCTGAGGACTCAAAATAGCGATGGTGTCCTGGAAGGTTTTCAACTTGGAACGGACCTCGCTGAACTGCTCATCATCATCAAATGGCTCGGCATCCTCGTCAAACTTCATCTTTATGATGATCTTCTTGAGTAAGGTTGAGAGCAATTCGACCAGGTTGAGCACCTCATACTTTTTGGCTAGAAGCATGTAAGCCTGGATAAAGGGAAACACTTGCTGGGAAACATCGTCGTACTCGTGGCCCAAGAATTCAAGAATGGTAGGCCACAACTTGAGGAGGTGAACGTTGATCTCGTTGAGCAATGATCCGTCATTCTCCAAGACAATAGCAAGCTCAATGCCGATCTGATTAGCCAACTTTGCGAGGTTCTCAATGAAGTCCAAGTCGTCATCCTTGAGAGATCCAATAACAGACGTCAAGTCGAGCAAATTGATCAATTCAAGCTTGCTGGCAGGCTTCATCTTCTTGGAGATGATCTCTATCAAAGTGACACAGCTCTGGTTGCGTAGTTGCGGCAGGGACTTCAAGAACTCATAAATAATGCCGATGAATCCGTTCTGGATGAACATGCTGATTTCCATCCAGTTGACGTAGGAACCCACAACCTTGAGGCCATTATCTAGAAGGGCGGAGTCCTTGACGGTGGTCAAGATAGTCTTCCACGACTCGACCAACTGGGGCATGTCTCTTTCACGAATCAAGTCCTTGAGAACGTTGGATCTGTTGTGAGCCTCCTTTGTTCGGGAAATCAACTTATCGCCAATGTGGAAATGGATGGAAATGAGGATCCTTAAATAGTAGTCTATGCTGAGGGGGTGGGAGGACTGGATGAGCATCAAAAGCAGCTTGAGGAACTCAGTGTTGATCTGGGAGTATACTAGGCAGAATAGACTGCCAAACAAGTCACTAAGCTTATTCTTAAGGTGCACCTGATCATGGTGGTCTGCGGCTACTAACAGATCCAAGTACTTGAATAAAGCCAGGTTGAGCTGGTACAACTGCTGCTCACCGAGCTTTTCCGTGTTTTCCTCGATGACTTGTAGAATGAAGAACTTGAGCCCGTCGTTTAGGTGGATACCCTTTTGAGGATCAGACAACAAGAGATCGAAGCATGTCTGGTAGCCCTGTTCTGTGGATTTGATCTCATTGATGAAGTCGAAAGCTTGGCTCTTTAGACTCGGGTCTGCCGTGCCGCTAAGCGCAATGTCCACTGCCTGCTGTATTTGCTGATCCATTAACGCTGTGATTTACAGGAGTGTATGATTGATGAGATGGTGGCGTTGCGTCGACTGGGGGATTTCCGTATATGACTAATTTCCAATTTTGAAAATCTGCAGGAGGAGGTAGAAGTGGCAACAATTATCAGTGTGCAGCAGACGGACTATGCTTGATTAATATGATTTGAAGTAGTAGGGAAAAAATTTAGCGAGGTTGGCTTTTTCAGATGTGGTCACGTGACCAACTTTTCAGCAGCCAGTTTTGACCTCGTCGGCGTGTCTCAGAGGTAAGAGCTGTGTGAAATTGGAAAATGTAAAATCAAAAAACAAAATTCCATGATTTTTTTGTAAGGGTTGTGGTGGATCAGGGTTGCCCGGTTGTGTCACGTGCCGCATGGCACGTGAGAAATCTAGCGTTGCCTGTCAAACGAGTAAACAAAAAGGTGGGGCGCACAAGATAACCTACGTTACTCACAAGACTTGTTTATATGCAGGTCATATATGGCCCCGGTTCAGAGGGGCAGACCAGAAGGGGTCTAAGCTTTTGAAAAAGAATTAGAAAATTGATGTTTTGTTAGGAGGTTTAAGTTTACTAGCAGGGTGTGTTTTGGTCGATGGAAGTTGGGGGATATGACCAGCCATAATACAGAGGTCGGTCAAGCATCAGAGGAAGATGCCAAAATAATATCAAAAAGGAAGACTTTGAAATCAGCAAGTCGATTTAAAGATAAGGTAGTTTTCGAAAAAGGTAAGGCCATCTTAATAGCTCACTTTTTTATCCTGGAAGCTCGTGGACTGCTTTCACGGATGAACAGAGGTTGCCCTATATGGATATAGTGAACCAACTTTCGTCGACAGAGTAGTCTCTGATTTTTTGTTTCGAGAAACTTGTTCGAAGATGGAGCATCAGTCGGATGTGGTAGTCGAAAAGGAATAGAACAACTAAATATAGTGGATAATTTTGAATCTCAAAATGTCCCACTTCGCCGGCGGTCTTCACGATATATGGAGCTTCAAAGCAGCATTTTCGATCCTTATATATGGCCCAGGCCTGGTGCTTGACGAGGTATATTAACTCGATGTCGGAAAACAACACCTTATATGTTGGTTGACAGTTTCAACCGAATTCATGCAATGCTGGTGAACATTGAATATCTAAGGACGGTGTTCGAGTTCACAGAGCCATGTGATAGTCACTTTTGGTACCAGCTGATACTTGTCTTTTTTCGGTATTGTGACATTGAAATAAAACTATAGTAGGGGAATCTGGCCCGCCTCTCTGCATGGATACAAATCAAGCCACGTTTTGTCTCAAAATGATCTTCCGGCTCATTTGCTCTGTCCTTCAATTTTTATAAACATTCGCCTTTGGCGTGGACTTTGTGTTTCTTTTATCATCGAAACACACTTACGTAATGCATTTTCAAGCAAAAGCTTTCTCACATAATAGTCAATCATGCGCCATGCCAACTGGTTAAAATATGGATGGCATTGTTCAACCTCAAGCAATGTCCGCACGTAGGTCCGCTTTTAAAATGGGTATTCTTTGTATTCGATGTTTCGTTGCACTTTGGGGGCACAATGTAAATTAGACCTGGTAAGTTCGAAGAAGTGTGAGTCACCTTTTAGCTTTACAGAATTGGAGGTTGAAAAAAAGCACGTCAGAGAGTATGCCAAACTACAAAATGTCCGCCGTAGCCCAGCATTCTCGCCGCAAATTTTCGTTCCTTTCCTCTACCTTCTGACTCTGCCATTTCCAACAAGTGAAAGAAGGATCATATACCTGACAACCAGCCATGGCGTAAAAGATCTGCTAAATGCTGCAAAGGGAAAATAAATGCTTTTGTGAACCAAGTTTTCGAGGTTGGCTTTTTTCGAAGAGGTCTGGCTGAAAATATCAGCAACCGCCTCGACAACAATTAAAATGAAATCGAAGAAAGCCAACTCCAAGAAATAAAAGATTAATCGAATCAGAGGTCGAGCTGAAGAAAATGACGCTCCAGGTCTTGAACCGTTTGCTAGCGAGTTTTGGGCTCTTTGCTGAAGTGACGTCAGTTCAGAGTACGGGGTTATCAGAGAACAAGAGGATTTTCCACTTGATAAAATATCATCCAGCTCCAAAATTAAAGAGCTTTTGTGGGGCAAATCTTGATCAGGTGTTTTGGAGTCCTCGACTTGTCTTTTGAGCCGAAAATACCCAGCGTCTGGTTTTATCCTACAGAACCTAATGAACTTGATGGCTTTTTTTTTGTTTCCTGAGGATTTCTGAATCAAATTTGGTCGACTCACCTACGCTGCTCGTAAACCCTTTTTACACCCCCTGAGCACTTTTTCTTGGATCAAATTAGATTCTCTGCTTCAGCCTAATCAGCTCAACAAACCCCCGAAAACCCATCTCTCGATCATCCTCTAATCAGCCATTTCATCAAAATCCTCAGCCAGACCAAATCCACGTTTCACCCACCAAAAATTTCAGGCGACTTTAAGCGATGCGGAATGTGGGAAGACCCAGTAGATGAAACATCGATGCATTTTGATACAGAGGAGCAAGCGACCGAAAAAAAGAAAAAGTTAACCAAATGTAAAAAATGTAAAACATCGATCGACCGGCCTGAAATCCCCGTATCTTGTAATTTCTGCGCTCCAATCCCTCCCAAAAATAAACTCTGCTTCCAACCCGAACAATGAACAAACGCACCGCTCCAAATCTCCTTCACCGCCTTCGCCGAAGTCCCCGAAAATCCCCCACAGAAGCTTTGCCCCGAGGTTCATGAGATACTTTTGCTCCGCACAAGCAAGTGAAGTAAAACAAAAGCTTCCGTAAATGCAGCAAGTTCGGATCGAAAGAGGCAAAGCCCACTGGGTTGCAAAAAGTTTTCCTCATGTTAGTAACCTCATGGTGGGCTGTGCCTGGTTGACACAAATGGGAAACGTACAACGGCTGAATAGAAGAGCCGCCGAGCTGCAGACGGGGAGACTTCCGACAAGCACTGCGAAGTCAAGCAATTAAGTGACTTGATGGGCCGGTGCTGGGGCTCTAAAGTGACTAGGCCGAGACACAGGGAGGGGAAGAAAGTACCCTTTAATTGGTCTACAAGGTGACGTCATGATGATAGCTTCATTTTGTAGAACTTGTAGCTTTTTTTCTCATCTTGTCTAATGCATCGTCTAGTTAATGTAGGGTGGCCGGAGTAGATGTGCTCGGAACCGGTTGTTGGGGTGGGAGACTAGCTGCAAGATACGTTTTGCGGTGGGTGAAGAAGCACCGTTGCTGTGGCCTTGCGTCGGCATGCGTCATGCACTCGTTTTAGCGCTGCAGGTTCTACGTTGACTCTCTCAGGGTTTGTTCGGTGCAGTCGCCGCAAAATTTCTCTTGTCATTTGAAGCAGCTACGGCCGTAAATGCAGCGAACGATTCGAGGGCCAAGACTTGGGTGGAGGCCCGAAGCGGGTGATGCAAATTTATCTTTCGAGGCATGATTTCAAGCTGTGCGCACAAATGTTGGCATGTTTCCGTGTGGACGTACTATTACGGATCGATGCTGACAAAGATGAAAGTGGGAGGCCACGCAGGAAACCCTGCGCTGGCGGCGCAGGCGCTTCAAGCTGCAGGTGCGTGCGGCTCTCCGGGCCGTGCATGCGGCCACACCAAGGGCCCGCCCGCCTACGTGCAGGACTACATCACCGTATTCTCAGGCCTGAGCATATCTATGGAAGAACAGCGTACTTTTGCAAGCGCTCGGGAATAGCGTCCCACAAGCTCTTGCTCTTAAGCCACTCCTGCAGGAAGACCCGGTCAGCGTACTTGTGGCAACTGTCACACAAGACCGTCACGACGTTGGATCCCTCTGGCAACGTCTGCGCCACTTCCATGGCTGCAACAACGTTCAACCCCGACGTGCCTCCGACATAAATACCCTCTTCGTCAAGCAATCTATAGAGCATCGCAATCGACTTTTCGTCGGAGACTTTGATGGCCTCGTCCAAAAGGTCAATCTCAGGCTTCAAGTTGTCCGTCACTCTGCCTTGCCCGATACCTTCAGTGAAAGAGGAGCCGCCTCTCACAATCTCCTTACCGTTGCTCTTGATGTAAGAGTACAAAACAGATCCTGGTGGGTCCGCCAAGACACACTTGACCTTTTCATCCATCAGCTTCAAATAGCGGGTAACACCAGCAAAGGTACCACCAGTACCAGTCGAGCAGGTCCATGCATCCACCTTGCCGTCCAACTGAGCCCAGATCTCAGGACCCGTGCCTTCGATATGCGCCTGTCTGTTGGCAATGTTGTCGAACTGGTTTGTCCAGACGGCATTGTCGAGTCTCTCAGCGTGTCTTTTGGCTTGGTGGTTGTAGTTTTCAGGATTGTCGTATGCAACAGCAGGAACAGGGTAGACCTCGGCGCCCAAAAGGCGCAAAGTCTCGATTTTATTCTGCGATTGCGTGTTGGGCATGTAAATCACACAGTTGTAGCCTCTCAGACGGCAAACGTGAGCCAATCCAATACCGGTGTTTCCAGCTGTACCTTCGACGATTGTGCCACCTGGCTTGACCAATCCTTTAGCCTCGGCATCATCCAAAATGAACTTGGCCGCACGGTCCTTGATGGAACCGCCAGGGTTCATGAACTCAGCTTTACCGTAGACGTTTCTGCCGATAGAGTCAGAAATCCGGGGTAACCGGATGAGCGGCGTGTTTCCGATTGCCTGCAGGAATCCATCGGCGGTGAGGGGCACAAAGGGCGTCTTGAACTCGCTGTTGGTCGTGATGCGAAGCGTTCTGACCGCCTGGATGGCACTTCTGGAGGTTCTGATCATGGTGGTTGGCAAGGTAGCGTAGAATTGGTGATAATCGCGTGGAATCACGTGGACAGGGGCACGTGACCAAATCACATGCCCGCTGATCACCGGACCCAGATCACATGCCCAGCATTCGTAATAGCCATCACCAACCCCTCCCAACGTCGTGTATCACGCCATGGTGCATCTGGGCCCTGCAACGTGTTTACCCCAATCTGTATAGTATGGTGTGGCATTTTTCCGAAAATCGCGACTATCTACATCGGCCATAGAGGGTCCTTATTTTTTCGGCTTTAATAATAATTAGCATGTAGATCACGAAGGGTCCACCAGCCACTTTCAAAATAATAAAATAACATCTCCGCTAGGACAAGAAAAAAATTTGTGGCAGTATCGGGATTGTCGAGCCCGCCGCCGCAAGATCCATGTACATTTGCGAGAGGAAGAAATGAAAATATTGAAAAAAAGGAAAATGAGATGTAGCCGCAGCGAAAAAAGATGCCTGTTTCACCTGCTGTACCTCCGGGGACCTATCGGGGACCTCGAGGATGCTGTTAGAAGCGCTACAGGTACGATGATCAAAAGCTGTGCCGCAGGTAGGAATGATCTAAGTTAGCCGCCCAGCGTGATAGTGTTATGTACGTGAAGAAATTCATGACACCTGTGTTTTACCAACCAAAATGCCACACTTTTCGGAAGCCTCTTTAAAATTTTTGAGAGACTTGTCGCTTCGCTGGGTACATGTGCTGATCCGATTGTGGGCCTGCACCCAGACCTGCAGAGGGCGTCCCTGTCAGGCCTAGTTGGGCCCTAAACCCGAGGCGGTGAAGAATGCGGACTAAGATGAGCCCGGCGCATCACTCCTGCAGGAAGCCTCACTCGCGTGTTCACGTACATGGACAGTGAATTTTCCCCCAGGATAACACTAGCGAAGTGAGGAGGGGCCCAGCAGAGAAGCGTAATTATTGCTTGGCTTTTTTTTTTTTTTATTTAAACCCCAAAAAGAAAAAAAAAAAAAAAAAAAAAAAAAAAAATTCCTCGCATTATATGTTCCCCAATGGAGCAAGCCTAAATCCCCCCTTTCTAGCTCAAACAAAAAGCCAAGTGCTTAGTCTTCCTGTGACATAAAACACCCGACGATCATCAATACGGGGTCTTGGGTCACGGGTCTAGGCGCCAGATCGTCCCACTTTTACATGATTTTTCCGAGAAGACGTGGGGCTGGGGACTTTGTGCAATTTTTCTGGTCAGGGCATCACGCAAAAGGGATCTCTCGGCGACGTAGGTCTTTGAAAGGCACTCGTTTTGTGTCAAGTTGCTAAGCACCGACGGTGTCTTTATCGCCGCTAGACAGGAGTGCTGATTTTTTTTTTTTTTCGAATGCAGCAGGTGCGAGCTTCTTGGCGGCATTTTGCAACACATCTCCGGAAGACCCCTGGGCAGCAGAGCGCATATGGCCCCAGATAGTGTACCGAAATAAGTCTCTTAAAAAATTAAGAGAGAGAAAGTGAGAGACTACTGAGAGAGACTTCGCTTATTCTGCGGTGCGGTGCACCGCCGATCCCTGCCATGCTTCTAAAGAGAGGGACCCTCGATTGTCGGACATATCTCGGTAAATCCGGATCCAGTGAGGGGGTGGCGCTGGTGCTTCTACGGTGAGCTGCACGCTCTGCCTAGATGGCTTCTGTTAGGCGTATGCTTCTGTATTTGTTTTACGCGGAGTTGTTACGTGAGAGTATGCAATGTCTGACGCGGGATGGTTCACGTTTCAGATTGTGTGCAGTACGCCCACTATGGAGTGAAACTGATGCCATGTCTAGAAAGGAGCACCCGTGTTCCACTGCTGCTGGTGAGCATTTTTTTGTTCTACAATACGCATGCGCTTGGGAAAGCTTTTTGGCATGCGCATGGGCTGTAGAAGGAGTAATGAGCATTGGGCCAGCATTTACTAGACGGGTTCAAGGTGCGGCTTGCAAGCATCCTTTCTCGGCTTTTTTTCGTTTTTAGTCCGACCCACCACGCAAGTTTGTCGTATGATGACCGTTGGCCTACAGCGTTGCAGAACGGACGGGGGACGGGCGAGAGAGATAGGGGTCTCGCTTAAAGCTTAAATCATGGAGGCGGCAGGTGTGCAATCGTAAGTGGTGCTGGATTGGTCAGGAAGATAGAACGAGAAAATAGAAGACCCCGGCGGGTGCGGCAGTTTCTTTTTCAAGAATGGTGCGTCGCCACAGGTGATGGCAGTAGCCAGAAAAAGGCAGGAGGCGTTCTTGAAATTCCAGGACAGGGACGTAGGCAAGGTAGAATTGCGTTATTTTCCAGCACCGCTATTTCCCCATGGGTGCCCAGGCTGCTGTTACTTTGACGTACAAAGGCCAGCAGCGCTTGGGCTCCACACCAACAGTAGCGCATAATCTGGCCTGATCAATTGGGCGGCAGGACTATCCTGGAAGAAAGAGCATTTAGGGAGGTAATGAGGCACAATTGGGGCAGGAAGGAGCCGTGGAGTCCATTTTACGATCGAACATCGAGTCTAAAATTCAACTTGTCCTCTGCACCATGAGACCTTTCCTACCGAGAATTACCATTTCACGAACGCTACTGGTTCTCATGCTACTGCTTTTCTCGTACTACCTGATTTCTCGTCAACCATTTACCCCACATCCTTATCTCTAACGGACTCACGCCTCGACCCTGCCTCGCTTCGGTGTCCTCCACCTTCTTGACCTCATACTTTTTGCGTCTGACGACAGGTTTCTGCATCAGACCCTCCATCAACAAAACGTTCGAACCTACAGTTTGTATCTCGAGAGTTTTTTTTTTATTTTTTTTTTTTTTTTGGTTTGCCCGTTGGTGGGACGCCACACGCGGGGCAGAATCGGAAATGTGGCCCGAAGAATCCAATGCACCGAAGACGAGAAATTCGCCTGCTTTGACGAAGTAGAGGCCGAGGCCATCAGGGTGGATGACGTCGGTGTGAGAGCATAAGCAGAGCCAGGGAGCAGTGCTGCTGGCTACATGACAACCACTACAAGCAAGTAAAGAAAAAGAACCCTTTTTTTGGTCACCGTCGAGTAGGAATGGAGATGCACGGGACGGTAGAAAAGGCTTAGACAGGACAAGCTGGAGGCACAGGTTTGGAGACCAGGGCCGGTCCTGCAGGACAAGCGTGGCCATGGCATCATAACCGGAAATGTTCCACTTTAGGATGTATCTCCAGCGTGGTTGCTAGTAGGAAGGGTACATTTTTTTGGGTAGCGGAGGGTAGAGGACCAGGGTTCCTGTATGGGTGAGGCGCAATGCCGGGCGAATCAAAAGAACCCCAAGCAAGGGCAGGTGCAGCAGTATCGTGCGTGCTGCAGCCCGGCAGCGCAGGCCGGACTAACAGTGCTGGCCGCAGCAGCAGCGGCGGCGGCGGTAGTAACACAGCAGCAGCAGCATGCATACAATGCGCCCGCATGTAACAATACATGCGGTGCGCTGCTCACACGCGTCCCGACGCACGGCGGGTCCCGCATAGCGGGTCCTGGCCACGAAAAGAAACATCCTTCCCTCCGCACCATATCGTCCCAGCCGCCCGTTCTCCTGCGGTCTCTCCAATACTGCAGTTCCATCTGGCTCACTTTTCACATATATAGGTCAGGGTCCCCCGACACCACCACGACAACCTTCCCAAGGCTTTCTTCCCTGCTGCGCTGCAAATCGTCTTTCCCACAAGCAGCCATTGTTACCTGCTCCTAGGCGTCATTCTCACGCTTCCACATCCTTTGTCCGCTCCGACCTGCGCTGTGTGGTGCAACCTCGCTAGATAATATCAGCACCTCCATATTTTTCGGTATCCAAGCCTTCTACCGGCATCCGTCTGTGCTGTACAAACACCACTTATAATATTTGTCGGTCCCTGCCTTATATCACCGATCCGTCCCCTGTTCCCAATCTACCACCGTTTTTCCTCCACCTTCACCAAAAATACCTTGCAACCTCTAGATCTAAGGCGTTTCTCCCTCAATTCCACTCGACAGCGTTTCACCTGTGTTTCACTCATCCCTACCCAACAATCCCTCTCAGGGTCCACCATCAACAAACTATTCCAATCTCTCAATTGAGCTCCGCTCAGCTGACATCAACACCCTTCGAAAAGCTCCGCTCAGCTGACATCAACACCCTTGAAAAGCTCCCGTCCAGTGACTAAAACCTAGTCACCGCTTCAATCCCTCAAACCACCCTCCGCATTGACTCCTAAAAAACCAATGTTCGTGACGAGGATCAACCAGGGCCCCAGGCTCCCCTCCTTCTCCGAACTCGTCTCGTCGCTAGCGTACGAGCAGGATCACCAGACGTTTCCTCCTGCTCTCCATCCCCACCCTGGCATGGCTCCTGTTCCCCAGAGACCCAGTATCCCGGGTCCAGCCATACTATCGCTGCTACCAATGGACCGCCAGCATCCGCTTGAAAACATGGACTCCCGCCAGGGTCTGCCGCTGGGCTCGCCCTTGGGTCTGACCCAGCCTCCGCAAAATCAGCAGCTTATGTATGCTCCTCCGCTTCTAGCGTCGCCTGGGCTGGTTACGCCGCTGAGCCAGGCCAGCTCCATCACTCCAGCGACGCTGGTGAGCTCCTACAACTCCAACCTGGGCTACGTGAAGCCCGAGGAATTCAGAGAGCCCCGGATGCTGAGCAAGAGAAAGCACATGTGCAAAACGTGTGGACGGCTGTTCACGACGCTGGGACACTTGGCCCGGCATTTCCGAACCCACACGGGCGAGAGAAAGCACGTCTGCCCGTGGGCCGACTGTGGAGCCCGATTTGCCCGCCAGGACAATTGCATGCAACATTACAAGACACACTTGAATGGAAAGAACAAGAGGCGCTAGGCTGTGCCGGCGCTGTGTACATGAAGACACGAAAGGAATGAAGAGATGTAGCGTAGGCCTTTTGGAGATCAATTGGAATGGTCAGGCCCATTTGAAATGGTGAGTAGGACCATTCAAAATAGAGAAGTAGGCCCATTTGAAATGGTGAGTAGGACCATTCAAAATGGAGAAGTAGGCCCATTTGAAATGGTGAGTAGGACCATTCAAAATGGAGAAGTAGGCCCATTTAAAATGGAGAAGTAGGCTTCCATTTGACATTGTCAAGGAGTAGGCACATTTAAAATGGAGGAGCAGGCTTCTTCGAAAATGTCATGAAGCAGACTTCCATTTGAAAATGACCATGGAGTAGGACCATTGAACAATGGTGAGGGAGCAAAGTCCCATTTGAAATTGTCAAGGAGTAGGCTTACTTAAAAGAGCAGGCCCATTCAAAAATGCCAAGGAGCAGGCTCCTTCAAAATGGCCAACGAGCTGAGAATGGCCTGGGCTCCAAAGCTTATTTCGATAAGGACAAGCCTGCAAAAGTGGATCGGCTGTTTCCTGGCCAGCGTCTGCTGGGTTCGTAAAGGGTCCCAGGATAGCGGCAAGTGGAGCCTCGAAGCAGCAAAGCTTTTAGGCGATATGCATATCGGGAGGATGGACTGGCAGACGAGGAGCATGGGGGTGATTTTGGGAAAAAAAAAAAAAAAAAAAAAAGCATGAAGTGGAGGCTGAACGTACTGGGTGCAAGAGAGCATTCCATAAAAAAACGGATCTAAATCAGCCCCAAGCAACTAACGGCCAACCACGGAGACACCATGCAGCAAAGGCCGTTGAGCTTAAATTTACTTCAGAAAGTCAAACCCCTGGGCACCCGGATACTGCCACTCCCGGAAAAGTCGCCCGCTTCCCGAGACCCCAAACCTTGCTTGCGTCGGCGTGAACCCTGAAAGCAGGGTGGCGGTCTCGGCGCCTGTTTAGCACCGTACGTGAGGAGAGGCCCAGTGATAGCGCCAGCACGCACAGCGGGTCGTAGTCAGCACACGGCGTGGCTGCAAAACCATTACAGCAGGTAAGGCCCGTACAGCGCTGGGCGGCTAAAGCCACAGGGTCCGGGCGAGGAGAAGCGAAAAAGCGGGTTTTGGGGACGTGGGGCCAAACAGATCGGGTTGGCGTTTTTGAAAAAAATGTCTTGTGGAAGTTTTGTGGTGTTGATGCTCAGCTACACCTTCTGGAAACACACCGCCTGTGCGTGCAAGCCGCCGAAACCGCCGCAACCTCTTCTTGGCTAGGCGCGGAATGCAGCAGGCAAAACTCCAGACCAGGCATTCAGGCGTTCGAGACATTCAGGCGTTCGAGGCATTCAGGAGTTCGAGGCATTCAGGAGTTCGAGGCATTCTAAGGCTGACGCAGATTACACCGCATTTTGAGAAAGTCAAGCTGCTGAAGCTTTTTGTTGCAAGTCAAGTTTTGCCTGGCATTCTAGTCGTCTGACTCAGTGCCAACGGCCCGCTTTCCACATCAGCCTCTACTCGGATCTTGCCGCAGGGATCTTCTAGAAATGACCCACGCAGCAAGGGTTTTTGACGTGGAGGAGGGTGGGGGCGGCTGAAGCAATTTTCCTGGCTTTTTCCCGGCCACAACGGATGCTTTTTCCGTGGTCTGGTTTTCCGAACGGGACCATTCCACAGTGTTGCCAGGGAAAATCGGGTTTGGTTCCGCTTCGGGCTTGCCTTCTGCCATTCTGTGTGATTCCATTCTGTGTGATTCCATTCTGTGTGATTCCATTCTTGTGTGACTCCATTCTTGTGTTATTTTTTTGTGTTATTTTTTGTGCAGCCAGAATGACCTTGCTATTTTTTCGTTTCTTTTCCTGGCTTAACAGCCTCGTCAGATGAGTCCACAAAAATTAAGGTTTCACCAGCCGCCCGCGACGGGCCGCCTCCCGAAGATCCGATTTTCGTGCCTTGTTTAGATGGACCCTTGACGAAAAGGCTGCAGAGAGCAAGTGGCACAAAGTGGCTGCAAATTGGCGATTCTGCGGCTGCAAAACAGCCCGTTGTGCTTGTCAAGTCGCGAGTGTTAATCCCAACGGGCCGCTAGAAAGTTGGTTTGCGGCTAGAAAGTGGGTTCGAGGCCGGAAGTGCTTGGTTTTGTTGGAGATGAGTGAAGATATGGCGGGATTCCGAGGAACCGAGGAGACGACCAGGGTCCTGAAATAAGGGTCCACCGTGGGTGTGCAGCGTATTGAACTTTTATTCTTTTCTGAAAATGGCATCAATGGCATGGGCAGGGCCCCACAGCCTTGAATCCAAAACCTCCAATCCAATCACCAACCAAACACCACTCCACTGGAAAAGAAACCGATACAAGCCGAGACCAACAATAACCGCCAAAAAAGCCAAACAAACCCACCCAACTAGCGCCGATCCCAAGCGTGAATTAATAATTAACCACCTCTTCCCCTGAGATCTGCCTTTGTTCCCGGTCTATCTTCCAAAACCGTCTTCCCATGCCCCCACCCTCCATTATCCCCTACAGCCGCTGTTAATCCGGAAAATCCCTCTTTTCTCTGCACCGTTGCGAGCCACGGAGACCGTTCCCGCTGCTTCGCTGCCTTGACGATCTCGGTTAGGAGCAGTGATTATGTGCCCTTTGTTCCTGCCAGGGTCCAGCCACGCTGACCAGGGCACCTATCAACTGTGCGGCCTTATTCTCCGTGATCAGACGATTTTCGTTTGTTTTCTGTGGAGCGATCCGCCGCTCTGATCGGAGGAAAATCGCCCCTTGATTCTTGCGTTTTGCATGTGGTGTTTTGCAGCCATAATGGTGGACGGGCCGCTTCCTATATAGGTGCTTTTGGGTGCATGCAAGAGGACTTACTGGGGCGTAGGCGGTTTGCAGTGCATGGTGTTGATGATGTTTCAGAGGCCACGGAGAAGGTTCTGGATTGAGGCATTGTTCCGAAAGATCTTCAGTTTGTCACGGAGTTTCTACCTATTCTGGCTTTCGACCTTGAAGTCGTGAAAGCCACTGCATTGTGTGTTGGCTGCAACTCAGACACATCGATAGCTTATATCGCTACATGGAGAGGAAAGTTAGTTTGTTCACGAGACTATTGAAACAGTGCCAGACAGTCATCGACGTAGTGGAGAATCCTGACAAAAACACACAGTCCAAGGCGATTCACGAGAAGATTATGCTGGGAGACACCAATTTGTTTCAATGCTCGAGCTGTCTATGAGCAGAAAACAGAGGAGACAGAAGAACAAGCAGCTCCACTATGCATCTATCGCTTGGCAGAATTTTACCCCGTGCTAATCGAACAACTTGCAAGACATGGCTTAGACCTCGAGTTCGAGGACGTCAAGGTGGCAGTTTCGTGTGACCTTTGGAAGGAGAGTGATGAACTGGATTTAACAGGAAAGTCGACCCGCCTCGCCAGTTCTGTTTACCAATGGCCCACTAAAAGCTTCAAATTCGTATGTCTCAATTAAGCAACAAGGACTTTTTACATATTTGAAGTTTGAGAATCGGCTATGGCCACTTCAGCCCGAGACCTCTAATCATTCGCTTTACCTCATAAAACTGTTTAAACGAGCTTCTGCTAACCTGAGGGAAACTTCGACAGGAAGCAGCTACGAGATGGTTGGATGTTGGAGGACTGGATTCGAAAGCAGCTGCAGCAACAGATGAGCTGAGATCTTTTGTGCGTGGAAGTAGTGCTTCAACAATTGGTTCGATGTACGGCTTTGTAAGTGAATGAACAATCAAGACTGACAAAAAAGAAGCGGCTTCTTCCTTCTTTCGACTCGTATTGGCATATCCCAATCTAGATAAGAGTGAATCAAAGCTTTTCTGGCACCTGAAGGGAAGTGAGTCGTTTTCAGCCGAGTTTTGGGACACCTTGGCATTTGCGTATGGACCTTGCCCCGCCCATGTACATTGGGCGCTGAAAGCTTTAGAATATCTGTAAGAGCATTGACTAAAGGGCTTGGTGTAGGAACTCGAAACTCAAAAGCCGATACCAGCATGTCAGTTGCATCCGTCAGTATTTCAGCTTCCTAGTCATATCTCGTCGATTCGTTTGTACGTAAGGAGCATAAGCCTAGACTGTATCTCTCACTATCATTTTTGTTGTGAGTCTCCTGGTGATATACATGTCGAAAAGTAGTATGCAAGGCAACGATGCAGCTGAACAAGGTGTTTTTGAAGCGTCCGCCCTGGTAGCAGGAGATAAATTTGACATTCCATCTACGATCCGTACACATTCGCCTGTTTGCACTAATAGATCTCCACGCCCATTCTAAGAGACCTGCAAGAATATCAACAATTTCCAATGTTTCTCTCTGACTGGAGAACCACTTATCGAATAAGGAGACACTTACTCATGTCACTTAGACTGGACCTCACAGACTCTGAGAAGCAATATCACCGAACTCCAACTGCGTCTTCCTAGTGATCAAATGCTCATGTAGAAGTTACAACCAGTCTTTTTAGTCAAATCAAAATCATCTTCCAAAATGCACTAGTTTTCTTTTTTATGTTTGCTTAGTTTCAGTAAAAGGCTTGGGAGGTCAAAACAGGGCATACTTTGAGCCATCGTTAAGATGCTCGGATGCACCCATAGTAAATTACGAATAACACCTAGATATAAATTCCTCAACTCCTAAACTATGAGGTCTAATAGCACTTAAATACTTGAACATAGAAAGAGTTTGTTGTGATCTGTTTTTACGTTACCAGGAAATTCCCAAAAACGGTTCTCTCGTCTGATATCTGAGAAACAGTGGAGTTCCTGTTACCGTGTATCACCTCTGTCCTTGTTCAAATCAGAAAACTAGCTTTAGCGGGGAACTTTCTCATCTATACTTGATATCTAACACGCTTGGTGTCAAGCGTGTATCAATCGTTCATAACATGTTCCCTACACCATCAAAGCTAAACTGCAACCATGACCACCACACATGTCGAAGTGTCTCACAAATTACAAATAAGAATCAGATTTGCAAAGATTGGCCAACTCCGTGCGTAGCCTTTAAAGGAACTTGACTTCTTCGTTCAGATAATACTCGTTTTGTGACCTACCTGGTGGAAAGTGAAGGAAGCTACCTTGGTTTGACCAGCAGATTTGAGCTGAAGGTTGGCTCCTCTCAAAAGATGGTTTCCTGGAATTTCTGAAAAAGTTGTGAACCGAGACGCCCAGCCCAAACTACGTCCAGTTGCAGAGTCAAGAACCACAATACATGCAAAACTATAATCTGCCAACATTCTTCTCTTCGAAACCTTCAAATGTGCTAAAAAGGCAGAGGCTTTATAAACCCATCTTGCCGTAGTTTATAGAGCCCTACATCACAACAAGTCTCATTCCCAAGTCGTATTCTACGTCTCCAATAAGCCAAAAGAATATACCTCCTTCAATTTCGAAAAAAACCCTTGGCCCTGCTGCCTTTGAGTGCATTGGAGGACTACCTGGCCAGTATCTCCTGATCACCACGTAGATCCAGGCCCAAGGCCTCGTACAAAATGAAAGACAGAGGAAAAAGCCAGGACAAGATCTGAGCCGACAAAAACACAACGCCAAATTATCAAAATTATCAAAATGTTGTTCCACAATACAAAGTAGCCAGCTAACGCTGCCCAGAATTGGCCAATAAAACCCAGAATACTATGAAACAAGAGATCCAAGCAACTCAGCCTCGGGCCGACCACCGCAAAATGTGCTGGGCTGGGTGCTCATTGGCTGCAACTAGAAAAGCGATGTTCGCTGTTGGTGAAATGGAAATCAAAAAATTGAAGCACTTCACGGGAACTTCCCCAAATAAGAAAACACTTGGCCTGGAAACTTCCATACCCCTCCTTTCCCGAAGTTCCCATTCCCTGACTCACGATCAACTCGCGAATCCCTCAGAAACTACTGCTTGTGAAAAGGCAGACATTTGCAGCAAGGGCCACAAACCAGGATATCCACATTTTTCTCCACACCATCTTTGTCACCTTTTCCCCTGATCCCGTTTTGCGAAAAGCGAAATATCAAAATTGCTAAAACGCATCATGCTGTGCAAGCATGTAATAAGCGAGAAATTCGCTAAATTGCACCCATTGATGTACCCTTGTGGACCCTACTACGGCGCGGCTAAAGCGCAATAGCCACGTTGCGTAATAACGGTAGGCAGATCCCAATAGACGAAGAAGTTTAGCTTCAGGGGCCTCTTTCGGAGATAAGAACCCATTTGCTAAAAAATCTAATCAAAAGCCACTCAGTCAAACGGTCATCGTGGTGTGGAGCCCATGGGGTAGATGCGAAATTCCGTTAGTTGCGCCGGAATTTTGGCACTGAGCATTTTCAGCAAATGAGGCACAAAAATGACAAGCAGGGGCGAGTCGTGCCGAGCCTGGCCTCACACAACGGAAAAAAGCCACTTTTCGTCGTACCCTGCTGTGGTGTCTAAGGCTGCACAGGCAATCGGGATTCTAGAGCGAGGTGGGCCCACCATGCACCTCACGAGGAACCAAAACTTTTGAAATAAATTCTTTTCAGTTTTTTTTTTTTTTTTTTTTTAAAAAAAAAGGCTAATTTGCAAAACGGAAAACTCTCCCTTCTGAAATAAAGTCCTATTGTGTGGCGTATCTTTTGCGTTGTTGCCGTGGCCGTGAGCTTTTCTTCGCTTATGCCATCGGAACGGAATTCTGCAGACACTTGCAGGCATCGAGAAGAGCATTATAAATTAATCCTACACCCGTGTTCCACATAACCATTCGTTTTTTTTTCCGCATGTCTGAGTTAGCAGGCTCTCAGACGCTCTTTGTGCCTGAAAACGAAAGAGTCTCTTTGGACGTCAACAACCTCGCCGTCACTGTCAAATCAAAAGATGTGGAGTCAGGTGTGGTGCCCATTCTTGACAGGGTATCCTTTGAGCTCCCCACAAACAACATCATGGCCATCATGGGCGGCTCCGGTGCCGGCAAAACAACCCTCCTTAATGTTTTGGCCCAGAGATTGAATGTCCACCATGCCACCATGAGCTTCTCCGGTTCGGTCGAGTACGAAACCGCCAGTGGGAAGAAGATCACCACCGCTTACATGCAACAGGAGGACGTGTTCTTGCCTGGTCTTACGCTTCAGGAAACGTTGATGTACCAGGCCGAGCTCCGGATGCCTGGAATCACGCAGTTTGAAAGAAAGGAGCTTGTGGAGTCGCTCTTGCTGCTTTTGATGTTGAACCACCGTGCTGACGAGATTATCAAGTCCTTCACAAACCACATCAACCTCTCGGGCGGTGAGCAAAGAAGAACTTCTTTGGCCATCCAGCTTCTCAACAAACCCTCGTTGCTTTTCCTCGATGAACCCACCACAGGTCTCGACACCACTTCTGCATTGACGCTTGTCCGCATCTTGAGGACCTTGGCGTCTCCCCAAATCGGCATTACCATCATTCTTTCCATCCACCAGCCTCGTCCAGAGATTGCTGCTCTTTTCGACAAACTCTGCGTTTTGGCTCGTGGCGGAAGATTGATCTACTGTGACGCCTTGGCCGATGCCAATGCGTACTTTGCACGTTTGCACGAGAAGAAGGTGGTCGAAAAGCTTGAGGATGCTGACTCCTTCCAAACTTTCAACACACTCATGTCGATGTCGGTGAAACTGACCCGTTCGGCCACCGAGGAGGCCAGAACATCTAGAATTGTCGACTCTCTTGTGGAGTCCTGGCGTATGGAGCACTCTAGGGAGTTCTCTTTGACCACCAACGAGGAACAAAGCAAGTTCAAGGGCAACTTGAAGAAATTCTCCTCCACACAGCCCTTGCCTCTCTGGAAGGAGATCTACGTGCTTACCAGAAGAACATTCAAGCTCTCGTACAGAGATTACTTCTCCTTGATTGCGCTTAACGGTATGTCGCTCTCCTTGGCTATTGTGCTCGGCTGGATGTTCTGGAAACCACCTGCCGATTTGGCTGGTATCAGATCGATCACCTCTTCCCTTTACGTGGTGGTTGAGGTGCTCGGTTTTGCTCCTTTGCTCATGGAGCTTGAAAGACTCTGGGCTCACGATGGTGTTTTCTTCTTCAAAGAATATAAGGAACGGTGCGTGAGTATACCTGGATTCGTCATCTCCAGACGTTTGGGTAAGCTTTTGCTTGAAGATATTCCTGTGTCTTTCTTGTTTTCCGTGGTGACCTACTTTATGTGGGGCTTGCGTTTGGGTCCAGACTACGAGGGCCCTCAGAATGACCCTTACCATTTCGGAATTTTCTATGCTATTGCTTTCCTTGTTACGGCGATTGCATTTTCCACCGGTTTTCTTTGCTTCACCTTGGGCTCCGACTTCTCCATTTCAGCCCTTATTTCGAACGCTTTCTACCAGCTTCAAAACTCCGGATGTGGTTACTTCGTCAATGCTGCCACTATGCCTGTCTATGTTCGTTGGGTCAAGTACTGTGCCTACTTCTGGTACGCTTTTGGTGCTCTCACTGCTAACCAGTACACTGACTGGAACGGACAGTGCCCATACCCTGAAGGCGATGAAGGATGTCTTGAGTTCACTGGTAACTACCAGCTCAATATGTTGGGATTCCCACAGAACTGGATCGGTGAACCTATTGGTATCCTCGTTGCTTGGTGGATAGGCTTCAACATCATATCTGGTGTTTGCCTCTGCTTTAGAAACTACGACATGGCCGTGGCTAAAAAGAAGAAGAACAGAATTGGTGGTGACGAGGAGGACGAGAGAAAGCTCAACGAGTTTTCCAGCGACTGCAGCGAAGAAAAAGACCGTGTGGCTAGAGACAGTGTTGCCATCAATGTCAAGAAGATTACCTTGTCCGTCAAGGTCAGAGAATCTCGTTCTCTCCTTGCTAAGCGTGTCGACAGGGTTTTGCTTGACAATGTGACTGCCAACTTCAAGGCCAATGCCGTCAACGTGATCATGGGTCCTTCTGGTGGAGGTAAGACCACATTCCTTAACTTCTTGGCTGACCGTTTGCCCAAGACCTCCAGCTTTTCCAGAAGCGGCAACATCCTCTTGAACAACTACACTGAGGTTTCGCCTTCTGAATTCTCCAAGATTGCAGCTTATGTTACTCAGCACGACAATTTGTTAATTCCCCAATTGACCGTGCGTGAGACGCTTTACTTCCAGGCTAAGTTGCGTTTGCCTGTTGAAGAGCACCTGAGAATCCCATCGATCATCGCTTTGCTTTTGAGACAAACTGGTCTTGTTGACTGTGCTGATACTCCAGTGGGAACTGCCACTGTCAAGGGTATCTCCGGTGGTGAGAAGAGAAGAGTGTCCATTGCTATCCAGCTTTTGGGCAGACCCAAGATTTTGTTCCTTGACGAGCCTACTTCTGGTTTGGATGTTGCTACCTCTAAGTCCATCCTCACGCTTTTGCACGAATTGGCTGAACAAGGCACCACAATCATTCTGACCATTCACCAGCCCAGCAAGGAAATGTTCTGGCAATTCGACTCGATGGTGTTGCTTGCTCGTGGTGGTTTCGTTGTTTACAACGGTGACGTTGATGTCATGCCTCGTTACTTCGACAAGCTTGGCCACCCATGCCCTCAGGATGTTAACTTTGCTGACCACGTTTTGGATACTGTTTCGAAGAGATCTACTGAGTCTAAGGAGGAGTCCTTGGCTAGAGTCAACTTCATGATCCAGAACTGGAAGGAGGAGGACCAGATCAGCGAGAAGGAAGCCTTGATATTGAATGAGATTGATCTCGCCAAGTACAAGCCGATTGGTGCACCTCCATTCATGGCTTTCAAGACCGTGCTCCACAGAACTACCATCGTCTCGTTGAGATCGGTTGATGTCATGTTTGCTCGTGTGTTCCAAGTTTGTGCTCTTGGTGCCATCTACGCCATTTTCTTCGCTCCATTGAAGAACAACGTTCAAGGTATCAGTGACCGTTTGGGTCTTACCCAAAGTGTGATTAACTTGTACTTCTGTGGTTTGATCAACAACTTGAGTATCTACCCTACCCAGAGAGATCTTTTCCATCAAGAATACAAGGACTCCGCCTACGGCACCTTGGTGTTCCACGCTGCTTACCTCCTTGTGGAACTCCCCTTCGAGTTTGTTCCATGTGTGTTCTTCTCAGCCTTGGTTGTCTTTGGCATTGGCCTTCCAAGAAACGCTGGTATGTTCTTTGCTATGCTTCTCACATCCACGCTTGTCACCAACTGTGGTGACTCATTGGGTATCATTTGCACGAGTATCTTTGAACACTTGGGCTTGGCCACCAACGTTTTGGCCAACATTGTCATGGTTGCCATTTTCATGGCTGGTACAATGTCCTTGCACATGCCTCCATTCTTCCAAGGATGGAACTATATCAACCCAGCGAAATACGCTGTTGAAATCTGCACCAACTTGGCCTTCCCTAACCAAGAGTTTGAGTGTGGAGAGGGTGCCGCTGACTGTTCGCTTAACACCGGTCAGGCTGTTCTTGACTACTACGGTCTTGATGCCCAGGTGGGCAATGCCATCGGAGCCTTCATTGGCTGTGTGGTGATCTACCGTATTGTTGCCGTTGGCTGCACATACACTAGAGCCAGATTTTTTGTATAGACTATAGGGACGGATAAAGGATAATATATTTATTTAATGGGGAGTTGTACTTAGCACTCGGATTCGAGCTTCACCACCTCCAATTGCACTGGAACACACTGGTCCAGAATTGCAGTATCGTAGGTTTTATGGAAATCTCCAGCCAGACACTGGAAAAAGGTGGTCTGGTCTCCAAGACTCAAAAGGCTATTTGGAGTAACCAGCCACCCTGCAGCATACAAAGCTCCATACTGAGGAGTAGGTCCGTCAAACTGGAATTGGTGATTTCCCACAATCAGCCCGATTCTGTTCTCTGGGTCTCTCAAGACACCGTTGTCCAAGTACATGACAAGCGTATCTTCTTCAGTGCAACTGGAGAATTTGATAGGACTGTTGAAGGTTTCGGAACGCTTATCTCTCTTGTGGAGTCTATGTTCTGGAACAACACTCACAGGTCCACCGACTATGTCGTTGGGGTCCAAGTCTTCAAAATCAGCTTCGTCACAAGGCAATTCTGGATCAGGCAATGGAGGCTCCTCCAACTCGTCAGGACAATCTGATTCGTCATATTCTGGCTCCTCGTGCAAAATGGGCTTTCTCTGTGGAGGTCCATCCACCAAGTCTGGTCTCAAGACCTGGCCCACATCGATCTGGTGGATATCTGCCCACTTTGTAGGCAAGTCGTCATCCTCCAAAATCTCAATTTCTTCATCGTCACAAGGTGGTTTCCAGCGGCCGTCAACCCATACAAACGCCTTTGTGACGATACCCACAGGGAAAGGAATGGAGGATAAGGCACCCTGTGGTTTTGGAGAAGTCGGTTTGAGTTGACGCCAGTCGGCACCGGATGACGGATCGTAGAGAGCCGAGGAGAGGGCTACGAAGAAAAAGGGGGCGGTTTTCAAAAAGATCATGACAAGGCAGTGGTTGGTGCTTTTTGCAACCATTTCGCGAGGACTTGGGTATACCAAAGAGGGGGAATTTAGAGAAGGGCGAGGGATATTGATGAAATCGTCCAGTTTTACAAATTCAAAGGTATCTGATACCAAGTTGAATATTTGAAATCATATCTCCTTTTTGTGCTAATGGTCAATGAGGACTAACAATGGCTGATCTGAGAAGACAACAACACCCAAACCAAGCCTCTCAAACACCAAATCACAATACGTCATTATCGTCGGGTCCCCAAGATCTCTGAAATGACCATTCTCCGGTTTCATTTTAATTTTAAAGGCACTTTCCGATTGCGTTCAGCTACACTCAAAAGCCTATAGACAATACACTCCCCAGCTAGAAAGCCACGAACTAGCCCAAAGCCCAGTTCTACCACACTCATTATTTCTTCATCTCAACATGCCGCTTGGCCTAAAAGTTGCACTATCTAAGCAGACCTTAGCTTGTTTAGTGTGGTGGCTTAGCATTCCCGAAGATCAAAAAACAGGCCCAAAATACAGAAATGTGGAGATTTTCCTATCTAAGATGGCCAGTTGAAAAATAATCTACATTCCCCGGAAACACTAAATTATCAGCATCCGTTGCCAGGGTAACAGCGGAAATAATGATCCGCTGATTCAGCCACAAACAAGCAAGGCTTTTGGTTGTCAAGTGGTCCCCAAGCTCAATTTTTGAAATCTTTTGATACGAGACGAAGTTGAGAGATTTTTTTCATCAAAAACAGTAGATCCCTTGAGATCGATCGAGATGGGCTTTCTTAGTAAGGATTCAGGCATTCTGGTGTGAGCACTGCAGAAACACGATTGAAAAGCACCAATTCGAATTTGCCTTCAGGGACCATAGTCCTACATTGAGCCTGGTCATCCTAGAAATCCGGTCATCCTAGAAATCCGGTCATCATTGCTATTAGGGTATCTTCACTCTATATATGCACGAAATGTGAATATTCCTGATTCAGGGTAGTCTTGATTCGCAGCCACCAGCCATACAGCCGATCCCATAATACCCAACAAATCATCAACAACAACAACAACAACAACAACAACAGCCCTTGGACTCTGTAGTTCTAAATTAGAAAATGGTTTTCATATCTCAACTGCTCAAATATTCTCTTGTGGACCGGCTATATGACCCTGGACCACAGTCCCGTAAGACCTGCACAGACAACCTATAACTCACGAATTACATCTTGCTTATTCAACCAACCTCTTCTTCTCAATGTTCAGATCAGTATTCCACACCGCCAGGCTCAGTGCCAGAAAGCCGTTTCCTTCGGCCTTGGCTATTGCCAACCCCCGCTTAGCCAGATTCATTTCCACAGAAATCAAAGATGCCATCGATAAAGCCGTTCTGAGTTCTCCAGTGGTGCTTTTCATGAAAGGTACTCCTGAGTTCCCTCAGTGTGGCTTTTCTAGAGCTACTATCCAGATCTTGGGTCAGCAGGGCGTCGATCCCGTTAAGTTTGCTGCTTACAACGTCTTGGAGGACCCTGAGTTGAGAGACGGTATCAAAGAATACAGCCAGTGGCCTACCATTCCTCAGCTATATGTGAACAAGGAGTTCGTTGGAGGCTGTGACATTGTCATGTCGATGGCTCAGAGTGGCGAGTTGGCCGACTTGTTGGAGCAGAATGAGTGCTTGGTTCCTGAGGAGGAGGAGGAGCCTCTGGAGGCCAACGTCAAGCCATCGGAGAGATCTTAAAGGGGCGAGAGATTAATAGAAGTGTGTAAATATGAAACCTTGTTTCTTAATGCTAATGCCGACCCAAACCCACTGGGCTTCTTCCGGAAACCCATAATACTATATCGTACCAACGTAACACGGCTACGCCTGTCCGCTCTTGACAGAGGACCGTCTTCTAAGCAAATTCAGATCGTTCAAGTTCAACGTGAACTTGTAGTCGCCGTTCACACCACTTATAACCAGCGACGACCGCGTGGCACAGTCGTCGTCGTTGTGCAGAAGCTTAGACGAGTCTGTTGACGATGTGGACAGAATCGAGAGTAGTTTGAGCGTCAGAAGCTTGTCCTTGAGCTCGCCCACACCCTCCTGGCCTTCGCCGGCTTCGTCGTCTTGCTCTTCATCCTGCACTTCGTCTTCGTCTTCCTCTTCCTCCGAGTCAAAATCAACAACATCCAGGGACAACTCCTCCGAGTCCGAGTCACCGCCCTTCTCGAAAACATCCTTGAAGTTGACACTCTCGATAGGGTTTGGTGTCTTGGGCAAACTCGTCTTGCGGTGAGCGCCCTTGTTGGAATCAGCGTCGAACTTAACGTCTCTTGGGTCAACACCATCCTTGGGCTCCAAGTGGCGCTGATGATGAGCCAACAGCTTCAAGTTGACGTGAGACATGGCTGGGTTGTTGAACACTGATCTGATGGCTGCGCCTGGAGTAAGTATGCCACCAGGCGACTTGTGGCCGGGAGAATGCGAGTCAGTCTTCATGTTGTCCACCGTCAATGTGTCGTCGTTCTCATTTGTCGACTCAGGGAAGTAACTCGACGATTCAAGCGACACAACGTCCGCAAGCCAAGGGTGCTCGTAAATCTCGTCAAGGGTGATACGGACCTCTGGGTCCACCACAAGCATTTTCGAGATCAAGTCCTTGGCACTTTCACTCACCTCATCCCACCATGGCTCCAAAAACACATAGTCGGCGGTGATGATCTTGTGGGTGAGAACGTCGTGGTTGTCGTCGTAGAAAGGAGGGAAGCCACAGAGGACAGTGTAAAGGAAGCAGCCGAGAGACCAGATGTCCACGGCCTTGGAGTAGAAGTTGCTCTTTGAAGTAGAGCTCTTGAATCTTCTTTTTCTTTCGACGCCGCAGTGGATCACTTCGGGCGCCGTGTAGCCGGCGGTGCCACATGGAGTTTTGAGGTTGCTTTGCTTCTTGCCGGGAGCGGCAATGTCATACCTCAACTGCTTCGCTAGACCAAAGTCAGCCAACTTGATGGTTCCGATACCGCCGCCGCCGACACCGGGTTTGAACTCGCCCTCGTCCTTTTTGGACTCGTCGTCCGAGGCACGGAGGGCCTTTTTTATGTCTTTGTCAGAACGCTGCACGTAAGGGATTCTGTTGAAGAGGAGGTTCTCTGGCTTGATATCCCTGTGCACCACATTGTTCTGGTGCAAAAAACGGATGGCGTTGAGCAACTGGGAGAAAACGTGCTTGGCCAAGTTCTCGGAAAAGTAAGTGTATTCGATAATCTTGTTAAAAATTTCTCCGCCGTCGGAGTATTCCAACACAAGGAAGCAGTTTTCCTCCAGCTCAAACAGCTCGATCAAACGGAGAATGTTGACGTGGCCGCCAGCGTTTGTGAGGTTGTTCATGATGTTGATTTCGTTCTGGATGTTGTTCAACTGCTTCAGCAGGAGGTTTGTCTTGTTGATGATTTTGATGGCCACCTGCTCCTTCAGGTCGACCTTGACACCTTTGTAAACCAGGGAGAAAGCGCCCTCTCCCAAGAGCTGGCGCAACTGGTAGTTGGCCGGGAGGTCTGGATAGTTGGACAAGCTGAACATGGCGTCGCCTGGGCTCGACACGTCAGGCATTTTCACAGAAAAGGTGTTTTGGGACAGAAGCACCGGGTCCAAGGGCTGGATAGGGGCCGGTTGGGAAGGTGCCGGGTGGTTTGAAATGGGGTCTTGTTTTGGAGCTTCGGGGTTTTTGTCGAAGCGTTTTCTGATGCTCTGGGGTTAGTTTGCGTTCAGAAACGGGAGCTTGGGTGGTGAGGAACGGAAAGGTTAAGTAGGCACAGAGGGTTAAAAAAAAGAAGCAAAAAAAAAAGGTGGAGTGCGAATTCTGGGGCAGGTCCGAGACAAGCGAGGCCGAAAAAACACACTGAGCACACGGGCTGCAAACGGACTTTGTTCGAGGCTGAAACGCCACACGGGGAGGGAAAAAAACGGGACAGTGAAAGTTGGGAAATGAAGTGGTTTTGAAAGAACTAAAAAAAAAATAAAAAAAGAACCAAAAGTGCCAATTCAATCCACCAGGCCAGGGGTCAGGCGGACTCCGGCGGACGTAGCCAGTGTCGGAACAGACGGCTGCGAAGGCCGAAACTCGAGCCACCAGCTTGACTGCGAGGCCAAATGCGAGCCCACTGCGAGGCCCGCACGCCGCGGGAGAGTCGGACCCAAACCTGCCACCAACCCTAGCACCAAAGCACGCAGATTTGACAAACCACAAATCCACGAACAAGTCACACACGAACAAATCACAAATCACAAAATCTCCAAATCCAATCCACGAACAAAGTCACATCCCAAACCAAACCAAAGTTGAAGTTCAAAAACTAGAGCGAACCGCTCGGTTCCACCGCTGAATCACCACGTCTACGTACCAGGAAAAGTGTCATTGGCGGCTCGCAAATCGGGGCAGGGGCGCCTATTTATGGGACGCTGCCAGGATCAGTGGCCCTGTCGCGCTGGGGCATGCGGGGCGCCAGAGGTTGTGAGACAGTGTTTGGAAGACCGATTGAGCTGGGATTCTCGGGTTTCACGGCGGCATCCACCAGCGGCATTCTACAAAAAAATCATAAAAAAAAAAGCCAAATCCACCTTTTGGTTATTCGCCCTCTCTTCATCTTTTGGTGAAGTATTTCCACCTTCGTCTGCTGCTTTCCTGCCTGGGACTGCCGGCCTCGCAGCGGAGCGGTAAACAGCCCCTTGTTTACACTGATTCCCCAGGGTGGCTATTCCTGTCTGCCCCACGCTGCCTGACGTCACGCTGCGGCCCCCTCGCCGGAGCGGGAATGCCATACTTAGAAATCACAAAGTGAAAGACAAAAGTGAGGTGATTGGGTTTGGGTTAAGGTTGAGGGTGGCGATTCGGCAGTTTGTGAATTGGCATTTATTTTGATTGTGTGGCCGGGTCCCCTCTACCCTACACTCTGAATTTAATGGACCCACAGCCTGCCTCTTCTGTGGCCTCACGCTACATTCCCCTTCCTATCGATCCAACCACCTCTAAGCCTAGAGATGAAACCACCATCACACACCATAACAAAACTTCTTCCACTGTCTGTGACCGTGTCTGTGACCGCTGCAGCCGCCTCCACCTCGTAAATCGCTGCTTTCTTTTTCTTTGTTTCCTGCCTCGCTGCCTCTGATTTTCCTACTTCGCTGCCTCTGATTTTCCTACTTCGCTGCCTCTGATTTTTCACTGCTTCGCTGCGGTCAGTTCACGCTTCCCCTCGCAGGCTTAGCGCCGTTCAGCCATGTGTGTTGTGATAAGACGGGTGCATACACATGGACCGGAGTGGGCTAGTGATGTACCAAAAAGACCGTGAGATGGACCGTGAGATGGACCGTGAGATGGACCGTGAGATGGACCGCGAGACTAGGCATGAGTCCACCACAATCACCAAACACAAACTTCATCCACAAAACTTCAAAACTATATTCATGAACCCTCCTCAACTTCTATCCCACAACTTTCAAAACACCTCAAGACATCTCCTATTTGTCACCCGATGGAACACAGACACCTCAGCCTACGTCACTCCAAACTTCTCTCAAAGCTTCCACACATTTCAGCCTCCGCCGATCCCGGTCACAGTCTAACGGCTCCGGAAGATCCAGCAACCCAGCACTTTTCCTTATTCTCACCGCTTGTCCATGCAAATCCTGGGGTCTCCCGCTTTGTCCAAATAGGACCGTATCAGGCAATCTTTGCTGCCATCTTTAGCCGCGCCTGCCTCGCTGGGTGCCAATTTTGCTGCCGCAGCAACCGGCTGCACACGGTCCCCGTTCCTAATTTTAAGCTTTCCAAGAAAAACACTCTTTGCTGGAATCGGAAGCTGAGTGTGCTAAATCTGGGGTTGTGTTTTGAGCGCTTACGTCATCGCCATTGTGCTGCCCTTCGTATCTTGCTGGGGATCAATCGAGACACCTGCGGGCCACGCCATTGTTTGTTGCGGGGTGTTGTGGCACGTGCCACGTCACGTGATGCACGTGCCTCCAAGGTCTAAGGCACGCGCGCGGCACGTGCCAAACAGGCATCGCTCTTTTCTTCACCTGCTCAACCCCCATCTCCAGATCCACCGCCAATGTCCGCCAAAAACAAAAAGTCCGTCTACTCGACGGCAAATATCGACTCTGCAGCACTCACGGAATTGCAGAATGTGGCGGAATTAGGTGTCTTCGACGACCTCACCCCGTTGGTCGCCTTCATCCAAAAGGGCCTCTTGATGAAGACCCTCCAGAACTTTGGCCATTTTGCTGCTGCAACTGATATTTCCAAAATCGCCCAGACGACATTGAGACTAGCGGGGATTCTTGAGGTCGTCAACTTCATTTTGAACGAAGCAGCAGACTCAGATTTGACAACCACCCAGGCTAAAGCCAAGCTAGAGTTCCTCGAACAGCGTGACAGATTGACCGAATTCTATACAGAGATCCTCCATCACCATCTCAAGCATTTTTACAAGATCTTCTCGCTCAGAAAGCCCTCGGCAATTAACCCCAGTCTTCGGGTGCTTCTCGCTTTGGTCAATTACAGTAACCATGCGCTTTTCAGTGATTTCACAGACTCCATCGACTTTAACCATTCCTCCCTCATGAAGCTCCTTATACCGACCAAAGACGACTTTGAGAGAAAACTCATCACCGAGAAGTCCATGCGTCTTCATTTTATGAACTTCTATATGGCTGTGGCTGCAAAATCGTCGCCCATCCTCAGAAAAGCACTCTTGACCAACTTCAAAATCATGAACAACTTCTGGAAGTACATGGAGATGGACCGCTACGAGGTACTTATTGCTGTTATTGAGTTCATCGATAAGAGCGTGTTGTCTGAGCCTCTTCTCCGACGGATCTCCAAGTGTCAGATCTTGAACGAAAACTTCTTGTTCAAGTTTGGCTCATTTTTTGCATTTGTTAAACCAGTCAATGATAGAGAAGGCGATGAGGATGAAGACGAGTTCAAGAGATTCAAGTCCTCCTTCACCAGTCTCATGGACACTTTGGTGACTGACCAAGAAAAGGGTATCACCTTCCCTCTCAACGACTTTGGTTTCCCAATTACCGTGCACAACAAGACTTTCAAAATCAACAACAAGCTTATTTACACTCTTTTGACCGCACTTCGGCCATGGGAATCTTACACCCAGCTTCAATACGTCATGACTATCATTAATCACAATACTGAGTTGCTTCCACCCTACATGAACTGGATTGTTTCCAGTTCTGGTGGTTACCACGACCCTTCGCTTTCTTCGTATTGGATCGGCCACACTTTGTTGTACAGTGAGATCCTCAAGTCCGAGTCACTTCCAGTCAAGTTTGACTTCATCTCCCTTCCTCCATTGTCACCAGCATCACTCGTTGCTTGTCTTGCTTACACGAATGATCTTGTCAAGCAGCTTGGTTTACAACTTATTTTGCTTACTCTCAACAGACTTGTCAAAAATAAAGCGCCTCAGTCGCTTGTCGATTCTGTTTTGAGTAACCTCCCACCACAGGCTTCATACTTGCCGTTGCTTTCTCACGAGAATGAGTTTATCAAGTTTACTACCACGACTATCGTGAAAAGCTATGAACAATTGGCTCCTTCTTCATCTTCTTCAGCTGTTGTGGCAGCAGTGAAGGAAAACCTCGCAAAATTGGATTTGGACAATTGTAGCAGCCAAGATTTGGTTTTGCTCGATAATTATCTTTCAATCCAGTCCAACAATGACTTGAAATGGTGGAGCAAGCTGCCCAAGGGCAACTCGTTCTTTGTCTCCTTGCTCAAGCTTTCCAACATCGAGTTCCTCAAACCAAAAACGCTCGCGATTCTTTCCAAGCTTACGTCTACAGCTATAATTTTCAATTTGAGCAGCTTGATTGAGTCGCCATTTTATGCATTAATCGAGGCGTGTTCCAAAATCATCAGCTCCTCTTCGGCCCAAAAGCTCTGGAACTGCCTTGATGAGACCATCTCCAGAGCAGTGAAAACCCCTTATAAATACTTGGACAAGTCTCATATGGAGTACAATGATTTGAGTATCTTTTTTGTTGTGCTTTTTGAACAGTTTAAGTTCATTCCTAATTACAAGAAGGAGAACGAATTGGTGTCGTGGTTATCGGAGTTCGTCACCGATTCTATCGTGTTAGGTGAGCCATTAAACGCATTCCAGCAGCTCTCCAAAGATTACGATGTTCCTTTAAATCTCAACCTCAAGCTGATCAAGCCGAAGGAGAATTTGACAAAAAAGTTTGACCTTGCACAACAGCTTTACGTTTTCAACAAGGATGTCAAGAACGGAGTCAATGACTCGAAAATCTTTGATCACATCTCGAAACTCGGTAACTACCTTATCAGCTCAGGTTTCAACGACAAGATGTTATTTGCATTCATCAGCGACCCTCGTAACTGGTTCTTCGAGAATTGCTTCGATAGCAAAGAAATTTCGAAGAGTGAAACTTTGGCAGTTACCTTGGTTGCTGAGCTTTTGAGGCAACTAAATGCCGACTTCACCAAGACGAAGCTCAATTCATTTGTTTTTGAAAAGCTCAACAAGAAGGTTCCCGCTGCAAACCAGAAACTCTTGAACAAGTTTTTGATGGTTTTATCTGACGAGCAGTTAGTCAAACTCACCGAGAACGTCGAAAATGAGTATGTGGTCATTGAGGCACTCAAGACCATCCTTGAAAGAAATGTTGAATACAGCCCCGACTTGATTCTCTTGAACAAGCTTGACCACCCAGAAATAAAGTCAATACTTTCTCAGTTTGAGCCACCCGCTTCTCAACTTGGCTTGATCATCGAGAATCCTGATTTGCACTACTTGCTTGAGAACAGTACTGAGGCGCTCGTCAGCCAGATCTTGGCTGCCGATGAAGTGGAAGATGAGCTTCTTTACAGAATTGCATCCACATCTAAGTCGATTGTCACCAAATTCGAACAACGTGTTGTTGACATGGCGTTGAGCTTGAAAAATTGGACATGGTCGATCAAGATTTTCGCTTTGTGTCCAGAGTTCTTCGATCAAAATAAGATTGCTGAAATTCTTCTCGATCACTTCGAGCGGGATACCAAAGTTGGATTTTCGACAAACTTCACCAAAGCTGTGGGTGCCATAGCTGCGGTGAATATGACCGCCATCAAAAACCATCAACAAAGATTCAATGTTTGGTTCCACAAGTGCATGCTTTACATAACAAGGAAGTTTGCAGAGTCCAAGGAGCTTTCTGAAAACTTCAATACTTTTTTGGAGTCAATGGAGGCTTTGTTTGAAACTTTGGAGCACCCTTGGAGAATGTGCCCAAACACCATTCTCAATGCTCAACTAGAGGTTCTTCTTGGTCATACTCAGTGGATGCAATCAGAAAATACCAGTCGGTATGCTAACAAACTCTTGTTTGCAGCTGATGCCAAGGGTGTACATGGAGACAAGTTACTTCAGATTTATCTCAACAACCCGCTGCTTCCCCTCAAGAAGCTTCCTCTGGAGAAGGATGCGCCATTGAGATTTCAGAGTGCGTTGTTGATCAACAGGCTCTTTTTCATCGAATCAAGCAAGTCCTCGTTGGATACCGTTCTCCAGCAGATTCTTCCTCTCTATCAAGGATCCACTCGTGCAGAAGATTTGCTCCTCAAGGAAACCTTGAAGAATATTGAGAGCAAGACTAATAAGAGTTGGGTAAACAGAGTAACCAGTTGGGATTTCCTGGAGCAGCTTACACAGAATGAAGTTGAGTTGGTCGGTGAAGAGCGTTTGATCATCACTGACAAAAACACGATGGTTGTTGCTCTTAAGAAGGCTTTTGTTAAAAACAGCATCGCTGCTCCAATTCAGCCTTTGGATGTGCCTTCTTCCAGGAAATATTCAGACTTCCTGAATCTTTACGATATCTGTTTCAAAGGAGCCTACAAAGACACTCAGTATGACCCAGAGTTTTTGCTCTTGGTTATTCTTAATAATGACGAGTTGGTGTCAGAGAAGGAGGGTGTTGTCACTTTCAGCGTGAGAAGACTCATTGAGTCTCAGATCTTCCAGGTTATCGTGGCAAACCTTGCACATCAAAAGACAAGAGAAGTTTCCAAAATCTTGCTCCACGGAATGTGCAAGTTTGTTCAGAACCAAGACAATTCCTTCAAAGACAAGACGATCTTGTTGGTATACCTTTCATCAATTTTGCACACCATTCGTGTGGCTGACCACCAAACACCACTTGTTTGGAACATAATCGGATCTTTAGCTGAAATCATCATCAACCCAGGCCACTTTCTTTACGATCGTGTCTGCCGCTACATCCTCACAACACCCATCTTCAAGGCATACGAAATTCCATTATACCATGGCATTTCCAACGGCACTTCCAACGATGATCTAGAGGAGGATACCTACTACAAGCAGATTGCGTGGATGCTCGAGCAGTTTATTGAAGGAACCAAGAATGAAGAAGATTTGAACGCTCTTAGACTCAAGGGCGTTGTGGAATGGGCTCTCAACTTGGCCAATGTCGACTACGTAACTGGTCATTTACGCCATAAACTCTACCGTCTCATCTACCAAATCCAGAATGTGGGCGGTGAAGGTGGAGATATGTTGGTGACCAAGTTTGCTGGCTTATCGTCGATGCAGACCGCAAAGAACGTTGTTCCTACTACATTTTCTGGTGAACAATTGGCACTCAATATTGACCAAATTGGGGTGAGGTTTGGCCTTCTTTCTCAAACAAAGCGTCTTCGTGAATGGACCTCAGACGATGCCAGTCGGGCCGTTAAGAGGATCCACTCCACATAGCATTAGCATTAGCATTTAATTTGCATAGATGATAGATTTTGTGTAGCGTTACTTTTAATTGAAGACGATTGCAGCTGTAATCGGTCAAATTACTTATTTACTGTAGATTGTCTCTTGGACTTAATTATGTTTTACAAGGCAGCGGAGGGGTCTTCTCCATGAGAACCTTCTCAGGGTCAATGCCGTTCTCCTCAAACAACAATCTCACATCTTGAAAGCCCTTGTACAACTCTTCCACAGGCCTCTGTGCAACCGCTTCGTCCATAGTGATATCTCTTTTAAGTGGGATTGGTCCAACAGCACCAAGGATTCTACTAAATCCGTGCAGAATAACCTTGCTGAGCCAGGTAGAATCGTTGATGTCAATGGTGTCTTCCCCAACTTCAGCACCGTGGATACCTCTCACAAAATTACTCAAAATCTGACGGTAGGGAACATCAGCGCCTGGGTATTCAAGGTTACTAGTTCTCACGGTCCGCTGACACCCAGGTATGGTATCCAGACCATCAAAACGTTTTTCCAACCATGCAAAAGCAGCACCAGTACCAAGAAATAATTCGATAACATGGCCAGTATTTTCAGCAACTGCGTACTCTATAGATGGAGCACCCCATTCACAGAAATTCTCGTATGCCCTATCTGCCTCAGAAATAGGCACAATTTCGTCAGCTTCACCGTGGAAAACAAACACGGGTATTTCGGGAACACCATCTGTGTTTGTGTAAGCAGCAGTGTTGTTTCTGATGATCTCTGCAATTTCAGGAATTCTGAAGAAATCAGCTCCAGCCCTGAAGTATGGGAATCTTCCCAGGAAGAACTTGTGGAAAATATACAGTGTGAGGGAGTTGACAAGGCAGCCGTCCAGAGCAGCGTAAAAATGGTCAGATCTAGCTCTTGAAAGCTCCTGATCTAAAATGTGTTGGTAGTCAGAATACTCAGATATAATGCCGTTCACAGCATTGGGGATAAGCCCAGCAGAAATGGTTCCGTCTGCAGCAAAAGCCACCAGTGTGACGTTGGTGACCCATCCACCAAGAGCAGCTCCGACAATGCGTTCCTTCAATTCGGGAGCATAAAGTGGTTGGAGTTGAGAAGCCCATCCGGCTGCAATGGAACCACCAGAATAGCCGTAAAGAGCCACTTGAGCATCCTTCTTCACACCTGTAATAGATCCAGAATTAAGAACCGCCCTAATACCATTCAAGACGGCCTGGCCAGATTGGCGACCAACAGTGAATGCAGACTTTGGACCTTGGTAGTCTGGAATGGCAACGAACCAGCCCTTCAGAAGCCCAAACTGGATAAATGGAATTTCAGTTTGCATGGCGATGGTGTTGGGGCTGGACTTGTACAAAAGAGCGTACGATGGAGCACAGTCAATGTTGTTGGAATCCTCCCAAGCTTGGTACGACCAGACCTTGGATGGGTCAGAGTTGTATGGTTCCAACACAGTTGTCACGAAAGCGTTCGGGTTACCAAAAGAGTCCTCAGAGCGAACAAGAAACTGCCACGAATTCTTCACGTCCATAGGAAAAAGAGACGATCTCACCTGAACTGGAGTGTCTCTGAAGCTGATGATATTACCATTCTTGTATTCAGCGACGTTCTTGGGCACATTGTAGAAGCTGTCCTGGGAAGGAGGCGTTGGTCTGAGCAGAGCCAGAACAGCAGTGAGCCACAAGGCAAAAGCAAGGAATAGCATATCTGGATTATTTTCTAAATAACCCAAACTCTGGCCTATTTATACGCCAAGGGTCCTAAGCTGTACCTCGGCCGCAGATCTATGCAAGGGCAGATCAAGCGAGCACCTTGCATAACTGGATATCGAGGAAATCATCTTGGCTCGGGGAGAAGTGAGATTTGAGATGATTGGAGAAAAGATAAATGAAGGAAAAACATGTTTTATTTTGAGTTGCTTACGCCTTCAATTTAACTTAGTTTAGACAGTCGGGGCCATTGAGGCCACTCCTCAGAATAAGTTGCACTTTTTTCACTCGCATTGAACGAAAACCCTCTTCCTACCTGGGGATTGTCAGAAATATTTAGGGTCCTTATCACAGTATTTTTGAGGTATGGTAAATGGCTCGCTTCAGTTAATTGGTTTCTTTCAGTTTGAGATGAAGTCTTGGTCAGGAAGCACTGGTTCAACTTTTGCCGAGAATCAGCGTCTTTGATGCTTAAAGCCAAAGACAACGGACGGTGCGTCACGTCCCGATCTAGTGCGAGACGTAATTGGTCCAGTGGACTGAGATTGCCGAAAGAAAGTTTTCAAGTCACGGCTTCTCTCTTTGTGTAGATTGTCATTTTCTTGAGAAGCGGAGATGCCATCTTGTTGAGGGTTGTAGATCAGCAATGGAGCAGTGCCGAGCATTCAGGGGTAGCTCCAACTTTACACCCGTAGCAATGGAGTTTCCCTTAGTTCTCTTTTGTAGTCCTCTATAGTCAAGAGAACCCAGAATGTAAAATGCAGATGAGAGTGTCTTGGCTGGTTGACCATCATCTTCTGTCGTGACGACCTATTGTCCTCCGCAGTGGCAGTTAGCGACCGATCCTTTCGTACCTTTTATATCTTCCAGTGAGATTCTAAAAAATTAATAATTACGGCTTTCTACGTTTCTTCCTGAGATGACGGATTGCAGCCACCTGCAATGAAGAGCAGAACCAGGTCCAAACGGCCATTACTTTTGACAGCTACTTCGCAAAACGCTGAAGTAGTCTCCTCTTCTTTATGAATTACCTTTATCATATATCGAGAGTCAAACTTTTCCCCCGGGACCATCATCCATACTGCCTCGGTGGGCCTTCTCTAGCATAAGCGCGATGCACCCATACTACAATCACCACACCCAAAGGCATTTTCTTCATAGCGGCAACAGGGAGCTCCGTTTCATGAAATACAACTTCTCCCAACAATGACTAAAAAACCACAAAATACTTTTTCGAATCTCACACTCATCTCTAACGGTATGCTAACTTTCACCTGTCAGTGCCTGCACACACCACAGCCTTATCGGGAGTCTCAACAACATCTTTTCTTCTCCCTTCAACCACCACAATGTCCGTATGTATTTCCTCAAACCAACTTTTCATTCCATGCTAACGCCAGCTCGGTAAACTCACTCACTACGGTTTCGACTTGGTCCTTATATCGATCATCCTCGCTGGAATCCACCGCAACACAGGTCTCGTTTTCGACACTTCTCACTTCAGCTCTGTGGACTTCCGTAACTGGTTCGGCAAGTACTTGGCCTTCGGCGAGATCTGCTACGATAGAACGGTTTCTCTTTTGAGAGTCAGCGGCTACTTCAGACAGAGAAACTTGGTTATGGACAACATCCTCGACAAGGGCAAGAGCTACTTGAGGCAGCAGACCGGCCGTGATCTTGACGACTTCACCAAGATCTAAGACAACGGAGTAATGCTGCCTGGAAGAGACCGAACGGTTTTTGGAATGGGTGTGGTCACGTGATGTCAGTTCACGTGCCGAACTACCCAAGGTCTCAGCTCTGTATTCTACACCACAACCAATTGTATGTATAGATCTCTCATTGGGTGCTTCAACCTTGACGGGCCCTATCAGTGAGATCACAAATCAAACTGCTATTTATTGCGAAGTATCAAGATGCGTTGATCACATCGCTCACCACATGATGATCATGAAAAGCTGGTACTGACATTGTAGAATGCTTGCTCAGGAGAAACTCGCTCAGGAGTTCGTGAACGCCATCAATTTGGAGTTACAATGCGACAATGTTCTCACAGACTCGTATCTATCGAAATATTCCCCTAAAAAGCTTGCCTCCTTTGGTCTTGCTATCGTCAACTTGACCATGACCAACATGAGATCGGGTATAGGCGGCAAATCACTCATTGAACTAGGACTTGATCCTGCTGTGCTGCAGCCTGACGAAGAAATCAAATCAGGTTCTCTTCGTGTTGGTGATATTGTTCAATTGGACAAGTTGAAGAGTGCTACCGCCAAGGACACTGAGCTGACTGCTTTGGAGGGTGTCGTTACTAGACTCTCTTCCTCGGCTGTCATCGTTTCTGTAGAAGAAGATACTTCTGATGACAAGTTGCTCAATTTGTACAACAACACGGGAAACGACCATTCCAGAATGTGGGTGGTTAAGTTGACTAACTACATCACCTATAAGCGAATGCTCCAAGCTATGAAACGGTTGGAGACATTGAGTGAAGGCAGCAAAAGTGAAGTGTTACGGATTTTATTGGGAGAGGCTTCTTTTGTGCCGAGAACAGCGCCAAAGTCAAGAACAACCTTTTTTGATAAGCTGCTCAACGATTCACAAAAGAAGGCTATTGACTTTGCCATTCACATTTCTCCAGTCACCATCATACACGGGCCTCCGGGAACGGGCAAGACATATACGCTTATTGAGTTGATCAAGCAATTGACTTTCAACCAGGGCGAACGGGTCTTGGTCTGTGGAGCCTCCAACATCTCTGTGGATAACATCCTCGAGCGATTATCGCCAGTTTTCACAACCGAAGATGATGGTGCTAAAAAGAGTCGCCGAAAAGCAAAGACATCACTCAACAATGAACATCTCATCAGAATAGGTCACCCAGCCAGGCTTCTCGAAGCGAACCACAAGCATTCATTGGACGTTCTTTCCAAATCACTGAGTCTGTCTGGTGAGGCTGGAGAGCAAAGGGCGATTTTGAGAGACGTTGAAAAGGACATTTCCTCCACGCTTACTCAAATCAAAAAATGCAAGAGATATGGAGAAAGGAAGGCACTCTGGGGCGAGGTGAAAAGTCTCCGTAAAGAGCTTCGTACACGAGAACAGAAAATCGTTCTGGAGCTTCTCCGCAATGCCAGAGTGATACTTTCCACGTTGCATGGTGCCGGCTCAAACGAGCTCTTCAACTTGTACAAGAGCGGAGAGTTCAATTCGGACAACCCGTTCTTCGACACGATCGTGATAGACGAGGTGTCTCAGTCGCTTGAGCCGCAGTGCTGGATTGCCTTGGCGACTCATTTAGGGGTCAAGCGGCTCGTCATAGCAGGAGACAATTTGCAGCTTCCGGCCACGGTGAAGTCGAAAGAAGAAGCTGATAATCTACGCAAGAAGAAGGGTCTGGACCCGCTCGCAGACCTCGAATTCACCCTCTTTGACCGTTTGATGGAGCATCATGGCGGCGCCGACTACAAAAAATTACTCGATGTTCAGTACAGAATGAACACCGAGATCATGGAATTCCCGTCGGAAACACTCTACGGTGGTCAGCTAAAAGCTGCCGATTCAGTCAAGGACATTATCCTCCGCGACCTCAAAGACGTCGACGAAACAGACGACACCCAGATACCGTGTGTGTGGTATGATACGCAAGGCGGGGACTTTCCCGAACGAGTGGAGGACGATGAAGGAAAAAGCGTTTTGGCCAGTAGTGGGTCCAAGTACAACGACCTGGAAGCTGCAGTAGCAGTGCAGCACATCGGCCAGTTGATCGAAGCAGGAGTGAAGCCGGAGCAGATCGGAGTGATTTCCCCTTACAGTGCCCAAGTGGCGGTTTTGAAGAAAGCATTGCAGAAGCTTGAGGTGGCAGTGGAGGTCTCGACCATCGACGGTTTCCAAGGTAGAGAAAAAGAGGCTATAGTGGTATCGTTGGTGCGGTCCAATGATGAGAGAGAAATCGGGTTTCTCAGCGATAAAAGACGGCTTAACGTGGCGATGACAAGACCGAAACGGCATCTCTGCATCATAGGAGACATGGAGACTCTAGAACGCAGCGGCGACCGGTTTCTCCGTGATTGGGTGAAGTACTGCGAAGAGAAGTACGAAATCAGGTATGTGGACGCCGTGGGGCTCTAGACCGCCGTTTAGAGGAAAAAGTGGTTGCAGCAGGGACAAAGGAGATCTAAGCGACGACAAATGAGGTTAATGGTGTGCAGCGACAGTTGAGATCAGGAGGGCAGGGCAACGCAGCCACCAACGTTTCTAGACTTTGATCTATTGTGCGGTAAGAGGCGAAGGTCCCCGCTGGCCAATCGCAAGCTGGGATTGTTTGGACCGGCATTGGCCGTTTTTTTGCTTTTTCCTTTTTTTCTACGGAAGTGGTACCCAAAACGGTGCCACCGAGATCTGGGCCATTGATGAATAGGTGTTGGATGGGCAGTGCAGCTGTGGTCTGTGCCTCATTAAAGTGCCTTTCTCAGCTCACAATAAGATTTCAGCCACCTACCGCCTGCCACGTTGAAAAAAAAAAATTCTCCTTGCATCTGGACCCCTGCGACCCAGTTTGCCGAAACACGTCCAGCCAGTGAGCATTGGCTGCAAACTTTAAGTGCAATTTATATGCGCTCTCTCAAAAGCTTGAGATTCGAGAACAGCCCAATGGGGCAGGCCGGGGCTCCTTCGATCCAAAACGCTCCTTTTTCTGGCGCGACTTTCTTCTTTCCAGCGCGCTTGTCTGCATGCCTTGTTGACACCACGCAGCCTTTGTGCATCGTGCAGATTCGCGTTTGCAACCACCTGCTGGCATTCTTCCGCTAAACGGTGCAAAAGAAAGGTGCCTGATCTTTGGTTTGGCCAGACTGGGCAGCAGGAGAAGCCTGCTGGTGGGCCCCGAAACAAGCCTCTTCAAACATTTCGGATTTTCCCCAATATATAAAGAGGTCGCGATCTGCCCAGACTATCCCATTATTCCCTCAGCACCAAGCCAAAACACGAGTTCCTATCTGCCGTCGCTCTCGTCTTTCTTGCTTGATAAACAGCCAAATTCCCACATTCTTCTCACTACCATTTTCACCATGAAGTTCTCCCTCGCTTTGGTAGCTGCCTACGCTGCTTCCGTTTCTGCCAGAACCTTCTACGAAACAAACACCCACTTCGTTACCGTTGACGCTGACGGTAAGCCTGTTGGCGGCAGTCAGGCTACTGCTGTTGCTGCTTCTGGCGGCGACGACAACGACAACCAAGGTGACGACAACCAAGGCGACGACAACGACCGGGGCGACGTTGTCCTGATTGTCACCCAGGGTTTCGTTCACAACAGTGGTTTCGGCTTTGACTCCTCCACTGAGGCTGCCTCCACCTCCGAGCCACCAGCCACCACCGTGACTCCACCATCCTCTCCTTCCTCGTCGGAGTCCTCCGCTTCTTCCTCCCCCAGCTCCGATGTTTCTGGTTTCGAGAAGGACATCTTGGACGCCCACAACTCTAGAAGATCCAAGCACTCTGCTCCAGCCTTGAGCTGGTCTGACGAGCTTGCCAGCTACGCCCAGAACATGGCCGACAAGTACTCTTGCGGTTCTTCCTTGCAGCACTCTGGCGGCAAGTACGGTGAGAACTTGGCTGTTGGCTACGACGGTGCTGAGGCCACTGTTAAGGCCTGGTACGACGAAGGTGACGATTACGACTACTCCAGTGCCACCACCTTCAACCACTTCACCCAGGTTATCTGGAAGGGCTCCACCGAGTTGGGTTGCGCCAAGAAGGACTGTGACGGCAGCCCTTACGTTGTGTGTGAGTACTCTCCAGCCGGTAACATGGTTGGCCTGGGTAAGAAAAACCTTTCTTCAAACTAAATAGGGATGGATACAAAAGAATGAGATTTACGAGTTATTTTGAGTGTAGCCCATAAGGGAGTAGTGTGTTTTGTAGGCAACGTGGTGGACAAGACAATGGTAGAGTGGGCAGTGTCTGATGAGATTTGCCCAATGTTATTGCTCATTGTATCCCTGAAGCTTATCAGACATTCACTTTTGTGTTTACTTCCATAGATCGAATGGTAAATAAACAGATCCACATGTAGATCACCGAGGGACCCGGGGCATAGCAAACGAACCCCTCACTGGTCAGGTTTCCATAGAATGACAGAGTGAACGATTTTCCATGTTTCGGTTTATTCCGTGAGCTTGATGGAGTTATACGATTACACAATATGGCTGGGTGCACCATCAAGGCCGATTTTGCAACCACTCGGCACATCTACATAGCTTTTGAAACCAAGGGACACCACATAAACCAGGAATTACTTTTTTAAAGTCTTGTAGCAACGAATAAGCCAAAATCTCAGCTTCCCATTTTTCCATCCCGCTCCGTTTTGTCCGGTCTTGGCTTCGTAGGTGACTCATGTCAGATGAGATGACATCCGGGTCTCCACAGTACACCCGAGTCCGACCGACTGTCACTAAAACAGGGCATGACGACACAGAAAAATGCATAAATCCACAAAAAAGAATAAGGAGATTTGAGAAAAAAGAAGAAGTGAAAATCCATTGTTTACAAATGTGAGGCTTTACGAACTCGTGACACGATTTGTGTATCTCACTGGTGCCCCTCATTCACCCAACAGGTTTCGCAGCCACAAACGGTTTTCTCATCTATGACTCAAACAGCACTACAAACCACGCCAACAAGATTTAACATAAAAAGCAGATTGTAAGTAGAAGTAGAGCCTGAATTTTCACAAAAATCCATCAAAAAATCAAATTCACCGGCCCCGGCCGCTTCCGGCGTGGTTTGTGTAACCAGGTGCCTGCACACATAGGGTCTTCTCCAACTCAGGACTATCACCAACTACTTCGCCAAACCCATGAACAACGAGCTACCGGCTAAGCTCCCTCTGCAGTACCTGCTGCCGGTGGCGCTGCCTGGCCCGGCTGGAAATGACATTTCTAGAGACCCTACTCCTGGTATAAAAGAAGAGGAGGAGGAAGAAATCGAAGCTGACTCCAAAGAGCATAAGAAGAGAACGGCAAGAGCATGTATACGGTGCCGGTTCCGCCACACACGGTGTCCTGGCGGACAGCCATGTTCGAAGTGCCAGATGGCGAAAACAAAGTGTGAATACGTGGAGTACGAGAAGCGGTTAGTTGTGTCCAGAAAATACTTATACAAGCTTCAGGACGACATAGCACGGCTCAAGAAGGAGAACGCAGCGTTGAGAAACTCCGTCAAGGAGGCCCCTCGGAAGGTTTCTCCTACGTTGTCTGAACCATCGCTTTCTTCCACAGAGCCTGGTACTAGCCAATTTGGAGGCCGCTTCGGATCTAATATACCACCCCAACCCCCACAGACCCAGGCTGAATTCCACGCTGCTACCAAGAACGAGCACGGAGGCCAAGAGGTCATCCATCCTTCTTTGGACAAGTACGGCCGCCTCATCCAATCACGAACGGGCGAGAAGGTCTACGTGGGCTCGTCCTCCATGACCCTTTTTGGGCTCGAGATTCAGAACATGGCTCCATCGTTCGAGCAATCCTCACTCCTTCACCCAAATTCACTCAACACGACGCCCGTGGACTCGCCCCAGAGCCAGTTTATTTCTCAGAGCAGCTTCCAAGATACATCTACCAGTGAAGTACGCAGACAGACCAAAATCCTAGAAAAGGAGGGCAACGCATACAACATCACTTTGGCCAAGACCAATACCCGCCCTGGTTTGTCTGTCAACTTCACACTTCCGTCCTATTCCTATGCTATACTACTTGTTGACACATTTATCAGCTACAACGACGGTTGTTTCTATTTCTTCAACGAGGGCCTTGTCAAACGGTTTCTTATGAACTTGTACCTGGGTAACACTAGCGAGAATAAGAAGATCATCAAGAGAAACATGGCGCCCAGAGTCGGGCCCGCCGATGATGAAAATACCATCAAGAAGGATACCGATAACGAGACTATCCTAGAGACAATCTGGTTTTGCAAGATCCTTTTGATTTTTGCGGTGGGTGAGATGTACCTAGGCACAGACTCCGATCCACATCACGAGAGGTCGAAGCAAGAACGCATACACATGTTTGGCCAGAAGAAGAGCAAGAAGAAGGACTCCAACAAGCGTAACACGCTACCTGGCTCTGGCTTCTTTTACCAGGCATCCGAGCTTTTCACAGGTCTTTTTGCATCTGGAGCTATCGACAACATCACCAAAGATGGCGGTATCGAGGTCATACTTCTATACGCATTCTATCTCCAGGTCGCTGATTGCACCATTGCATCTTACTTCTACTTCGGTCTTGCCCTTCGATCCACCTTAATCTTAGGTTGGCACGTTGATGCGGATATGGAGAACTTGAACAGATTTGAACTCGAGCACAGAAGAAGAATCTGGTGGACGGTGTACATGTACGAGAGAATGCTCTCTTCCAAAGCTGGTCTTCCTTTGAGTTTTGCCGACGACAGTGTATCTACTGAATTGCCATATGATTTCAAGATTGATCTTGATGATTTTCCACAGGATGAGAATGATGTCAGAGGTTACTACATTTTCCCATCGGCAGAATACATCAACAACTGTGTCACCATCACACAAATTAATGCCATCATCTTGTCATCCCTTTACACCAAACAGCCTACAGCCAACATCTTACCAGTGGTTTCTGATTTGGTCCAGCGTCTATTCAACTGGAAGATGGCACTCCCCGATTTCCTTCAAGTTGACTTCTCCAAAGATGATGTGAAGATCAACCGTTTGATCGTGAATTTGATGACAGAATACTTCCAAGGTATGAATTTAGCTGTTCGTCCACTTTTATTCCATTTTGCAACCAAGAAGCTCCGAGAGTTACAGGTACAAAACTTTTCGAACCGCTATGTCGACTTGACCAAGTATTCCAAGAATGTTCTCACACTCTTGAATGCATCTTTCCAGGCCTCGATCAACACTATCAAATCTATATGGGCACTCATGCCACAAAACATGGTGGCCCTCTTTGGGTGGATGGACCGTGAGTACCTTTTCACTTCCGCTTCCACCCTCATTCTTTTCAATGCGTCCTTTGGAGTCCATGATGCGACCAGAGAGCACTTAGATCACGCTCTCACACTCTTCACAAAGATGAAGAAGCTTGGTAACTATCCAGCGGCTCTTAGAAGAGCGCAACTTTTGAAGCTTATAAAGGTTCTCGATTTCAATGGCGTCATGCAAGACTTGATCTCCAAGCACGATGATGGTCAACCCCCTACAAATGGTGGAGAAGCCGCCAAGATGGATGTCGAAAGTAACGCCTTCGGTGATACAATGTCTTTCATCAACATTGGCAACGCAGCTGCCCTTCACAATAACCAGCTGACCCTTACGAAACCACAGCCCTTGTCACAAGTTCCAGAGCCACTTCGAGCAAGTCTAGATTATCTCCAGTTCAATGGACCAAATCCATCGGCAGCGCAGGCCACGTCCCATAGACATACACCTACAATACCGGCCTCAGCGAACTTGACCGCGGAAAGTGCCTTTGACTTCAAGGATAATATTGGCAATGCCGGATTTGGAGGAGGAGATGTTTACCCAAATGCCGATTTGGCTGGTATTGAGGGTTTGACATACGTTGATGAGGAGCAGAAGTTGTGGAATGAGATCACCAACGATGCCGTTTGGTTGCAAAGTCTGGGTGGACTTCAGGGAAATAAGCCCGAGAGTTCCGTGGGTTTGAATGATGACTTCATGAACTCGCTACGCGAAGCTCGTCTTCATAAGGAGATGGAGAATGCTATGAATGGAAATTCATCTACCAACGGGTACGCTGGCGGGTACAGTGACATCATCAACCTGGAATTCCAAAGAGACCTATTCTAGCTGCCCTTGCAGAGGGCCATTTGCATAAATACATTGTATGATATTACATTACTTGTACAAACGGGAAGCGTAGTTCCATATAAATACAGGTGCCTAGTAGAAGTCCATCAGGAACTCGTTGGCACCGCCATTTTGCTGCTGCTGCTGCTGTTGCTGCTGTTGTTGCAAAATCTGTTGAGGCAGGATCGACAGCATGTTCATGGGCATGTCGGGGTTTTCGTTGAAGCCCCCAGCAAAGCCGCCGTTACCAGGTCCGCCCGGTCCACCTGGACCATTGGGAGCATTAGGGTTGTTATTGAATGCATGGAAGTCGTCCTTTGGTGGGCCCATAAACAGGCTCTGTGGCATGTTCATGGGTTTCTGTGGCTGATCTGGCTTTTGAGCCCGAGCCCTGTTCATGTCCGAGTTTGGTGGCACTGCAAACTGATCGTATGGGCTCTGCTGAGGCATGGGACCACCCTGAAGGGGTCCCTGCTGATTTTGTGGGGGTAGCTGGACCATTCCAGGCCTCTGCATTCCCTGATGCTGTTTGATTTGCTGTAATTTTGCCTTCAAGAACTGCAACGCCTCGGGATAAAGGTCCTGAAGCCGCTTATATAGCTGGCGCAATTCGGGTAGTTCTGCTGGTGCCAGAAGGATCACGGGGAATTGCAATCTGTTGGGCTGTTGCGCAGCAGCCTTGTTATGATACGTGTCGTTGATATACGACAAGACAGATAGGTTGCATTGGAGTCTTTTGTTCAAGTTCAGGTATTGTTCCAAAACCTGCTGTCTGCCTTGAGGAGCCAACAGCTGGAGCGCTGGCGGGTTGCTCAAGAGAGAGACGTACATCTGGTACGCTTTTTTTATAAGATGGGTATTGATAAGGAGGAGCACGGTGGCCCTGTCCTTGTCGATATCGATTTGTCTTCTAGACATGAGGAGTTATGTTTACTGAGAAATTCGCGAGCATGCCTTGTAGTAGTACCGAGTCCGGGTCGCAGATGAACGGCACAGCCGTGCTGTCGGGGTGGAAGTAAATTGGAAAATTTTTTATAATAGCTTTGTTCATACTGAGAAGAAGGTAAAGATTTCCGTTTTTTTGTTCTGCCGATGTGCTGGTTGGTCTGTTGGCGGACGGCTGAGTTTCGCAGCCAGTGCCGCATGCGGCGAAGGATGCAATGAGGTGGATAGAAGGGGTGATTTTGGACATTTTCTCGAGATTATGGCAGATTCAAAAGAATCATCTGTTTCTTCGTTTTTGGTGAAATTTTCTCGAGGTTGGGATGCGGGAGCCGACTGGGACTGGACCACATGTCTCAGGATACGCAATATGCTTACAACAACCGAATACGACATCTTTTTCACAGAAGAAAAAGGGAAATCGAATTTGATTTTCTTTTTGAGATATAAATATATATATGTATATATATCTATCGCCAACGCTATATATCATTGTAAAAGCAGAAATCTGAAGAGGTGTGAGATAATTTGATAAGGAATGTATTGAACATTGCTACGACCAAGTATCTGACGAAGTTACATAAATATCACCAGCATTTTCATAAATCAAGATTTGGAAGAGAGGGCGCGGTTCTCATGCCAATCTCTTGAGTTCAACAGATTCCCGCTTCTCTTGCACCTCTGTCAAGCGCAGCATAAGTACTACCGGTCGCTTCCATCAATCTACAAGACCACTCATCGTAACACTCTATTATCTAATCACAACTTCGAGACCAACTCAGGCACGGCCTCGTTGAGGTCACCCACCAAACCAATGTCTGCAACATTGAAAATAGGAGCCTCGGGGTCCTTGTTAATGGCAACCACCGTCTTGGAGTCCTTCATACCAGCAAGATGCTGGATGGCACCAGAAACACCGACAGCAACGTACAACTCAGGAGCAACAATCTTACCGGTCTGACCAACCTGCAAGGAGTTGTCACAGTAGCCAGCGTCCACGGCAGCTCTGGAGGCACCAATGGCAGCATTGAGCTTCTCAGCCAAGGGGTTCATGATGGAGTCGAAGGTCTCCTTGTTCTTGAGACCACGGCCACCGGAAACGACTCTGGAGGCCGAGCCGAGCTCGGGTCTCTCGGACTTCACGAGGTCCTCACCAACGAACTCAGTTCTGTTTCCAGACTCCACGGCTTCAGAAACATCCTCAATGGAAGCACTGCCAGAGAGCTCAGCCTGAGGGAAAGCAGAGGCTCTCACCGATGCAAGCACGACATTGTCCTTGGACTTGACTGTAGCCAAGGCGTTACCAGCATAGATTGGTCTCACAAAAGTGTCCTCGGAAACGACCTTGGTGATATCAGAAACAGGCTGAACATCAAGTAAAGCACCCAAACGAGGCAAGAACGACTTGCCCACAGCAGAAGCAGGTGTCACAAAGTGGGTGTAGCTGTTTTTCGACACGAGCTCCTTGAGCAAAGGTGCCACCTCCTCCGCAAGGTAGTGGTCGTATTTGGCGTCTTTGGCGACGAGCAACTTGGCCAAACCGTCGATCTTGGCGGCGCTTTCAGCACCTTTTTCGCCCTCTGGGCCAAGCACAATACCCAGAATGGGTTTTCCAATGGCCTTAGCAGCGCTGATGGCAGACAAAGAAGCCGCCAGGACCTTGCCGTTGGCGACCTCAATGAACGCAAGGGTGTCTTTTCTTGCCAAAGTCGAAGAAAAAAGTCTTCTGGCGGCGATTGAACGCAACATGTTGGGTTTGGTTCAGTGGTTGTTGAAGATTCTGAGGGTATGATTCATGCAGTCGAGCCCGGGTGGGAGTACCAGAGGGTGGGTGTGGATAAGCAAATGAGGGATTTTTTAGGGGGTGGAAGTGAAAGTGAATGACTTATAATTTGACGGAATTTATTGATGCTGGTAATTTATGAGGTTGGTGTGGTGTTTTAGTTTTGGTCGTCAAGGCCGGTTTCGGACCTGAGAGCGTTATCTAGAAGTGGTGAGGTAGACACGAGAGAAGTATATTAGGAGTGCTTCAAAAGTTTAAATATTTAAATAACCCCATGTGATGGAGCATTAAAAGTGAATTTCCCGTTTTGGTAAGAACGTTGTATGTGAAAGTGATTTGGTGTGCTATATGGCTGCAAACCCGGCGCTGATAGGGTAAAAATGGACAACTCTGAGATAGCACAAAACCAGCCCAGGACTACCATGACATTGCGGGATTTGAGAAGATAGAAGTAAAACACGTACAATTCAGCCCACTCTTTACTGTTCAGCCTAATCTTCTTCAAGCACATCTATCGGTTCATTTGGCCTGTTGAAGCTGAAACAAACTTCTCTGAAAAGGTAGCATCACTCTTGAACCGGGCCCTATGAAATTCAATCAAAAAGATATTTTTCGGCCCCTACTACAATATGTAAGCTCTTCGATTGAAGCTCAAATCGAAGTACCCCTCGTTACATCCACAAAGTGTGGCTATTACCATGTATTACATTCGAGGGAACTCCTTCAGGGCGATCCCAAAAATGAATTCAATCTCTTTGTGGACCTTGCAAGTGTCAAATAAGGCTAGACCCCCAAGGAACAAATGTTTAATTACTGCTGATCTTTAAACCACCAGGCGGTCTAGGCTGTACATACTGCGCATGGATTTTGCAACCACCCAAAGAAGCCCCCTCCACTTAGTGAATCAACGAAGACGAATGAATACAATAAAATGATTCATTCTCTAAAAGTACGTCCGTTGCCTCTTATATATTCCTTCATTCATCTACCCCACCAGCTGTCTGGGATGACCATTTCTCGGTGCCTGATTGGACGGTGCCCCACCTTTAACCGCCAAGACACAAATAATCGCTTACTTCTTCATTATTCTCAAGCTTTTGCTGTTCATTTACCCACCCTGATAATATCTCTTCCCTTCCAGCCAAAAGCTGTCAATGTCAGCCTCGTGCGGCTACACTGTCAAGGCCCAACCGACCTCCAACTAACTAAAGCAAACTTCACCCATCACTTCAAAAAAATAATCCTCCCGAACGCCCAAATAATACTCCGCTTCCAAAAAATTAACCTATTTTCTGAGAATGTGTCGCAACCGTGATGCATGATAATGCGACTAGCACGCATTGTGGTCGAACTAGTTCTCTTTATCAACACCTCCTACTACACCATGAAGAGCCCAACGCCGAGGGGCCGTGGACAATTCAAAGATAAACCCGACGAGCGTATTGCTTCTCCAAGCGCTCGTCTTGTATCTGGACGAAGGGTAAACAGAGAAAAGGAGCCCTTATTAAGGCAAGCAGATGCCGACCATGGAAGCAGCTCGTCCCACTTGAGGGCTTCCAGAAGACCTATAGACGCAGAGCTCCTCAGTTTGAGATCTCATCCTGGAGAAATGGCTCTGCCAATGGAACACTCGTTCAGTATAGACGTGCCAAAACGTGGAGATCGAACCCTACGGCACCAAGGCTCCCTGATCTCAGAGTACACCCCGGCTCTAAGACACAACCAGCCTAAACTCTCCGTGTTGCTTCCCTATTATCTTCCTATATTGTCGTGGGTGCATCAGTACTCGTTTTCCTATCTTGTGGGTGACCTCATTGGTGGTATCTCGTTAGCACTGTTCCAGATCCCATTAGCAATTTCCTACTCGATATCTTTGGCTAAGCTGCCTATCACATGCGGTTTGTACTCCTTGGGAATCTCGCCCTTGATCTACTGTATTTTTGGGTCCGTGCCGCAAATGATTGTGGGTCCCGAGGCTCCCATATCGTTGATTGTGGGGCAGGCAGTGGAGCCGCTTTTGCACCATGCCAAGAAGAAGAATATTGACCCTGTCATCTACATTTGTGCAATCACGCTTGTTAGTGGAGCCACATTGCTCGGATTCGGAATCGGCAGGTTTGGTTACCTAGACAATGTGCTTAATGAGAGTCTCCTCAAGGGTTTTATTTGTGGTGTGGGTATTGTTATGGTGATCAACTCCTCCATCTCAATGCTTGGCCTTAATGGCATCATGGACGATGTGATCAGGGACCTGAACGACATGGACATTCACTCACCTTTTGACAAGGTGCGTTTCTTGATGTACCATTTCAAGGAGTCTCACGCTTTGACGATGAAAGTGAGCTTTGTGGCCTTCTTTGTCGTTATGGCAATTCGAATCTTTAAGTCGAGGGCTTCTAATTCGTCCAACGCCAGGTGGAGACTCGCCATCTACATCCCCGAGATTTTGATTGTGGTGGTCGTTTCCACTTTATTGTGCTTCAAGTTCAGGTGGAACCACATGGGCCTTGAAATTGTGGGCACCATCGAGGGTGTGCCAGACAGCTTGCACATCTACCACCCCTTCTCGGCGCAGATGTGGCCCCTTATTCGCCAGCTCAGCTCCTCTGGCTTTACTTGTGCCATGCTCGGGTTCTTCGAGTCGACAACGGCATCAAAATCGTTGGGTTCCCGCTATGATTTGCCAATTTCGTCAAATCGTGAGCTCGTGGCTCTAGGTGCAATTAACATTGCTGGTTCCTTCATGGGTGCTTTGCCTGCCTTTGGTGGTTATGGCAGATCTAAAGTGAATGCTATTTCAGCGAAGACCACGGTATCCGGTGCCATAATGGGTGTCATATCTTTGGTCACATTACATTCTGTGCTTGAGTATTTGCGCTACATCCCCAAGAGTACCTTGAGTGTCATTACGGCTGTAATCGGTATCTCGCTTATCACCGAGGTGCCCAAGGAGCTTTACTTTCACTGGATCAGTAAGGGCTATGATGAACTCATTACTTTCTTCATCACCGTTTTGACCACTCTTTTTTTCTCGATGGAGGCAGGTATTGCAGTCGGATTGGTCTACTCCTTGCTTCGGGTGATTCGCAATTCAGCTGAATCCAGAATTCAAATTTTGGGACGTGTACCTGGAACGAACACTTTCCTCGACGCTGACCTTCATCTGGAATCCTATGATGAAGGCATCGAGGAATATAACGCTTCCAAGGGTGACGACACGTCCTTGGGTATTCCGCAGCTCAACCTTTTCACGGACAATTTGCGCCCTCTTAACTTGCAAGCTCTTGAGGAGATTGAAGGTTGTTTGATCATTAGAATTCCGGAGCCTTTGACATTCACAAATGCCAGTGACCTTCGTGCCCGTCTTAAACGCGTGGAGATGTATGGTTCTGTAAAAGCACACCCTGCTCTGAAAAGAAGCAGAGACCTGTCCATGACCAAGTACATGATTTTCGACCTTGAAGATATGATCTACTTGGACTCATCTGCGGCTAACATTCTCAAGACCTGGCTCGTCGCCCATCATAAGCAGGGTATTCGGTCTTTTTTCGTGAGAGTAACCAAGACACCCAAGTTGAGAAAGAGGCTTAAGGACACAGGTATCAAGGATATCCTAGAGCAAGACCTTGACTCTATGAGGTACAGAGAAGTACAGCATCACAGCTTGTCTCTGCCACATCAGAGTCTCGATATGAACATTGACAACTTGTCTTTCAGCGAGTCTGAAGACGAGATACGGGCCTCCACGGAGAAACCAGGATCGCCATACTTCGATCACATTCGGTCAGCATTGAAGCTCATTGATTCTTATGAACAATTGGAACTTTCAAGCTTCAATGAAGAGGTTTAGCTGCCTGTAGCGAAGTCGGCTGCAAAACGCACACGTGATGAAGTGTTGATTTTCCTATACATCCGCCAGTGGAGCGCGTTGAGACATCACCACCAGTATTTATTCATAATGACAGAAAACGCCAGTCAGCAACAGCTCGACATCAAAGATGAATATGAGCTTTGGAGGAAAAACTGTAAATACATGTATGAGTTCATCAATGAGACTGCTCTTACATGGCCATCCCTCACTGTCCAATGGCTACCTACTCTGGAAACAACCGACGTGATAAACGCCAGATTGCTTCTTGGAACCCATACATCTGGAGAAGCCCAAGACCACTTGAAGGTGGCATCAACTCAATTGCCAATCAAGGGCTCCGATAAGAAAATCTCATCAAAGATCAAAATCACACAAAAGGTGGAATGTTCCAGTGAGGTGAACAGAGCCCGTTACAAGCCCAGAACCCTGATATCATCGCAACTATCAATGGAAGTGGTGAGCTTGACTTCTACGATTTGAGCAAGAATGAAAAGTTTGGCCATGTGGCTCCTCACACGGAAAACGGTTACGGCTTGTCTTGGAACAGATTTAAAGATGGCTACTTGCTTTCCTCGGCCGACGATCACACTGTCGCCTTGACCAATGTGTCTGATATTGAAAATAATGGTGGCCTTGTGCACAAGTTCCTGAACCATAAAGATATTGTGAATGATGTCAAATGGCACCATTTTGACGAAAACCTCTTTGGATCTGTCTCAGACGACAAGCAGTTGCTACTATTCGATATTCGTACGCCTGAGAAGCCCGTGCAGACATTCTATAACGAAGACTCCAAGGGAATCAATTCGCTTTCGTTCTCGCCATTTTCTCGCAATCTCCTCGCCCTAGGCAACACCAACTCCAATATCAATCTTTTAGATTTGAGAAATCTTTCATCCACCCCACTTCACACCATGATGGGCCACGGAGATGCTATCACATGTCTTGAATTTTCGCCACACAAAGACGGAATCATTGCCTCAGGATCCCAGGACAGAAGAGTGATTCTTTGGGATTTGGCCAAAATCGGCGAGGAGCAGACCCAGGAGGATGCTGAAGACGGATGCCCTGAAATCTTCATGATGCATGCTGGTCATACCGGTGGTGTCACGGATCTCAGCTGGTGTCCATTCGATGACTGGACGCTTGCCTCAGTGGCAGATGACAATATCGTTCATTTGTGGGAGGTGAGTCTGTCTTTGATCAAGGACACCCCAGCGGCTCCAAAGGACAGTGAATTGGAGTAATTGTTTGAATTCTCTTCGCCCGTGGCTGCAAATGGCTGCAAGTGGTCATAGTCTAAGAGAGCTTTAGTTGAGCGTCAGCTCAAGGCCAAGCCAATTTCTGAAGGCTTACTACGACGAATGCTTCATTCAGATGTGAAGCAGTTTCGTTTAGACAATATCTGCTGGGATGGCTAGTATAAGCCTTGTGTGGCTCGACCTAGTATCACCCTATACCCGTCTTCCATTCCGATGAAAACTCCTGTCCCCTATCAATGGAAGATCAAATAATACATTCCAGAACCTCTACAGTATACTTTCAAACCCAATCATCCAAAAGTCCCTTATCTCTCTCGTTGGCGATTGCGGCCCAGAGACATACTAACTTTCAGCCTCGCACTACCCACAATAGATCTCAGACTTCGTCAAGTCACAGTTTGCCTCTACAAAGCCTGCCTTGATACACCCCACAAGCCAGCCAGTATGTCCGACTTCCCTCCGAATTTGTCCATTCGTCCGTTGACGGTGGAGGACCTTGACCAATGTGTCCAGCTTGAGAACAAGGGTTTTCCCGAAGACGAAAAAGCCTCCAGAGACATGTTGCAGTACAGACTAATTGCTTGCCCGGAACTATGTTCCGGGTTGTTCATCCGTGAATACGGCGTCAAATATAACGCCATCAACTTGCCGGAGGTGGCGGAGAAGTTGAATGCTGAAAATGCATCCTCAAAAGAGTCCGATGGTACCATTCAGCCCAACAACAAGGAAAGCAGCGATGGCGACCAGGAGAACGAGGACTTTCCAAGCTTACCTGTGAAGCTGTCTGTGGTGAAGGAGGTGTTGATTGGTCACATTACCGCCACCAAGACTCCAACCGAGAAATTGACCAAGGCCGCCATGGAGTTGCCTAGTGACCTGAACAAGGACGCTGGTCACGTAGAGTATGCCAGAAGCATTGCTATCCACGGCTTGGTGATCGACCCAGAGTGGAGAGGAAAGAACTTGGGCACCTTGTTGATGCATGACTACATCCAGAAGTTGTCGAACCAGGACTTGGGCAGCAAGGTGATCCTCGTGTCCCACAAGGAGTTGATTCCATTCTATGAGAAGATTGGCTTTGAGTTGCACGGTGCCAGCGACATCAAGCACGGTTCTGAGACGTGGTACGACTTGTCGATTGACTTGGTGCCTCAGGAGGAGGAGTAGTAGCCTGGCGGGCCTCCAACGTGATTGACAATTCACTCAACCTGCCAGCTAGACGTCTATTAGCCCAGAAGTTGGCTGGCTTTAGACCGTGTATTACCCACCCACCAGTATGTAGTGCGCGCAGAGATCTTAAGTATAATACATCTACGACTATATGTTCCAAGTACCCGGTCCAATAAAGGCCCTTTTCGATACATTCCCGCTAAAAACGTATCCTCCCATTTACAGTGATCCCAGTGATGAAGGATTCGTGTATTTCGGTGTGAAAGACTCGTCCAAAGAGACAGACTCCAAGTTCACCTTGGGAGTACATGGACTAGCCCATATAGAAGGAAAAACACTTCCGACGGACCCCTTTTCACTTGCAGACTGTTTGATTCTTTGTCACCGTCATGGTCTTACTTTACCCAAAAACAAGGAGAAGTCTCCGTACAGCATGGTAGCATTTTCGTATGAGGCCTCACCTACTAACGAATTGCCCATATTGGTGGAGCAGACAAAGGATACCGCTACTGTTATTAAGACAAACGAAATCCAGGACTCTATTAGAAAAAAGAATTTCGGAAAAAGCATCATTGAGCTCCTTGTGAATCTGTTTCTCGACGATCTCAGCGACTTGTGGATACTCATACTTCTATCGGATGTGGCTGGTTCGCAGACGGCGAAGCTCAACAAAGTATTTGATTTTTTGAAAACGGGCGATAATGCGTATATCGAGGGCCTCTTGACTGCAAGGCTTTTGAATGCCATTCCTGAGTGGAGCTCTTTTAAGGCTAAATACCCGCTGATTTTCCATAGAAACAGAATGCATGCTGCTCTTCGAAGCAAGGATGTCAGCGACGGTTATTACGGCTCCAACGCTACTGCCTTGCAAAAATTGCTTTTTGAAAAGATGTCTCAGTTTGAGAGAAACCTCCCATTGATTTGGAACTACATAAAGGAGAATGGGTCATCGGACGCTTTTGCAGTGTTGGAGCTCAAGACTGCTGCATTTGTTTTCATCATTGATCAATTCTTCAGCGAGGGCACCCATATTGGTCTGATGATCAAAAAGGACGCTTATGCTCAGATTGTCAAAGAAAGCCAGGAAATCGTGCTTGACAGGTTCGCTTAACGGTCTACAACATTTTCATGATACATGTATATAGATGACTACTGAATGGCAAGAGAGTTGACGTTGCTCGTCAACAACAGCGTGACATTCTCCTCGATGATCTTCTCTGACGTCTCGGCCAAATGCTTCTTTGGGTCTTGTTTGCCGACGTAACGAGTCTTTAGCTGTTCTTCCAGCAACTCCTTCTCCTCGGCGACCCTTTCGTTGTATAGCTTGGCAATCTTGACTAAGCTCTGGATATTCTCTAGGTTCTCGTGGTCAGCGTGGTTGTAGTCGGCCATCTCCAAGCCGCTCTGCCACAGCTTCTTGTGCAAGTTCATGAGCATGTTGGTTTCGTACAGCGTCTTGTGGTAGTCGATGTTTAACGAGTAGTAGTGCCTGTTCAAGCCGTGGATGAGCGCCTGAATCGAAGGCTTGTTCAAGTGACCGACGTTGGATGTCGATTGACGAGGTTCCTGGCCTCTCATCAAAGTGGTGGCGTCAATGGTACGGAATGCGTCAATCACCACCTTACCCTTGACCGACTGGATAGGGTCCACCACAACGGCAACGGCTCTCTTGTTCAACTGCTCAAAACTCTGCTGTGTGTTCACATCAACCGACGAAAGCCAGCATCCAAAACCAGGATGCGAGTGGTACCATCCACCACCATCTGGTCTCTACCAGTCTGTCTCAACATATCCATCATCTTGGTTTGGAAAACATCGTCAACGGCCTCCACAGACACACCAGTTCCCGACTGGGGCATGGCAAAAACATCAATCACATGGATCGTGAAGTCGTCCACGAACTCACCGAGCATCAAGCCCATCACTTCCATGGGTACACCAGCACGGCCGTGTTTAAGCATTTTCAACAACGCCAACGACGAAATGTAAACTGTTTCAGCATTGTCTATAGCTGGGGCATCATTCATAGCGGCTCCGCCTTGTACAAGGCCATTGCTGCCTCCGAGCAATCTCTGTAATCTTTCCATGGTGTGGTTGGTGTTGGACTATGGTTGTTCGCATTGATAGTGGCAAGCCGGTGTATGCACTACAGGTGGTGGAAGACGAATATTCTTTCAGATTTGGATGGGACGATAGTTGCATTGGTATTTCGAAAGTAAGAGAAGAAGAGAGAGTGCCTAAAGCTTTTTATATTTTTCAGAATGGGAGTGGTGTTGGATTGGATCTATTGGTGCTTCTCATCTGACTTAATAGGTCTCGAGGATGGCGGGCCTTTATCGAAACTTTCAGCATTTGGTGGTCAAATATAGTTAAAAACTCTCAATATATTATTTCTTAAAAGATCGCTTGAAACTGTAGCTGCTCAGCAATATTTGTGTTTTGCGAGTGGATCTCAAACGCTCTCATATAGTGGGAAAGACTTACTAGTTGTGCGCAATTAGAGATTCGTAGATCACCGAGTAATCTGATGGCTTTTTCTGAACTGCCATCCACCAAGCTGAATTTTCACTTCTTTACACTAGCAGACTATCGTAAGCAGAGCCATACATCTAAAATGTAAAAGGAACTCTTTAAACCATATTGCAACCTGAGATGAGGACTTCTAGTGGCTGCAAACATAGTAGACTAGGCCAATACTCTGGAATGGCGAACTTATCAGGAAGGACTTGGCCGTTCACACTACTTTCAAGAGAAAAAAAGAAAATCAACTACAATCGAAGTCGTTAAAAGCAATGCTTCATGAGAATCCCTCCAAATCAGCTATATTCCCATCCACCACCAACAAATCCACCCATTTACACCAAAAACCTTCAAAATCCCAAAAGCTTGACTTTTTCCCCCAAAGACTCGTCCAATCTCATCCAATTAATCCACAACAGCCATCGGCTAGTTTCTGCCCGGTCCGTGCTTTTCTTGATCCATGGTGCCGTACAGAACAATGCCAACACCCCGTCTTCCAGCCCAGCCGTCCAAGGTTCCCCTTTCAAGAGTGGCTTCCAGCAAATAACATATCAAAAACAAACCATAAAAGAAAAAAAAGAAAAACAAGTCCTTTCCAAATTCAACCCACCCACCACCTTCATGCCTCTGCGCAGATGTTTGCAGCCATTAGTGCACCGCATCTCCCCTTTGCAACCGTTATCCGGCAATAGCCGTCTATTCAAACGGCCCCACAAAACACCCTTTTTTCTCTCGTTTCGCCCCACACGCCAAAGTGCCTCATTGTGCCGTGCACAAGAAAAGTGCCGTGGCAGATGCTGCCTATATAGCGCCAGTGCGGCACCATTTCTCCATCTTCAACCATGAGCACCGAAGGACCTTCTTCCCTAGTGGGCCACAAGTACCCGGCCCGTGAGCACAATGCCCGTGTTTTGGGTCATTTCAAACAGAAAAAGCAGTTGAAGCTGGCAGACAAGTTGGCGTTTTTCATGAGCGGAGAGGACCTTGAACTCTGGCAGTACTCTGATCAGACGAAACCGATCCGCCAGAACCGTTATTTCTTCTACTTGCTGGGAGTGGAGATTCCCGGAAGCCACGTTTTGTACGATGCCGCCAACGACAAGTTGACGTTGTTCTTGCCCGACATTGACTACGACGATGTCATGTGGTCTGGCTTGCCTTTACTGCCTGAGGATGCCTTGAAGAAGTTTGATGTGGACGAGGTCAAGTACGCTTCGGAACTCGAAAAAGTTGTTGGTTCGCTCAAGGGCTACACGATCTACACCACCGACCGCAACAAGTGGAACGCCAAGGTGCTGCTGTTCTTGACCGAGAAGGACCCTGACTTTTTCCACGCATTGGACGAGTCCAGACTCATCAAGGACTGGTACGAGCTCGAGTTGATGAGACACGCGTCTAAAATTACCGACAAGTGCCACTTGGCTGTCATGTCGGCCACCCCAATTGAGACCAACGAGACCCACATCCATGCTGAGTTCATGTACCATGCTCTCAGACAAGGCTCCAAGTACCAGCTGTACGACCCCATCTGCTGCTCTGGACCCAACTGCTCCACGTTGCATTACGTGAAGAACGATGACGAAATCGAAAACAAGAGATCGGTGCTCATAGACGCCGGTGCCGAGTGGAGCTGCTACGCTTCTGATGTCACCAGATGCTTCCCCATCAACGGTGACTGGACCGAGGAGCACCTCACCATCTACAACCTTGTTTTGGACATGCAGCGCCAGACAATGGCCATGATCAAGCCCGGTGCCCGTTGGGACGATATCCATTTGAAGGCTCACAGAGTCATGATCAAGGAGTTCATCCGTTTGGGTATCTTCAAGGACTACCCCGAAGAGGAGATTTTCGACTCGAGCATCTCGGCCCGTTTCTTCCCCCACGGTCTCGGCCACGTTTTGGGTATGGACACCCACGATGTCGGAGGACGTCCTAACTACGACGATCCAGACCCCAAGTTGAGATACTTGCGTTTGCGCCGTACGCTTAAGGAAGGTATGGTGCTCACAGACGAGCCCGGTGTGTACTTCTCGCCATTCTTGTTGAAGGATGTGCTTGAGGACCCCGAGAAGGTGAAGTACATCAACAAGGATGTGCTCGATAAGTACTGGTCCATTGGTGGAGTGCGTATCGAGGACGATTTGCTTATCACCAAAGACGGTTTCGAGAACTTCACCAAGATCACCTCCGACCCTCACGAGATTTCCAAGATCGTCAAGGAGAGCAGTGCTCAAGGCAAGGACAGGTTCCACAATGTGGTGTAGCGGCGATGCCGCATGTGTATAGTAAGAGTTCCTTGCTTGGCATTTTGTAGTGAAATAGGGATGAGGGTTTTTTAGGGAATTCGGCTTTGTCTGTGGTGTTTGGTGATTCAGTAGTGCATTCTCAACAGCGATATAAATGGTTGCAAATCGCATATAACGTACTTCCATTGGCATTACCACGTCGAAGCCCAATAATCACAATGAGAAGATTTCGTTCAATTTAAATAGCCGATCAGCGAATGTTGTAGGTTTTCCATTTACCTCTATTATTTCCGGATGCCGTAATCTAGAAGATCTAGTGTCACACCTGGTGCACTAGTCAACCACCCACAAACTACTGTGTTCTTCCACACAGAGGCAACAATATCCAAAAAACAAAGATATATCAGATCCTTCTAATGAACAAATCCACGGCATCCAAGACATTTTCAAAATATCTAAAACGGAATTGGAGTATCTGATCAGCTATGCCTTGTGGTGGCCTGGTGTACGGGTCTGCACACCCCATAAACCCTGGGCTCCTTGCTCAATCACACCAACTCATCAAACACCATGGACGAAAACTACGACGTCATTGTGCTCGGAACCGGACTTACCGAGTGTGTTCTCTCGGGCCTTTTGTCCGTGGACGGCAAAAAAGTGCTCCACATTGACAAACAGGACTTCTACGGAGGTGAGCTGGCCTCCTTGAACTTGCTGCAATTGTACTCCAAATTCAAGCCATCCTCCCAGAAGCCAGAAAGTATTCAGGGTAGAGACAGAGACTGGTGTGTGGATTTGATCCCTAAGTTTTTGATGGCCAATGGCGAGTTGGCCAACATTCTTGTCCACACAGATGTGACCAAGTACATGGAGTTCAAGCAGATCGGAGGCAGTTATGTGTACAGAGGAGGCCGTATCAGTAAGGTTCCTTCTAACGAGGTTGAGGCCTTGAAATCCCTGTTGATGGGTATCTTTGAGAAGCGCAGAATGAAGAGATTCTTGGAATTCGTCGCTGCCTACGACGACGAGGTTGCTTCCACCCACCAGGGCTTGGACTTGGACAAGAACACCATGAACGAGGTTTTCACCCACTTTGGCTTGGAGAGAGGAACCAAGGACTTCATTGGCCACGCCATGGCTTTGTGGGCTAACGATGACTACCTCAGTGAGGTTGCCAGACCAACTTACGAGAGAATCCTCCTTTACGTCCAGTCCGTCGCCAAGTACGGCAAGTCTCCATACATCTACCCCTTGTACGGCTTGGGTGAGTTGCCTCAGGGCTTCGCTCGTTTGTCCGCTATCTACGGTGGTACCTACATGTTGGATACCCCAATTGAGGAGGTCTTCTACGACGAGAACAAGAAGTTCTCTGGTGTCAAGACCAAGGAAGGTATTGCCAAGGCTCCAATTGTCATTGCCGACCCTACATACTTCCCAGACCGTGTCAAGAAGACCGGCCAGAAGGTTATCAGAGCCATGTGTATCATGGACCACCCAGTCCCCAACACACACGACTTGGACTCGGTCCAGATCATCATTCCGCAGAACCAGGTCGGCAGAAAGAACGACATTTACATTGCCGTGTTGTCAGACGTCCACTGTGTGGTGCCAAAGGGCTACTACTTGGCCATTATCTCCACTATCGTAGAGACCGACACGCCACACGTCGAGTTGGAGCCAGCTTTCAAGCTCTTGGGCTCTCGTCTCGACACCTTGATGGGACTCGCAGAATTGTACGAGCCTCAGGATGACGGAAGTGAAACCAGCATCTACCTTTCCAAGAGCTACGACGCTTCCTCCCACTTTGAGTCCGCTACCGACGACATCAAGGATCTTTACTTCCGTGTCACAGGCAAACCTTTGATTTTGAAGAACCGCGCCGCAGAGCAAGACTTGGAGAACCCCGAGTAATACATTACATACGTCCATTTACAATTAGAAATATTTCCTTGTAATCTTACCTATCCATTGGCTTGATGTGCTTTTCGATTTCCAGCTCACTCAAAAACTTGGTTTCGATATCGCCAATGACCAAGGCGTTTTTGCCCAAATCAATGCTGCACTTGTGTCTTTTGAGCATGTCTAATCCAAAGAGGCAATCGACATTGCAGTCCAAAACGGTGAAAGAGCAAGGAATGTCGGCGTTCGAATCACCGATACTCACTGGAGCACTGTGGATTCTGCCTTTAGATGTTTGCTTACCGACACCTCTTGCCTCAGTGATGTATCTAGTATCGATCAAATTCGATAAGCCACATTTCTCTGCAATCTCGGAGGAAATGATCGTGTGTGCTGCGCCAGAATCGACCAATGCGTATATGTCTGTACCTTTAATTCTGAGCTTGATGTACAACATGCTGACTGGGACAAATGACTCTGGAGAGATGTCTGCAGCCAATTGCAAGTTCTCGTCAATCTGCTGTTGTCTGATGATTTCCATGATTCTTGCCTGATTGGCTGGGTCATCTGGGTCAGCCTCAAGTCTTCGAAGCTCTTCTTCGTTTTGTCTGCTTGGATTCTGCATGGCCTGTGCTGTGTGAAGAAATGCTTCCTTGAATCGAGCAGGATCGTTGATACTCGAGTGCAATCCAGGATTTATAGACTTCATTTGTTCTAATGCCATAGGGTTCAGGAGAGCCAGTAGTCTCATAGCCTCAATGTTGGAATCAAGCTCATGGCCTTGAGGAAACGAACTCTGGGGAAACGACGATTGGCTGTCCTGTGGTGGCGCTTGTGTCTGCTGCTTTTTAGCCAGAGACTGCAAAACGATTAAATCGTCATCTTTGATTCCTACTTCCTCGAGAGTCTTTTTGGCGTCCACAAGGCTCTTGGAATTATGGATCAAGATCTGGGAAGCTGGAGAAATGTCGGTTTCCACCTCGATATAAGCCTTCAAGTCCTCAATCGTGAGGCTGCTGGGGAAATCGATCGCCAAGATATCATTGGTGGCTATGTTTGTTATTGTTATCTTCATTTTACGATGTAGTCAGGAAGTTGGTGTAATCTGGGGTGTTGATATTATTGATACATACTGCAATGCGAAATTGCCACTGCCGCACGACTAAGCAACACGACTTGTCAGCGGCATGGAAGCTTCTGGAAGAGCTTCGAAATAGGACATGTCAATAATACAGCGGCCTGGCGGCCATTAATGATGATCTTTATCGTCACTGTGGCAGACCTCTTGGAGACTTGCGGACTAGTCATGAGTTCGGCCTTCATATCCGCAGTTCACTCAAACATAACGACAGCAGCTCACGGTGTTCGTGAAGCTGACTCGGGAAAGCCTTCTCAACGATACTGCCAAGTATCCTCAAATTGAATGCTGATTTACAAGGAGGAGGGACTCAACATGGCAATCTGCGATCCGTTCAACAACATACGCTTGATCTTGCTGCCGGTGTTGCCGTCACCATCGATCTCAGTGGCATCTTCCAAGACAACGTTAACGAAATCATCGAAGCCAACGAGTTTACCGGTAAACTCCTTGTTGTTGGTGAGGAGGATCTTGATGTCAGTGCCAATCGCGCGGTCAATGACCTCCAAAGGCAAAATGGTATCTTTTTTGGAAGACTCCTCCGTCGTAGGCTCGGTCGAGGTTTGCGTGTGTTCGTCAGACATTTGATTTCAAGTCTTGGTGGTACCTTCTAACTCTTTGAGGCGTAATTTTTTCTCATTGAGGTGAGAACCTCACCAGTACACCACACCCGTTCCACTAACAGCTTCAAGTTGCAGCCACTGGCTTTTCGGCTCCAGTCTTTTCAGAAGTCTTCGGCATAGCTACTTTTGGAACATCGCCTTTACCTGACCTCTTCACTTTCCAGCCATTGTAATCAATAAGCGCTTGCATGCAGCCCCACTCTGTGATCTTGTTCTGTAACCATACCAAGTTGACGGGTTTGGTTAAGAAATCATTGCAACCTGCGGTTAAAGCGTTCTTTCTGTCAACCGATGAGTTCGAAGAGGCTGTAAGAGCGACTATAATCACTGGGGAGCGGAACAAGTTGAGGTCAAGCTTCTCGTCTTCCTTAATGCTTGTCAGGCCATTCAGCTTGGAAAGCTCGTGTTGAGCGAAAACTCCAATTCTGTTCACCTTCTCCAAATACCTTATCTCTTTGGTAGCCTCAATTCCGGACTTGACAGGAAGCTGAATATCCATGAGCACTAGGTGGAAACCGCCTTGTCTCCATTTGTCAATAGCCTCCTGACCATTCTTAGCAATCTGGTATCTGATCTTGTGTTTTCTCAAGAAAGCACCTAAAATGGCCTGGTTAATGGCGTTATCCTCAACAACCAATACGAGAAGAGATGGTAGAACTCTTTCGAAGGTGGAAATGGGTTTAGCATCTCTCACATCCGCTGGTGTCAAGCCTTCCAGAGATGTTTTCCTTGATGCGGCGGCAGGCTTTTCTTCACTTCGCTTTTGTGGCTTCTCCAAAGTGTGTGAGCCACTGGATGAGCGAGAAATCTCTTGACTTGTCTTGCGGGGAACAGGCTTTTCTTCTTCAGACTCGGTATTCGTGCCGATACTGGTCACATTAGTAGAGTCCAGAAGCGATTTGCCGTGGTTGGAGAAATTCTTGTTCACCATGTTCTCGTCCAACGAGTACCGTTTGAGATGACTTTGCTCGCCCAACGTGAAATTCTTCGGTAGAAGCAAGACCGCCTGGCCGTTGCTTTTCGTTGTCATCAGATTAACACTGTTCATGGAAGGCAGTTGAGGTGGGTTGGAATGTGATCTTTTGTGAACATTTATGGCGCCATTGACCGGGGATAAACGGTGTGTGAGTGAAGGCAGAACCGAGGGATTCTTGCCAATGGCATTGGGGTTCACGGGGAAGGCATGTTGGGGCCTTGGATGGTGATAGTTATCGGTAAGCACATGGGTAGGCGAAGCTCCTCGAGCAGGTGGACCCTGTCCAGACATATCGATGGAGGGGTTATGCTGATGGTTATATTCCAAAGGACGCAGGTTCATTCTATCAGGAATGTCCACGAATCCATACGGCATGGAGGGCTGTCGCTGAGCAGCCACTATAGTAAGGGCGTCATTCATTCCCATGCCACCTCCAAAGTATTCGTCCAAGAGATCCCATATATTCTGGTCTGGCTCCAACATCACAATGGACCCGCCAAAAGTAGACGTTGCTGGAAGAGAGGGTGACCTGCTCCCTGTGATAGTGCTTCCACTGCTAATGCTATTGTCGTCCAGCTCCAGAACGATACGATTGAGTGAGCTTTGCTTAGGCTTGTGTTTCTTGACTGGTTCATCAGGAACCCTCAAATGAATCTGAATGTCGGCAGGATCAAACTGGCGAGCTAGCGTGGTGGGATATTTATATGTTATAGCAAGTTTCAAGTCATCAACCAAGTCTTGGGGACCCATCATTAGCGTGGTGGGTGGACCATCGTCCTTCTTCACCCATACTCGTTTTGTTGCGGGTTGCTGTGGAAGAGGATTGCCCCAACTGCGTTGTCGTGAATGCGTATTATTTGGACTCAGGCCTTGGTGGTATTGACTGTATGTTTTGGGCATGAAGGAAGGGTGGAGTTCAGAAGAGGTGGTGATGATAAAGGATGTTTCTACACCAGGGACCGGGGTTGAAGGTGTGTGGTGTGTGCAGGCCATGAGGTCCCGAGATAGAGATAGGTGTTTTGGGTGTAATTGTCTTGTGGGTGATGTTTTGGAAGGAACTAACGTCGGGATACTTCGGTGGCAATGTTTGTGGCCACTTCTTGGATTGGCTCCTCGAGCCTCAGGGGTCTTCGCAGCAACCCCATTGTTTCGCTTCGTGGATCGGATCATGAGCATATTTTCGCTTAGATAGCCGGATATCTGCTGTCCGCTCCATTTAACATTGAATTCACAAAAAAACATCTGACGGTAGAGAGGTTTTCCTCCTTCTTGCTCGAAAAAGACTACAAGCGGCTGAAGGGTGTTGTGTGAGAAGCAGACACAACCTTATTCCACTGATTCGACGCAAAGGCTTCGAAATAGGCTAAGAAAAGCTTACGCCTCGAAGGAAAGCTTATGCCTCGGTTTCACGGCCTTCGGGCACTCTCTCGACCTTGACGACATCGTCATCTTCTTCCTCGTCGTCGTCCCATGTGAAGTCCTCATCATCGTCCTCGTCGCCCTCTTCGTCTGCAGCTTCCGTCTTCTCCTTCTTCGAAAGGAGCTCCTTTCTCTTCTGCTCACTTGCACGAATCTCGTCTTCTAATCTGAAATAGCGCTTCCAGAAGGTGTCGTATGAGAGTTCAACTGGCACAAGCTTGTGCATAAGTTTCTCCAATGTATCTGGGTACTGCTTTAGCAAATCGGCAATGTCGTTTGTTTTGGACTCCACATCGAATTTCTCTTCGGTGTCCTTGGAGCTGTCCAAAAGGAGGCTCTCAGTTGTGTGCAACTTGAAGAGCTCGCTGTCGAAACGTGTGGAACCGTAATTGCCGCCTGGAAACTTGGGGTTTGTGAAAAGCGTCTCTGGCTCCTTGTCCTCGGGCGTCTCCTTAGGCTCCACAGAGACTATACTGGAGAAGAAAGAGGAGAACTGGCTCACGTACTTGCCGGCCTGTTTCTCCACGTACTCCAAACCAGAGTCTAACGAGTCCAAAGCCGAGTTGGCCTGATTCGACAAGCTTGCAAAGTCGATCTTCTTCTCAAGGCCCTTAACCTGTTCACCTATTTCTTTGAGCTGAGCATCCACAGACTGGACATTGTCCTGGACAAGCTTACTGTTGTTGACATTTTCTTTGGCAGTGTTGAGCTGAGCCACCAAAGCTGCTTTTTTCTCGTCAAGCTTGAGTTTTTCCAGCACGTCTTGAGCGTTCTTGGAGGCGTTGGTCCACAAGGTCTGAAACTTGGCTTCAATGGAGGTGTATGCTTGGTCAATTTCACCTTCAAGACGGTGAATCACCTCTTCTGTTTTCTCGTTGGATGATTCGGTGTTTTTTGTGTCAGCTTGGCCCTCTGGGGCAACGATGGGATCAGATAAGTCCATGATTGTGTGGTTTATAGAAGGGGGTGCTTCCCCAGGTTAAGGCAGTGCGATGGTGAGAGTAGTGCATGCAGTGGCCTGATCCTACCACTTCCTCCACCATGGCTTGGCTTAAACTAAGTGGGATACTAGAAAATCAGGTTTTATAGGAATTGTGATGGAAAGAATTGAATTAGTAGATTCTCATTATTTAACAGCTCCAGCTTGGCCGCCTATCGAATTCTAATCACGTGCTCAAAATCACGCCTAATATAAACACCTCTATATCTTCAGCTACCACCTTCATGTCTTTACTAAAGATACGGAATGCCCTATTCGTGGCAGAGACCAGGAAGCTTGCTGCCCATAAATATGTGTTCCTGAACCCCATTCAAAAGTTTGATATCGAAGAACCAAACACTGGTTCCAAAAAGGCCTTCTTTGCCATTACCGGACCGGAGAAACTGAACTTATTGAATATTATCGCCGCCAAATACATCCCAGAGCCGCCATTGGGCCGGGTGTATCCGCAATTTAATGACATCCATCGCAGTGACCAGATCCAGCACCTCAACTTCAGAGAAAACCTGGGTCTTGATAAAGTTCACATGGCTGCAAGATATGAGTCATATTCGTACAAGGGGGTGCTAGAGATGAAGGACGATGTCAATTCCGTGATCAACTACGTGACCGGCGCCAACAATTACAACAGTAACACCGCTGTCTCTCAGGAAGATGGGTATGTGGAGAAACTTTGCGATTACTTCAACCTTAACCACTTGCGCAATAAGTGGATCAATTCTCTAAGCAATGGGCAGATGAGGAGAGCCAGGATCAGTAAAGCCCTCATCAACAAGCCAAGACTCATTGTTATCGACGACCCATTCCTAGGCCTTGACCCACAAGCCACGAAAAAAGTATCAGACCTGCTCAGGAGGATTGCGTTGGAGCTCAATGCCGGTGTGGTATTGGGGCTCCGTGTCCAGGATCCAGTTCCCGAATGGATCGACAATTTAGGCTACGTCGATGAAAGCGGCTTGACAGTTTGCGGTCCTAAAGTTACGGCCAGCGAGGCCATTGTTGAAAAGCATAAGGATGTGCTCATGTTACACAAAAGGCGCCAGGCCGAGAGTGCTAGAATTGCGTTCAAAGAGGTTGCGCCTGGGGCGGTCAACGAGGTGGTGGATCCCATCGTCGAATTCAACAAAGCCTTCGTAAAGTACAGAGGCTTGGACGTGCTCAAAGATTTCACCTGGAAAATCCAGAGAGGGTCCCGGTGGAGGATTTTGGGCGAAAACGGGCTGGGCAAAACCACCATTCTCTCGCTAATTACTGCCGACCATCCTCAACTGTGGAGGTCTGTGATTTCCATCGATGGAAAGTTGCGCAAAACTGGACAAGGTGTAAGCTACTTCGATGTGAACAACAGGATCGGCATTTCCTCTCCCGAGCTACATGCAACAGTTCCTCCCCGAGCCAAAGCCCTTGATGTGGTGTACAATGGGCTCGTCAGAGACATTGGCAACCTGAACTTCAAGTTCATCTACAAGCACAAGGGACCACTTCCCGACGAAGCGCAAAAGTTGTTGCAAGAGTTTGCGCAAGAGTTGGCTCCGTTGGAGCACAAGCGGTTCTTCGAATTGTCTGTTTCGCAGCAAAAGCTTGTGCTTTTCTTGAGAGCTGCAATTAAGAACCCCGACATCTTGATCCTCGACGAGGCATTTTCATGCATGGACGAGGAGGCTCTAATGCACAAGTGCCACAACTACATTGCCCTGAACATGAAAACTACCACGGTATTGGCCATCGGCCACATTGACTGGGAGGTACCTGCGCATGAGCATGTAATCAAGCTTCATGGCGACCTGCTGCGGCAGTACAGCTTTGCTACAAAGACGACCGGCCCCTGAACCCACAAGAGGAAAAAACAAGGTGGTTTAGAGACGGGAATCCCTACAATGGAGGGGCAGGAACCTTGGGAAAAGGAAGCGGAAACGGCCAATTGTGTACAATTTTCGCTAAGGGATGCCGCTTTGTTGCGCAAATTGGCAGAAACGTTTTTCGCAGCCACCTCTGTTGCAACCACAATAACCAGGAACGCAATTACCCACGAGGCCGAATATAAAAAGGCAGCTATTGCCAGAGCTTTTTTGATTTCTCAACACTCCACCCAAACAGCTTCTCGCCCTCTGCCTTAGCTAGTTGAAATTCCCGTTTTTTTTCGTTCGAATTTCAGCACACAATTGGCCCTCGGCACCCCTATCTACCGTGAGCCGCGAGTGTCTAGAAAACCGCACCTAACCGTGCCAGAATAGCACCAAAAGTCGCACCAAAATTTTACTCGCAATACTGTCTGCTTTGAGCCTTTGCTTGTTGTGCTTCTTTTTTTCTTTCGGCTACCAATCCTCACCAAACCTCCATCGCTCCTCAAGGGACCTCATCAACAGCGCCTTGGTCCTGATCACCAAACCCAAGAGGTAGAAAGAAAATAAGGGGTACAGCTTATCCTAGGCTCTACTACGCGCTTCTACGCTAAACTTAAACATTAACCGTTTCCATCATGTCGGAGAACATTCCTGATGCTCCTATCGATAACAGACCTGACGACGTCAAGGCTGATCTCGAATACGGCAAGTTGACCTCCAAAGACCATTTGTTTGTGTCCAAACACCCAATCGGCGAACCGCTCCCGACCCCTATCGACGATGAACCACCTTTGGTCATTCACTTGGCAACCTTCGTCAGCTACTTGATTTTGATCTTGATTGGCCACATCCGTGATTTTTTCGGTAAGGTCTTCAAGCCTGAGGACTACGCTGACTTGGTGGAGAAAGATGGCTATGCTCCATGGTACGATGGCTTTGAGAACTTCTATGTACGTCGGTTGAAGTTAAGAATCGACGACTGCTTCGCCAGACCCGTCCACGGTGCCCCAGGCAGATACATCAAGTGCTTTGAGCGTGAGAGAAAGGGCAAGAGCTACTCTTACACTGGTGAGTCCAGAGAGTGCTTGAACTTGTCCTCCTACAACTACTTGGGCTTCGCTCAGTCCAAGGGTGTATGCACGGATTACGCAACCAACATCTTGGATAAGTACGGCTCCTCGTCCTGTGGCCCAAGAAATGCCATCGGCACCACCGACTTGCACAGAGAGTGTGAGCTGGTGATTGCTGAATTTGTTGGCAAGGAGGATGCTATTGTTGTGTCTCAAGGTTACGGTACCAACGCCAGTTTGTTTGCTTCTTTGGTCGACTCTTCCTGTCTTGTCATCAGTGACTCCCTTAATCACGCTTCCATCAGATTCGGTATCCGTATCTCTGGTGCTGTTGTTAAGGTGTTTGAGCACAACGACATGGCAGACTTGGAGAAGTTGATAAGAACCCAGATTGCTCAGGGTCAACCCAGAACGCATCGCCCATGGAAGAAGATTATCATTGCTGTCGAGGGTCTTTACTCGATGGAAGGTAACATGGTCAACTTGCCTCGTGTGATTGAATTGAAGAACAAGTACAAGTGTTACCTTTTTGTGGATGAGGCCCACTCGATCGGCGCCCTTGGCCCACACGGCAGGGGTGTTTGTGATTACTTTTCCGTTTCCCCATCTCAAGTTGATATCTTGATGGGTACCTTGACTAAGTCTTTCGGTGCTACAGGTGGTTACGTTGCCGCCGATAAGTGGATCATCGACAAGATGAGATTAACCTACTTCAACAGTACCTTCGGTGAGGGTGTCCCACCCCAGTGTTGGGTCAGATCATTTCTTCCTTGCAGGTTATCAACGGCACGTTGCATCCTGGTGAGGGTGAAGAGCGCTTGAAGAGAATTGCCTTCAACTCCAGATACCTCAGACTCGGATTGAAGAAGCTCGGCTTCATTGTGTACGGTGCCGATGACTCTCCCGTTATCCCATTGTTGTTGTACTTGCCTGCCAAGATGCCTGCGCTCTCAAGAATGCTTTATAACGAGAAGATCGCTGTGGTTGTCGTCGGCTACCCAGCTACGCCTATCGCTACCGCCAGAGCCAGATTATGTGTGAGTTCGGCATTGACCAAAGAGGATTTGGACTACGTTTTGGAGAAGTTCAGTGAAGTCGGTGACTTGTTGCACTTGAAATACAGCAGTGGCATTGCCGGCGGTTCTCGCGAGCCTGGTGTGGCACCACGTATGAGTGTTAAAGAGGTTCTCGAAACCAATGTGGAAGATAGCAAACTTCCTCGTTTATTCTAGATCCGACTCCATAACACCATTCATCACTAATTTCTATTCAGATGCCCATTGGTTCCATGCAGTCTAATAATCGCTAACTCTTCCTGCATCACTGGCCCTGCATCAAAACTCATTTATATATATGATTCATGTATCAGAGACGTTAATTCATTTCCTTATTATGCCATGGTTGAACCAGACCCACTTGTACCCCCTTTAAGATTTAACACCGTCCAGCCCCACTTGCACCGTGGTGGCTACCCTCGGCAAATCAATTTCCCCTTTTTGCTGAGTTTGAACCTCAAAACAATCATATCCCTTACACCCGAACCGATCACTAAAGATACCGATAAAGCCCTTTTCGAATTTGCTGAACAGAGAGACATTCGTCTAGTTCATCTAGAATGTGCTCAATCCGGTAAAGGAAAGAAACGTGGGGTGCCCATGGGCTATTCCACAGTCCTCGAGGCATTGGATTTCATGATACATCAGGAAAATGCGCCCGTTTACGTTCATTGTCTCAACGGTGGGCAAGTAACCAGTCTTGTCATTGCATGTCTTCGGAAATTGCAATTCTGGTCGTCCATTGCTATATTTAATGAGTTCATTAACTTCACCACCAGTATCACATTGAACGACAGAAGCTTTGTGGACAGTTTCAGGGGTGAAATAAGCGTACGCTCAGACTCCAAATGTGATTGGCTCTGGGAAGGTTTGAGCAGGGGCATTGTCGGGAGTCATCCGAACATTAAGGTCACCGAGACTCTGCCCACAAGCCAGGCTGCTTAGATTCTCTGGAAGAATAAACAGTAAGCGCTCTTGTTCATCACTTGGTTCACCTTGCAGTCATATTGAATCTTGGCATCATCGAAATAACACCAATCTTTCCTTTGCTTCAGGTCGCTTGCTTTCTTGACATAGGCAGTGTAATGACCGGTCGTCAAGTTTCCGAAGTGATTGACCACACCATAGAGCTTGTACTTGAAAGGAGGGTCTTGATGCCTTTGTGGAAAAGTGGAAAGTATCTGCAGTTCTTTCGCCGTGTCCATACTCTTGTCTGGGTTAATGTAAGTGCCGACCTGCGGCCAGTATGAAGTCAAATCAAGCGTCTCGTTAACAGGGTATGTAACGAAAGTCTCGAGCTTATTGAAGTGCCCCGACAACAGCATCAGAAACCGCTTAAAATGAATGATTAGGACTCGAGGAAGCCTCGTAATAGAAATTTTCTTCGTCAGCTTGGTGAATCTTTTGCACCTGGGGCAATGCCATTTGTTGTCGTCGTCAAGAAGTTCAGTATCCGTAAAAAGATCTAAGCATTGAGCCAAAGTAACCACCTTGTCCTTGTTGAGTCTTTCCGGGATTGGCAAAGACAATATAGAAAATGCATTGTAAGTTGTGGATGTCATACCACACTCAAGACACTTTAACTGCGACAAGTACTGTCCCTGAAAATAGTCCACAATTACCGAAAAGTTCAATTTGAGATACCTTTCCCATTCTATCGTGGATGCAAGTCTCACAGGAAGCATCTCTCTGGTTTGCTCTTGCTCAGGTGAAAGCTCCATAATTGCAGTTCTCTCCTCGCCATTTTCAACAGCACGTTGATTCAAATCTTCGTGCAACGAGTCGAGCACAAAGTTCAAGAACTCAATGCAATCTTGCTGATCGAATGATGCAAATTGGCGACCTGAAGGTACTGTGCCGATGATCTTTTTGAACTCGTGAGGAGCGAAGTACTTGCCAACATTATTAAACATGTGTGCAAGGAGTTTGACAAAGTTGGTAGTTAAGACACCATTCGTCCCGAGTCTATTCTTCGAGTTTATATGTTGGCGGTAAGACAGACTCATCTGTTTGTCACCTTTCGAAGTTGGAAAAAAGAATGACGTTAGCTGCGGAGTAGCTCCTAGGCACTGAAGTACACAATTCATATAGCATGAGTTGCCAAGGTTCGTCAACCCTGTTGCGAAGTTCTCTAAGAAGGGGTTCGTCTCCGAATTTCCGGTTCTTTGTGGAGAAATAGTCTGATTTTGTGGAGTGAGCGGTTTCTCTTGTGGTACTTTCTCCTTCGGAGGCAACATTGGGGCTGAGGATTCTATAGTGGGTGGAGCCTTCTGTTCCACAGGAGCTGGTGTCCTGATACTTTTCGATGCCTCGTAACTAGGAGGTTGCTGACGTGGTCTGATATAATTGTAATCATTGCTTTGTCTTTCGCTGGACTTCTTGGTAGCAAGTGGTGGCGTTTTGGATTTTGCGCTGGCGAGGTAGTCACCGAAGTTTCTGACGTAAGCTGACTCGGATGTCTTGGCTGACCCGTTCGTTGCGCCATTGGATTGTTGCTTTTTCACCGCTTCATCAGTGCTTCTTGTGAGTGAGCCTTCTCCAAATGTTGAGTACCACCTTTCAAGGCCTCCGTTCAAATAGACCGGGTACTGTTTAGGTCTCGAGCTGAGGTACTCTGATCTGTACATCAACAAGTCAAGAATGTCTTTGAAAGGATTCTTCGACGGAATGCCTTTTGAGTCATTATTCAAGAGCAGAAACTCCAACGCCTGGAACTTGTCGTTCCCTATGCCTCCGAACCGGAGATTGTAAGCCACGATGAGATCAAACCTCTGTCTGCTTTGAAATAGACGGAGACTTTCAGCGTCAAGGTTCAATACATTCTCTAAATCTTTGTCGGTAGCCTGTGGTTTCTCCTGTAGCAATGCAGATACTTTAGAAGGCTCTATGTTCACAACGTTCAGGAAGTTGATATGACTGTAAGTAAACTCCTTTTTGCTCCTGAAGTCCAAGAGAAGTACATCATCAGGTCTTGATCGTATGAGATGATTGAGTTCATAAACCGATAGCGAGTCAGCGTACAAGAATCCTTGAAATGATGACGCTACTGGAGCCTCTGAGACCCCAGTTTTGAGGTTGGCGAATCTCATGAGAAGTGGGTCAGCAGAGTCCGTCTCACTCTTGTCTTGGCCTGATATCTGATCTAGTTTCTGCTCAATTGCGAGGAATTTGCTCTGGTTAATTTGGAGCTGATTGTTGATCTGCTGAGTTATAGGTTTCATTTCTTGTGTAGCAGACGGAGCAAGGTCTGATGCTAGGAAAATATTAGTTATATGAGCCACACAAGCCATAGAAAGATCACAGTATCCCAAAGCATCGAACCTCTTGCTTTCATACTTGAAGATCTCGAGTAAGGTGATCTGGAAGTCTACAAGATCTTTTATCTTGGAGGCTCCTTGTTGTAGATTGTTGGAAAGGCCCTTCAGAATTTGCCGCAGTTCCTTTAGGGAAAAGCTGGTTTGAGCATCGGGCTTGCTCATGACTGGATTTGAGGATGCAGTTGTCTATTAGTTATCTGTGGAGCTAGAATGTAGATACAATTGTGCATATGTGCACCCGTGCACCACGTATTATAAGCTGATTGATGAAGCTTTTTGATGACCAGACCCAGAAGGGTGAATAGATATAGGCTAATTTGAAATGCTATTCGGCTTGGTAGCAAACACAAAACTATTCTCAAAAATATTACGTTCTTATAAGATAACACTAGGATAAAACTCACTTTGAGACAACATTTGCAGCCATTGTAACCCACCACGATAACTAATTCATTTCGGAAAGCTCTGAATCTCCAAATTTAAATACGTATTCACTAACATTTAAAAATTGATCAAAAAGTTCCCTATCGCTGGGGACACAATTCACCGGAACTCAGCCTACCTTATACCTCTACCATATCGCGCTTTTTTTCAACTACACCATCATCTCAACTATGGCGAACTCAGATTTCGACATCAAGCAAACCTACTTGAAGTTCTTGGAAGATGACCAGGATATGACAATGCCTATTGCGGCCATCGAGTCGCTAGTGACAATGCTTCGAGTGAAGCAGCCATCCACATCATCAGAGTTGATCAACCTTGTCAAATCGAACATCGATATCTTGAAGCTGTCGATATCCAATGCCATCTCGCTTTCGGCAGGCTGTGATTTATTCATGCGTTTTGTCTTGAGAAACACAAACTTATACTCTGACTGGGAGTCCTGCAAGAAGAACCTTGTGGAAAACGGTGAATTGTTCGTGCAGAGAGCCAAAGAGTCCAGAGAAAAGCTGGCTGACTTTGGTGTGCCTTTCATCAAAGACGACGATACCATCCTTGTGCATTCCTTCTCTCGTGTGGTCTTTCAGCTCTTACAGAAGGCCAGATCGCAAAAGTTGTTGAGATTTAAAGTCATCGTTACTGAAGCTCGTCCTTCAGGAAAGGGTTACCACATGGCCAAACTACTTAGAGAAGCTGATATTCCTGTTGAAGTGATTGTGGATAGTGCTGTTGGCTATGTGCTCCACAAAGTCGACAAGATCCTTGTCGGTGCAGAAGGTGTAGCTGAGAGTGGAGGTATCATCAACCACATTGGCTCGTACCAGATTGGCTGCTTGGCCAAAGCAAACAACAAACCTTTCTACGTGGTCACTGAGTCTCACAAGTTTGTTAGATTATTCCCCTTGGCACCAAACGACTTGCCCAGAGGCATTTCATCTATTCTAGACGAACAGGGCTCCGGTGAGACCGAAACATTGGAGGGTACCCTCAAGACCCAAACCATCGACTTCACGCCTCATGAATTCATTACTGCACTCATCACCGATTTGGGTGTTTTGACGCCGTCTGCGGTGTCCGAGGAGTTGATCAAGATGTGGTACGATTAAGACGCCGCGATTTCATTGAGCATTTGCTGAAGATGCTCCGGGTCGTATCTGTCCTCTTCGCCACTCTCTCTTCTTATTTTAATGCATTGGATGTTCTTCTTCTCGAGGAACTCCTCGTCAACAGCGATTCTAGGGTTCTCCATGAACACAAGATGGGTGACGAAGTTGCACCACTTGAGATGTTGGTGCTCCTGGTGAGACTTGTCGAGTGAATAGTGAGCCAGCTTGATAATAGTCTCGATGTACTCAACAGCAGACATACCGTATGTCTCTCTATCCTCGCAGCCGTTCAATAAGAGTATACGCTTTTTGCCTGGCCTAAAGTCATAAGCAATCGCCTTGCAAATACCTTTCAATACCAAAATCGGCACAATACTTGTCATGAGTGAGCCAATTGAGTACACAAGCGTCTTTGCGTTCGAGATGCTGTTGATGACTCGAGTCAGGGCCACTGGGCAGATTTCCTGGCCATGCGGACTGATATAAAAGATGCGCTCAATGGGTGAAAGGAGAGGCTCGATCCCTTCGGTTTTCTGGAAATGCAATTGAGACTTTTTAAGCTCGGGATGAGTGTACTGCGGGATATTCCCAAGCTCCTCGTCATCAGATGAGAGCACAGATTCCTCGGATTGTGCCTCTATACTAGTATCAACGTGTTTGAAGAACTCGTTGTTTTCATGCGTAGGCGTAGGAGGTCTTGTCTTGTTGATTGGTGGAGGATACACCTCGTCAGGCGAAGGGTGGGAGATCTGAGACTGACCTGTGATAATGAGACCATTGATCAAAAGTGCTCCAATGTGGTAGCTGAAGTTCGTGCTGATACATGGCATAACTTGAATGGAGTTGTCGATGCCGGTCAATTTCTTGAATAGCTCGATGGCGGAATCCAAGGACCCTATGAATAGACGAATCCCCGTAAGAAACAAGTTCCCCACATTGGCCAACTCGTACCTAAACTTCTTGTTTGTGTTGCTTGTTACAGTCAACTTGGATCTTTTTAGAAGCTCTACGTGCAAGTGTATCAAGAATGCTCGGAGAATCTCTTTGGTGGCGCTGTCGATATCCTTCCATAGGTGATGTGTTCCGTCCACGATCTCATTCCACTGATTCTTTGCCTCCACCGGATCTGCCTCCAACCTGAAACTTAACAACTTCTTGAGAGGTTCGTTTTCCGGAGGTATTAGTCTGGTAAGTCTCGACCGTATATCACCAATGGCTGGTCCTCCTATGACACGTATAATCTCTGAAGTGGAGCCTCCGTTGTCCAGAATGGGTAACACATAAGTCACGTCGGCTGAAAGGGAATTGAAAACATGCACGATATCGTTTGTGGCTGTGCCGCCGCTGAATACCACCACTGAGTTGGACATGGAAAGAAACACGAGATAACAAGTCCGATGTTTGTGTACTGTATGAACTGATAAGGTGGACATTGGGGCGATCGTATGAGGTGGGGTAGAAGTCTTTATTTAGAAGGGTGACTCTTTATTTAGAAGTGTAACATTGAGGTTGTAATAAGATGAGTTGGAATTTGATTTGATATCTTTGAGTATGGAGTTGCAATAATTGGGCTCAATTTGCAAAACCAATGTTGTGGGTTTACTAGTCGTTTGGGTATTTCGCAGCCATTCCGTGCTTGAAAGCTTCATATCTAAGAAAGGCATGTTTTTGAGCTCTGAATCCCTATGACCTCTTTATAAGAGAAGATCTCATATTCCAGACAGTCAGACAGCTTCTATCTACCATTTGAACGAGCATCACGTCGTATGTGGTTTCTCAACTCTTGAGGGTATGGGTTTGTAGGTGAACAATTCGAATTGGCCGACTTCACAACAAAATCGAAATGCACTATTACCTATGAATTTTGGTAATTACTTTGGTCATTTGGGTTAGTCTAAAGCTGTTTCGCCTTACTCTCATAGCAGGAGGTGTGCCTCTGGCGGTGTCAGCATTTGCACCCAAGTCAATGCCCAACCAAAGACTCTTTTTTTTTTCAAAAAAGCTATTCTAACAAACTTTGAGAGAGAAATTGTCATCTTTTATACTTTTTTGCTACCCCGAAACCCATACCCATCTGTATTTGCATCCCAGTGTTCCTCTCATACTTTCGGCAAAAGCAGTCACTGAGACAATGTGTAATGCCGAGACCGGAACAGGCGTAGCCCTGAGCACGGACCCAAGCGCGGGCTCCCTAGGTTTTGATCACGTGACGTATCAAATTTTTTTACTGCTCAATTTTGCACCCATTTTTTCCACTCCATCCCCACTACAGTATAGTAATGTCTGATCAGGAAGTTTTGGTTTTGAGAGGCACCCTTGAGGGCCACAACGGTTGGGTCACTTCGTTGGCCACCACCCAGTCCAAGCCCGACTTGCTCTTGTCCGGTTCCAGAGACAAGACCTTGATCGCTTGGAAGTTGACCGGTGACGAGGCCCAGTACGGTGTGCCAAAGAAGTCCTTCATTGGCCACTCCCACATTGTCCAGGACGTCACCATCTCTGTTGACGGTGCTTACGCTTTGTCTGGTTCTTGGGACAAGACCTTGAGATTGTGGGACTTGGAGACTGGTGAGTCCACCAAGAGATTCGACGGCCACACTGGTGACGTCTTGTCTGTTTCCATTGCCTCCAACTTGAGACAGATTGTGTCTGCTTCCCGTGACAAGACCGTCAAGGTCTGGAACACCATCGGTGAGTGCATGCACACCTTGTCTTCCCACAAGGACTGGGTCTCTGCCGTCAGATTCTCCCCAGACAACAAGACCAACACTGTGATCTCTGCTTCTTGGGACAAGACTGTCAAGGTATGTTTTTACTTTTTTTCCTCCGTGAGATGATGTTTCCATATTTGCTACTTCAGACGGTTCGCCGAATGAGACTTCTTAATCACCAAGATCTCTGATCCTCACATCTCTCTTTTTTCAACCTTTTACTAACATTTCTAGTCCTGGGACTTGAACAAGTACGAGCTCAATGCCGACTTCATTGGCCACACCGGCTACATCTCCTGCATCACCATCTCCCCTGACGGATCCTTGAACGCTTCCGCCGGTAAGGACGGTGTCATCATCTTGTGGGACTTGAACTCCAACGAGACCTTGTACACCTTGAACGCCGCTTCTGAGGTCCACGCTTTGGCTTTCTCTCCAAACAGATACTGGTTGGCTGCTGCCACCGCTTCTGGTATCAAGATCTTCAACTTGCAGGAGAGAACCTTGTTGGACGAGTTGAAGCCTGAGTTCGCTGTCTCTGCTAAGGCTAAGGACCCAGAGGCCGTCTCTTTGGCTTGGTCCGCTGACGGCCAGAACTTGTTCGCCGGTTACACCGACAACAAGATCAGAGTTTGGCAGGTCATGACCTCTTCCGCTTAAGAGGTCGGTTTGTAAATTTTAGTCAATTAAAAATTTAAGTGCTTAATTAGTCGTAGTTTCAGGTGAAGAGGTTGAGCTTTCCGCTTGAGGTGCCTCCCACTACCCAGTTTTGTGATGGATGGAAGGCTACTGAAGCCGGGACAGCGGTCATCTCCTCGTCGTTGAGATGTGCAATCATGTTGCCACTCTCGTCGTAGACGTCTATACTGCGGTTCATGTTGGCAATGGCAAACTTTTGGTACTGATCAGCAGGTGTCTTTTGCCATTTCGCTTTGAGAATTGACACCCATCGCCCTGTCTGACAGTTGTGGGTGATGGAATTGAAAGGTTTGAGGTTGTCGGGAATTGAGTCAGCCTTCTTGCGGACCTCTGGTTGATAGTTCTTGGCCCACTCTTGCACAGCAGTATAAGGCTTTCTATTACCGCTGAAGTCAAAGAGCTTGATTCTATCATCATAGCCGTTGCACACCAAGTGGTCATTGCTGTTCCAGTCGACTGTAGAAATGGAGAGACGACTCGTGTATGATCCATACAAATGGGGCGCCCTGGCCTTCTCGAACTCAGAGAGCGAGTTGGCTTTCGAAACGTTTCTTAAATCCCATACTCGTAAAGTTCTATCCAACGACGCCGTTGCGATTTGATAGGACAAATTCGGGCTCACGGTGAACCCGCCAATCTTTTTATCGTGCAACCGTAGAAAGTCGTTGTTTTTCATGCCTTTAAATGGCAGACGCATGTCATGTTGGTAATAACGACCCTCTAGAGTGGTCAAATGCAACAAATTTGGCTCGGCTAACAGAACGTTGATGTCTGATACTCCGATAAGGTCGTCAGAAACGTCAATGTTCAATACCTCCGTTGATTTGAGCTGCTTAATATCGAGCTTCCTTACTGATCCATCGTAGGAGCTTGTCAAAAGCTCGGCCGCGTTGGTGTTGTTGTGGATAATCTTGGAGATTGACCGTCCGTGGGGCTTCAAAATGGTGATCTGTGCCTCCCCGTCTTCGGTGCTTTCATCCACCGACCAAAGACCGAGACTTCCGTTCGTGTCGCCGGCCGAAACCAATCTATCAGTTTCTGCAGGGTGGAAGTGCATTGTCGTGATTCGGTTGTAGGATGCTTTGGTGGAAGCAGGGCTGACCTTGCGATAAAGCTCCACCTTCTCGAATTCCTTCCTGACCTTCTTCAAGTCCAGACTCTTTCCCTGCTCCCTTTGTTTGATCTGTTCAAAGAAGTCTCCTGCTGAGTACTTCTCTCCAAGATTGAGCAAGAAGTCCAAGTTATCTGAGTCCATGTCCTCCTCCTTCACGTCCTGTTCCTCCTCCTTGACGTCACCAGAGTCTTCATCCTTGACGGCGTCCTCCATTGACTCGTCTTTCACGTCCAAAACGCGTTCCTCGTGCTTGAGGTGGCCCAGCTGGCGATCAAGAATCAAATCACCAAGCGTGAAGTCGCCTGTGAGCTTCAACAGACGCAATGCCTTGAGCTTCTCCTGTCTCTCTCGAGCCCTTTCTTCCTCCAAGTTAATTTGTTGCTCTTCTTCGGTCCACTCATGTGGTGCAGCTAGTCTCCTAGACCTTCTCGTGGGTATGGCAGGTTCCTTGGGTGGAGCCTTGGGTCTCCTCTTCGGTTTGGTCAGTTCCTTCTTGACGCGCACATCATCTGCAATTGACTGGTTGAGAGCATCCAAATTGAGTTTCTTGAGCAAGCCCTGGTTTCTTTTGATATTCTCTTTTCGGAGCTTTTCCAAATCAGTCATAGCGTTATGGCCTTGCTATTTTCGCGATCAATGCGTAGGTGCGTAGTTAACGGCTCGTAATATATCAGCACAAAGATAGAGGCTGCCGCAAGCAACCACTTTTCTGTCGTCACCTTGAGTTTTGAGCTTTTTCAAATATGCGAAAAGTTCATCGGTGTTGCTGATACCGGTTTGCTCCAATTCAGCATACTTTTTAGCCTCTTGACCCACGTACTCTCTACTATAGCTGTGGACCCAGGGCATACCTTCAGGTTGCAGGAACTCCATGGGAATGACCTTATCTCCCGGTCTGACAATGAACTTGAGAAGGTTTTCGACGGATTTGCCCTTTGTAAGTGCAACAACAAAGATAATGCCTTTGCCCTCTCTGTAGCCATCTAGGAACCCTGCCAACTCAATGGCAGCGCTTTCGTTATGGGCACCATCGATTAGTAGTTCAATGCCAGTTTTGGGTTCCTTGATCGTCTGAAGCCTTCCTGGCCAGGTGGTGTTCTTGATACCTCTCTTGATCGCCTCATCACTGATCTGAAAAGAGTGCTTCTCTTTGAGTAACGAGACAATTTCCAATGCCACCGCCAAGTTCTGCTCCTGGTAATTACCCTTCAATGGCGAAAGTTCAATGAGCCTCCTCGTCAAAGCAGTGGATGTCACTTCATGCAATGGAGAGCCTTCCTCGCTCGCCTTGGCCCGAATAGCTTCCATTGCGTCTCTGTGATTTGTCAGATCAACCACACAGTCAACTCCCTTTTTAATGATCCCTGCCTTTTCACTGGCGATCTGATAGATGGTGCTTCCAAGAAAAGACTCGTGGTCTATGCCCACTTTTGTGATTCCGCTCACAAGCACGTCATCTTCTGAAAGAACATTGGTAGCATCAAGCCTGCCCCCGAGGCCCACCTCCACAAGAGCCAATTCCAATTGCTCCATGGCAAAGATCATGAATGCTGTGCAAGTCAAGATCTCGAATTCCGTGCATCCAATGCCATTGTGGTCGTTATGTTCCTGAACTTGCTTCTTCACCTTCTTAAAATCATCCATAGGAAGAATGTTTCTGTTGATGGAGACACAGTCGTTCACCAGCATGGTATGTGGGGATGTGAAGCGACCATGACGTATATTGGCCTCGCTGAGTATGGACGATAGATAAGCTAAAGTGGAGCCTTTCCCGTTGGTACCAGCCACATGTACACACCTAATCCTGCGTAGATTAGGAAGAAGGTCGAGAAGTTTTCGTACCCTGCTGAGGCCTAGCTCTATAGACATGGTAGTTGTAGTGCGAATCATGTACATCTAAATCTACATCTACATACATCAACAACTCCGACAATGTCCCAGGACAACGGCTTCATACAAAAGAGACTAGATTCGCTCAATGAGATCGACAATAATATCGTCACCTTGCTTGATAATATTGGATCGGTTTTCAATGCATATGTTGAACCCAGCACACTGGAGGTGCAAGATCTCACCAAGACCAAAGAGAAGTTTGTCGAGGGCACTAAGCTGATATATCTGCTTCTAGGCAGCATAGCAATTGGGCTTCGAAAAGAGGTGAAGATCATGGACGAGAATATCGGCGTCTACGACAAAAACGAGGAGAATGTCATGATATTGCCTATTAGTGTAGACCAAAAGCACACTACGCTAGGGCGTGACAGGCTTGAAAAGGAGGTGAGAAACATGGAGCAGCTTGTTGGACGCTTCCCGGAAGGCTCCTCCACGAAAGAGGAGGAGAAACCGAAAGAGGACGATGCAATGGACATTTCTGAGCCAAAAGCAGAGGAGCCTACAGAAAAGAAGGAATCGACACAGCCCGAAGAGCCCACTGATATTACGATAGACTGATCTTGTCAATTTTCCGAAATGCATTGACTTATATCTGCTCGAGGTACCCCTGTTGGATCAAGCGGTCCACGTCTGACTTCCTCACATAGAACTGGGAATCCTTGATGAGATTGAACACTCCATACTCCGTCTGCACTTCACCGCCGTCTTTGAGGACACGGACGTCGATGAAGATGTCGGAGGGCGGCTCGAGGTCGCCAGAAAGGTCTATATCTGCAAATGACGACTTGAAGTCGAGAATGAGGTCCTGGTATTGTTTGTAGTACTCCTGCTCAGGATTCAGGAGATTATCTAGTGCTAGCTTTGTGGTACCCATAGAATGAAGTAGGGATTCTCCCTTCGACCCTGCCGGCGTAGCGTCCGTTGACGTAACAGGGTCAATGTTGAGCCACAGAAACTCGTTGATCTTGTCAGCTCGTAGCTTTTGGTGAGCTAGTAAGCATCGCTTATTTCTTCTCATGAACAACAGTCGAACAAATATCTGGCACTGTGCGATTCTTCTTTCCTCTTCTGACGCATCTGCTGGAAAGAGCTCTTGCTCGTTGAGAAAGTCAACATCGCTTTTGAGGTCTGAGATTTCCAGGACAATATCCTTGACCAAATCTAGCTGGTATAGAGGTACTTCTGCGAGGTTCGACGTTCTCTTGGCGTCTAGAAGGAGCTTGTGGCCCTGATCGCCATACATTTTTGGAGTAGTAGCTGAACGCGGTGAACTGCGTTTGGTGTAGTACGCGAGATATACTCATGGCACGAATTTCAACACCAAGTTTAGGTTTGGTGAAATTGAGGGGAAAGTTTCGATACTTGACCTATTTAAGTCACTTTTATTCTGTTTGCATTGTGTTTCGATAGAATAATTGATTTTTGTAGACATTGTTACTTTTAGGAATTGGTTGCAAAACCGCGTTGCACTTGCAAATGCCGAAATTCTGACCATTTTTCAGACTACGAGGTGAATACCAAAACAAAAGAAAAACTTGAAAAAGGAAAAACCCATCAAAAACCTATCTTTTCAAGAATTTGCTCTCACTAATTTCCTCAAGAAATCAAAATCTATCAAACACGCCGCCATCGTCTTTTACCCATATCAGCTTGGCCTCTGCGACCTGTACATGTAGCACCACATCAACTACCATGTCTTTTGACATCAATTGGGATAAGCTTGTGGAAGACAACTCCATAAATGAGTCTGTACGTGAGTTTCTTGATAGACAGCTAAATCAGCTTCAGCTTCCTTCCTACATTGACAATCTCACGGTTACCGAGTTCTCGTTGGGCTCCAAAGCTCCAGAACTCACGATACGACATGTGGGGGACCCCTTTGACGAATTCTACGAAGAAGGCTCAGACAATGAAGAGGAAAAGAACCCTATGCTGCCAGCAATGAGCGATCTGGACACAGAATCTGACGATAGTGAATATGGCTACGATGGACATACGACTCTCAATGAAACAGGCCTACGAGAGACATTAAGAGACATTCCACCTTCTCCACCACCAATGCCACATGATCCACGAGATATCTTGAAAAACTTCCACGCATACTCCATGAACAATGTTGGACTTACGCACATATCACTGATGAATGAGTCCGAGACACCAACCAATATATTTGCACAGAATCCACTTCGTCCTGCCATTACCCTGGCTCAAAAAGCAGTCAAAAGAGATAGCAATGATTTGCAAAGCATTATTGAAATAGACTACGAGGGAGACCTGACGATGGAGGTAACAGTGAATTTGCTTGTCAACTACCCCTCTGCACTGTTCATTACGCTACCGATCAAACTTCACATTACAGACTTGGTCATTCACTCCTTGGCAGCGGTAGCTTACCTTAAAAAAAGCATATTTGTATCCTTCTTGTGCGACCTCAACGACACAAAATCGGAATATTTCACCAAGTCGAACGCTGGCACGGAAGGATCATCCAACACACCATCCGCGGGAGGCAACTTTGTCGACTACTCTTCGCCTATAAATCATGAGCGTATCGACGTCATCAAGTCGGTCAAGATTGAATCTGAAATAGGCGAGCTAGGCAATAATGTGCTTAGAAATGTGGGTAAGGTAGAGCGTTTCTTGGTCGACCAGCTACGCAAAATAATACGTGAAGAGATAGCATGGCCCAGTTGGGTCTGCTTCGATCTCAATGAGGACTCTGATGAAGAGGATGAGGAGGATTCCGAAGAGGAAGCTCCTTTAGATGCTGAGACATAATACACATAATCGATAATGCTTATATCTTGTAATTTCGTTACATGAGCGTGGTACGGCCACCAACTTCGTTACTGGCACTTCCATCAGGCATCGTACCGTCTCTTCCAGTCAAGAACTGAGTGTAGACACGCTGGAGTTTCTTCTTCTCGGAAGCAGAAATCGAGGGCTTTGTTTCCTTCAAACTCTCGATGAAATGTTGTTGAGTGAGAACAACTTTAGAGTTCTCCTTGCTCTCTGACGTCTTATCAGTCTTCTTAGCGTTGGTCTCCTCTTCGAACAATTTTTCGATCTGCTGAAGGACCTTGACCTTTTCAGCAGGTCTAATTTTTTGATTTTTGAGCTTCTCGGAGTTAACCTGGAAAAAGTCGAAGGATTTTTCGTCTTTGCTTGTGTCAACAGTGAGAGCCTCATTAGCAGCCAACTTCTCGTGGACAGCCTTAAGGTAGGCATTGTAGCCCAAACCTTGCATATCAGCACCACTGAAACCACCTGTCTTTTCGGCAATGTCTTCAAGATTCACATCTTTGCTCAAGTCCATCTTTGCACTAATACATTTCAAAATGTCGAGTCTGTCATCGAAGTTTGGCATGTCGCAAATGATACTCTTATCAAGACGACCTGGACGTAACAACGCCGAATCAATCAAATCCGGTCTACTTGTAGCAGCCAAGACGTAAACACCATCGAGACCTTCAGCACCATCCATTTGTGTCAACATCTGGTTAACAACTCTATCCGTGACACCAGTAGAGTCATGACCTCTCTTTGGAGCAATGGAATCGAACTCGTCAAAGAAAAGAATGCATGGTTTGGCTGACTGAGCACGCTCGAAGAGCTCTCTAACCGACTGTTCAGAAGCACCGATGTACTTGTTTAAGATTTCGGGACCCTTGATGGAGATGAAATTAAGTCCACATTGGCCTGCAATTGCACTGGCAAGTAATGTCTTACCACAACCAGGATAACCGTAAAGTAAGATACCAGATCTCAAACGCAAGGGACAGTTGGCAAAAATAGGTGCATATTTTGTGGGCCACTCTAAAGTCTCTAAAAGCACACGCTTCGCTTCGGTTAAGCCACCAATGTCTGCCCAACTGGTTGAGGATTTCTGCAACTTCACGCCTCTCAAGTTGGAAGGCATGAAACCCAGAAGGGCCTTCTCAAAAGAAGCTTTATCAACTGTGTACTGGTCCTTTTGCTCAGAAGACGCAGCATTGAACAAGCTTTCATGGAAGATACGATCACTCAAGAGCTTCAAATCGTTAGGTAGGTAACCCTCTGTCTCAGAGACAATGTCCATAAGGTCAAACGTAACTTTGCAGCCAAGCTTCTTGATCAAATATTCTTCCAAAATGGTAGCACGAGCAGCTTTTTGTGGTGGGCTCAAATGGTGGTAAGATTCGATGAGGTGCATCATACCAAGAAGCTTATTGAAGGCCTCTTTGGAGATACCCGACACGATCAAGGAAAGATTGGTATTGTTTTGAGAGTGAATTTTTTGGATTTGGGTGATGAGGAACTCGGAAAGTTGGTTGGATAAGGTAGAGTCGCCCTGCTCGACCTCAGCTGATAAGACCTTGTCAAGGTTATCTAAGATCAAGACAGCGGGGTCATTCCATGAACAGTCCTGAATCCATTTTGTAAAGTTTGCACTAAGTTGATCATAGTTTTCGTTCATAAAGCTCTCGCAAGACACGAGTTTGGTGTGAACTCCGTGGTCCTGGCCAAGCTTTCGAGCAATCCATTTGAGTAGTAACGTTTTACCACTACCAGAAGTGCCGTGAAGCATAATGCCCGAGTTAGGGAAGGTCGTCACATAGTCCACAATTTCTTCGATGACATCGTTTGAGCCGTAAACCTCTTCAAGAGCTTCAGGCTCCTCAATTTCCAAGAATGACGCGCTCCGCAACACTTCCTCGCCAAGCTCTAGCTTTGGTGGCGTTCTTGAACCTTTGAGCTCGTATGGTTTGATCCATGCATGCGTATCACTGTTCTTCTTGAACTCTATAATGGCCCGAGTGGAAGAATGGCGGGGATTGACGGTATTTTCAGGAAGTTTGTGATTGGAGAATTCGTGATGGACACTTCTGGGTCAAACAAGATCTTGGTGATGTTTTGTGCAAGTGCCTGATTCTTTTGTGCTTTCGTAGATGAGTTGAGCTGGATGGAATCTGTCTTTTTGGTTTGAGTGATGTAAGGGTGGATTATTATAGTGGACGGACGCTTGGCAACGTGCTTTGGGGCCAGCCTGACGGCAACCTTGAAACCGATTTTGTGCTCCACATTGAGAGCACAGGCCAATTTTTGACTGAGCCCCACAGTGTTGGCAGGGCATTTGGGCGAGTTGACCAACTTGGCAACGATTGTTTTGTTTTCGGTGGCCTTGACACTTTGTTTGTCTTTTTTCTTCTCGTCCAGCGGCTGCTCGTCAGCAGGAGCAGCGTTGAATTTTGTGTCTGGACCTGGAAGGACAGAGACGGTGACGTATTCAGCACGGTTGAAAGCATGAAGCACTTCCTCAAAGTTGACGAAGAGAGTGTATCCGTCATCGCTTTCCTTAAATAGCTGATTCGGAAGAGAAATACCTCTCTTCAACACCGTGGGACCCAAGGAAACCTCATCCACGGTCAGTCTTGACGACCTGCCTGACTTCACCGACTGGGATGAGGATCTCTTTTTCTCTCTCAACTTTGGGGCAATGCTGATCTCAGCGTAAGGGTCTATAATAGCGTAGGTGTGCTCTGTCGAGCCAATATCCTTAACTTGAAGTTTCACGGACGATGTTTTCGTCGGGTAGACCACCAAAACCTGACCGACAGCCACACATCTCGACTGTTCAATCAACTTTGATTCGATGTACGCCGCGTGGAGCTCCACGAGCTCCCAGTCCGAAGAGTGTTCAGGCTCCAAGAAAATGGAGGAAGCCTTGAAGTTTCTGATCTTGACGTTCACAGTGACAAGCTGCTTTTCGGCCAAGCGCAACGACTGCGCCAAAATCGAGTCTATGCCCAAGTTCCGGGCACCTCCAGCGCTCATTCCAGACCAGCCCACATAGCACTTGTTTTGAGCCTGAGTGACGAGTTCGACCACCACCTCTTGAGGCGAAACATTGGCGTTATAAAGCAACGACAGCAAGTTGGCGGGCAAATCCACCAAGTTGTTCCACAGCTGGCGGAAGACGATGTTGGCAGCGGAGCCTTCCATGGTAGTATATGTGGATTGGAAGAAGTGGTTGATGAAAACTGGGGAAGTCTTTCACACGCAGTGCAGGACCGAGGTTGAGACGGTGGAGGACAAGGGTATGAGGAGGAGATAAGGACTAGCGATTATTTAAATAAATACAGAAGGCCTGTGAATCTGAGCTGGTAACAGATTCGTTTTCGAATCCAGATTTATTGAAGAGTCGTTTTTGTGTTGATTCGGTGGATGGTCTGTGATTCATCATGGCTGCGAAAGTTTGTGGGGGAGCATGTGGTGACAAGGCATACTGGTTCGATGGAAAGAAGGTCGATTTTTTTTTGAACTAATTCAGCAAGAAGGTATTGATTAAACCCACCCATTTTTGTATTTAGTATTTAATTGCTTCTGTTATTGGTGGCTTTGTGGGGTACCGTTATGACTGATAGGTGACGCACATGGACTGCTTCGAGGCAGGCCTCGGACATAGTGGGGCAGCCTGTTTGCAACCATTTTCCAACGGAAAAAAGTGTTAGGGTTGGAATTAAATTACTCCACTTTTGAAGAATCAAGCTCTGCTTGTGCTTTTAAATTCTTTGTAGCATGTCAGGTAAAAGGAATACTTTCAACGGAATGGTGGCCATGACTCCGGAGCTACTATATTATGATGTCGACGATGGAGTCGGACCACCGAGAGAGGAGAAAAAAGGAAACATTGCAACGTTTCTTATGTGAGGCTTTTGGGAGAGTTCAGATCGACAGCTATGCTACCAATGATGCATTCTACTATGGCCGTTTGTCGAATCCACGTATGGCACTTCCTGGAAATCACACTTTTCTCTTTTCGCGTTATGTATTCAGCGTCATCAAGGGTCGACTTCTCTTAACTGTCTATGTACAAATGCCAGAAGCCATCCCTCTTTGGTAGCTCCAAACGTCTGATGCAATCTTTCATGAAAACCTAAGCAAGAGTTGAGGAAATGAAATTCTTTTTCAGCTTTCGCAAACCTCTCACTTCCGCTGAGTCTCGTTGAACTTCTCCAAGGCATCGTCATTCTCTTGTCTGTCATCAATCTTATTCTGCATCCTAACCTGGTTGGCCTGCTTAGCCTTCTCAACATTCTGGAAAGATCTTCTTCGTATCGAGCGACATTGCTCAAATCCAATCACAGATCCAAGGAAAAAGCCTCCAATTCCAATGTTCACTGATCTGCCAGGACTCTTATGAATCAAGAGTGTCACCACACCCAAAACACCCATAGCAGAGAAACCTGTGAGCATGGCTTCCCTGAAACATGGCATTGTGACATAGTTATCTATGGTGAAGTCACTAAGACTGATCTTGTTGATGGCCGCTAGGTAGGTAGCCTCATCTGGACGCTTTGTCTCGTTATCCTCAAACTTTGGAGGTAAGTCCTCAAGGAACGTTTGTTCTTTCTTTTCAGGTACTTCGCTAACAGCAGAAACCCTTGAAGGCGAGCCTCCAAACCACCCCATCTTGGTTGTGTAGGCTTGATGTAATGCGCTCACACCGATGAGTGCCACTAGATTTCAGCACGTGATGCCAACATGATACAAAAATGACTTGCGGTCGTTTGATTGCTTGTAGTTGGATATAAAAAGAAAAAAAATATGTATCTAACGAGATTCCAATAATATGGTGAACTGGGAGGAAAAAAAACTAGCGCAGCCAGGTTTCGATCCTGGGACATCAGGGTTATGAGCCCTGCGCGCTTCCACTGCGCCACTGCGCTTGCTAGTGGTGGTAAAGTAGCGCTGGTATACTATATACCCTAGAATATAAGAGCTATCAATTTGATAATATTTGATCATTTTAATACTTTTAAGTAATCTGGAGCATTACACATACAAAATTTGAGCCATTTTGGGCCAAAATTGAGGGAGATATTGCTTCTTTTCCTTCTAGATTTTTCATTCAAACTCGAAGGCTAGAATTTCTGAGGCTAGAAGAATTAAAGAGAGAAGAGCTTTACGTCGAGGGTTAATTTGGGTTGGAAACATGAAAATTCATCGTTGATATACTGCTTTGAGAGGTAGGGTAGGAAAGCGCCTTGTGAAAATTACCTATAGAGGAGCTTCTTGGTCACCAAAGACAAAAGGTTTAATCTAGGGATGACACATGTATTCACCGGACTTGAAAATACCTTCATATCCTGGTCTAACAACTGAAATTTGAACTTTGAGTGAGGACCTGGAGAAAAATCGATGGTTCCAATAACTGTCGAAGTCTAATAAATCACGATTGAAGAAAATACGAATCAAATGTTGACCTATTCATATCCTTCTTTTTTGTTTCTTCAGGAATTTTTCAAAAACGTTCTTCCACTACTTGGTGTCGCCTGCACAATCCACCTACGCTTGAGGCTACAGATTTCTGATACTACCTTATTCTCAGAACACCGAAAACCCACACACAAATGATCGACGACCTTTTACTTGATCCCCAGCTTAAGTACTGGATGTTGCTCCCCATCACGGTTGCCATGGTGCTCGTGGGGTTGTTGAGAGCTAATGTGACCTACCTTCTTACCTCCAAACCCAAAATTGAACCTGTGAAGAATGCAAGAGAAAAGTATGTTGATTCCAATTAATCTCAATCTGTAAATACTAACGCCAGATCTTTTTTGAAAAGAGCTGCTGCCTTCAGACAGAACTACGCGGTGTTGAATGCCGAAGAGTTCAAAACAAGAAAAGCCTACTACTTGGAGAAGCTCAAGAGCGACGAGTTCCTCGCAAAGAAAGATGACATAGAAGATATCAAAAACCCTTTGGCCGACGGCTCTTTCAACGACGCCTTGATGAACATGGCTAAGGGTAACATGATGAACTTTATCCCTCAAACGTTGATCATGGCGTGGGTGAACTTCTTCTTCGCGGGCTCCGTGGTGATGAAACTCCCCTTTTCACTCACAGAGGGCTTTAAAAGCATGTTGCAAAGCGGCGTCAACACTCCAGACTTGAGTGTTCGTTACGTGTCTGCTATCTCATGGTACTTCGTGAACTTGCTTGGTCTCAAGCCCGTCTACTCGATTCTCATGAATGACCCTCAGTCGGCTCAGGCTTTAGTCAACCAACAGCAGAACCAGCAGATGATGCCTAATTTGGGAGCTCCCGGTGGCCCAAAACCGGAGCAGGTATTCAAGGCTGAGGGCGAAAGCATTCAGATTTTGCTGCATGAATCGGTCTACGACGGCATTGCTGCTAGGGTTTTGAACAACTACTAGGTGACAATTTCTAAAGTTCCCTAACATTCTTTCTTCAGGATTTCTTGGAATCTGAATCTGGGTGTGGAATCTGGGGCTAATGTATGGGTGTACGGGTGCCACTTTACTCGCACATCTATCGAATCTTAGAAATACATCCCATCGCAACCTACTCCCCGTTTACCAAATTCAACCTGAACATGCTGACGACAGAAAACAAGCCCGCCACCATCATCTGCATTGGTATGGCAGGTTCTGGAAAGACGACCTTCATGCAGAGACTTAATGCACACCTTCATCAGAAGAAGAATCCACCATACGTTCTTAATCTAGATCCTGCCGTCCTCAAGACCCCTTATAGCCCCAATATTGACATTCGTGATTCTGTCAATTACAAGAAGGTCATGCAAGAGTATGGGTTGGGTCCCAATGGTGCAATTGTCACATCCCTTAACTTGTTCTCCACCAAAGTTGACCAGGTGATCAAGCTCGTTGACTCTAAGGGAGATAAGATTAAAAACGTCATCGTCGATACTCCAGGTCAAATTGAGTGTTTTGTTTGGTCTGCCTCTGGCGCTATCATCACGGAGTCTTTTGCATCTACTTTCCCAACTGTCATTGCCTATATTGTCGATACCCCAAGAAACACATCGCCCACCACTTTCATGTCCAATATGTTGTACGCATGCTCCATTCTTTACAAGACAAAGTTGCCCATGATTGTTGTTTTCAACAAGACGGATGTCAAAAAGGCCGACTTTGCTGTCGAATGGATGCAAGATTTTGAGGCCTTCCAGATGGCCATGATGAACAATAAAGACATGAATGGCGAAGATGGTTCGTCGTCAGGGTACATGAGCAGTTTGGTCAACTCCATGTCGCTCATGTTGGAAGAGTTTTACTCCCAGTTGGACGTCGTGCCCTGTAGTGCATTCACTGGAGAGGGCTTCGATGGTTTCATGGATGCCGTGGACAAAAAAGTGGATGAATATCATGAGTTTTATGAAGCCGAGAGAGACAGAATCTTGAAAGAGAAGGAGGAAAAAGAGAAACAGAGAAAGACCGAGTCTTTGGACAAACTAATGAAGGACATGGATATCAAGAAGGGTGAAGGCGCCAAGGATTCCGAAGTTCTCTCAGACCTCGAGGATGAAGATGACAACAATGGAGAGGTTGACAGAGATTCTGAGGACGAGGCTGAAAGGCAATATACCTTCCCAGAGGATAGAAATGCAGAGGTTAGCGAGAAATCCGAGGCCGAATTGCAGGCAAGATACCAGGCTGCGTTTGAGGACACTGCCAAGGACGCATCTTCCAAAACCGCAGAAAGCATCGCCAACTACATTAGGCAGTAAGTCTATCATGTATTTTAGTCATTTCAACTCTTATAGAGAATTAAGTATATCATGTATCACGCAAATAGGGCGTCAAGGTTGTAGGGTGTAGAGGCAAACTCATCCTTGAAAATCAAGTGTGGTTTATGCTTTGCCAAGTGCAAGATCGTCTTGCCGAATTCAGAATTACACCAAGCAAACCAAGGCCTGGTGTATGACAATCCCTTCATAGAGTTCACCTTAACACTCTCGTGCATCAAACCCAAACCAGCAGTTGTACTCATAACATAGTTCAAGCTCTCAAGAATCTCATTGTCGTCGTCTGTAGTTCTAATTCTCATCAAGAGAGACATTGGCCAAGCATTTTCAATGCCAATGTGAGGACCACCGATACCTTCGAAATGACGGCCAGTCAAATAATATGGATTTCCTGATTTCGAGAGAATCATCTTTCTTGTTCTTTGGTATGTTTCGTCATTGACATCGAGGTAGCCCATGTCTGGGAAAGAAAGCAAAGATGGAATGTTGGCATCATCCATGAATACACTACTGCCATAGCCATCAGTCTCAAATGCGTAGACCTTTCCCCACTTGGGATGATCAACGATAGCATGTTCTTCAAGACCCTTCCCGATGCCCTTGATAAAGGCATCAGTGTGTTCCTTGTGAACACTCAAGTCAAAATCGAATTTCAAATCATTATCGAAAAGGTACCTGCGAATTCGCTTCAATTCTGTCAACATGTGAACGTTTCCTGGAACGAAGAATTGTAGTATAGTGCTATCGTCGGATGGCCTAAATGCGGAGCGAATCAATCCCGTGTCAAAGTTGACAGGGTTTCCAACACCATCTAGAGGGAGCGTCTCGGAGCCAATGTTAGTATCTCTCTTAAACGAGTAGAAGAACTGCAAGGCGTCACCTGTCTCCGGGTCGAAAGATGGTTGCGACTCTCTCTTCAAAACCACAAGAATTTTCTCAAAGGCCTTGATCCAGCGGTTGGTGATGATCGAAAGGTCACCCGTGTTGTCGAGGTACTCATTTGTAAGCGTAAGAAACGATGCCAAGGAGTCAATTTCATACTTGCACTCGAAGACTTGGTTCCAGTCCGGTCTTGGGTAGACATTATCTTTGGCGGTGTTTCCCTTTTTGACATTCGAATTAGGTGGAGGATGAAAAGCATTGCAGTAGGGAGAGTTCATAATGTACTGCTCCTGAGTGTAGATGGCTCCCTTGATCAATTGCTTCAACTTCTCGTCGTACTTCACCAAAGGTTGGTATACAGACAATTGGCGAGCCGAGTCTCTCAACCACTCAGCATGGATATCACCAGTGACAACAAAAGTCTCTGGATACAGGGAGATCTTGCTTGAACTTGAGGACCCATCTTTGTGCCACAAGATGGTGGTATCCAAAGTATTGGGGAAGCAGTTCTCGACTAACCTAGCAAGGTCAGGATTCTTGATCTTCAGCTTCAAATCCACAATGAGTTTTTCAACCGCATCAGAGGCAAATGTCCGACACTTCAATGGCGGCCTCATGAAAGGATATCTGTATTTGCCCTTAGAGTAAGGTGCGTGAGCTTTCTTGGAGTAATCAACGTAGTTCACACATTTTTCTGTCTTCTTGTCCAATTCAGCAAGGAAACCCGGCGTGATCTCATCGGTCCATTTACCTTTGTTGGCTTCGGAACTCTGAACAAGCGAATCATCAGGTACATTTGGTTCATCCTCCGCAAGAATCGAGCTGTTGTATAATCTCTCCCTTGTAATTGCATCGTTATTCTGTTTATTGCGCCAGGTGTAAAACAACAATATACTGGCAACCACCAAGAAAAGCTGGTAAGGTCTCCAGCCTCGAGTGCCAACAGCTCTTAAGGTCATGGTTGATGTTCTCTTGAACGGCACCCCAGATGCGCTTTAGACCCTGCGTTACGTGCAGGCCGTTCAGGCTCCCATGATAGAGATGGTGTTTTTAGCGATACCCTTTTCGACGGAGACAAGGCCAAGGTGTCCTAAACGTTCAAGGAAGTCACTATTGGACGGCTTCTCGTTGTTCTGGGCCAATTTGAGCAAGTCGTTGTAGTTCATGCTTTGGCTGCGAATGCGCTGTGGTACTGCCTTGGAAAGAAGTCCATTGACGTCTGGGAAATTGAGGTTCATACGGGCAGCCACAACTTCGATCTCATTGTTCAGCTCTAGAACATCAAGGAGGGGCCCGTGGCTGTCCTGAATAACAGGTTCCTCGATTGTAAGGATGTACATATCTGAGTAATGCACATCGTATGGATATCCATCTAGGTGGAGCCCGTCCTGAGTGAGGATTTTCTTCTGTAAATCTTTGAACGGATACTCTCCTTCGATGTTATCCGTTAAGGGGACTGCTGCTTTGTTCTTCACGATCTGTGGTCTTTGCATCTCCATAAGCTTGTCGCTGAGTGGATCTGGGTTCTGTAGCGATTCCCAGAGATTAACATCGTGCCAGTCTGTTACGTTGCTTTCGTTCAGGGCTAGAGAGGCAAGGCGGAACAAATCGGTTGTCACCATGTCAGTCAAATGGTAGTTTCGTATCCTTTGACTCGGAGAGTCAGAACGACGATATTTCGATGCTGCTGCTTCTATTTGTTCTCGGAGATCCTCCAACGGAAGATTGATTTGCAGAAGCGTCGCATCTGCTAGTAGCCTTTGCTTCTGGCGTAGGAATATGATTATTGGGGTGGAATTGAGGAGCTTTCTGTACCAATGAAATGATTTTGTGGAGCCTCTAGCCTTCGGCAAGCTCTGGAATGGTGAGCAGGCAGCTGCAAATGAGGATATAATGTGGGCCTGAAAGTCACTTGTGTTTCTGGTGTGAGTTCTCTTATCGCTGATGAGAGCCTCAGTGGGTTTCATATCGAAGCCCGCCTTGGCCATAATGTCGTCGACAGTAAGGGCCTCGATGCCTTCGGGCTTAAGAGCATTTCTCGTAATTGGCTCTAGAACCTCGGCCACCATGGGCTCGAAGTGCTTCTTGTTCATGCTATGATGCTGTAGCTTGGACTTATGGAAATATTCGTATCCGTCAGCTGAACGCCTGAAAAATTCACGTATTAGGCCATCCTGATAGGGTATCTGTCTTTGGAAAGCTGCCTGGTACACATGTAAGGTGTGGGACAATGCCTGTGGGATTCTATCCCAAGTGTACCTAGACATACTGTGGAATATAGCGCAGAGCATCACCATATATGCTGCACCCGTACATCCTCTATCAAAACTAACTGAAAGTATTTTGTAATTGACTTGCTTATTAGGATAAAAGGCAAGCTTTCAGATTTGCTATATTATTGGTGACAATTTGGTTTCGTTGGTGGTGGTCCATCTTACTGCTTCAGCATAATGGCTGCGAAACTACATCGCAGAGACATCTGACACCCCGATGGGCCAGACAATGTAACTGATGTATGAAAAATATTGCCATGATCAAAATCAGTTTCTCTTTTCCGTCTCTTCCATCTGAATTAAATTCAAGACGTTATTTGGGGCAAGGCTGGGGTACTGGTGTGGCATCGTGAGACATCCCTCCATCTCCACTATCTACATCTCATCTTCCAGTCCTTCAATGTCAGACACGGAACTTGACGCTGGTCTCTTCGAGGAACCAGAGGATTTCAGACCTCCTCCACCCGAGTCGCATTTTGTCGAGTACGAGCGGCCCAACGACAAAGGAACAATCAGGCTAAAGCTTGTTGGAAAATCTCCATTATGGGGCCATTTGCTCTGGAATGCCGGCAAATACACAGCTAACTACCTCGACGAACATGCTGACGAGCTAGTTAAAGGCAAGAAGGTGTTGGAATTAGGCGCTGCTGGTGCTCTTCCATCCCTTGTTTGTGGAGTTAACGGAGCTTCAAAAGTGATCAGCACAGACTACCCAGATCCAGACTTGGTGAGCCACATCCAGTATAATATAGACCACTGTGAAGGGTTTCCAGACGGAACGGTTGTCAAAGCTCAGGGATACATTTGGGGCAATGACGTCAATGCCCTTTGCTACGACGACAAGGAAGAAGGAGATTTGCCTACAGAGGTCAAGGAAGAGGATAAGTTCGATTTGATCATTCTTTCGGATCTTGTCTTTAACCATACAGAGCATTTGAAGCTACTCAAAACGTGCAGACTCTCTCTTAAATCTACAGGTGTTGGTCTCGTGGTCTTCAGTCCTCACAGACCGCATCTCTTGGAGAAAGACCTAGAGTTCTTCGAAACCTGTGAACAGTTTGACTTCAAAGCAGAGAAGATTGCTTGTGTAAACTGGAAGCCAATGTTCGAGGAGGACGAGGCCACAGCGGAAATCCGCTCAAGGGTCTACTGCTTCAAAATCCATCCGCAATGGAAATAGCATAAATAGCCACTAATTTAATAGCATACTTCACAAATCAATTTGTAGTGTATTAGATATACATCGCCGGAGCGTTCGTGCAAAGGGCTTAGGCGGAGTTAGAGTTAGCCTTTCTCTTACCGTTGACCAAGGTGACGTTAATGAATCTCTTGGTGTACAACAATCTCGTGTAAGCTCTGCCCTTAGGCTGCTTTGGCTTCTCCTGCTTGTCAACCTTTGGAGTCTGAGACTTAACCTTACCGGCACGAGCCAAGGAACCGTGGACTTTACCCTGGGCTGTTAGTAATGAGTTCGAGGTTTCATGAAACTTGGATAATCTAATGGAAGTTGGAATTTGGGATGGGTGCAATATCACGACCGTGGCCGCTTTGTCGTTTCATGGTTTTGGGGCTTCTCTGAACATACCATTTTGTTTAGTTATAAGTTTATACGGTAGATGAAAGATCAGCTATAATTTTTTTCTCCCATATTGAGGTGGTGCGGAGGCAAGAATCGTGCGAGGGCTAAACGGTGATGTGCACCACGTGCGCACAGCTAGGGCTTGCGCCCTCGCTCTCAACCCAAGATGTTGGGCAAGAACCACCAAATTGGCCAAGTCGTAAGGGATAAATGGAGGAATTTATAAATTCCGTATTTGCTTAAAACATCATTGTTCCTATATTTAGAAAAACTAGAGATTGTGGGGTAGTCTCAGCTGAGGTGGTATCTACAACACATTCAATCAATCAATGCAATCACGACTCGTCTAACTTACGCGTGTAAGCAGATTCACGGCCCAACTCCATTACCTCTATACCCCTGGTCCTGAACATCTGCTGTGACACATGTGCATTGTCATTTGTTCTTTTTATCAAGACAAGGCAGCGTTGCGAACAATAGCTGCACCGACGGTGATCTAATCTTGGCTGTAGCCATGGCATCCAATGCCTAGTATTGGCGCCAGCGCCTACTGAGTAAATACAACAACCACGGTTGCAAAAATTAACACAAATACCGACGCTACCAACAGCAGCACGGAAAAGTATGAAATGGGGTACTTCTGCTCCAAGAGCAATCCCTGAACATTAAAGAAACGGTAGCAACCAAATAAAAGGCACAGGATGCCTAGAAAGAAGAAGCCAGCCCCAATGGGCTTGCCAAATTTGGTCATCTCCTCATACTCACCTTTGAGCTGGAGTTTGAATAGTTGCACCACTCCGATGCCTATGGTCGTGAGGGATAGCGAGGTTCGAAGCCAAGCAAGAAAAGTTCGTTCGTTGGCCATCTGTAGTTAGTATCGATGTTGGAATTGTGGGGTTTTGTAAAGTCATCATCGAGAGACCAGTGTAGTGAGATCCTCGGCATGTCTCAATCGTATGATCGCGTAATAATGGGTACACGAGATCCAAAGGGGGTCAATTGGATTGTCAGGAGTGGTGAAATGGATAATAAAAATGGAAATGGCTCTTCGTGGAGCGTGGCTTGATATGGCCAGCAGCTGCTTAGTTGACAGTCGTTTGCAGCCAAACCGATGATTCTGAAGACTGGATTCAAGGTAACGGAAACATAGCAATTAGCGATTGGATAAAAGGCAGCTTCCTAAAATCAACATACCGAAGCTGGATGAGCAGTTGTGGTGAATCCCCGTATCACCACGGCTCCACAAGGGCCCCTCCGTGGCACGGCGGAAACACCGAAATCGGTCAATTTCAAAATCCCGCTAGTCCATCGATCTAACCTTCCACAACTCCTAATAAATGTTTCTCATCAGCTCCCACCAGCGTTGCATTCTCATGAACGTCCTGGTCCACCACCTCCTTCAAGCTTATACCTAAACGAGCCGCCAAGGCACCACCCATGCATTCTGAAAATCAAAATATCTGTAAATCAGATCACCTAGGCCAGTACCAGCAGATCCACTAGCTTATTTAGACATTTCTGTCGACTCGGGCGTTGTTCAATAAAACCCCCCCCCATTACGTGCTCACATCATCCCCTCTTATCTATACATCAACTTCCTGTGGGATATTTATACATACATGATCACGGGCAACAGCCCCCTCATTTGGGATCAGCACCAGACCCCATGCATTCTTGGGCGTACCTAGCAAAGGCTCTGTTTCAGACATGTTGAGTAACTTGAGTAGTTTGAATGTGTTATCATTCTCGAGCCACAGTGCGAGTTGCATAGAATACCCATGGAACCACCCGAACCGGCCTTGAAAGAAGAACGCCGAACTTGCCACAAAGATTGGAACTTCTATTGTTGGAGGCGATTACCTTTATTGTAGATTTTTATCATGGGACTCATGTCTTTTTATTTTTTCTGTATTGCTTATCGCAATGGTCACTACATGATCTGATCTCGATGACTAAGTCTTGTGAAAATAAATATCTGCAATCAATAAAGACAAAATCGGCCAGCGCAGCAACTGGCCTAGACTACAATCATTCTCCTTCCCGGACTCTGTACCTTCATGTCTTTTTCCTATAACCGCCGCGGCCAGCTGTCACCTAAGCACCAGGCTTAGACCCGGCTTAATGCCACGCCTGGGCCACGCCTGGGCCACGCCTGGGCCACGCCTTGGCTGTCAGAGAACCCTGAATGTGAACGTAATTTGCGTAACGTAAATGAAATGTAATCGAATGCTAGGGCAAGACCTCTGGCCTTGTCCATGAAATGCTTAAAGAATGGTGGGACCCTTAAATGAAGGCCACACCAAGAACGAATGTGCCCACGGCAATCACCGTTTTCCATGGCATGTTGGAGCGCAAAGGCCCGGGCAAAGACCCATATGCAAATGATCCACCAGCGGTGATCGTCACCTGAGAATACGTGGTAACCTTGCCCACCTCACCAGAGATGGAGCCCATGCCAACGCTTCCAGATGACACTGATGTCGTGCTGGTGTTTTCAACAAATTGTGATTGCGAGAAAGGGCTCTCGGTGGTGGCCAACTTGCCGTCGGCGTCCGTGCCTGTGACCCAGATCATGGTGGGACTCTGTGTCGAAGACGAGGAAGTGGATGATGATGACGAGGAGGAGGAGGAGTCCGCTGCAAAGACGGCGCTGAAAAGGGCCAAAAACCAGATCAAAAAGAAGTTCATGATGAGTAGGATGTGAAATGAAAAAGTTGGCCAAGGGTGCAGATCAGGAGGGAGCCGCCTATTTATGAGATGCCATGCAATTTTTTTTCTGCACCTTCTTGGTTGCAGCATGTAAAATGCACCATGATCCCACTGACGTTTGCCGAGGTAACGTACGTCTGCTAATACGCGGATGGAGCGCTGCTGGGGCCTACGGCAAACATGGGCCGGAGTATGCAACCCTGCAAAGAAGGAGCTGCGCATCGGAACAACCTGCTCAAGCCCCAAAAATGATCCCCAAGGCGGAAGGTGGAACACCCGTTAGGTTGATCAGGTAGCTCCTTGAAAATCCAGCGTATTCCGAACGTGCGATAGCGCTGAGCCTTCCTGCTTGTCCTTCCATCGCATGAGTAGGCCGCGGTGGGTGCAAAAAGATTGAGAGCCGCGACCTAGCAACCATCCTGGACAAGAATAGCAGCATTTCTTGTCGCTTGCACGAAAGCTGGAACAATAGACTATTCGAGGGGAAGCGACACACAGGAGCAGCTCATGGAACACTCTGCTCTAATTCCGTCTCGCTTACACCGAGCCACCTTGAGCCACCCCTGCCAACGAAGCAAACATACACTCTCCCGTTGTCGGGGAATGTTTCTCCGGCCTTCGGGCCGCATTCCGGATCCACCCGTTATAGTGTTTCACAAAAGATCTCCCGTCTCTGTCATGTGTCAGCAACGCCCCGACTGTGTTTCACAATCTAGTGTTTCACTATCTTGTGTTTCTGCCTCGCAGATATTCGCGCCTTCTCGGAATCATGCCTGAGGTGTTAACGTAGTCTTTTTTTGTATGTTTGTTTTCTCGCTCGCGTACCGCCTGCGCAGCGTGGCTCAGACCTCAGCCCCCATCCTGGCCCGCCAGTTCTTTGCACCCACGCTGTTTCTATTGAAACTTCGATTGATTGCTAGCATTTGATCGCCGCGAAGACAATCGGGATCTGCCGATCTTTTTTGCCGAAGGGTCCCCGATTGTCCATGCAAATATAAAACAAGCGCCTAAGCCATTTAAGGGTTCAGCGTAGCGGCAGGACAACGTTGCTCGTCTATCCGAGCCGCTCCCGGTCGCCACGTACACGTTGAAAACACTGCAGCCAAGCCGACTAAATAAAATAGTCAACCACGGGCTTCTTCAGCGGCATCATATTGGTGTCCTTGTTTACTGCATCAAACACCTTGTACTCTCGCTCTAGATTATCGTTGATGCTCAAGATGCTGGCGATGTTCCCGCACCGGTAACAGTAATTAGGCGCCAGCCATACCGTGACTAAGCTCCCCAGAAACATCTCCTTGTAACCCTCCATCACTAGCTGATGCGCCCGCGCAATAAGCAGAATATCGTTCTTATGGCAAAATTTGTTCACCTCGTTCTCGCCAAAAAGGTATCCGGCGCCTCGAGGCAGAACCGCCCACTTGGGCACGTCTTCTGGATCGGACCATAGTAAATCGCACATGGCGCCCTCGTGTGGCACCTCTTGTTTTCTGTCGAGCCGCCTTATCTCGTCTACATCGCTGATTTCGGGACTAAGGCCCCCGTGAACACAGAAAACGCCTCCCTGACCCCCTACTATCGCACCAAGTGAAAAGTAGTCAAACACCTCGCAGCAGTAGCGCCAGACATTGACACTGCCGTACTTTCGAAGACACTCGTCGTAAAATCCGTAAACGGTGGTAATTTGTCTTGACTCATGATTGCCTCTGATTAAGGTTAGTCGGTCGGGGTACCTTATTTTAAGTGCTAGAAGGAGCAAAAGGCTCTCTATGGAATAGAAGCCTCGATCGACGAAATCTCCGAGAAATAAATACTGAGTTTGTGGGCACTCGCCTCCTGTTTCAAAAAGATTGAGTAGATCCTGAAACTGACCGTGTATGTCGCCGCATATCGTTACTGGCGTGTATATCTGTTGAATATTGGCTTCTTCCACAAGCACCTCGATCACCTTCAGGCAAATCTCTTCCACATCACGTTCAGGCACGTGCTTGCACTGCTTGATGTCTTCTATGGTTCTGCTGTTAGTTTTAATTGTTTTCGAATGGAGATGTCCACATACTTATCTAGGTCAAGCATTGATGATGGAGAATGATGTATGTCTCGCCTTAACGCGTTGATATCTAGTCACGTGCATTTGGACGTTTTCTCGCTTTTCTCCACAGCCAGAGGAGCTACAGGGCTCAAAATTTGGGAGCGGATTACTTACAAACTAAGCTTATGACTGAGAAAGTTCTGAAGTTATCTAAAAACATTTGTTTATTTTGCTGTTAATATTAAACCAGGGCTCATTTCCTGACATAACAGGTCTTATAGTGTAGTGGTATCACCTCGGATTCTGATTCCGGTAACCTGGGTTCGAACCCCAGTAGGACCTATTTTTTTCCCATTTATAGCCTTTCCTTCTTCATTTTTGCCTGGGAACAATGTGTTCCATTGTCTCGCGTCCTTTTCTATACTTCAAGTAGTCTATAACCATTAATTCAATTAAGCCTAAATCCGTAGCTAATACAAACAAGAAACCTAACCGCATTGCACCTAACGCCAGCTTGGCAAAGTGTACTTCATGAACGACTTCTGGAGCTGTCTCTTCACTGTGATCTTCTGTGCTCCCACGAAACTGTCTATACTCACCTTGATGGCTCTGTTCAAGTCACCTTGACTGACAAAGTCACTGAGTCTCATTCTAGCAAATGCCTCCGCAATTCTGATGATACTCTCCAAGTGACGGACAGTGATAGGGAACGAGCCGGTGGAGATGGACTCTCTTCTCAAGTCGGCATAAACCAAGGCAACCTTGTCCATGTCCATTTGGTGCAATTTAGGAGACACCTTGGCTCTAGCGTAGCTGATATACTTGGCCAATGTTTCTTGTGGAATAGGCGAAATTTCACTTTCTCTTTGCTCATTGTTCTGAGTGATCTTGTCACGACGGCTCTTACCCTCGTCCATTGCATCGTCGTTTTCGTCATCATTCAACTCCTCGTTAGATGGATGCGAACGAATGTGAGAGTCAACCACGAAAGAAGCAAGTCTCTCATCCAGCTCTGGGTTTACCAAGTCTCTCACGACGCACAAAATATCGAATCTGGACAAGATAGGCTCGGTCAAGTTAACATTCTGAGCGAGAGGAAGGGTGGAGTTGTATCTACCACCAGTGGGGTTAGCAGCTGCAATGATGGCACAACGCGCCTGTAAAGAGGTAACAATACCGGCTTTAGAGACGGAGATGGACTGCTGTTCCATGGCTTCGTGAATGGATGTACGATCCTGATCATTCATCTTGTCGAACTCATCAATAAGACAAGTACCTTTGTCTGCAAGCACAAGGGCACCACCCTCCAACGTCCATTCTCTAGTGATCGGATCTTTTCTCACAGAGGCTGTCAAACCGACAGCAGAAGCACCTTGACCAGTTGCAAAGACAGCTCTGTTTGCAGTCTTCTCAGCATACTTCAAAATCTGAGACTTAGCAGTACCGGGGTCACCAAGTAAAAGGACGTTGATATCACCACGAATAGAATGCTTTCCATCCACGTTTTTGGCGACACCTCCGAACAAGGAGCAGGCAATGGCAGTTTTAATATCACGATGGCCGTAGATAGAAGGAGCCATGGAGCTAATGATCTTGTCAATAATGCCCCTCTCTCTAGAAAGTCTGCGGAACTCTCTTTCGTCCTCCTCGACCCACGAAGAGACACCAGTGTCGCTTGTGAACATGGACGAAGTTTCCTTTCTTTTGATGGAGTTGGCTTCAACGACAGTTGCAAAAACTGGGAAACCATTCTTGGCATTAAGTCCACCATCATAGTTGTTTTTGTAGACACCAACAACCTCGACTTCCTCACCTGGTTTTGCGACATCTACCAAGTCCGAGAGCAAAATAACCTCTCTGTGACGAGGCAAACGTCCAGCAGGAACGGTACCGGGTGATTCTTGTAAAGTGATACGCTGGTAATTTCTGTAGAGAGTTCTTTCGGAGTTCATCTTGAAAGGGCCCTTGGCTTGACAGTTGGTACAGAAGTTGATCTTGACCTCTGAGTTGGAATCTTGGATAAATGGACCAAGCACCGCACCACATTTAAGACAGTCAAACTTGACGTATTTGAGCTGGGGGAAGACACCTGTTCTTCTGGTCACAACACCGTTGATCTTCACGAGCTGGTTCAAGTTCTTTTCCCTAAGGTCTCTCAACGACAAGGCGTTGGGGAAGTTGGAGATACGAACATGGATCTCCAGGTGAATTTGGGAGTAGTTAGGGTAGTGCAACTCGGTAGCCTCCATGGCAACGATATCAAAGATCTTGAGCATCTCCGTTGGGGAAGTCGCCAAAAACAAAGCCAAGATAGCCTTGGAATCGGCCAAGTGATTGTATGACACATCTAACGATTCAGCATTGATTTCACCCAAAGTACGAATACGGGCACCGTACACGGAACGGCCTCTCTCGTCAGTGTATTCCAAAAGGAAGGACTTCAACTCTCTAGCGATCGAACGCAGCGTGTTAGGCTGCAAAATCCACTCAGTGATGGAAGGAGCCTTGACATCGGCCAAGGACTCGAGCGACAATTCTTCCTGGAACGGGTCAACTTCCTCTTCGTTGATCAAGTCGTCCTGGTCGTCGTACTGACCTCTGCGTCTTCTGCGCTGGATTGGGAGACCGTATTCGTTAACGTCAACATCCTCGTCGTCGTCATCATCAAGGAAAGCCTGACTTCTTGCACGCGTGTCCTTGGACATGCCCAAGAGTTCATCACGGCGATCCAACTGCTCATCAATTCTACGTCTCTCGGCAGCGTCCAACTCCTCGTATTCCTCGTCATCGATGTTGCCGTCGCCCAAATTGTAGTGGTCCTGGCCGGCGTTCTGACGATAATCGTTCTGCATGTTTTCCATCAAGTCCTCGCCTTCTTCCTCGTCAGAAGGATTCAAGTCGGTCACATCATTGTGGATCTCCTCCTCCTCGTCTTCAAAAGGAATGGCAGGGGACGAAGGGGCAATTGAGGAGAGGATGCCAAGGAGGGCGTCAGAGCGTCCGAGGCATCATCGTCGTCAGCTTGTCTTTTTCTGGGACTAGACATGAAGAAGAGTGGGTGGTAGGAAAAAGCGTTGATAGACGCGCGTAATTAACTTTTTTCGGCACTACGCGTCGCCGCAGACAGGAGGCATCAGCGAATGAAGAATGGATTTTGAAATTAGACGTTAAAGGAACAGTTGATGAAAAGCGTTTTAGAATTATTTTCGTGTCTCTGTTGGAGTCTGTTCCAAAGGGACCGAGAAATTTTTTTCTAAGTTGTATCAGTAGTGCTTATGGCGGGAAAAAAATGGCTGCGAAACACGACTTATGTTCTTCATCCCGATTCGAGTAAATTGAGGATTTTTAAAGGTCTTCAAATATTTTAACTGCTTTTTTAACGACTGATGTAGTGCAATACTTGATGTCATCCAAATATCTTCTCGATCGAACTTTGTTCTATATTGTCGTTCCAACTCTACTCCCTTTCACGTATAAACAAATATGAGGTCTCAATCAGGAATGTTGATACATCTTGACTATTCTTCTTTTTAAATTTTTTGAGTCAGTGATTGAGATAGTGGAAATTGGTCGTGAATTGTGGGGAACATTCTTTGATAGCTCGGTGGTAAACTTGCAAATAAGCTGCGAAATCTTCAAATCGGTCAAAATGAAAATTCTAAATCACGAAGATATAAAACAATTACAGCTTTAATCACCTATAAGACCTAGAATCATAAAAGTTGCTAAAAGGGAATGAACTGTTAAGCTTTATGTGCTTCAAGGACCCTCCGGTAGTATGTTCTGCGGTACCATTGATATCACCACTTTGCATAACATAAATCCGATAGTGGATATCAAATGCCTCAACATATCCAAAAATCGCCTGGCATGGTATTGTTAATTGACATTCAATTACAAATGGATAATTTTTTTTATTAAGCTAGTGTTCTCCGTAATAATCAGGAGGACCCTGTCTTCCTCACTAGCCACAATCAATTCGCAGCCACCGATACCACCAACCATTACATCCTCAAACCCACAGTAACCCAAACAATAAATAGGCCAATTCTTCAACCATTCACAAAAAATCAAAATACCACCAAATTCTACCTCCTTCTACTCCCAAAACCCCTTTCGTGAAGAAGATCGCCTGGAAACACTACCGCTGTACGTGCACTCTCTGCACACCGCAAGCAAACAGCTTCAACTCTTCTTCTCCGAAACCACCTACCCATGCCACCGGTGACTGCGTTGGATTTCCTCGAGCATCAGCTTGAGCTTGAGAAAGAGGCTCGTGAGGTGATGCCCTATGAACCCGACAAATGCACTTATCCCCAGCCTCTAAGACAACTTGTCTTTACATGTCTCACCTGCCTGAGAGCCAACGAAAACAACCCTGTCGGTGTGTGCTACCTGTGCCTGATCCTGTGTCACAGTACTCACGAGTTGGTGGAATTGCTTCCTAAACGTCTGTTTGTGTGTGATTGCGGCACTTCTCGGATGAAGAACGGCCATGCCTGTGAGTTGAGGATCAGACGAGCTAAGGAGGATGCCAAAAAGCACAATTCTGGAAGCCAGGGTAATCAGGACGAGGGCTCAAGCCACCAGAGCAACCAAAATAGCGACCATCCTCCTAGCAGGCCCCACCAGCTGCAAAGCCAGGGAATCCCTAAACTACGAGCAGGTCTCTCCTCCTCACATTTCCATAGCCTTTCGGCCCAGCAGCTTCCGGCGGAGGATGTTCCCAGCTCCAGCAATACCTACAACCACAATTACAAGGGAAAATTCTGCTCGTGTAACGAATTGTTCAATCCCTTTAAGGAAACAAGAACGATGCACCAGTGCTACTTTGGTGAATTTTGCGGTGAAGACTGGTTCCACCAGGACTGTATCATGGGCTACAAGCCGGGACTTTTTAGTAACCATCCCACAGAGACTGGCGAAAACAAATTAGCTCTGCTTCCATCTCCAGGTCTAGATGCGGAGCATGATCGCAAGAACCTGGGCTCAGACTACATTGGGAATGGAAGTCCTGAGCAGAAACCTAACGCTAACGAGGCAGAGGAAGAGGTAAGGGACAACAAGCATGATGTGCCTCAGAGCTCTCTTCCCGATCATGCCGATTCGGATGACGAAGAAGGCGACGTTATACCCTATTTCCCTGCGTTGGAGTCGTTCTCCGAATTCGTCTGTTGGGGATGCATCGAGGCTTTTAGGGAGGCATTCGACGAACTCTCAACAAACTCCAATATAGTGGCAGCCAAACTACCCCATTTTGAAGGTATTGGTTCTGCCCACGAGTGGAAATCGCGTTATGACGAATATGTCAATGGCGAGCCCCAATCAAAAAAGAAGAAGAATGGCAAGGACAACAGACAGCTTTACACTTTATTTCTTCGTCACGATTTCAAGAAGGAACTCAAGAAAATAAAGGAGACGGCTCCAACCGACTCTCCAGTTGCCGCCATGCTCAGAACTTTTGACTTCATGTGCGGAGAAGATGTCATCTATTCGCCTAAGGAGGACACTGACGTCAGCTCTTCGACCGGTTCACTCTACGACATGGGCACAGAGGCTCTTCAGTCTTTACCCGGACAACAGGCCATCGAAGGTCTACATGCATATGGCTTGATGAAATCCAGACTCCGTGACTTCTTCCAAGGTTTTGTCGACAAGAACAAAGTCGTCACCGAAGATGAAGTAAGGGATTTCTTCGATAATCTCAAGCATTCCAGCTCATGACACGAATTTTCGTATATCACGATGATACAAACAAATATATACAAATAAGTTCATCATCTGCTATCACAGATGCAGAAGCTCGCCATGACTCGGCAAGCGCTGGCGAATGCTGATCGTGAGATGTCATAAATACGTAAGACCTTTATTTGCTCTTGCTCTTCTTCTTCTCGTCCAACAAGGCAAACTCCTCCTTCCACACATTGCTGCATTCTTCCTTGTTAACATCAGGGAAGATGGCATTAAAGACCTCCGAGTACCACAGCACTGGAATGAACTTGACACCTTCTTTCACTTCCTCGGGAATCTCTTCGAGCTCGTTCTCGATGTCCTTAGGGAAGATAATAGTGTCGCAGCCATATCTCTTTGCTCCAAGAATTTTTTCTCTGAGGCCACCAACGGGCAACACTTTACCAGTAAGAGTAATCTCACCAGTCATTGCTGTTGTTGGCGGTAATGCCTTGTTGAGAGCCAAGGACACCAAAGATGAAGTAAATGAAATACCAGCCGATGGACCATCCTTGGGGATGGCACCATCAGGGCAATGAACGTGGATGTCGGCAGCCTCGAAAAACCTGTTTTCAGGGTATTCCTTGACGAGGAACAGCTTGGCAAAGGAGTATGCAATGGACGCCGACTCCTTCATCACGTCCTTGAGATGACCAGTGACATGCATACCAGCATGTCCAGAACCAGAACTGATGGCATGGGTCAAGATAGATTCAATGTAAAGAGCATCACCGTTACCTGAAGTACTGTAAGAAAGACCAGTGGCGACACCTGGAGGAGGAACGTCGTAGACACGAGACCTGGTGTAAATCTCAGGTCCAACATAGTCTTTCAAAACATCTGGGGTAATGTCAAGCTTCACATCGGCTGGAATCTCCAAGGGCTTAATTCCTTCTCTCTCTTCATTAGCGGAAAGAGACACATTATCGGAAAACTGCTTACTGTCCTCAGGCTTAGGGACGGGGCGAGAGGCAGCTTCTTCTTTAACACCGGCACCTTCAGCACTAGCCTCCTTTGGTGCTTCCAACTTCTCGAGCTGTTCGACAATCTTGAAAGAAGCCTTGCTGAAGATTCTGGTGATCAATTTTTTCACATTTCTCAAACCACTCTCACGACAATATTTCTCTATCAATTTGGTGATCGCGGATGGCGAGATTGTGATGTGCTCTTCGCCGAGACCGGCCTTCTTGGCAGCTTGAGGAATCAAATGCCTGGTGGCAATCTCGAGCTTCTCGTTGTTGGTGTAACCTGAAACATCGATGATCTCCATTCTGTCTTTCAAAGGAGCAGGAATGTTACCCAAGTAGTTGGCAGTGCAAACGAACAAGACCTTGGAAAGATCCACCTTGAGATCGATGTAGTTATCCACAAATGAATTATTCTGCTCAGGATCCAAAATTTCCAAAAAGGCCGAGGCAGCACCACCACTTCTGGTCAAATCGAGCTTGTCGATTTCATCAATTAACATCAAAGGATTCGAAGTCTTAGCCAGCTTCAAAGCCGATATTATACGACCTGGGATAGATCCAATATAAGTTCTTCTGTGACCCTTGACTTCGTGGACGTCTTGAATACCTCCCATGGCAATTCTCACGTAACGACGGTCCAAGGCTTCAGCAATAGACTTCGCAATGGAGGTCTTACCCGTGCCAGGGGGACCAGCCAAACACAAAATCTTACCATCAACCTTACCAGAGACCTTTCCCAAGGAAATGAACTCCAAGATACGCTCCTTGACCTCCTTCAAACCGTAGTGGTCACGGTCCAAGATATCTTTAGCGAGGCCAACGTTAAAACGATCTGTCGAGTATACACCCCATGGAATAGAAGTCAACCAATCCAAGTATCTCTCACTGACGGCGAGTTCACTCGAGTGCTCATTCTGGCTCTCCATCTTGGCCTTCTCGCTGTTGTACGCTTCCATGGCCTCCTCACTCAACTTCAAGTGTTTCAAGCGGTCGTCAAACTTGCGGGTCTTTGAGTTCTCTTGATCCACGAGTCCAGCGTTCTTTTGCAAACCCTTGATATACTCCTTGACGATTTGCTTGGTCTGCGCTTCGTCCGCACGAGAAGACAACTCCTTCATGGTCTTCTCGGCGATAGTATAAGCCTCAAGTTCGTTCTTGAACAACTCAAGCGCTTTCTGTAATCTCACCTCTATATTGAGTTCCTCTAACATTTCCTGTACCTTAGCTGGGGTAGCACTAGTAGTCGAGCCAATGAAGTCAGCAAGCTTGTGAGGAGATGTCAAAAGATTGCTGGCATCTCTTACAGTGTCCTTCTTGTTCGGTATAACACGGGCCATCTTGGACAACAGGTTCTTCACGTCTTCAATGATAGCTTTGAACTCGACGCTGTTGGGGTCGTAAGGTTCGTCTTGACAGTGAGACACCTTGGCATAGGAAACACCCAAGCCCTTCAAATAGGCAGTAGGGAAGTCCTCTTCCTCCACGGGCTCAGGGACGGAGGCGCCCTCCGAGGCACCCTCCGAGGCACCCTCTGAGGCACCCTCTGAGGCAGTCTCAGCCACAGCACCTTCGCTAGTGGTAGCGGAGGTTTCAGATGGCACGGTGAGTTTCTCCAAACGACATCTCTCCATTGGGTAACCCAAGATACGCAAGTAAGGTCCATCTTCGTAGTAACGCTGCACGTAACAGTGGACACCGATGGTGTAGACGGACTTTCTGTTGTGGATGATGTCAGTATCGGGCTCCTCCGGGTCTTTCATGTGGAACAAGACAAAATGGGGTTCTCTTCTATCACAGATCTCTATGATTGTCTGTTTGACAGCTGGATCTGAAATGTTGATGGAGAAAGGCCGGCCCGGAAGCGGAGGCTTGTCTTTCATGGCGATCGCCAAAAGTGGCGGATATGTGCCCGACGCGTACGTCATCACCGAGGGCACATTCTTGTCATCATCATCGTTATTGTTATTATTGTTGTTGTTGTTGCTGTTGTTATTATTGTTGTTGTTGCTGCTGCCCACAGAGGAGCCCCCAGTCAGGGAGGCTTCCACCACCAGAGATTCTCGGGGTCTTTCGACGTCCTCTGGCTTGTCCTTCTTCTCGGGCTTCTTCTTGTCAGATTCCTCCTTCTCTGGAGTTTTCTCGGACTCCTTCTCTGGTGTCTTACCCTTATCCTCGTTCTTCTTCATCTGGAGCACAGACTCCTCCGTAACCTGAGAGCCATCCGTGGCATAAACCGCATTGGCACGAGCCTCGGGCAAAGCAAAAGCTGGTTGGGGAAGTTTGTTCACATTGATGTCAAGAATCGTCGGGTTGTGGGTGGCGTAAGTGGCGTTTCTCACTTGACTAAGTGGAATCGCCATAGAACGAACCCCCAGGACACCTTTATTTGAAGGGCCCTTGAGCAAGTTCCTGCGAGCCGCTTGGCGGATTAGGCGCTTGCTGAGTAACATTAAGCTGGGCTTGTGATGGTGTAGTTGGAAGGGATCAGGGCTAGTGTGGGTTTGTCAGAAATGTGCAGTGTAGTGGGAGAAACGGTGGAAGAAGTGCTCAGAAGGTCACGTGCACAAAAGTGAAAATGACTGGGCCCAACTGGGGCAGATAAGTCGCGATAGTATCGCGAGATCGGCCAGGAACAGGTCCGAGGAGGAATATGAGGGAATGTGGCGGGGGTACTTTTTTGTTAGTAATTTGGTAATTTGTATATAGCGATTTTTGCAGGATTCTGTGTCAATGGAGGGCTGCGGCGGATAGAAGCTAGTGTGGTGGCAAGTGATTGCTTGCAGATCTTGTGTGTATTTCGCAGCCACTGTCTTAGTCAGATCGGGGATTGATTGTAGGGTCTATGGACCGCCAACTTGATACGAAGACTTCTTCGTCACTCAGCTTGAAGCTTGAGTTTGGAGACAAAAGTCGGAATACTTCAAAAATCTTTCAAAAAGTTCGATAGGTTCACCGGATTGTCCCTTAGAAATGTTTCGTTGGCTCCCACTCCGGGCCCATCCAGCGGGCCAGGAATTTGGTAGCGTCTCTTCTCTTTCTGCCTCAATGATCTATATCTTGAAAACATGCTTCTTGCGTGGCGTCTCCTCGGGCTCCTCAGACTCTTCCCGAGGCCGTTTAGCAGGCCTCAACGGTGACGAGTGATTGTCCTCAGCAAAGTTATCGTCATTGTAGAAATCAAGCGCGTTGATCTCCTCATCCTCCACTAGTAAGCCCTTGCCGTGATGGTCCAGCGGCACTCGAGACGAGGCTTCCGTTGAGAGGAGTCTGATTTTGGATTTCTTGCTCTTGCCTGGAATGGCAATGGGTCTACTCAGCAAGTCAGCACTGGCGCTTCTAAAGCTCTCATCGTCTAATGTTGTGCTGTGGTTCACTGTGGTCAGATTTGCCTCGATCTCCGCCTCCGCTTGGGCTCTCTTGATAGGCGTTGCCTCTGCAGAAGAAGCAGGAGATGAAAAGACGTTTGGTTGAGCTGGCTCCAGCTGAGATTTCTCCTGTGCTGCTAGGCTCTCCCTAAGCGATCTGGCCTTTGTACCCAAAGGAGGGGCCCTTGCACCAGCCAGATTGGGTCTAGATAAGACTGGCGAAAACAACAGCTTGCTGAACACGGATTTCGTGTCTCCAGGGGAGTAAAAGCTATGATCTGTGAATTGAGGCATTGACTTGTGGTGGCTTGCCGTTTGAGGCGGTGATAGAAAAGAGCTTCGTTTCAGCGGTCCAGCTGATTGTCTGGTGGTTTGTTCAAGCTGTTTGTTCAATTCAGCCACAGTGTTCTTGAGATCGTCCACCACAGCCTCATGAACTCTCTCTTTGGTGGATAGCTGCTGTTTAAGCACAGAAACACGCCTCTCGTAGTCGTGAACCTTTTCTGTCAAGGCGTTGGGGTTAACTTGACTCACACTAGGACCTATGGAACCTCCCTTAGAGAGAGCCAATATTTTATAAGCACATAGCAGAACAAGATTCTTTCGTAAATCGTCTTGATGATCCAACTCTTTGAGCTTGCTTCTTAGTCTATAGTGTTCTTCGGATAGAAAGTTCATAGTAATGTTTGTGTTTGGGTTTCGCGATATCAACACTGAGATGCTCTTCTCAAGTACTCATGAAGAGGAAACCGAGTTTGCGAAAGCTCTGGTACGCCAATGTCTACGATGCTAGCAATGACGGCTATGTGAGAGACGTTGAGCTCAATATGGATTCTTTGCTACGGCTGAAGCATCACATGCTGTCGTTCACCAAGAACAAGCAAAGGAAGGTTCTACTAGATCCGCAAGCTCCTGACTACGAGGATGTTTTTATAGAAAAGGGTAACCCTATGGGTCCGGACGATATCCTAGAAGCAATTAAACCGCTGGCTCTTCGTATACCAGTGCCACAGAGGGAGGAAATTCCTGTTCTTCCACTGAGTGATCTACTAAAAGCTTTGCATTATTATAGCAGCCACAGTGGCCTACAGGAGCACTCTTGTGACGAGACGGCTCTACTTAGCTTGGGTATGCTTGTGGAGCAGTGGGCAGATGAGCTTGTCACAGATGATTATGCAAAGATGTTTGCTGAGGAATCACAGGATTTGAAGGGCAAGTTGCTACCAAACGACAAAGAGAAAATCAAGCAGCCAAGACAGTACGTGTCAGAATCGGAAGAGTCAGATGTGATATCGTTAGACATGAACTTCAGCGATGTGGACTCGGATTTTGAGATTGAGGTTCCGGAAGCTCCAGACAGAGAGAATGTTCAGAAATCTCAAGAGACCGAAGACCATAGCAGCTCTCCGAGTGACTCAGACAGCGAGTCGGAATCTGAAAGTTCGAGTTCAAGCAATTCAGACTCTGAAGAAGAAACCCAGTCACAGGTTTCACACGGTCAACAGGCAGCGGACTACTCAGATGCTTCTGAAGATTCCGAGCTCTCCAGCTCAGACTCGCTCAACGACTTTATATCAAATGATGAGGGGTCTCGACAGGCGGGCTCCAGCTCGGAAGAGCCCGATTCTGAAAGCGAAAACTCAGATTCAGACTCCGAATCAAGTGAAACCGATCCCGTGGAAGATTCCTCCGTCTAATCATCCAAACTACAGTAACGAACGTCAATGACCATGCAATATACATATTTAGACCTCAGCCTCCTTCACCTCCTTCTCCTCGGGCTGCTCAGAGCTTCTCTTCGATTCCATTTCCTTCTGGTGCTTCTTCTCCTTGCCTTCGTCCTTGGCAGAAGTGGCAATATCAAAAAGTCTCATAAGCAACTCCTGGGTGTCGTGCTTGTTCACCATCAAGTTAACGTTGGCTCTTCCCTTCCACAAGGGGAAAAGACAATCCTCATGACCCTCTCTCTTGACAGTCAAAAACACACAGCCCTCGCTGATCTCCTCAAGCTTCTTGCAGAACTCTTCATCAAGACCAGTCTCTCTGAGGTTGTCGATCTTGAGGAAAGCCTCTAGAAGAAGAATCTTCAACATCTCTGTGTTACAAGACAAGTGTCTGGAGTCACCCAAGTAGTTCTTGAGGGTGTGCAAGGACTCGCTTTGCACTCTCCATGGACAGTTGCTGCTGTCGTTTCTTTGGGTTGTGAACATCTTGATACCAGCATGCACAAGTTTCAACTTTTGCTCCTCGATCTTCAAAATTTTGGCAATGGTAGGGCTGGCGTAATAAATCAGACGACATGGCTCACCCATGGCGTTTCTGACCAAGGCGGTGTCCTTAGGGAACTTGTCGTTGATGCCATAAAATTCCCAGCACTGCTTCAACTGGTCATTGGATGGATCCAAGAAAACAAAAGGCTCTTCGTTGGCAGTTCTAGGTGCCTTTTGCTTCTTGACTGGAGCGGTCTCCTCCACCTTGGGCTTCTTCTCCTCAGACTCGGTCTCAGTGGAAGTTCTCTTGAGACCCTTCTTGGTGTCGGGCTGCTTTTCAAAAACAGTAATGAAAAAACCACCAGTGTTCTGCAAGTGGGGGTAAACTCTGATACAGCGGTCAAGGTTGAACAGCTTGGCTTCCTCCTCAGAAGGTGGGAAAGCCGTAGATGGCACAGATTCGTCACCTTTCTCCTTGACGGTCATATCTTTACCGTAAACCTCCCAGCTGCTCACACCAGAGCGTCTTTTGAGGCCAGGCAACTCGTCAGAGCAGTCTTTCAAGCTCACGGCAGAACCCCATTTTCTCAAGGCCTCAGCTACAACAGCCTCGTTCTCAATAGGCGACATCGAACAGGTGGAGTACACAAGACGTCCGCCAGGCTTCAACAACTGCAAGCCTCTGTTCAAAATGTTCACCTGCAAAGAGTGCAAGCCCAAGCCGTTGCCCACGGTGAAGTCCTTCCAGACATTGACGTTCTTTCTCATGGTACCGTCACCGGAGCATGGAACATCACACAAGATTCTGTCGAACTTGACGATTTCGCCGTCCAAGTTGATTCTGGGGAACATGGCGGCGTCGTGGTTGACCACCAAGAAATTGGGCGAGTTGAGTCTCTTGACCTGGTGGACCAACATGTGCGATCTCTTGTAGTCCGAGTCATTGGCAATGACGAAACCAGAGGCCAACTCCTGCTCGTCGTTAGCATGCAACGCCTCCACGATCTGGGCTGTTTTCGAGCCTGGAGCAGCACACATATCCAACACAGCGTGGTGGGGCTGAACATCCATGAGAAGTGGAGGAATCATCGACACAGCTTCCTGTCTGGAGATGTTGCCCACGACGGTCTCAAGAACCAAAAAACGCTGAGTTTCAGCAAACTGGGCGTTTTTTCTGATCACCGACTTGGGCACATCGAGCTGCCAGCCCAACTGAGCTGGGTAAAACTCGATGTTCTTGGGAGCGAGCTTCTGGCCTTCAAACTCCTCATCTTGAAGCTTGGCGACGTGGTTGTCGATGAACTTCTGGTTCACCTCCAAAGCATGGCTTCTGGAGCCCGTCACTCTGAAAGTCAAGGGCAAGTCTCTCTGGCAGTGCTCTTTGAAAGTGTCCCACTCGTTTTCGGGAATAAGTCCCAGAGCCTTGTAGTACTTTTCCCACTTTTCGTTTTCACGCTGAACATCGGTCCAGGTGCCGTTTCCGTTAGGCTGTTTCTTGTCTCTTTTTGCGAAACCCTTACCTGTCTTGAAATTCCGTTTGCCCATGGTAGATATCAAGTTGATGGCTCTTCGCATGCACTGAAAAATCGCATCCTCACGATGCGAAGAGCATCGCTTGGGTCTAGTTGGGGGAGATACTGAGGGACGTTTTTGGGAAACAAAAGAGCTGAACTCTTGAAATTGCTGCTAAGGAGATGTAGTGGTCTTGAGAGTTATTTTTGATTTTTTGCATGGACTCTTGATTGGTAGAGCTCTCAGGTGCAATGGCTACGTTATAGTAGGTCTCAGATGCGAGAGTACTAGAGGTCATAAGAGTAAAATCAGAGGTCTGCATTAGAGGCCAATTTTGGTGAAATGCATGTCTTTGGTAAATATCCATGGCTACAGTTTCTAAGATTTGCTAGGAGTATCATAAAGCTGTCCAGATCTGCTTTCTCTGTAGACCGCCGTCACTAAGCATATTGATCTAAACCTATTTAGTTCTCTCTTCGTAGCAATCTTTGGAAACTTAGGCTTAGTTGGTCAGTAAAGTTGTTTGGACATCTTGTGGTGAGACCTTGTCGCAAGACATGCTAAAAGTGTTAAATGGAGAGGCTCTATCGTTCACACCAGATACGATTCTGGACATGTATTTCCAGTACAGAAGTCGGCTTCCTATTAATTTCTAAAGCAATCAGCGATGCAACAAAGTTGATTGAAGCATTTCATAAACCGTTATATCCTAGGACATGCTACATAGGAATGGTGTTTCGATTCATCGCCAATTTACACATTCCAGTTGTCCAAGAAGTAAAAATGCATTTCCATCACAATGAATCAGATCCGTGAAAGTTAAAGACGCTTCCATTTTCCTATTTGACATAATCATGAATCATCAACATCGCATACGACACCCCATTGAAGCATCGCATTGTGCGATAGGCATCAAACCTGGAGAGTACCCTAAGTCCAGCCAGAATCTTTCGAATTCCGAAAAAAAGCCAATTCCACTCACCAGAATCGACCAAACTTCATCTTTCTCACACCTTGAAATAAATATCTTTTGACGTCTCGGACTTTACTTAGACCCGATGGGCTTATCGGTAAGCCGCAAGGAGACGCACCGAAGATTCTCTTCAATTGACACAGAATGCGGGTAGGGACCCCGTTTCAGGAGCAATTGCACAAAAAGGAATGTCAAACCGAGCGGATGTTTCAAGAAAACGCAAAAACACGTTTTTCGATCCACCAAGCGTTTCACTGGATTATCCGGGCTGTATGCGGATATAACCTCATCCTCGGCTCATCGGCCCCAGATTCTCAGGAAGGAGCTTCAAACCAGCCCAGCAATCAAATATTCAATGGTGAGTTTAAAACCTCGCTTAAAAGTATTATTTCTTCTCACTTAATGAAATAAATAAAAATTCTAGGTCCCTCGGAGCTGCTGCTTTGACACATCAAGAGGCGCAATAATCGCGGATACACAAATCCATCTTCTCATTCTTCTTACAACTACGCCTTCAAGTCAAACAGCCACTCAAGTTCATGCCAAACATCAACGCCTCAAGAAAAAAGGTCTTGGGCACGCTTGGCGCAGCTTTGGCATTATACCATAAAAACTACGGCGATGCCCACGGCCTAGGAGGAAGAGTTACCGACTTGGTGAACATGGGCTACTCCTTCAAATTCAAATTCACACACTTTGTCGTGCTAGCGGCATTGGTGTTTGCAAATTTCGTCAAGTGGGCTATCTTTGGCAAATTGACAGCCAACGAGGTGAAGATCCTCAAGAATAAGGCGGGCTATACCGCGTGGGAGTTTTTCTTTGGACTCCTCGTTTTCTACAACACTAGTCCCAGCTTCTTTGATATACAGCGGGAGGTGTTGAAGTATGCATTGTTGTTCTTCTGTGTGTTGCTCGTGAAGTACTTCCACTACTTGACGGCCGACAGGGTACACACATTATATTATTCCCCACAAGCCATCCGTGCTGCCTTCAATGGAAAGCATGTTCATCTACGACTTGCAGTAGGGTTACTCCTCATCTTGCTCGTGGAGGGTCTTCTTATATTCCAATACTTCCAAGACATCATCATGAAGAACCATCTGAGCGAGAACGTGCTAGTGACGATCTTCGGCTTCGAAATCATGAACCAGTCGCCTTTGACGGTTGTGACTCTCCTACAATTCATCCTTGACCTGATAGAGTCCAAAAAAGCATACTCCAACTACACTGCATTCAAAGAACGCAAGCTACGACTTATGTTTGTGGCTGAATTCATCCTCAACGTGCTTCGCTTCGGCATGTCTTGCATCTTCACCTTAATTTTCATGTATTATTACACCTTTCCCGTCCATACGATTCCTTCATCCTACGACAGCTTGAAGGTAGCGGTGATCAAGACGAGAAACCTCGTCAACTTCCGCAAAAAAGAACTTATGATACAGCGGCTCCAAAACCCAACGAGCGAGACCCTCGAACAGAAATGTATCATCTGCTATGAAGAGCTCTCTGTGCCCACCCTGGATACCATCAAGCGGGTGCAGCCATGCGGCCATGGTTTCCATCTTGGCTGCTTGCTCCAGTGGATAGACTTTTCTCCCTCTTGCCCCGTTTGTCGCAAGAGAATTTAGTATTCATCAATAGTAATCGCGGTCGGCCATCGAGAGATCGAGCTCCTCGTGACCGGCGAGTTTGCCCAAGTCTTCACCATCAGTGCGGCCATGAGACTTCCCATTTTCTTTTGATTCATCGTGTAAGCCCTCGTTTTGTCCATCCATGAAGCCGTACCGAGCATGCTCCATGTCAATACCCTGGCTCTGATCTAGATTCACGTCAACCTCGAGGTCATGCTTCAAGCCCATTTCGTTATCCTCAGGCTGGCCATTCTCATCGGCAGCATATTGATCGAAGTAGTCTGGTGAATTGCTTCCCTTGTCCTGTTGATCGTATCCTATTGGCGGTAAATTCGAATCTTCATCCTTCACGTCATGCTGATCATTCTGGTCCTGTTCCAGTCCGTTGGAAGCTTGGTCCGCTTTCAAAGCAGCCTCGTCTTCTTGTAGCAGAGCTTCCCTCTTCTTGGCCTGCTTCTTCGAAACCTTGGTCTCTCCACGTTCTTGTTTGAGTGCCTGTTGCTCTCTGTACTTGGCCAAGTAAATTTTAAGGACTTCAGCGTAATTTTCGAATCCCAAGTCGTGCATCGAGTAAAGGATGTCTTCACCGTTGATGGTTTTCCGCTTGTCCCGTACACACTTGTCGCTGGCTTCACTGGTGATGAAGGATATGAATTCTGAAACACATTCTTGCATACATTCTTTGGCGTCTTTACTGACCTTGGCCGTGGCGGGCAAAGTGTATTTCATAAGACGAGCCACATTGGCAATAGGGAGCCAGCGGTCTTGTTCTCTTAATTCAATATCAGGACTGTTGGCGGCAGCGGCTTCTGCCTCTTCTTTAGTGACACTATAGCTCATGACGAGTGGTGAAAAATCGGTCGTCTTGGAGCGGAATATGTGTTTTGACAAGAATCACCCAATGGCGTTTTGTGTCTAGGTCGACAAAAGTACGTGTTTTGGTATGACGATTAGCAAAGCTGTGAGTGGCTTAATGTAAACTACTCACTCAACGATGTGGAGGATGAACTTTGGATATCTTGAGCCGCGCACGACCAAACATAGCTGTCAAGTGCTGATACAGTGCGTCTAGATCTTGCAGCACTATCTTTTAAAGCAAACACAGTTCTACCAAAATGCCGCCGGTCCCAGGCGTTTCAGGGGCATCCTTTCTTTTTTTAGCCCAGGCCTCCACGAAATTATTTACCTTTGTTTCAAATCAATTGCTTGTGGGTTCTATCTCGCCCGAGGTAATGGGTGTGGTTGCCGTGATGGAATTTTACGTGTCATTCGTACTTTTCTTCAGTCGGGAGGCCGAAAGATTGACCATTCAAAGAGCTACGGGCTCGACAAAGAAAGAAGTTCAGCAAAAAGTCGTTAACTTTGCATACCTACCCTTGGTGATATCTGCAGCCTTATGTACACTTGGGTACTACGGCGTGAAAGATAGCTCAGTTCTACAGACTGGCTTTTTGTTACCTCTTCGGCCAATTGCGTTCTTGCTTCTTTTTGTGCTGATTGTCTCGGAATTGGCGATCGAGCCGTTGTACGCATTGAATCAATATGAACTCAACTTCAAGGTGCGCTCTACCATTGAAAGTACAGCTGTTTTCGTCAAATGCCTAGTTACATTCATTGGGGTGAGGTTGGTCAAATACTATAGCACTAAGAATAGCAGTGGATGGGCAGTCCTTTCATTCGTTGCAGGCCAATTGGGCTATGCCTTGGTGAATGTGGTGGGTTACTTGTACCACTTCAAATTTCGCATTCCAAAAGTCACTAAGATCCAAAAAAAGGAGAACCCCTTCTTCTTTGATCCGGTCCTCAAAAAGCTCTACTTCACGCTTTCTTTCCAGATGTTGTTCAAGCTTATTCTCACCGAGGGCGACAAAATCATGATGGGGTATCTCTTTGACGTTTCTCAACAAGGAACCTATGCTGTTATCACGAACTACGGCTCAATAATTGCACGGCTCATCTTCTTACCGGTAGAGGAGATGCTCAGGAACCTGTTCACAAGGGTCTTTGCAGCAGAGAAGCCTGATGCAAGGCCTGCCTATGCCACCATGGGAAACCTATTGACGTTCTACGTCTACTTTAGCATTATTCTTGTCCTTGGCGGATATTTCAATGGAAGCTTCCTTCTCAGCTTCTTGCTTGGTCGCAGCGCCGCATGGAGAGATTCAGACTTGTTCAGCTTGTTCCCAAGGTACATCCTCTACCTTCCATTCATGGCATTCAATGGAATCTTGGAAGCATTCCAAACAAGCATTCTCAGACAAAGTCAGATAACAAAGTATTCGTACTTTATGTTTTTCCTGACCATCATTTCATCTATTGTCCTGGTGCTCTTGGTACGGGAAAAACAATTCGGCCTCACCGGGCTCATTCTCGCTAACATCACCTCCATGACACTTCGAATTGCATATTGCCTGAAATCATACATTGGCTTTGCCAAAAAGCAAGGAATTCACTTGCACGAGATCAACATTGTTCGGAGAACCGGTTGGTCCGTAGTATACTCGATATTTGCATACTTTTTGCAAGTTCAAATCATCGGTTCCAAAAGCACCTCATTCAAGCATTTCATCATCAGCGGAACAATTTGTTTTTCGTGCCTTGTCGTTTTCGTACTCAGCGAACGGAAATTAATTGAGGGTCAGCTTCTTGCAAAGATGAGACGTAACCGGGGCATGAAAACCAAAGAGCATTAATAGACTAATGAATAACGAATAATCCATAAGTAAAACTTACAAAAAATAACGGAGTCTCAACACACGATACTTTACAAACTGAACTGAAACCAAAGAACGTGCCGTCCGCTTCGCCTCCACCACGGGTAGCCTACTGTGCTGAATTGCTTCCCTCCAGTGATTGTGCTACTCATTGCTGAGGGACGGTGTACTGATTACTCGAGCAACCGCTACCTCGACCGCGGGGATCGAACCGGACACCTTCAATGTAGAACAAACCGCAAAGTACAGAGTCGGTGCGATTCTGCCAAATGCCATCACAGCGCAAAATTTGTCCAAATTGTGATATATATCGTGTTAATTAGGCACCCTATTCGAGATGAAATCTTGCTGAAATTAAGTAGTATTAATTTTAAAAGGGTGCTTGTTGCAATAACATGGTTCATTTGAGCTCTGGAAGTCTGTGGAAAAAGTTAGACGTGATTTACGGCTTTTATGCTGGAATTAGGGTTAGATATCTAGCACGGTGGAATAAAGAGACCAAAAATATGCCAGGTAATTACTTTCGGACCCTCTGAAGGGTTGTACGACTGGTGTGCTAGTTGTTGGTTTTACCGAGGATGCGAGTGAAGTCAATTATCTGGATCTACGGAAAGAATGGAGTTCACGCAATTATACGAATGTTAATACCCTACCTGCCGGTATCGAAATTTTAGTCAATTGAATAATCTAAGTTAGACATGAGTGTAGAAAAGCTTCACGAGTCTTTGGAACTGCAAGACAAGGAAGCAACAAATAATCGTAATTTTGCCTAGAGCTGAATGCTTGGTCATAAGAAATGTATCTCGAATACCCTGATTTTGAACAATGCTGTCGCTTCTAGTTAATGTAAGTTGGATATCCATTTGCATCCAGACAGTGGAGTGCATGGTGCGATATCAGTAGAGAGATGCCCTCTAACCTATCTACTACAAGTACATCACCGTCCTGTCAAATTCAAAACATTAAATTATCCCCATGCTGGTCGTTGATTTGCTGACAACGGTGGGTCAGCTTGCTAGCGTCATCACTCAAAAAACGAAAGAACTAGATAAGCTCAAGGCAGAATATGAAGCGAAGATACAGATTCTTGACAAATACATCGCCAAAGTTACCGAGAATTTACCCGAAACAGACTCGCCCAATAAAACCGAAGCAGCTGAGTTGCTACAAAAAGAACTCCGATGTCAAAATTGTCTGCATCTTATCTACAGTTTGAATGAGCAGTCAGAGTACGTGCTAGTTCCGAAACTAGTCGCCCTAGAAAAGGGAGCTCAGGTGCCGGAGCTACTACAGTCTTTGGAACAGCTCCAGCTTGGCTCAGAAAGTGCCGATTCAACGCCTCCACCTCAGAATAGCCGACCTCCTCAACCTCGAAACAAGAAGCAGCATGCTAAGCTGAAAAGAACCTGCTCCTACTGCGACGAACCAGGCCACACACGAGCCAGGTGCCTTGCAAGATTGAATGGAGAGCCTCCGAAAGCGCAGAGTCAGTGATTGATTCATTCACCCACAACATAGCATAAAGAAACGAGCTCAAGAGCATAACGAATTCCCGAATTTGTATATTGGATAATACAGAAGGTAATGTACACGTGCATGGGCTTCATGGCCAGCACAAGGTTTATTTGCCGGCTTGAACCATGGCCTCTGTTGGTTAGTATCATATCATAGCATCTTTCGAAATTGTACATACCTCTTCTAGAAGCGTCTTGTAGCAAAGTGCAGTCGACGGCACTGGCACTCATGTGAACGTAACGGACAGTAGAACCACGAATAAACAAGGTCTTGACGGCCTTTAAGTGGGGGTATTTCGTCTCGTTCACCGTGGAGACATTGTCCATCTTCAAGTTCAAGTATTGGTCCACAGAACGCAAGGTGCCCTTTATCTCGATGTCATTTTTCAATTCCAAGATGATCTCCTGGTCCACAAGGGTCTTGAAGAAACTGAAGAAGAGCATGGTGTCGGTTTGATGTAGTGAGCTGCTGGGCTATAATTTGTATTTCGGTCGCGGAACGACCTACTGAAAAGGTGGATTCAGAGAGGATCGACTTTCAACGGTTCTACAGCAAAAATTTTTCCCTTTCTTTTTTTTTTTTTTTTTATCTATTAATTCGTGATAAGGAGGAGTTTGAGGATCGTGTCACCAAAGTGGCCCCGTGTAGGTGTTGCTGAAATCTGAGAGTGGTGACAGTTCTCCAGTTACAGGAGCGATATCTGCCTTGATTTTGGAAAGCAGGTTGCGGAATCTCATGAGACTGGAGTCGGTGTTATTTTCAAAGAAAGAGGTCAGCTCCAGCTCTACCCCCGGAAGATTCATCCACTGAAGGTTGGTTTGTTTGTCGTGCTCCTCAGTCTTCATTTTGCAGCCATGCTTGCATAACCGCTCAGGCTCTCCCATAGATGCTGGAGGCAGCCTGAAAAAACTGCTATTTGCGGAGGTCCCATTGGTCAGGGGTACAGTTAAAGGAACAGGCAAGTCAAGCTCAAAGTCCTGATCCGGTGCTAGTATCCTCAATTCTTGTTGCACTTTTCTGTACTCTTCCAAGGCATCGTTCACGGTGTTGTCCTGCTGTAGAAATGCTGGATCTATTTCTGAGCTTCTGAACCCATAGCTGTTTGATTCTCGTGGGGTACTGGGCATGCTGGTCATAGGACTTCCATCAATGTTGAGTTTGACCTTGGCAGGATCATGCTCTTGCAACTGGTTTGACGAGAAGGAGGCATCCTTAAGTTTTGAAACTGGAAGCTTCAACGTGACTATGTGGCCCTGTCTTGGTGTCAGTGATTCCATTGGCGAGGAAAGTAGGGCAGTATCGATATTAGGGTCGGAGATCTGGTGCTGAGTTCTTCTCCTGGAGTTGCTTCTATCAACGTGTTCACCAGAGTAGACATTGAAACGATTCTGGGCTTGCCCTTGAACCCTTCTAAATGCTGTAACCAAGAACTAGGGTCCTGTGAATGAAGACAAGAACGTTTTGACGGTACACTAGTGGTTGAATACTCCATCGGCGACATTTCAGCATTTTTGCGTTTTTGTCCAAAATCATTCTCCTTATTGGCCTCTGCTGGCGCTTCCGAAACGTAGTTCATTGGTGACCTTCCACGGATGTTGAGACATGGAGTTTCTGAAGTAGCCAATAGCCTAGTCTCGCCATTTTCCAACTCACACATCAATCTGATGACCAATTTGAACTTCCGATTGCATCCAAGGACGAAATGCTTGCTGACCGTCAGAAACTGCATTCTCTCATATCGAGCAACACGAGCTATCTCTGCATCCTCTGGATATGAAGCCAACGCACTGCTACTCTCAAACTCGTTCCTTTCCTTCTCGGTCAAATAGAATTGCTCATAGCACTTGTCAATTCTGTTGGGATTTCTGATGTTGGCGATCAGCTTCATGAAACCATGCAGTGGGAGCTGACCAGGAACAATGTTGTACACTGGTGGCAGAAACTGAGGTCCCTTATCTCTTTTTGATGTATGTTGAACGAGGAACTTGCCCGTGTCCCCGGTATCCAAACAATAGTCAAAAAGACCGAGCTTGAAGCAAGAGATCTGGTGCTTTTCTCCTTCTTGGTCTACAGTGTAGAAGGACTCAGTAGAGCATATGTCAACCGACTGACCGTGAAAATGGAAAGAGGCCACCAACGCAAAATAGTTCCTTTTGTACCCAATCCAATCACCATCTTCCCTATCGAAGCCTCTATCGCTTCTGGCGTTGATGACAGGTTCAACTCGGGCTCCAGTCAGAGAGTATATGGGTAGGACAGAAGAGGTGGGGCTGAAGGGAGGACCTATTTTGAATTGGGTGAGAGAGCGGGGAGCTGCCCTTTTTGCGGTGGGCAAGTTTGCCATGGAGCTGCTTTGGAGGACTTTTCCGCCCATGTTTATAAAAAAAGAGGAGATGGAAGAAGACTAGAAATGGCTGCAAATCGAGCATAGGCAATATGTGCGAAGTCCGCGGCAGCCTTTATGAGCACACCACGACCACTGATGAGCATCGCGATATCGATACTGCAATTTTCAAGAAGGAGATCAGCTTCAATATGGGAAAAAAGGCCATCGACTCCCGTATTCCGGCGCTTATCCGGAATGGTGTCCAGGAGAAGCAGAGAAGCTTCATTATAATTGTGGGCGACAAGGCCCGTAATCAGCTTCCTAACTTGCACTATCTTATGATGAGTGCAGACTTGAAGATGAACAAGTCCGTGCTTTGGGCTTACAAGAAGCAGCTTTTGGGCTTCACTTCGCACAGAAAGAAGAGAGAGAACAAGATCAAAAAGGAGATCAAGAGAGGTACCAGAGACATCAACGACCAGGACCCCTTTGAGGCATTCATCTCCAACCAGAACATCAGATACGTCTATTACAAGGAGACCGAGAAGATCTTGGGTAACACATACGGTATGTGTATTTTGCAAGATTTCGAGGGTATCACGCCCAACTTATTGGCTCGTACTGTTGAGACGGTCGAGGGTGGTGGTCTAGTTGTGATGCTCTTGAAGTCCATGACCTCGCTTAAGCAGCTTTATACCATGACCATGGACATTCACTCAAGATACAGAACCGAGGCTCACGATGATGTGGTGGCTCGTTTCAATGAGCGTTTCCTTTTGTCCTTGGGATCGTGTGAGACCTGTTTGGTCGTTGATGATGAATTGAACGTCTTGCCTATTTCTGGTGGTAAGCATGTCAAACCTCTTCCTCCTGCTGACGATGGTGAGCTTACGCCAAAGCAACAGGAGCTCAATGGACTTAAAGAGTCTTTGGCTGATGTTCAACCCGCTGGCTCTCTTGTGGCTCTTGCAAGAACGGTTAACCAGGCTCAAGCTATCTTGACGTTTGTGGATGTGATTTCTGAGAAGTCATTGAGAAACACCGTCACCTTGACTGCCGGCAGAGGTCGTGGTAAGTCTGCTGCTCTCGGTATCTCCATTGCGGCTGCTGTTTCTCACGGTTACTCCAACATTTTCGTGACTTCCCCTTCTCCAGAGAACTTGAAGACCCTCTTTGAGTTCATTTTCAAGGGTTTCGACGCCTTGGGATACACTGAACATATGGATTACGATATCATCCAGCTGACGAACCCGTCCTTCAACAAGGCCATTGTCAGAGTCGACATCAAGAGAGAGCACCGTCAGACCATCCAGTACATTTCACCAAACGATAACCACGTTTTGGGCCAGGCTGAGTTGGTGATTATTGATGAAGCCGCTGCCATTCCCTTGCCTGTGGTTAAGCGTCTTATGGGCCCCTACCTTGTCTTTATGTCCTCGACCATCAATGGTTACGAAGGTACCGGTCGTTCGTTATCGCTCAAATTGATCCAGCAGTTGAGAGACCAATCCAGAAACAACTCCTCCAATGAAGAGACCACCATAGTCTCTCGTGACAAGAAAGGCATCGACATTGACACAGCATCTATGGCCAGAACTCTCCGAGAGGTGGTCTTGGATGAACCCATTCGTTACGCTCCTGGCGATCCAGTTGAAAAATGGCTCAACAAGCTCTTATGCTTGGATGCTACTCTCACGAAAAATGCCCGTTTTGCTACCAAGGGTACTCCACACCCCAACGAATGTCAGTTGTTCTACGTGAACAGAGACACCTTATTCTCGTACCACCCAGTGTCTGAAGCATTTTTGCAGAAGATGATGGCTTTGTACGTTGCTTCCCACTACAAGAACTCTCCAAACGATTTGCAGTTGATGAGTGATGCCCCTGCTCACCAGTTGTTTGTTCTTCTTCCTCCAATCGATGCTGGTGACAACAGAATCCCAGACCCCTTGTGTGTGGTTCAGTTGGCACTTGAGGGTGAGATTTCCAAGGAATCCGTCAGAAAATCATTGTCTCGTGGCCAGCGTGCTGGTGGTGACTTGATCCCATGGCTTGTTTCTCAGCAATTCCAGGATGAGGAGTTTGCTTCCTTGAGTGGTGCCAGAGTCGTCCGTATTGCTACTAACCCTGACTACGCTGGAATGGGTTACGGTTCCAAGGCTTTGGAGTTGTTGCAGGACTACTTCGAAGGTAAGTTTACTGATATCAGTGAATCCAATGTTCTCAATGACCACCAGCTCCAAAGAGTTTCTGATGCTGAATTGGAGGGTGCCTCCCTCAAAGACGAGATTCGTCTTCGTGATGCTAAGGCTCTTCCTCCTCTTTTGTTGAAGTTGACTGAAAAAGCTCCATACTCTTTGGACTACTTGGGTGTCTCTTATGGTATGACCCCACAATTGCATAAGTTCTGGAAACGTTCTGGTTTCGTGCCAGTGTACTTGCGTCAAACTGCCAATGAGTTGACCGGTGAACACACAAGTGTCATGATCAAGGTGTTGAAGGACAAGAACGATGCCTGGCTCCACGAGTTCGCCAAGGACTTCCACAAGAGACTCTTGAATTTACTTTCGTACGAGTTCAGAAAGTTTACTGCCGTTCAGGCTCTCAGCATTATTGAATCTGCTGAGCTGGGAGAAGGTGCTACTGAAAAGGCCAAATTCGGCAGAGATGAGCTTGATGCTATACTTTCGCCATTTGACTTGAAGAGATTGGATTCTTACGCCAACAACATGTTGGACTACCACGTCATTCTCGACATGCTCCCATTGATTGCATCGCTTTACTTCACCAAGCGTACTGGCGATAAGGTCGGTTTATCGTCTGTCCAAGCAGCCATTTTGTTGGCTGTTGGATTGCAGCACAAGAACTTGGACGATGTTTCCAAGGAGTTGAACTTGCCACCATCCCAATCTATGGCTATGTTCTCCAAGATCGTTCGTAAGTTCTCAACCTACTTCCGTGAACTTCTAAGCAAGGACATTGAGAAGAGCATGCCTGCTCTCGAGGACGATGAACTTCGTGAGATGAACGGTGAGGAAGCCGTTAGATACGACGCAGAAGCAGTTGAGCAAGAGCTTAATGAAGACTTGAATGCTGCTGGTAAGGAAGCTGTTTCTGAATTGAGAACGAAACAAAGACAGCTTATCGACGCTCTTGACTTGAGGAAATACGCCATCAACGACGATGTCAAGGAGTGGGACGACAAGGCTGCCGAAAAGGCCGTCAAGGGAGACGGTGTTGTCAGTGTCAAGAGTAAGAAGACCAAGAGAAAGGGAGACAGTGCAGACAATATCCTCGAGAGCGAGATGAAGAGCAAGTCTAAGAAGAGCAAAAAGAGAAAGTGATCTCGCCACAACCTGTATATCTATAATAGCATACCTGGAAACTAGAGGGACATTTGCTGTAGGGCCCAGCGAGTCATTTGCAAGAGATTGGAGGTACCATCGTTGTTGAAGTCGGCGATTCCAAGCAGTTTCGACTGCTCAGTAAGCTTCGTTTCGACATCCTCATTCTCAAATAAATGCTTGTGTGTTCTCTTGTACTCGGGCCAGACGATGTTGTCGAAGTAATTTGGAGGATCCTCCCAGAACCCGTCGACTGTCTGATACCCAGGCCTAGACTCTCTTCTATCTTTCAAGACATCGTGGGGGCCATGAAAGAACAATTTCTTGTCAAACAACAGCAGAATTGCCTCGTCATGGAATAACATGAACCCTTCCACAAAGATCAAGCGTTTTCCGCTTATCAGCTCGAGAAAGACATCCACTGCAGGCTTCAACTCAGCCACATCCTTCTCGTCCAACCTCAATGGCGTATCCATTTCTAAGCTTTTCACCGGAAGGTTGGCGCCATCGCTTTTCCGAAGCTCTTTGATGTAATTGCTGAACTTCTCCCACTCTATAGCCTCAGGACAGTCCCAGTTAGCAACATTGTGGGTGTGGTCATTTGGAATCTGATCGTCCGGGTAGTAAAAATCGTCTAGGTGTATGAGGGTCGCCTTAGGAAGAAGCAGATAAAGAGCTCTAGCAACAGTGGTTTTTCCAGATGAGGAGGGGCCACCAATACCCACTATAACTAGAGACATGGTTGTTGATAACGATCTGCGCGAATTGCAACCATTGAGGCTTGGGATGGGATAGCGGGGGTTACAGATTTACGATTGGGGAAAAAGTTTAAATGAAGAGTTAAAGTCAATAAGGGAACAATGGTAAAATTCAAAAATCCAAATTTTCAAGATGATGTGGGCTTGCGGCGTTGACTTCCACTTTCGTCAATGCACCGCAGATTGAGCACAACAAGTTCTCCTTTTTACCCAACAACGCGTGGCATTCTGACGACCATAGTAGTTTACGCAGGTGTCTCAAAACATCTATTTCCAAAAACGACTAAACTGACACATACTTATGTAAGCAACTCGTTTGGCTCAAGAGCACTTAGTTCATGGTAGAAACATGAGTAATAAGCTTTGCATTCGGACTTTTGAAAAGCATCTCTTATCAGCAGGCCTGACCTTCGTGAAGATTGCTGTCATCAGCCCTTGGCGAGATCTGGTATAGAGTCTGGTGACAAGCTTTTGAGTACTGGCTTGCGCCTGATGACAGCATCAATATTTCTGCTTTAGGCAGTAATGTCAAGCCACACACAACTCACAGACAGAGTTTCGGACTTCAGGCACCGCGTCTAGATAGAAGCTTTTCCAAGGTTGATGCCGTATGGGTTATGCAAGCCAGGGTGCATGGTCTCCTGGAGGCCAGGTCGGAAAGGTATATTCAACGAGCCATAAAGAGGCACAATCCATGGTACGATAACCAGAACAAATATCTGCGGTAATGTAGTCAAGCCCCCATCACAATCACATCTGCAACGAAACAGACCATTAAATAGACTTCTGATACTCTACAATAGTTGACCCCAGGACCCTTCTTCCAAAGTTTCAGCAAGCATGCCGTAGCTCTAACCGTATTCAGGAGCAACAATTCCAGTCTCTTTCAAACAAAGGGTTTGGCTGTGGGGGCATATTTGTGTAAAACCCAAGAAACAATGAATGAGCATCCTCTCAACGGCAACTCCAAGAGCGGTCGGCCAAAAGGGGAGACGGCTGATCTCCACCTGAGTAATCTAGATATTGTCATCTGCAAGGAACCGATTTCCCAGATTGTGATCTACAGTGGGTGCATTCCACCACGATTGATGCCGCATGAGGAAGAAAGACAAGTGGGGACCAGAGGGCTTAGAGCACAGGTGACAGTGAAAATTCTTCTGTCAAGCCCCTAGGCCCAATTCTCCTCTCATCAATCAGACGATCGAACAACAAAGAGGACCCCGGGAATACATTCCGTTACATCACGACCAACATTGGCTGCCAAATAAGGTGTTTTTGATGTCACCATTGCAGGAAAAGCGACGGCGTGGAAAAGGGGGTGCGGAGTGGGTGGACCCTAGGAGTTGACGGTTTCGGAGTAGCAAGACACCGAACAATGCTCCGAAGTGGGTATGCTTGTGGGTACTCCTATCTGCGAAGGAGAGATGCCTGGAAGAAGAAAAGGAGCAAAGGAATGACGAGTGCTGAAACGGGAAAGTGGGCCATGAGCCCCCGAGGGAGCGTAGGGCTGGTGGCTGCAAAATATATTAAAAAACTACAAGCTTCGCTTAGGCATGTGAAAGGCAGCATGTGAAAGGGCAGTTTTGTGGCACTTTTTTTGACACCCGAAGCATGGGCAGCGACACCCCTGGTTGAGAGCAACGTAAACGACGCAGGTGGGCGGCAGGAACAGCAGTGGCGGCAGCAGGTGGGTGATGAGGAAGCAATTGAAGAAGAACACCAAAACGGTATTGGTGTCGACGCGAGAGTTGCCCAATGCGGCAAAGTGATTGCAACCATTTTGCCGTATGGGGAAATAAAGTGTGATGGGTGGTGCACAGAGCATGCGCACCTAAACTAGAGGTGCAGCCGTTTCCACGGGAACGCATGGAGGAAAAGCACAGCGTACTGATTGTATTTCGTATAAACGGGTCTCCATGCAAACCGAAAGCAGAACTGGGGCCGCAACAACCAAGCACTAGACGCCCGGCAGCAGTGCCGGCAGCAGACAATCACCGCATACGGAAAAAGTGGGAAAAGTGGCATTACCCGATCTGGTAACTGCCCGTGCGTCTGGCTGCTGCAACACAATTACAGCCTAATTACTCTTTCACGTACCCTAATCATTCCCTAATTTGTATGTGTCCGAAGGAATGCAGCGTTCCAAAACATTTGTCCTTCCTCACGCCATCAGCGGTGCCTGTCCGGGCGGGTTGATCCGTTTTTTTTTTCTTTTATTTGTTACTATTCTTTGCACACCTTTTCTTCCTGGCCACTTTTTCCACCAACCGCCCCCATTCGCTTCCACCACCCCTTAAGGGCATGCCCCCTAGCCCTCATCCTAGCATATTATAGACGTCGCCACAGACAACAACCCCCTGCCAGTCCAGTGCAATTTTTGAATTTTTGCCCAAAAACTTATCCAAAGTGTTATCCCTCGTGAATCTTATGAATACGCCTTCAGGCATGGCCTCTGCCGCTGTTGGCAGTAACCACCAGTCCGACGACCAAAAGAAAGAGCTGTCGCCAGCAAGCTTCCTACCCAGCCTAAAGTCCTTTGACATTGACCCCAAATACAAATATCAGGCTCCACAAGAAGAGCATCTCAAGCCCAAGGCTGCCAAACTGGCTCCCCATACTACAGCACACTCCCGACTGAGCCTGCTATCGCTGGAAAACCCGCTCAAATCGCCATTGGAGCCTCCCCACGGCGACGTGCTACGGGCGCTTCTGCTCCCTCTGGACAAACCCTGGCCTTACTCGGAAGACACCCTCAATGAGCTCATTCGGCTTCGCATCGAACAGGAAAAGACCAAGCACACACAGATCAAGCACGACTTGGGCCAGGTTGTGTTGGAGCTTTTGCGGGAGGCGCAGCAGCACGAGATCTCCAGCGACGTGATTCGCCGTCTTTTCCTCAACGACAACCCCCACCTGTATGTCCACTACCTCCAGACTCACCTACAAGGCATTTCGCAGCCACCGGCTATTTCGCAGCCTCCAGGCCTGCAGCCTCCGTCGTCCTCGCAGCCTGTTGCATTGGGTGCAAAACGGAAAAACTCCACCGATAGTGTCCATACGCCAGGAACGGAAAACGAGTCCAAACCGGCCTCCCAGGCTCAAAGCAGGGCTCTGCCGAAAAGCGAGTCCAAACTGGTTCCACCCCAGCCTCAGCCAACCTCCCAACTGCCCCAGGTTCCTGTGGTTCCTCAGCACCTCTACCCAGTGTACTATGCTTATCCAGAAGGCCAGGCTGCTCCACAAAACACGAGCAAGCCCGCCGCCAACCCGCCAACCGCCCAGGCGCCTCACCACCTGAAGCTGACTTCTCAGCTGGAGGAGTCAGAAAACTTGGGACTGCCTTACTCCCACAAGTACCCTGTGGTGTACCAGCTGCTGCCACTACAGTATCCCAGAACGCCTGGTCTGGGCCCCAGCGGCCGCCTCCTCCCCAGACGCAGCCGCCTCCTTACTACTATGTTAATTCGTCGCCCCAGGGTGTGCCAGGTCCCCTTATGCCCTCACAGTACTTTGTGCCGCCTCCGGTGGGAACGGTGTTCCCATGGGGCCAGGCGCAGGCGCCAGCACCTGAGCGGGAGGACCGCCCGAAACGGCACAAGGCCAGCAAAAATGGCATCAACTTCATGATCACCACGCCCAAGAACCCGCCGGCTAAGAAGTACAACAAGCTGTGAGCGTATATACCCTTGTCAATACATGAACAGAGAAAGCGGACGGAGCATGGATTATATGATTTGGGTCATGAGAATATGTGTTAATTATTTAGATAGGATAGATGTGCTGCTGCTAGGCCATGGCTTGCACAGTCGAGCTTCAGCCATTGCGAGATGAGATCATGATATTGAATATAATGCGATTACCAGAAGTTTGAATGTATAGCTCTTTCTTATCCACCTCAATATGGGTGTTGCGCAAAGAGTGATTTCACACAATCACTTGTCCCTTACATCTCGGTTTTGTGACCAGATCTTTATGTGGAGAGGCTGTATGTTCAAGATGTCACTGCAGCTTGACAGGGAGTAATCCATTGCTTGATGCATGCTTATCTTTAGACGCCAACGGAATTCAGTCTGCTCATTCCGAGAAGACGAAAACAATCGCAATTGAAAAGCGCCAATCCGAGCACCAAAGCAACTCAGATGAATTGAAACAGCCGTATTTTATGCGATCTATCGCCTCACCCTCCTCCGTCTTCTCATTGTCGCAATCGCACAAGCGGAAATCTGTGAACAAAGCCGACAGATATCAACATACCAGAATCTAAAAATAAGATCCAGCTACTGTTCAATTTGAAGCCTCGAGGAATAGACAAACTTTTTGACAAGTGCAACAGCCTCGCCTATGTCCCATAATGAAGAGCCGCTAAGATATGCATAGCTTATCTCTTATCTCTTATCGCGACGATCAAAAACGCCATAGCCAACGATAACTGTGTAGATTTTCCGCTACTTCAGCAGACGTACCGGAAGTCAAGTCTCTTTATTTAAGCAACTTCAACTTTATACTGTGGTAGCCGCTCTTCTCAATTCATAACCAAGATGCTTCATCCTGTGCTTTCCGGCGAGGAGATTCTCGAGGCTGTCACTTCGGACAAGCGATATTTCAACAACACACACAATGTCGAGCTGCCTCTTCCGGATGCCCTTAACGCAACTTCAGATAATGACCTTCTTGCACAGATCGGTTACAAGCCTGAGCTTAAACGTCGATTCAACACAATACAGGTTTTCGGTGTTGCCTACTCCATCATGGGACTTTTGCCCTCTGTGGCATCCATCTTAAATCATGCTCTCTTGGCAGGCCCAGCAGGTGCGATCTGGGGCTGGCTCATCTCATCCGTGTTGATTTGCACTATCGGTTTGGCTATGAGTGAGAATGCCTCGTTCCAACCCACTTCAGGTGGACTTTACTACTGGACAAACTTTTATGCCCCAGCTAGATTTAAGACCGTTATTTCATACGTTGTGGGTAACACAAACTCCATTGCCTTGGTTGGAGCGCTTTGCTCTGTGGATTACGGATTTGCCCAGGAGCTCTTGTCTATTGTGGTTATCGCTACCGATGGCGATTTTGAAGGCACACCAGCAAAAACGTACGGTGTCTTCGTTGCTTGTGTTGTGGCACATATAGCCTTGACGTGTCTTTCGTCCAAGAATTGTGCTGCTTTACAAACCACCTCCATCATCTGGAACACTGGCTTGGTTGTCTTGTTCATAATTGCCATGCCTATCGGCGCCTCTCGCGGTGGATTCCAAAAGGCTAGCTGGGTATTTGGCGAGTTCGACAATCTCACAAAATTCCCCATGGGCTGGAATCAGCTTTCTCAGGCTTGGTTGCCTGCTATCTGGACCATTGGTGCATTCGACTCTTGCGTCCATATGTCAGAAGAATGTAACAATGCCACCAGGACCGTCCCAATAGGCATCTTGGGTTCCATCAGCGCCTGCGGCATCCTTGGCTTTGTTTTGTTGATCGTTACCTGCTTTTGCATCCAGAACCCTGATATCGAGAACCACATCTTGGGAAGCAAATTCGGCCAGCCCATGGCTCAGATCATCTACGACGCATTCGACACTGTTCCTGGCCAAGGAAAAGGTATGGCTATTGCAATGATGGCCCTTATTGCAATTGGCCAGTTTCTCATGGGTGTTTCCATCTTGACTGCCATGTCCAGACAAATTTTCGCTTTTGCCAGAGACAACGGTCTTCCAATGTCGTGGTGGATCAAGAAGGTCAACCAGAAGTTGTCGGTTCCCATTCACGCTGTCTTCACTGGAGGTGCTGCTGCTATTGTAGTCGGCCTTCTTTGTATCATCGGTGATGCTGCTTCCTCAGCTTTGTTCACGTTGTACGTTGCTGGTAATTACTTTGCTTGGGGAATGCCTACGTTCTTGCGTCTTCTATCCATGAAGGAGAAGTTCAGACCTGGTCCCTTCTTCTTGGGTGAGTTCTGGAGCAGGGTCAACGGATGGATATCCACCTCTTTCATCGCTTTCACTATCGCCATGGTCATGTTCCCAACAGACACTAACCCAACGAAGGACACGATGAACTATACCTGTGTGATCACACCTGGAGTGTGGATCTTATCCTTGATCTACTACAAGGTGTATGCACATAAGGTGTACCATGGACCTGCTAAGACCGTGGCTGTTCCAGGAGAAGGAAGTAGTGACGAGAGTGAAGTGGAGCGTGTTCGCCAAGAGGTAATGGGTAAAGGATCTGTAAGGTCGTACGAAAGCGGCTGAGTACATAGATAAAATTAATGGGAGAGAGCCAAATGTAGTTATTTTGATTGGAAAGAGGATTTGACGATAACAGCAAACGTCTGCTTATTCTATTCAAATCAGCACTCGATGCAGTGTTGTCGAACAGAATTAGAAAGACGGTCCATTGCTGCAAAAGCGCAATATGTACATGCATCCGCTGATGCGGCTACCAGTTCGATCTCCGAGAGTTATCACCGAGAAACCTACAAATCAACGTCTTTTCAAAGACTCATTCTCATGCAGCCCGTGACTGGTGCATTCCCGTATTCATTTCATTGTTGTCACGGTTCATGCTTCAATGTGAGTCACTGGCTGCAAACGCGAAGACCAACTAGACTAAACAACATCAGACTGGTGTCACACATCCAGGAATTCACTATTCGAAAGTCCTCTTCAACTTTACAATTTATGAAAATGACCCCCTTTTTTCTCTCCATCCATTTAAGCTTCGTGGATCCGCCTTGACGCAGGTACATCGAAACCGTTGATAAGCCCGCAGATAAGCCCACACCGCCTAAGACCTACCACTCAAACTTAATTTCGTCAAAACACCTCCTTCTCCATCTTCACCCGAAAGCCTCACTCCCGTCTATGACCCTTTAATTTTTTATCTTATCGCAAAACCATGTCCTGTGCCCCCTGTGCCCTACCATTGTGGCACCTCGGTGGTTCGGCAGCTAGCACCGAGCGCAGCGCATCAGCCCTTATATAATCTCCACAAACCACTGTGTTTTCAAATCACACAACATTCAACGCCAGATGAGTCCGGGCAGCCTAAAACTGGATACTAAAGCAGACGCCCTGCGGCCTCTGCTGGACTCTGACCCCAACGAGACGCTGTCTGATCTTCGGAATGACGCCTCTTCTCTGGTTGCAAATGAGATGCTACCTCCTCCTTATACCATATTCGACAGCTGGCGCCGCTACGTTCTTATGGCGTTGCTCAGTGTGGTAGGAATCTGGAGTTCTGTGCTGAATCCAATTTACTTCCCTGCGTTGCCCACGTTGACCAGTGAGTTTGGTGTATCTCTGGAAGCCATGAACCTCACTGTGGTGGCGTACTTAGTGTTTCAGGGCATCACCCCGACATTCACGGCGAACTTTGCCGATACTTATGGCAGAAGGCCCATGGTGTTGATAGCATTTCTCATCTACATCGGCGCTAGTATTGGCCTAGCGGTGAGCGACACATACTGGCTTTTGGTGTTCTTACGATGCGTCCAAGCAGCTGGAATTGCCCAGGTTATCGCCATTAATTCGGGTATTGCAGGTGACGTTTGTGTGCCGCAAAACCGTGGCGCTTTTGTGGGTGTGGTATCAGGAATGCTCTTGGTGGGTCAGGCATTTGGCTCGCTTATTGGTTCTGGACTTATATCGACCTGGAACTGGCGTGCAGTGTTTGTCTTTCTTGCCATCGGTGCCGGCGTCACCTTAATTTTTATTTTCATCCTTCTCACCGAGACGTGTCGAAACATAGTGGGAAACGGCTCTGTCAAGCCCAAGAACCCTCTCCATGCTGCTCCTGCGCTTCTTCTACCGGGATACAAACAGTATGTTAATAACGACCGTTCTACTTTGGCAACTCGTGTGCCACTAGACTTTTTGGCTCCTTGGAGGATCTTGATCAAACCCACAGTCATCGCCGTGCTTCTTCCTAGTGGCCTCCAGTTTGCCTCATGGACAATGTGCTTGACCTCCTTATCCACGGCTCTTGAAGACGAGCCTTATAATTATACAGTCATACGTGTCGGTTACATGTACTTGCCCCAAGGTATTTGTTGTCTTGCAGCATCGATTATCGCTGGAAAGGTGCTCAACGACTACTACCGCTGGCGTCGCAAAAAGTACGATGAAACTTACGCCAACCACGACAAGGAGAGTCGTCCACCTTTCAACAAGATTCGTGTCCGTCTCGATGTCGCCATCATCCCCACGTTTATGACATTGTTGGGCCTCTTGCTTTTTGGTTGGATGCTCGACAAGAAAAGCAGTGTCGTTGGTGTTGTGATTGGCCTGTGCTTTGCCTCTTTTGGAAGCTCGTCCTTCATTGCTGTCGTCACCACCATGCTTGTGGACCTCTTCCCTGCGAGAGGCCTGGCTTCCACTAGTTGTGTCAATTTGGTGAGATGTATCCTTGCTGCGGCCTTTGTAGCAGCAATGGACCAAATGGACAGTACTATGGGCATTGGCGGAGTCTACACGCTTATGGCTGCATTATGTTTGGCGAGCAACGTGTTGTTGGTCGTCGTTGTTGTACAATACCTGAAGAAGTTGAAAAAGGGAAACTTATAGACTTGCATTTATAGATCACGATAGATACGAACAAATCCCGATAATTTCATACGATAAAAAGAGCGGCAAACATAATCCACATACTGGCATCAGGACGAGAGCCTGCGGATTGGTAACCTCTCCCACCGCCGCTGTAACCACCTCTGTAACCACCGTAACTGCCCCTACCGCCCATACCAATGCCAACGCCAAATTTACCAAAGGAATCAATAAAATTGTTACCCAGTATCGTTTCTGACTCCTCTCCATCGTCACTACCGTTGATTTTAATACTGGACACAGTTTCATTAGTTCGAGGACCAGTTGAATTATTTGGCACAGACGTTGGAAGCAGTACATAAGATGTCAGCAGAATCTGGGTAGGCCTGGAATCCGTGGTGTTTGTGTACAAAGGAGCTAGTGTGGGGTGGACTACCGCCGAGGATGGTGGTCTCGAGACTTCCAACGTAGGAAATTTAGTTTTGCTTTCAAAAGATTCTCCATCAACAGTTAGTTCCATGGTTACGTCTGAGGAAATGACAAAGCTTCCTCTTTTGGACACTGTAGACGGACTTGTAACTGCAATTGTTGTTGGGGAGCAGCCTTCGTTGTCACAGCCGGTTACCACAAAAGTGGTAGCCTCTGGGCAATACGTAACGAAGTCAGTTGCGGTAGTAATAACATGCTCTGTGGATATACTAGTCAGTGAATTTCCTGACAGGTTGTAGGTCGCGTAGATCGGAGTTAGCGAAGCATTTCTCAGGCCCAAGGCAATACCAAGCAAGGCTAAGGATGTGATAAAAGACAGAAAGGTCATTGGACATTTAAAGTAGACGTAAAACGTCCATTAAATAGTTTTCAGCTGTATGCTGGCCGTTGAATCCAACAGCAAAGAATTATCTTTCCGGCGGCTGTGTTCACGAGGGGATTTGCCAAATATCAGGAAAATATTTTCGGGTTAGACCGTTTGCACCCGGTTTGCTCTCTCTATGTGTGAGCGTTCATTGTCCGCATTACACGTTCGCTGCAAGTTGATGCGCCGAGTCATGTCAATCAGTGTGAGATGCTGCGAAATACCGTTGACTTTTTGCCCTTTGCATGACAAATCTCCTAACCGAGTAGTGAGCTAATTTCTGACATAGCAGATGTAAATCCAAAACAATGGGGACTTAGTTCGCAACCTTTTCAGCTTCTTCCGGCTCATCAATGAACGCAGGCAACTTGTCCGGAGCCGGGTCGGCTTCATTCAAGTAGCTAGGCACGCCCAAACCTGACTCATTCATTTCCGATTCGAAATCCATCTCCTCTCCCAAAGCATCAAGCTCGGCATCCAACTCCAGCTCGGAAATGTCGTCAGGGACGTCATAGCTTGTCAGAAGAGACTCCTGAAGCTCGTTGGACTTCTCTATAAGATCCAACATTTCATCTTGCAACAGTTCAATCTTGTCGATGTCGATTTTGCCATAAGTTTTCTTCAACTGCTTGTTCGCTGTCTTCATGGCGTCCACAGTAATCATTGTGTTCTGGAGGTTATCTGTGGTCATGGATGCCGAGGTCATGTTCCACAGCTGAGTCTCGAGCTGGTCCTTCTGAGCTTCAATTTGCTTTCTCTGTCTCAAGAGTTTCAATGCTTTCTGCTTCAATGCGTTCTTGCCTGGACCGTCTCTCATGCGGCTTATCTTCTGCTGATACGTGGACAACTCCGAATTGATTTTCGATAATTTGACATCTAGCAGTCCAACGCGTTCATCGATATTTTTGACGGCATCGTTGAGCGATGGCTTGGGTGCATTGCTTTTTGTTCCAAAGAGTCTATTCATGTTGTAGTAGATAGTTGATAATGACTTTCGCACAAGTATGCGGAGGTGGCGCTACTCCATTTGAAGATATCACTACCGAGCCAATTTTCTTTTTTTTTTTTTTTTTTTTTTTTTTCTTCCGAGCCAAGAACTGCAACTTGAGCTTCTACATTTAATTCGTGCAAGCATTCTCAGAAATGACAGCTTAGCTGCCTTGGATCCAGGCGAGTGAGGTACTTACATATTCATTACAGAGGCGGCTCCGACTCATATCACTACGCTATGAGGATGATAATTTTATTTTTGGCTAAATATGGGGAATGAAGGGCGAAATTGATTATTTGTAACCTTTTCTGTGGCTCCCTTTCTGCCCATAGATGCTTTTTTCTTACGCCTTTTACCATTGTAAAAGGGTAGCTCAACGACAAAACAAAGCGTTCGAGCTAAAGGAGCTTAATCTTGCCGAATCTGGCTGAAAAGCGTATCGCTAATTGAGCATATTGATGTAAGTCTTCCGTGAAAGTTTCAGCTCTTCAAAGTCAATATCCATCATTTTATGCGGATTTTGGTCTGCTTTATTATCCTATATAGATAACCTGTTGCGCACTTTCCGCCACGAAGCGCTTCACTAGCTCAGTAGGCAGAGCGTCAGTCTCATAAGCAAGCTTGTGTTATCTGAAGGTCGAGAGTTCGAACCTCCCGTGGAGCACTTCTCTTTTTGCATCGCGATTAAACCCTTATGCCTGAGGTAGCAGAGGTATGTGATAACTTCTTCAGTTATTTTTTGTTTTTATCTTTCGTTATCTAACAGCAGGTGGCTCACGTCTGTGCGCTTCTTCGGAGGAATGTTTTGGGCTTTAAGATCAAAGAGGCAAAGCTCAATGTCGATACATTGCTCTTTCCAGCGCTCAAGACTGCTAAGGACCCTGAAAGCACGCTAAGTACGTTCAGAGATAGTCTTAATGGTGCTGAAATATCCTCAATTGGCCGCCATGGAAAGTACTTTTGGATGAGGCTTGCTAAACCCTCGTTCCCGCCCACTGTGATGTTGATGCACTTTGGCATGACGGGAATGATCAAGCTTCGTGATATCGAGTCACATTTGATCTTTATGGAAGGTGGCGGCGACAAGAAGGTGCTTGATCGAAAGTCTCAAAAGGATTTGGCAGAAGGAACTACTGAGGGAAGTACCAAGAAGAGATCGAGTAAACCACCCATTGAGACTGACTCGGAAGCTGAATGGCCACCACGGTTCACCAAGTTTGAGTTGCTGCTCGAGAAAAGTGATTCTCCCGTGAAGCTGGAGAACGGTGAAACCGAGCAGACCGTTAGAACGTTGGATTTTGCCTTCACAGATCCACGAAGACTCGGCAGAGTTCGTATTCTTAGTGGATCAGAGTATGCTACCGATGAGCTTTTGTTGCAGCAGGATCCGCTTAAAAGCCTTGGCCCGGACTACCTGAAGAGTGCTGAAGGTAATCCGGTGAAGAAAGAGGAAAATGGCGACGAATCCTTTGAGTTTGGTGACCCTGATCCACACCACCATGGTCGCCCGAGACTCACCAAGGACGATTTTGCAGGTCTTGTGCTTAGCAAGAAGAAAGCCATCAAGTCATTACTCTTGGATCAAGAGCATTTTGCAGGTGTGGGCAATTGGGTTAGTGATGAGGTACTCTACCATGCTAAGATCCATCCCAACGAGACGATCTCGAAGAAGGTGCTGGATCCCTCTGATGAAATTCTAGAAGACTTGTACAATGCATTGATCTACGTGATGGAGGAGAGTGTGAAGGTTGAAGGCAATGTGCATAGGTTTCCTGATCACTGGCTCATGATCTATAGATGGGGCAAGGGCAGGAAGGAGAAGGCAAAGACCAAGGCAGGGCACCCTGTGGATCACGTCACGGTGGGTGGTAGAACAAGCTGTTTTGTCCCGGAAATACAAAGAGCTCTAAAGAAACGGACCAATGACGAAGTCTCCGAGCTGCAGAGAAAAAAGCTCAAGGAGTTCAAAAACGAGGATGAAGATTGATGGCTTGATACATTGGTTGACGTGCTGTGCGTTGAGCGTACCTCGATACAAAAACGATGTTCTTATCGAAAAGTGTGTTGATACCCTAGACTATGATGCTTCGTCCACTCCGACAATTCTGTTCTTTATGTAAAAAATACCAAAAACTCATTTATGGAATTTTCTCACCTTCCACTTTTTACATTTGCTGCCTTATTTCTCAACCGTTCGCTCCGGTTGGATCATTTCTGCACCCTGGTCTCATTTCCAAAGAGCAAACATAAAAAGTCACTCATGGATCCGAAATAACGAAAGATGCGTGAAGCAATCGGATAAATTTTACAGAACGCAACTCTTCTAATGTAAGCAAGTGAATTTAATTCAGGCTTACCAGGCCATCACTGATTCTGTAACACTAGCGGATTCAATTCCTTCTTCAATACAGTCCTCTACCCCTCCTTTTGCGTAAATTGCCAGAACGCCCTATGTGATACCGGCGTCGGAGTTGGAGAAAGCCCCACCTCGAAAGGCATTCGGAAAAACCTCACTTGTGGTCCCGACTTTTCCCGCGCATCGATCTGTCAAACGCGCCGTCGCGGTCTCTGACTGAGTGGAAATCACGAGGAGGCTGAGCTGAAAAACTCGACGCACTGAATCTTGTATTTTTATGGAGTGATTCAGCTTTTACGGCATTTCTTCCTTTTTTTTTTTTTTTTTTTACACTCTCTTATACGTGTATTTTCTCTGTTGTTGGGTTCTGCGCTTGTGGGGTCCGTGGCTGCGCATACATTTGCAGGATCCCGTTGCGGAGTAGTCTGGCCCCGAGACGAGCAACAAAAGCTTAACGACAAAAGCTTACGAACTAAGCCACAGATGGAAAGGCGCCTTACTAGTTTTAAAGTCAACATCCAACGAGTGTTTTCATCCAGATTTCTCTCGTGTTAACCCTCCTCGCCTAAGCGGGGCACTGCACGGCTGTTGGGTGCAACCGACTTCTTCCGCAGTACCCTCGAAAGTGGAGGCTGCCCCAACCGAAATGCTTATCAAGAAGGCTATTAAAAGTGTAATTTAGCTAGACGTGTAGACCGGAACTCTAGCAACATTCTGGTGCAATTTGAGTCAAATTTGGCCATGTTTCACCCTTTCAGGGGTCACCCCACGAAGAGCGCTATCAGTTCCGAGGGCTCGACCCCTCCTACGTCTATATAATACCTCAATTTCCACATTTTCCAACCCTCCAGCGATGCCTTCTCTCTTAAGATCCAGCCAGACCCTCCGGTCCAGCATCAACAGGTCCGTTCGTTTCAACTCCCTGGAATGCCTGTCTATTCATACACACACGATCAAGACCCCAGTGGGTATCAAGGCGGCCATTGCGGCTTTGAAACCAAAAACCACCCGTCTTTCGATCGAGGGACCCATTGAGTGCAACTTGTCGGGATTTCAGTTGCTCAATTCGCCGCTTTTCAACAAGGGATCAGCTTTCACAAGAGAAGAAAGAGAGGCTTTTGGCCTTATAGGTTTGCTTCCCAGCAAGGTGAACAACTTGGACGAGCAGGTTGATAGAGCCTATGCTCAGTTTCAGTACTTGAAGAGCCCGCTTGCCAAGAACGACTTTTTGGTGTCTATGAGAACTCAAAACAAGGTCTTGTACTATGAGTTGGTGAGGAGACACATCAGGGAGATGTTGCCCATCATATATACTCCTACAGAGGGAGACGCCATTGCTGCTTATTCACACAGATTCAGGAAGCCAGAAGGATGTTTCTTGGATATCACGGATCCAGACTCTATTGACGAGCGTTTGTCCCTCTACGGTGAGGACAAGGACATTGACTACATTGTGGTTTCTGATGGTGAGGGCATTTTGGGTATTGGTGACCAAGGTGTGGGTGGTATTCGTATCGCCATTGCTAAGTTGGGGCTCATGACGCTCTGTGGAGGTATTCACCCCGGCAGAGTACTTCCTGTTGTTCTTGACGTGGGAACGAATAACAAGGAGCTTCAGCACGATGACTTGTACATGGGCAACAAGTTCGACCGTGTCAGAGGAGAACAGTATTGGCTGTTTGTGGACAAGTTCATCAGCGCCGTGAAGCAGAGATTCCCCTCGGCCGTTATGCATTATGAGGACTTTGGTGTCTCTACTGGACGTAAGATGTTGCACAAGTACAGAGACGCCTTGCCCTCATTCAACGACGATATTCAAGGCACAGGTGCCGTGGTCATGGCTTCCATCACCGCTGCGCTTCAATTCAGTGAACGCGAGCTTCTCGATACAAAAGTGTTGATCTACGGCGCTGGTTCTGCTGGTTTGGGTGTAGCCGACCAGATCGTCAACCACATGGTCTCGCATGGTTCTACCGTCGAGGATGCTTGCAAGAGAATAACCATCATGGACCGCAGAGGTGTTGTTCTTGAATCCTTCGACGACTCCACTGAAGGCCAGAAGCGTTACGCTGATCCAGACTCTCTCTGGCAAGGTGTCAACACCAGATCGCTTAAAGACGTTGTTGGCGCTGTGAAGCCCACAGTCTTGGTTGGCTGCTCCACACAAGCTGGTGCTTTCACCGAAGAGGTCATCAAGGAAATGTACAAGTACAACCCACAGCCAATCGTCTTCCCACTTTCCAACCCTACTCGTTTGCACGAGGCATTCCCTATCGACATCATGAAATGGACCGACGACAAGGCCTTGATTGCTACTGGATCTCCTTTCAAGCCCGTTGACGGCCACGTTATCTCGGAAAACAACAACTGCTTCACCTTCCCTGGTATTGGTTTAGGTGCTGTTCTTTCCAGATGTACCACCATCACGGATACAATGATTTCTGCCGGTGTGGACTGCTTGGCTCTGTTGTCTCCGAAGATGGAAAACCCAAAGAATGGTTTGCTTCCTCCCCTTGAAGAAATCGACGAGGTTTCTGCTCATGTCGCTACTGCTATCATCTTGCAGAGTCTAAAGGAAGGTACCGCTCGTGTTGAAAGCGAAGAGAAACCAAGCGGAGGCTTTGTTGAGGTGCCCAGAGATTTCAACAAGTGTTTGAAGTGGGTGCAATCACAAATGTGGAAACCCATCTACAGACCTTTGGTCAAGGTCCAGCACGTCCCAGAGGTGCACACGCATCAACTTTAATTCTACATAGATTCCCATCACACCATAAATAATATTAGTCTATAATGGCATTCAGAGCCTTTCGTTGAGGAACTTCACCATACGGTAGATGCCAAAGAACTTGTTTGAGTCGACGTCCTTAATCGTGAGCGGCTTGCCCGCTCTGAGTCCAGCTCCAACCTGCTTGTGGACAGTGTCCTCAAAGAACAAAATAGCATCATGAAGGCCCTGTGGCTCAACGTATAGACTGAGATTAGCGTGGCCAGCTTCGTTGCGGCGCTCAAAAGTGTAGTTGTCCTCAGTGTAGCCTTCCTCGGTTCCGTAAGCTTTACCGTGGAAAGGCACATCCAAAGCGTATTTGGACCACTCCAAGATATCGTCACGGAAACTTTCGTCCTCTCCAAGAAGCACAAGAACATCGTACTTGGGGTCGGAGTAGTTGGGAATGGAAGACCAGTCCAGTCTCTGGCGAGGAGTCTTACCCATTGGCGACCACACAAGCGAGAAAGCGTCTCTCTCACCGATGATCAAAGCCAATTCCGAGATATCCGCAAACTTGGAGTGGTGGATCAAATCGTAGTCCTCACACTGTTTCCAGGAGGATTGCTTCGTCATGTCGTGAGGAAGAGGTGCCAACTTGACCCATGGAGAAATTAAAAGAAGTTTCGTGGGGTACTGAACTGGTTCCTCCTTGGCCTTGAGGAATTGAGTGTGTCCCACAGCCAAGTTACCGCCGGCAGAGTCTCCCATCATGATGATGTTCTTGTTGCCCTCTTGCACAAGTCTCTGGTAGCTCTGGTCGAGCTGGAGCATCTGGGTAGGGAAGGTGTGGCCCTTAGAAGCGAGTTTGTAGTCCAAAAGCAAAACAGAGGTCTTCTTCTTTATGGCAGGATCAAGCAAATGGTAGATGGACATGACCGAACGAAGCTGCTGAGGCATGGTCTGGAGGAAGAAACCGCCGCCGTGCAAGAAGAAGATAATTGGATCATCGGGAGATCTGTCTGGCTGCTTGACGAGCCAGATGGAGTTGGAGTCATAGCGTTCACCGTAACCTGGCACATTCTTGGTCAAAGCAGGAGCGATCGTAGGAAGGATTCTCTGAATCAAGAAGTCATTGGAGTATGGAGCAAGCCATTTGGAGTCTGAAATTGGCACCAGTAATGCGGTTCTATAGAGCTTGACCTTAAGAAGATTGGCCAAGGACTTTCTGTATTTGCGGGCCCTGATACCTCCAAAAATGAAGTACCGAAGAACGACCACAAGGAAGTCGAACGGGAGCTTCAGAAGAATCAAAATAGTTGAAAGCTTCATGGTGTTTTGCTTATTAATTGTGGGGGTGGGTGCAATAAGTAGTGTGTCTGGGGGAAATGCACGTGAAGTTTGCACCGGGCTTAAGCGAAAAAACGGTGAGGAGGGGAGGACGAAGAGAGGGGCGGAACCTCGGGAAGAAACTAATGTATGAGAAAAAGGTTTACGGTTATACTCAAAGTTTGACTTTTCTATTGGCTGATCAGCAAGGTTTATAAAACGGGGCTGCTTATAGGTGCAGCTGGAATGCAGCGAAGGCGTTAGGCGGTTAGGTATTTTACTCGTGATACTCAGTCACGTGATACGGAAACTAACCTCGGTCCGCAGGTGGAATAATGGCTCCCCGCGTGAAGTTTAACCATGACATTGATAAGCAGTGGGAAGACAATGGATGAAATTGATGCGAAAGAAAACGATAATTGTTTTGCATCGACGATATAGAACACGTCTTTGTGAAATTTCAGGACGTGTTCTGCACGTGATCTAGAGCACGTGGTGTGTTTTCGATTCTCTTCAATCCACGCTTCAGCAGCCATCAAGCCCATGAACTTCAATGCCAGTAGCCAGTGCAGCTTCCACCTATCCATAAAACTCATCTTCTGACCCATCTCCACCCCGTTCCTCAGGTGAGCCGTTCAACATCCTGCATAGTGTCTACACCCAACTTTGTGCGGGTGAATCAAAATTTCACTGGTCCAAATCCACCTCCACAAATAATGTCCGTTGAAGACCTCAAATCCACCATCACCAAGTTGCAAGACAGAATCCACGCTTTGGAGACCAAGGCTGGTATTATCCCAGATGTCCCAAAGTCCGTGAAGATGGTCTTGATTGGTCCTCCAGGTGCCGGTAAAGGTACCCAGGCTCCAAACTTGAAGGAGAAGTTCTGTGCCTGCCACTTGGCCACTGGTGACATGCTTCGTGCTCAGGTCGCCGCCAAGACCGCTTTGGGTCAGGAGGCCAAGAAGATCATGGACCAGGGTGGTCTTGTTTCCGACGAGATCATGGTCAACATGATCAAGTCTGAGTTGGAGAACAACAAGGAATGTAAGAACGGTTTCATCTTGGACGGTTTCCCAAGAACCATTCCTCAGGCCGAGAAGTTGGACGACATGTTGAACGACAGAAAGACCCCATTGGAGAACGCTGTCGAGTTGAAGATCGACGACGAGTTGTTGGTGGCCAGAATCACCGGTAGATTGGTCCACCCCGCCTCTGGTAGATCTTACCACAAGTTGTTCAACCCACCAAAGAAGGAGATGATCGACGACGTGTCTGGTGAGCCTTTGGTCCAGAGATCTGACGACAACGAGGACGCTTTGAAGAAGAGATTGGTTACCTACCACAAGCAGACCGAGCCAATTGTCGAGTACTACAAGAAAACCGGTATCTGGAGCGGCATTGATGCTTCCCAGAAGCCTACCAACGTGTGGGGTGACATCTTGAAGTGCTTGGGCCAGAAATAGGTTCAGCATACAGCATAGCTTCTGTGAATAGACCTTGGTGTGTATTTTTATACAAAAAAAAGTACCATGCAGAGATTTTGAATTACTGGCCGGGTGGCCTTCGTAAAGCTTTAGGTGAAGCCCATCTTCCACCTCATCATGTCTTCTCACGCTTGATTTTTCTGTCCTCTGTGCCGTTACTACTTCTCTTTTTAGCAGTCTCCTGCCAGCAACTAGCATGGAGAATCTTTTTGCTGGCCTTTCCGCCTGCAGCGTAGACACAGCCGTCCCAAATCCACTCACCAAGGCTTTCATCGTATGTTGGCTTGATCTGCTCTCGGCAGATTGTGCAAATGTTGTTGGTGATGTTTTCATTCGAAGGAATAACAACGTAGACCCTCTCTTCCTCCTTCTGTTCGGGCTTCTTGGCGGCATCCTTGTTTTCGCCAGCATCGCCAAACTCAAGAAGCTCGTCATCTTTAAATTTGACCCATTCAAAGTCATCAAGGTACCAGTTTCTCGACTGGATGTTGGTCTTGTAGTTTGCCAGCTTCTTGTTTATACGGAAATGCCAGTCCAAATGTATACGTTTTCTCTTGTTTCCAACTTCATCGTCTGTGAAACGCTTACCACACTGTGCACATTTCAGAGCTTTGGCGTCATAAAGAAGTTGTATAGTGGACATATCGAGCTTGATGTGGTTCACAAAATTTTGCAATGACTGACCAAAAGACTCGGTCTTTTGTAGCTTCTTGGAGATTTTGAGAAGCTCTTTGAATTGAGCTTGTTCATAGACTGACCTACCCGGGTTATTGGCGTCCATAAGAAGCTGCTCAAGTACAGATGTCGACATACCATCTCTAGCACTGGATGGTTCGTATTTCTCTTTTGGCATCACAAGCTCGTAAACTGGCTTGGAACCCGCTTTCAACGATTGTTCCATCTTCACCAAACCTGAAGCTAGGAGGTCAGCAAAGAGAGCCTCGGCCTTACCTGGCATTCCAGTCTCTGGCACAAATGGGCCGGGTACTTTCGTGGGCACAGCCGGTGTATCAGGTATTTTCGGCGTGCTGCTAGCTGTGTAGAGCTCGGCTTGCTTCATGGACGATAGTTTTTCCTGTATTCCTAACAAATCGTTTGGTTTGAGCGCCTGGCTTTGGAGCAAGATTTTGAGCTCCAGCAAAGCGTTGGCCCTGTCGTTGAGCGATGTATCTCTTGGGTTGTTCACGAGCTTGTTTTTCATGATTGGCAATAGCATGTCGATATCTGCTATAAGATCTGTAGCTGAAACGGCAGGCACTTCTGGCTTGCGGTAGCCAGCCTGCTGTAGAAAATTCCCGATTTTTTCAAGCTCCTCAGGAGGGAAAAGAGGCCCACCGGCGTTTTTCGTCCGCGTCACTTTCCATAACTCATACATTTTCACCAACTTACCTCTCGTGTGATCGCTCACCAACACATATACATGGGAGAACAATTTGAAGATCTCCGGCCCGACAATGATATTATATGGCTGACCGACAATTTTGCAAATCAGATCGAGTAGGTACATGGCAAAGAGCTTCTGTTCTGGGATGCATTTGTAGATTCTGGCGGTGATGACATTGAGGATTCCTTCGGCGGCAGCGGTATTTTCCTGAGCAATCGTCGTTAGCGTTTCTATGATTGGACGAGAGTTAAACGTGAGTTCCTTGATGGACGCCTCGTAGTCCTCCACGATGGCAGGGTCCCACAGCATGAAGAGTAGGTGTTGATGATATGTGAGAAAGTGCAGGAGCGGTTGAGTAGTAGGTGGTCCAAGTGGGTTTTAGTTGATGGGGTGTTTGTGGAGGGGAAAGGGAAGTTCTGTTATCTTAGAGCAAAAGGAGAAAGGATGGAATGTTTGTTGTTCATCGGGTTTGTAGTTTGAGTGTTTTAGTGGTGGCAAGTGGAGGAGCATTATCTATGATACACGCCGAACTATGATACTTCTCGAAAGAATTCAACAATAGAGTAAGTCTTCATTGGTATTGTGCCTGAATTCATGTATTGGAGTGATTCAAGAGAAAAACTATCTAATGTCAATGAAACAATGTCTAGCTACTTATTGGCCGGTATGTACCAGGCAACACAAGATCGACTAAATCTCCTGAGAGAGGACAAGATAAGATTACATTGCATTCATTGATGTTAAAAAAAGCATAAGATGAAGCCATTCATCATACATCCCTCCACCCCAGATCCAAGATCCACTTCCCATTTTGTTCATGGTTGCGAAAGTCATATGAAGATCCCTGAGCCGGACAAAGCCCTTCTCCTCCGAGCGGAATCAGCAACTTTCCGTTCTCCTGACATCTATACACAATAGACTCTCTTTTTCCCAAGAAATAAATCGGGTACCCTCATTAATAGCACCCCTGGTGGCCCAATAAGTCCTTCCTATTACGGTAACGCTCCCCTACCCGCGGTGTGGGAAAAAATTTTCGAGCTTATATCAACTTCTTCCTCAACTAGATCCACACATCGAATGTCCCCACCCGCAACAACCGACAAGAAGCAAAGCGGTTTGGCCAGAGTGCTTGGTTCGGCCACCGCCGGTATCTGTGAAATTGGTGTTTTCCACCCTGTGGACACCATTTCCAAGAGACTTATGTCCAACCAGACCAAGATCACATCTGCATCTCAATTGAACTCCGTCATCTTCAAGGAGCACGCTTCCAAGGCTCTTGGCTCCAGACTCTTCACATTGTTCCCTGGTTTGGGTTACGCTGCTGTTTACAAGATCATGCAAAGAGTGTACAAGTACGGTGGTCAGCCTTTTGCCAACGAGTTCTTGACCAAGAACTTCAGAGACTCATACGACTCCTTGTTTGGTCCTAAGACCGGTAAGGCTTTGTTGTCTGCTACTGCTGGTTCCATGATTGGTATCGGTGAGGTTGTGTTGTTGCCATTGGACGTTTTGAAGATTAAGAGACAAACAAACCCAGAGTCCTTCAAGGGCAGAAGTTTCCTCAGGATTATCTCCGACGAAGGTTTCGGTTTGTACAGAGGCTGGGGCTGGACTGCTGCCAGAAATGCTCCTGGCTCCTTTGCTTTGTTCGGTGGTAACTCTTTTGCCAAGGAGTACATTTTCGGCTTGAAGGACTACTCTGCTGCCACCTGGACTCAAAACTTTATCACCTCTATTTTCGGTGCTTCTGCCTCGTTGATTGTGTCTGCTCCATTGGACGTGATCAAGACCAGAATCCAGAACAGAAACTTCGAGAACCCCGAGAGCGGTTTCAAGATTTTAAAGAACATGGCCAAGAACGAGGGTATCACTGCCTTCTTCAAGGGTTTGACCCCCAAGTTGTTGACGACCGGTCCTAAGTTGGTCTTCTCCTTCGCCTTGGCCCAGTCCTTGATCCCCGCTTTTGACAAGCTTTTGAAATAGATCTGTAAATAGAGTGCTAGGGTTTCTAGCCAGGTGTATGATTTAATCGTGTTAGGTTATTTGATTTCATGTAGTGATAAAGGTTTCCATCCATCTTTTGCAGCCGCTTCTATGCGCATCATGTATAGTAAGAGCAATTGTAATCAGCCGCACGAGCTGTCAACTATCAGAGTTCCATCAGCAGGTGCAAACAACAATAATAACATTGAAAGCTAAAATTTCCGAATTGTCACCTCCTTCAGTGGTCATTAATCCCTCGTGCTAAAAGCTTATCTGGGGTAACGGGTGTCACAACGTGCGCAGGGACTGCACCAGCGCCACTCGCTAAAAGTAGTTCTAGCCTTCAAGATCCATCCCAACTTTTGTACTAGTTCATTCAACACGAGGAAAATTACGGCTCAAGCATGAGGTTCGTCACTTACGTGCTTCATGCCTTGAAGTTCAATATCCTCAGTGTCATCGTGCAAAACCTGCGATCTCATCTGATCGACCTCAAATACTTGACCAGCCCGGCTGTTCATGACATGACCCCATCCACAAACCACCCTGACGATTATGCTAATGAATGTTTTTCAAACAACTTCACGGGAGCACCGTTATAGTGCTTGCTTCGGTTTATAGGTAATAGATTATTGGAAGAACTTCTGGAAGTACCAGAACTCTTTGTAGGTGGCGATATCCTCCTCCCACATGCCTTCGCCCATGATTCTGTTGAGTTCATCGGTGTCGAGTTTCCCTTCAAGCACGCAAAGTCTGGAGACTGCTTCATAACGCCTGCGGTCTCTTTGTGCTTTTTCGACGGCTTTCTCTCGAAGTCCTCCTGAAGATTTACTCATGTTCATGGAACTCTTCAAAAATGCCTTTGCGTTGTTTAGGAGCACACTTGAGCTTTTCTGCGCTACTTCAAGGCTAAGTTGGCTCCGCTGCAAGTCGATGTCGGACCTGGCAATGTAGACTTTGCAAATTTGGGCAATGAGGGCTCCCAAGCCAAGTTCTGTGTTTGTGAGATTCTTAGTTTTAATCTCCTGGTTTCTGGCACTTAGAAGCTCCTGCGCCTTCTTGAAGTAGACGTTCATTTTGGTCAAAGCCTGCCAGTATGTTTCTGCATCTATAGCCTGAGGATTCAGGTGAGCGTCGTGGCGATCTAAGATTGTATCGATTGCGTCAGCTGCCAGCATATAGCGCTCTGGCACGTCGGGGAGGTCACCATCAAAGGAAGCAGCAATTTGCTCTATGGAATCGGTCGATAGTGCCTGGCAAGTTGCCTTGGATATGAAGTACTCGTTGAGTTGGTCCGATTCGATGGAAGCCACTATATCGCTCTGCTCGTTGTTCTGTTCAGAGTATTTCAGAACAATTTCAGTAGCAACCTCTTCCATGGTTTGGACAAAAGGCCCCACTAGCGAAACAGCCTCTTCGAGACTGCCAGCAGATGAAGTAACACTCTCTAGTATGGTTTGCACTAGACCGTAAGCTGAAACCACTGTATCAAGAATATCAGGAGGTTGTATAGTCTTGCTGCTCGAGTACTTTTGATCTTCCAGAGGAACGTCCAGACCCTGAGTTTGTGGAGTTTCAGGCTCTAGCATGAATTTGAGGAAGTCTTGGAACTCCAGAACCTGTCTGCGCAAAACCTCCTGGAAAAGCGCCATTGCCTTGTAGACGAGATCTTCACTGAGGGTCTCAGCTTCCTCTATCGCCTCAGTGTAGACCAATGCAGCATTGAATTGTAGGTCCAATGGAGGATTGGTGAGGTCCACTTGAAGTGCACTCTCATGCACTTCCACAATACTGAAGATATTCTGGACAACACTGTTACTGTCACCAGTAAGCACCTCTCCAACATTTGTCAACCTATGCACATTGACCCCGTCCGTCTTTCCATACTGGATGAATACATGGAAGAGCAACCGAGCTGCGTTGTAGTAGGCATCTAGCAAAAGCGCTTTATCTGAAGTTGGGATCGATACGGCAGTCTTGTAGCTCACATAAGCTTTTTGATAAAACCTCAATGCCTTCGCCAAGTCTGAACCGAGCCAGCGGTCTCCTGACTCTTCTTCGATGGCTCCATCTTCCATGAAGTCTTCAGTTGACTCTGACCGCTTGGAAACTCTGTCATTTTCGCCTTGGCCTAGAACGCTGAGTGCCTTTTTGCTGAGCTTGGGTGCTTTTTCTGTGGTTAGCGATGTATGGTGTATTTCACTTTCTTCACGTACTCTTCATGGTGGTGATATCTCGCGCATACTACTACTGCGAAATATTTATCAACACTTCATGAGCGGGTATACCGTGCTCAATTCCAAGAGCATATCAGAATTACCTGATCCCGAGGCTCTTAAGGGGAAATTGGCTTATGTGAATTTACCTGTGGTATGTCTCGCCCTTCTAAGGCGACCCGATATGAACTTCGGGGTATTGATGGTGACAGATTTCACTGAGTACGCTAATAGCTCGTATGCCATGGGAAGTGCACATCCCAGATTGCCAGAATCCTTCAGTATTGGTAAAATTCAGGCATTGGAGAGAACAAAGGTGTTCGCTATAACGTGTCTGTTGGATAAAGTCGATGCTATGTGGGACAGGCTATGTCTGTACTCTTCACGTATGCATCATTACGATCCGCTGGACGAGAGCCGATGCAATTTTTCACAGGAAGGTGTTATTGGATTTATAAACATGAGGGTCAAGGAGTACAATTACTCTACAGAGGGGTGGTTGAGTCGCTTTCATATTTGCAACAGAGAGCAGATGGCAAAAAGCGCGTTCAAAGCGAACTTGAGGAAATACTATTTTGGCAGCTTCATGGAGCGGTTCTTGGGAATCGTGGATAAGAGCTTGTATGACAATTTGCTACCGAGTTTCCCAATTGACTCGTACAGAAAGCCCGAGGACCTTGTACTGACAGGTGTGAAACGGCCATCTGATGATCTCATAACGCAAGCACCAAAATCCAGGTCAATTTCGGCAGCCCAAATCACATATCAACAGCAATTTACTCAGCTTCCTGCGGAAGAGTCGGATGATGAAGAACTACCTAGTTTTGCTGCAGACGATGCACTTCCACAGCCCACACAGGCTCCAAAGTCCCAGATAATTCCCATTACTAGGGCTCAAAGCAAGTGGCTGCGACATGTTGTGAACAAGGTGCCGTTCCCTACGTTATGCTCTGTGTCTCTTGATGAAGCACCAGGTTTCACCACATTCGAAACAACATGTATTCTCGGCAATATCATTCCAGAGGTTGGCAAGCTATTCATTCGTCCCTACAAAAGAACAATCAAGATTTCCCCCATCAGACTTGTGCTCGTGGGCTCTAGAGATCAAAAGCTCTTTGCTGAGCTACACAGCGAGGAAGATACCAACGCCTTCTTCGGGATCCTGGAGGTCGAGGAGGTGCTTCCAAAAATAGAGGATACCCTGAAAGCGCTCCAGCGATTAGTAGGGCTGCAGGTGAAAGTGAGGTTGCAAAAACGTTTGTTGGATCTTGACTTCGGGTTCCAGAAACCGTACTGGGCCTGCAGAACACCGCTTACCAGTCTTGCCGACCTGTGGGACTGACTTGGCAATAAGACATTTACAAATCTGACTGATTAATTTCTGTCTAAGTATCGACAAGAAGTCGTATATGGCAGATTATCAACGCCCGCTACTACCCGCGCCGTTACTATGTCCGCATATAGCCGATGGCAGCTCCGCAGAACACGCATTATCAGTGTCAAAAATAGAAATGGGATGTCTGTTATAAAGCGGCTTCGATATCACTGTGGAAATGATATCAGCGAGTTTGAGCATGTACACATCAGAAATCGCATACTTGGTGTCCAGAGAAGAGTACCATGACGGAACCGAGACAGCCCGTTCATTCAGAAGCTGGCATACTTGCATGGAAAACAAAACGTGCAAGATCACAGCATCCGTGGGCATCACTATCGCTTTATTATTGGCCATTGGCTTGTTCTTTGCTTGCGTCAGAGGTTGTAGATACAGCCTCAGCTTCGGAGAGGCTTTTTGCTGTTGTTGTGTCAAGAGAAGGAAATACGAGGAGCTCCAGACACTTCAGTATCCACCCCCACCTCCACCTCCTGAGAAGCCAATTCAGGATCCATTGATGTACCCAACAAAACCACCTATGACACATATATACGTGCCGCTGGCTCCACCAGCATATCACGCTTCTGAAGCCATAGAAGGGTCATCAAGGGGGTACCTCGCGTCAAGTGACGACAAGCACCCATTTTAGGTTGGGAGGCTAAAACAAAGGCAACGTGAGCGGGGTGTTCTAAAGGTGCGATTTCGCAGCCATCATTTTGCAGCCATTTCAAAACACACTTCTCTGCTCTCCATGGTCAAGAACTTGGTGCTATGTTTTGAGGGCACTTCCGAGGGGTTTGGTATTCCGCCGCCGTCCAATGTGATCAAGCTTTTCTCGATGTTGGACAAGTCCAGCCAGATCTGCTACTACCAGCCAGGTATAGGGACCACGTTTGGCGGAGCTGTTCCCGATATCGAGTCCCGAGGTGCCTTCCATCATCATCTTGATCTGGCGAAAAACACGGTAGATGCTGCTTTTGCGCTTTCCTTCGACTCTCATGTCCAGGCAGCCTACCTCTTTCTCATGCGGTTCTGGGAGCCAGGTGCCCAAACGTACATTTTCGGGTTTTCTCGAGGCGGCTACGCTGCAAGGGTGCTCACTGGCTTTTTGGAGTGTTTTGGGTTGTTTCATCCTGGCCTGGAGGAGTTGGTACCTATGGCCTGGAAGGTGTATCGTGAGTGGGAGAAGGCTGGAAGGCCTAAACGTGATCCTAACTCGCTGTTTCTGCTCCAGCTCCAACGTATGTTTGGCAGGGATATAAGAATTCACTTTTTGGGTGTTTGGGATACGGTGAACCTGGTTGGCATTCTAACAGACCGCATGTTCCCGTTCACTATTTGCACTGCTATTGTGGACCATGTGCGCCATGCACAGAGCATTGATGAACGCCGTGCCCGGTTCAAGCATCTTTCTTTTGAAAATGAGGTAGGAGAGTGTGGCAGTGCCCGACCCACAGTATGGGGCAGGCTCCTTGGGTGGTTGCAATCACGCTCTGGACAGATACCTGTGGAATGCTCAGATAACATATTGGAAGTGTGGTTTCCGGGTTCCCATGGCGATCTTGGTGCTAGTGCGGGATTTGATGAACATGGAAAGCGACTTTCAGAGGTCCCCTTTCGTTGGATGGTTGCAGAAGCATGCAAGTATGGCCTCAAGCTTGACCAGAATAGTGTGCGAGCATACTGGGAGACTAACAAGCCGAACGACTCCATCTTGCTGTACCATCATGACCGCCTTTCGTTCAAGAAACCAATTCTACCGAGCGAGAAGAATATCAATACCTTCGAGGGGAATCTCGATCGTTTCAACGGACGAGGCAATTCTTCCCTTCTCAACACCATAGGCTGGTGGATCGTGGAGCTCATACCTTTCAGCACCAGGCTACCAGACGAACGAGGCCGGTGGTCCTCACGATTTGCACCCAACTTAGGTCAAGGAAGAATTCTTCCAAAAAGTGCCCGTTTGCACTGGACGGTATTTTTCAGGCTTTCGGTAGTGAGCGACTACAATCCAGACAACCTTCCTGCTGAACTTGGCAAGGCGTTTGTGGAGCTGCTCCGGCGAGCCGAGGCGAGTATTCCGGAAGAGAAGTTTCTGGAGTTGGAGAGTTTTACCTTGGATGATATTCGAGAAAGCAATCTCGATCACATCTGGCAGCAAGTGCCTGATGAACTAGCTACAGCAGAGCCATAATCAATGCAATATGTATTTTCTAGAAGGCCGAAGCGGGAATGAAGAGGTCCAGCTCCAGCCCGGCCGCGTAGCGACAGGAATTATTATACAACCCGGAGGGCCTGGTGGTATGCTTATCCGATGACCAAGGTGGAGTCGTCGGAGAACTCGTACTGAGGAATCTCCAAGTTCAAAGGCGCAGGGCCTCTTCTGATTCTACCAGAGATATCGTAGTGGGAACCGTGGCATGGGCAGAACCAGCCACCGAAGTCACCGGCCTCACCAATAGGCACACATCCCAAGTGGGTACAGATACCCAACATGATCAACCACTCGGGCTTCTTGACACGGACATCGTCGCTCTCGGGGTCTCTCAAAGACGACACGTCCACGGACTCAGCCTCGGAAATCTCATCGGCGGTTCTGTGTCTGATGAACACAGGCTTACCTTGCCACTTGACAATAACGTTGTTACCTTCTGGAATGGCACCAAGCTTAACCTCAACCTTGGCCATGGCCAACACATCGGCAGAAGCAGACATGGATGAAAGGAAAGCCTCGACAGTGGATTTAGCACCAGCAGCAGACAACAAACCCATAGAGCCGACCATGAAGTAGGTGAAGTTCTTGTTCTTCAGCTCAGATCTCTCGTTAAGGTATGAGGAGAAGTCGGGCTGCTTGTATGGAGTGAGGGCGGAGGCCAGGGAGGTCAATGTCCTGGCGGCACCTTTCAAGCCCAAGCCGCTTCTCAAAGTTCTGTAAGCAAGCATTGTGTGGAATAGATGGTGAGTTGAGATTTTGCTTGAGTCTGTAGTAGGTTACTTTTTCGCGCTTAATTCGCAACTCATTCATTGGCTGGATGCAAGCCGGGTAACCCCGGGTACAGTCTCTTCCAAGACATGCCTCAGTGCCAATACTGAACTCATAGTAAAGTTATTGAAATATTCAGCATAAAGGAAGAGCAAGCTAAAAGGGGATCACCTGTTTTTTAAAGAATCTGTTGCTTTCCACTGTTGCTGGTGTGTCACGTGCCACTTTTCAACGGTGCAGCCTCTCGCATGTCTTGCATTACTGCACTACTTTTCGCAGCCATTTCTCGCAGCCATTCCTCGCATCCATTCCTTCTATTTAATGCCAAACCCTGCTGACATGTTCACCGCCTTTCCGAGCTTATCGGCCAATTTGCTCTTGCTGTTGTAGTCATATAATGCTAATTCGTTAAAACATGTGTGTGCCACGGGGAGCCTTTCGCTGTCTCCTCCGGGTGTCCGGAGACGACTGATCTTGAGCGTGAGGTTCTGAATTCCCGTGGCTGGTACTCGATCTGAGCCCGTGATGAAAAGAAGCAACTTCTTTTGTTGCTTGTATGTGAGCTCGCTGACGTACTCCCAAAACCACTTGACCGTGGCGGAATCAACTGCTTCCTGCTTGCTGGGCCAGCCGCTGTAGTTTGTAACTGATTGAAGCACATCGACATCGAACTTGCTCTCGTCGCTTCCGCACAAAAGAAGCTGGATTTCCTCGGGCAGAAACAACGAAAAGGCGTTGCCGTCCACCACGTTGGAAAAGCCGCCCTTGAAAGCACAGAGCTGCTTGTTCATTCCATCCCAGAGGAAGAAACGTGCGTACTTGTCGATGTATAGCTCACGATTGTCCTTATCGACATTGACATTGGAGCCACCAGGAATGAGCTCCTTGGTGAATTTGTTGCCGAAGAGATCGGAATAGCACACCTCGAAAGTCAAGTCGAGCGCTTCAATCTCCTCGGCACTGTACTCTCTCAATCTGAACAAGTTTCGAGCAGACATAGGGAAAATCTCCTGGTAGTCTGCCAAACCTATGGGCAAACCCAAAAGGATCTTGTACATGGCGATTGGAAACTTCAAGTCGAGGATAGTTGAGTTGTAAATGGCAAGGCCAAGGATAGCACCAAAAAGGTAGTACATCTCAAAATTGTCCACTGGCACCACATTGAACCAAAGAAGGTTGGAGTCTTCGACGTAGCTCAACATACCAGCATTGGGGCTGAAAAGTGCTCTTGTGAGAAGCAAGAACCACTCCTTCTTAAGTCCACCAGCATCCACGCCGGGCTCATTGATGAACTGAACACGCAAACTCTTCTTCAAGTTATTCGGATTAAGCTGGATGCAGCGAAGAGAGTCCTGGACGATGCGCTCACGACGGACTTTTACTCTAAAGTAGACGTCCAAAGTGATACGGCGGTCAAGAGAGTTGATGAATGCCTCTTCAGCCTTCCTCTCCATCTGTCTTCTGGCCTCGTACTCAAGGATGGCGATCTTTCCACCTAGAGAAATGAGGAAAGGATACTGGCAGAAGTAGAATGTGGTGCCTGCTGTCTCGCTGAAAGGAGCATGGTTGGTGCCGTGAATGTAGTCAATGACAGTTTGAAGAGCCGGCTCTGCATTGTTTTCACTGCTACTCAGCTTTCTCTTGCTCAGCCAGGCATCAAAGTCCAATTTAATGTTCACATAGTCCACCAAGGAGTTGTAGAAGGTGTGCACTGGTACCTTGTTCTCGCCGTACCTGATGTAGTTGGCCTTCATGAGAATACTCAATGCACCTGAAGCCGTCCGCAAATGATAGTTCAGCGAATACTGATGTACCCGAACCTTCATATCCGACTTCTTCTTTTTCGAGCCCTTGCTCCTTGGACTCGAAGGATTTGCCATCAATTGAGGGTTCACCGGTGGGAACAAAGAGTCCATACCCTCTACTTCGTCCTTAAGATAAGAGTACTGGAAGAACTCCTCGTCGTGTGCCTGGGGTACGCTCCTGCTTCTGGAAACTTTGGGTGTTGGTTTGACAAGATGGGTATTATCAGTGGGAGATACTGGAGCATCAGGCAGTCCCAGGTTCTTTCTTCTATGATCTGTTTCTGGGATGCCGCCCAGGACGCTTCTGTGATGGCCACTCAGGCTGCTTCTTCGAGCCAATTGGGGATTGTTGGCGAAATAAAAGTACTTCTTCAAGTGGAAAGTAATGTACAAGTTTATGAGCTCCACCTTGGCAAGGAATTTGTCGTGAGAGCGCTTCAGAAACCACGAAGCCACGTAGTTTCCAGCCAATGTTGTTTCTGCCTGGGCAATAATGCCTAGCACACGCTTGAGGATCTCGTAGCAGAGCGCCTGAATCTCTGGAACCTCCACCATAGATCCTATGCGGTGTTGGCACCTCTTATCGTTGTTGGTGAGAGCCTTGGACAAGAAAGGGATTTCGAAAAGCACCATCACCCACAGAAGATGGCGAGGATCGTCGCTCAAGTGGAGTGGAAGCCTTTTGAGGCAACTGCAGGCTCCTGAAAGCGCATAATACAAAGGTCTTCTGGAAGGAAGCGATGCAAGGAGCTCAAAGACCTGCCTGATCTCCTCGTAGTTCAAATTGGCTGTAGAGTAGTGCGGTCTTCTCTGCTTCTTGAGCCTGAAAGACTGATTAATGCATGCCATGGACCCGAAAGCCTGAAGAAGGTAGTCCAGCACAGGCTTCAAGCGATCGTGGAGGTCTCTGCTGTTCTCAATGGGTCTCTCCAATGCCTGATCAACGAGCATCTTGACGTACTTCAAAGAGACAAGATGCACTGGAGGCTCGACTGTCAAATCGAGATGCAAAAGGTTGGTTGTATGGCAATGAGGACAGCTGAACTTTTGAGCGTCCTCGGGGAAAGTAAGCACCGATCCACAGCAGGAGCATTTACAGACGTTCTTGGACTTGTCAGCCTGGGCCTTAAGATCCAAGGCTGTGTTGGACGGACTGACCTGCTGTTTTGGCGACGACGAGATCTTGAGAATATCCAAGATCTTCCATGATGACGATGTTTTTGGCGGCTGAGTAGACGCCTGGTTCATACTAGGCATGCCACAGTGCAAGGGGACCTGTTGATCAGGCGAATGCTAGGGATATTAAGGCAGCGATATATGGACCGAACAAAGATCTGAAAGCCAGATCTGACAAAGCGGGTAGAAAAAAAAAGATTGCTAGCAGGGTAGGAAGAAAATTGACTGGTTTACATGAGCCCAGATGGAAAGCTCGTAATGGCTATGGCACAAACGGGTGCTCTGCACAGTAGGTTGCTGGCGGCTGAGCAGGAGGCAGAGTGTTTGAGTTGAGCAGTGGTGGTATGAAAAAATAAATTACATTTTTGAAATCTGCGCTTTTCAATGCACGGATTTTATTTTCCAAAAATACAAAAGTCGCCTTTCGGGTGGTTTCTGGCCGTACCCCTGGAAACTTCGGTAGGCGCTTTCGCACCCATTTGGCGACCTTGCGTCTAGAGATCTGGTTGCTTACAGTGCTTCCTTGCTGGAACTGGAAAAGCTGGAACAAGGGAATTCGGCGATTCGGCAAGTTCGGAGAAATCTGAAAAACGCTATGCTTTTCATTTTTTTAATTGTCTCACTTATCGGCCTAATCCCAGGGTTCGACCGAAACCCGTTCGCAGCCATTCGTGGCGCATGCCCTGTTCTGGGCACCCAAGAAATAGCGGTCACAATTGACCCTGGGTTGCAATTGTTGGACAGTGAGGAGATTTTGCAGTTTCTGTAGAGGAAGTGAGGGCGGACCCAATCCGGCCAGGGTTCTGGAAAATGTGTTTTGTGATTCGGTGGTTTGGCGTTGCAGATTCCAGTCGGTGCGATAGATAAGGCCGAGGGGGTTCTTGGTGGTGATATGGTGAGAAAGAGATTGGCGACGTCAGAGGGGCAGGCGTAATAGGAGTTGAGAAGGTGAACCACTTATAAGTTGTTATATGGGGTTTACTTTTGTAAGGCAAGGTTTGGGGCTACCTGGGTATCAAGGGAGAAGATTGGCTGCGAAAGGTGGGCTAATTATAGCCAGGCGATGTAGAGATAAGGCAACATTTGATCGGGGGTTTTGGGTGATTTTGACAAATGAATAGAAAAACTTTCGTTCTCTTCGTCTCCATTGCTTCGCTTCTATACTCTGAGATAGTGGCCCCTGGTGTTGTCGTCTTTCCTTAATAGGAACGGTGGCTGCTGGTGATCGAGTCGCGAAGGAACCAAGCCTTCAATAAGGTTCGGGCGCCCAACTCGGAAAAAATAGCCTTCGGTTTTTGTTTATTTTTATGTGGTGACCATTTCTAGAAGTTGGGTGATGTTCTAGGCGTGCAAACTCTGGTAAGTCGTAGTCGGTGCTGCTGTTGTCAACCCAATGTCATGCACCAGTCTGGCCAGAAGGCCCCACAACAATTAAGAAACTTTTGAAATGATACTGCTATAACATGCTGCTAAGCTGATTTGGACTTTGAGATTTTTTGAGTTTTAGTTGCTGAGTTCATCAGCCCTGTGAATGGCGGTATGTCATCAGTACGTCAATGGTTGCAAATCGCACTGTGTGGCAGTGTCATGTAAGACACCTCCATCACGAAGCTCTTCGGACCACATTCAGCTCAAAATTTATCAGTAATTAACAAAATAGACCATTCCATTCTTCTTTGGAGCATTGCCGACATGAAATAGTTAACTGACCATGGTAAACTATGAAGAACCACAACCCCAGAACCTCAACGAGCTGAATACATTTCTGTCAAATCGAAGAATTCGATACATCCACTCAAAATCAGCTCTTTCAACGTTTTCCCTTATTCATCAAAATGGCGCCTGATTGACCCATAAATCGCAATTCATCCCCCACTCACTAGTCCTCCATCGGACTGATATCAACAGTCGCGAAGCTTTAACCGCAACATGGCTCGTCTTCTACATGTGGTTCAATGCCCTGAGGGCAGCGGGTTCTGCGCCTCATACTCAGATTCACAGAATCAAAGAATAATAGCGGTTGCAAGGGGCAACTATATTCAATTCTACACGTTTGAGCCAGACCACACAGGGTTCTTGAAGGAGAGAAGTAAGACCTACTTCGAGCAGCCCATAACCTCCATGGCGAAAGTAAGAGGCAGCCAGGGAGATAGCTTGATTGCGATTGCCAACAATACTGTCTACGATGTCACACTGGACAAGAGGTTTCTTATGCCTTGTGAAGACTTCGGAAGCTCTCCACAGAACTTCTTGATGTCGTTCAGTGTCAACCGTAAGGTGGCAATTGCAAGACTCTCGACAAATGGAAGAACATATGTGATTTACAATGAGAAGACGAAGCGCCCCGAGGTCAAGGTATCCTCGTTGGGATGTGCTCAGATCAAACAGGCCGTGACACTAGAGAACTCAGATACAAGGTTCGCTGTGTTGTACACCAGCTTTGATCTTTCGTACTCGCTCAAGTACCTCGAACTAGATAAGAACTTGTCGGTGAACATCACTAGCCAATTCCAGGCATTTGTCGAAGCTCCCTCTCTTGTGGTGCCCATGACATACGGTGGAGTCATGGTCTTGAGCAATTACCGCATCTATTTATTCCCAGCTCCAAATCAGACAACGCATCTAGCGGACTCCTTTGAAGATCAGAGAGGCACCTCTGTTAGCAATGCCAGAAACGTCATTACCATCGATATCAAGCTGCTTCCATATCTCACCTCGTTGTGGACTTCTTATAGCAAAATAGATCTGGAAAGATACTTACTATCCACAGACACGGGACTCACCGCCGTTGCATACATTCGCTCGGCCTTCACAGCCTCTGCTGTATCCATAGAGGCATTCAGCATACATGACATTGGAAAAAGCACCATCGCTCAGTCCATGTGCCATGTCGAAAATAATGTCTTCTTCGCTGCATCAAAATACTCCCGCTCCATTCTTTTCAAAATAATGCCTACAGAACCACATATTCTGATTTTGTCATTTATGCCTTCTTCGCCTCCGGTGATTGATCTTGCGTACAGTTTCCATGCCAATACGTTGAGGTACCTGCCTGACATCTTTGTATGTCAAGGAGGGTTCCACAGTGGGAGCTAAGGAAGATTTCTTATAACTCTTGGAAAGCGACGCAATTATCGACACTTCGATTAGACGATCCCTTCGCCGAGGTAGTTCTGCTACTGCCCACCAATCCTTCATCGGATTCGAAGATCGTGATTGGCATCAAAGTGAATCTGAAAATTGAGGAGATCTACACGATTTCCAACGGACTTCAGAAATATCGCGGGACCTTCGTGAAGACCAACCTTCAATTCCCGCAAGCTAATGTTGTCAGTGCTGTCCTCTCTGGAACATTCACTGGGCAGCACAAACTTCAATCAAAAGACTTTATTGTCAAAGCTAGCGACACAAGTTCTATCAAGTATTCCAAGTTGTTGTCGAATGGCATGCATCTTTATGTTTCTGATAATCACATCGTGTGTGAGAGTGGAAGTTCTAGAGAAACGTGTGACTTGCAATTCTCAGAAAACTCTATCACTGCTTTTGATGCAATTTTTTATGAAGGATCCCCTGCTTCTTTGGTGGGATACACCGACGGTCAAATCGAGTATTTCCGCTTTAATGGCTCCAAAGTTTCCAGTAAGTTGTCCTTAAGGAGCGGAGACAAAAATGAAGGGCTAAGAGATGCCAAAGTCTGTTTCAATGCTAAGGAAGAATTGGTCGTTGTCGCTCTCGATAACGGGGGCAATGTTCATCAATACTTACTAGAGCACGATGCCGTGATTGCTTCGTCAGTATGGAACTGTAAAGGACCAGGGCCTACGGCTATGGGCTCGGACGGGAGTATGGTGGTTCTTTACGATACACATAAGGTGTTGGGATTGGTGCCGAAAAGAGGAAACTTTCTCAATCTCTGTGATTTCTTCTATTCTCCTAAGGCGATTAGAGAATGTGTCGTTCTACTGAAGTCCCATGCCTTGGTTGGAGTATACCTTGAGGATAGAACATTTGTTACTGTCTCTCATGAAGATAAGAAAGATATCATCGATGCTCACTTCTCTGACAAGTTGTGGACCAAGGTGATCAGCATTCCTCGCACACATTATCTTGTTTGCATAAAAACAGACATCAGGCCCACTAAGGGCCAATCAAGGGTGGCTACACTCAATCTTCTTGATGGCAGAACCATGCGTTTATTGCACACCTTTTCCAACACCTCCCTGCAATTCAGCGACATCTGTTATGTGCCTCCAAATGAACTTCACGGAATAGCACCATTATCATTTGTGGCACTTCAGACGGGAACCAATTCCATGAGTCGTTTTCCTCTCTTCAAAATTGAAGGTGATAAAATTAGAGAGGTTCCCAATGTTCATCTGATTTTGAAAGATATGGAGCTGGTCTCCTTCAGTGTCGTACGTTATGATCCTTATCGAGAATGCCTTCATGCCGCCGGCGAGGACTTTGTCCTGCTTAGCTTTACAAACAATAATGAAGTCCTAGAGTTGAGGGCAGTGGATTCCATCGGCAGGAACTGTGTGCTTCAACATGTTACTGACATAGCATGTGAGCCTGAGAGAATATTCATCTTGGATTCTTTCAGAGGACTATATGAGAAGACTTCAAGCAATTTTGAGTTAAAAGAGCAAAGTGACGATGATTCCAGGATCACTGCTATTTGTGCTTTACCAACTGATTCGAATCAGGAGTCCTCGGTCGTTTTTGGCGACAGCCTGGGCCGTGTACACATAAACGGAAACGTTTTTCAGGTGTATTCACAAATCAACACATTGAAGTATGTCGAGGAAGACGGTTCCGTGCTCGTGGGAACTTTGAATGGAGGTATATACAGATTGACGAGCAATTTGGGACCAGTCCCTGAAGATTTGCATGATGTGGGGAGGTCAAAAATCACTTCCGTGCCTCCATTCGCTTCTTTGGTTACAGGCGCTGATGCAACACGGGTCTATTTTGCCAACACCATCCAGGATTATGTCGAATCTGATGGACATCAAAGAAAAGAGCTTGCTTTGCTCGACGCGTGGTGCAATGCATCCGACAAAGGGCTCAAGAGAAAAGAAAATTACTCTGACTCACAGACTCGAGAGATTGCGGAAGTTTTAGATTATATATAGATGCCTTGCTAAGAAGCATGGCAATACATCTCTCATCTGCAGTTCGCACCCGAAAAACATATGTTGGAAGTCTCTGTTGATAATTGAAGTTAGCCTATACACAATGAATTTCGATGACATAGAAATGCTAGATATTCCAGACGATACGTCGTCTACGCATACAGAGTCGTTGGGTTCGTCAGACTCTCCAGAAACGCCCAAAGAAAAAGAGTATCCCACTTTATCAGAATGGCTTCATCTGGATGAGGACTTGAAGTTCCAATTCGATCTCAAGCGATACAAAAAAACATTGGCACCCCCTGATGCGTTTCAAAAGGCTCATTTTGACTATATCTCCTCGTTGTTTAAGGTTGTCGAAGACTTGACCAGCCACGATGTTCAGATACTTCCTGAGGATTCTCTGGAAACCGAGCCATTGGGTGTCGTGACTTCTCTGAGAGAGATCTCCAAGAACGCAAAGAAAGAGGAGAAAACAAACCGCATCAACAACGCATTTACAAAAATTGTGGAAAGCTACAGTCGTTTTCTAGACTCTGTGAAAGATGACTTGCAGGATGAGGACTTGGATGCATACTTGGATCTCCAGTTCTTGCTTGAATTCATTCAGGCTAACGAATTTCCTCTCCAAGAACGCCAAAAACCCGAGCTTCTTGTGAAATGGGTCAATGAGTACCACCCAAAGCCTGAAGATAGCTTTGTCGATGAAGTTGTCTACAACACCCCAGAGCCATACTTGCATCCCGAATTTTGGACCACCTACTTGGGCACTCTACTCACACGTGGTATGTTTAGCCACGCTGCTCAATCGATAGACTCCTCAAAGTACCAGCAATTGGGAGAGGACTCGCCATTGTACACAATCATCGCTGACTTCCATGTCTTAGTTGACAGCTACACGTCCATGTCTTTGAAGGGACAGTTTCCAGAGTGGAAGCGAACTGCTTGCGAATTGAGAGACAACTTCAAGAATTTCAAACAAGGCATTGAAGACGAGAAGCATTTGGTGATCGCCAGACAGATACATGAGTTGCTCAGAGCCATCACTGGTCTACCCAAGACCTTGGCGGGTTTCACAGAGAAGTGGTACGAACTTTATGCAGCTCTTGCTCTCTTCCAAGTTCGTGACGATAACAGTGTCTACCAGGACTACTTTGAGATTGCGATGAGTGAGAAGAACAGTGCCGACCAGAGCGATCTCGAAGAAGCCATCACACATGTTGCTCTGGGAAAAGCCCTTCTTGTGGTCACAGATCTCGACAAGTATGATCCTGCCACTGCTGCCTACGTCAGTAAGCTTTATGAGCTCAAAAGCCTTTTCTTTCCTTACTACAATGCCGCTTACAAAGAGTCTTTTATCAACGATAGCGACATTAACAAAAAGTACATTTCGGACTATCTTCTCACAAGGCACGCATTTGAGTGTTTTGAAGTGCACCCACTTGCTAACGTGGGTATTGGTCTTTTCCTCCACCCAGTGATTACGCCGACGGCTGACTTTAATTTAAAAAACCGCAAGATCGTTGCCGAATTCTTGCCGCATTACAAATGTTATACGAACGACGACATGGAGTGGGCTCTCACTGTGTGCGCTAAACTTAATCTTCCAGAGGTCGCCAAAAAGCTCTATTTGCAACAAGGTAAGATGTCGATGGAAGATGGCCATTTATATGAGGCCCTTAATATGTTTGTCAACTGTTATGACGAAACCTCCACTTCAAAGGAATCTTCGCTGGCCATGGAGAGAATTCATTACATTGTATGGGAGCTTCTTTTCCAGGATGCTCTCTTGAACTGCCTTCCTGCTGAGGACGACCTTTTAAATAATATTATTGCTCGTCAAGTGGACCCATCGTTTGAGGTCCATCCAGTCATTCGCCAGTGCATTGCTCCATATGCTGTGTTGGTGGAATATCTTAATGCCATTGATGACGAGCGTTCTTTCAAGAAGAACATATCTCGTATATTCCACTTGATCAGATTCAAGTACATGCCCAAAAAGTTTGTGCCACTTCTATTTGCACAGCTCCTTCCGTTGTTTTCCCTGCCACAGCTCACGCTACCAGATCTTATAGTGATGATTGAGCTTTTGGACTCGTTTGAGATGCTGGTGAAAGAGGAATCGGAGGAGATTTCGAAGTTGTATGCATTTGCGGTGGAAAGTGCCGATGAAGTACCTAGCGAGCACGACTGGAGAAAGGTGTTACAAGCAAAGGGCCAGACAATACCTGAGACTGTAAAGGCATTGGTTAAGCGCCTCCGCAACGACATCGCAGTGACAATTGGCAGGGTCTACATCAAGCAGTAGATATTTCATCTATTTCGATAATGTATAGGGAAACCGATCATTGCCTCGCCTACAAGGTGGGATAGAAATGAAAAAGAAACAGAATGTAAATATGACGGTCAATGACAGTTGATGAAGGAGATGATCCTATTTTGGAGGAGTCTTAACAGGTGACGTCCTGACTGGCTCTAGAGTTCAACAACAAGGCGACGATCAAGCCGTACAAACCCAAGACTTCGGCGAAAATCAAAATCAAAAGCATACCGACGAACAATCTGGGCTGCTGGGCGGTACCTCTGACACCCGCGTCACCGACGATACCAATGGCAAAACCAGCAGCCAAACCAGCCAAACCAACGGACAAACCGGCACCCAACTGGATGAAGCCCGAGTACAAGGCCATCTTCTGGGACAAGCCGTCGGTCAACAAGACGGCCACGACCAAACCGTAAATGGCAATGATACCAGCCAAAATGACAGGCACAATGTTCTTGAACAACAAGTCAGGTCTCAAGACACAGGTGGCACACACACCAACACCAGACTTAGCGGTACCGTAAGCAGCACCGAAACAGGTGAACACAATGGCGGCAGTGGAGCCGATGGCACCAAAGAATGGAGCGTAGACTGGGCTATAATTGTTAGTATCAAGATTGCGGTGACGATAAGCGATCCCACGAATTGGCCAACGTGGCTGCCCTGGGGGATCTGAAAATGCCTTCAATGTACATACCACAAGTCGGACATTATTCTGAGTTAGTGGCACAGATGGATGAGGTGAATTGTAGCGACAAGTCAACCGATAGATTACAGGTGGCTAACAAGAGACGTAATTTTTTCTCGGGGTCCGTGAGCGGTGTGCTGTGCTGTGCAGGCCCATGTGCTTGAGATTACGCACGTCTCAGTTAACCACAGGCTGGATGGAGATTTGTGTGATCCAGGTGGGTTTTGAGGGATTTGTGTATTTGTAGTGATATTTGCCGGAGTTGGTTTTTGGGGATGGGTTGGATTTTGAAGTTGGGGTAGTGGGGTGGTGGAAAGGGTGGTAGTTTGGGTGGTGTAGGTTTCAGCAGCACACATGGTTGGACAGGCTTTGAAAGATTTTGGTGCTTAGAAAGTGGAAAAGACTCTATCAATTTGATGGTATTTTGGTCTGGCTTTTAATAATTGGCTGAAATTTTGTGAATTGATATGAGGTTTGCGTTGATTACGTGTGGCTAGGAAATGGCTGCGAAATTAGGCACAGTATATACTGTTACTGGATAGCATAAACTGATAGTACAAACGATCAACACATAATACTTATTCTTCTTTCAAGAACAGACCTATGATGAATTTAGCTCGTAGTCGGATATACTTCCCTATAACAGGAGTAGGCATTAGATGAGAAGGCGTATGTTGAAGTCGTCTCGTTTCATAAGAATACATGAATAGCTAACAGTCGAGCAACAAAGATAACTATATGGTGACTAAGCTTTGAGTCTGTTTGGATACTGCTACTAATGCTCCACTAAAGGGAAATGATATTATTGGGACCACCTGGATGGGCTGTTTTATAGGAAACACCTGATTTCGCAGCCATTGAAGAATAAAAACAACTGATACCTACAAGGGGCAAAACAAATCTCCACCTAAAATCAAAAGTCCATTTTTTTTTTTTACATTGGCCGACAATCCACGTCCCAAAACCATCCACCACACCCCATTTCAGCCCATCCCTCTAAGGCCACTACTGCTTTTCCTGCACACACTCCACACACCAACCTCATCTCGCACAGAGCTTTTTTTTTCTTCTCTCTATCGGTGAGCTATTTTGCAAGGAGCCTAATCAACAATGTCTAACCCTAAAGCCTTCCCTTTGGCCGACTCGGCCTTGACCCAGCAGATCTTGGACGTCGTCTCCCAGTCCCAGAACTTGAGACAGCTCAAGAAGGGTGCTAACGAGGCCACCAAGACCTTGAACAGAGGTATCTCTGAGTTCATCATCATGGCTGCTGACACCGAGCCAATTGAGATCTTGTTGCACTTGCCTTTGTTGTGTGAGGACAAGAACGTGCCTTACGTTTTCGTGCCATCCAAGACTGCCTTGGGCAGAGCTTGTGGTGTTTCCAGAGCCGTCATCGCTGCCTCTGTCACCTCCAACGACGCCTCCTCGATCAAGAACCAGATCTACGGTATCAAGGACAAGATCGAGACTTTGTTAATTTAGATTGTATAATAGCATCTGGGGTATCAAGGTGTAGAGCTGACTGGAAGGCCATGGTCTTAACGGCTTCTCCGGTTGGTAGCCAATAAGCTATTGCCGATTTAGTCACACTGGACCTTCTTTATCCTAATAAACAACAGTATTCACCATATTTCACTGTCGATGTAGGTATTCTGTAATCTCATCTCCATCGCGAAAAATATAGCGCATCGCATCACAGTAGTATCATCTACATGGTTGAACTAAAGACCGCTGAGGGCACCACCAAGTACCTCAGGTCGAAGGGCATTCTGCCTCAGGAGGCTGTCACTACGGCAGATGCTCTTTTGAGCGGCTCTCTTGACGTCTTTCTCCTCAACAAACACCACTTTGTGTTTGACCTAATATGCGATCGAATGAACGAGTTCACAGGGAAAGACTTCAAATCATGGAAGCTCGAGCCACTGCTCTGGAAGCTATGGAGCACTGTTTGGCATCTTATGGGCCAGCTGCCGTTGGATCTCGATGCAAGAAGTCAAAGCTTCCGCAGAGTCAAGTTGGTACCCATCATGACCAGTGTTATAGAACAAGCTGATGCCGATGCCTTGGATGCAATGTTCTCCTGTGTTGGTGAATTTCTTGTATCTGGCTACATTGAAGCAGACGAATACACTGTTACCGGGCTTCTAGGTGCCTATGCTGAATGGCTAGAGAAGCATACTAATGAGAGAGTGAACAATTGGACACCCGTGGTGATCCAGCTTTTTGAGCTTCCTAGACAATCTTCAAACTACAAACCAACTAAAAAAAGTACGGCAAGATACTTCGCCAACGTGCTCCCACACCTTCTTAATTTCCTATCTTCAGATGTGGATGTATCGCTCAAACCAACGGTGGAGCTTCTTGCACAGCAGAACAGAACATTCCTTTTTGAAGTTGAGTCCGCCAAAACGCTTTGCTCCCACATGGACGATGTCACAGCTTATGAGAGTCTCACAGACGCTGCTGTGGAGTATCTCTTCCACGAGGTAATTCGCAATTTGGCTGCCACAGACATTGCCTCGTGTGAGAGTGTTTTTGTCAGCATCACCAAGAACGAGAAATTCAGCCAATTGTCGGAAAAACTTCTTCACTTCTTGGCTAAAGTTAACAGGGCGCTTTCCACAGACTTCTTTGAGCAATTGTACACTACAGAGATGACAAGACAGCCAATAAGATGGGGACTTGTTGGACACATTATCTCCTTGAGCCCTGAACTAGCTCAAAAGAAGACAGATGATATTATAAAAGCAAGTGAGAGCCTTAGTGCAGAGGACATCAATATAGTTGCATCCAGTTTGGCCCAGGGATATATACTTGCCAGAGATTTCGACAAGTTCATTGGAGAAGTGTATCCCCGTGCATTGGAAGCAAACTCAGCATGGTCCTCAGATGATGTTTTGGACCATTTGGCTTCCAAGTGTGACGAGCTTTCAGGCAATCAGATTGCAACCTTGATTCTGGAGGCATTGAAAAGCAGTGAGAAGGAGAAACTTGTGCTTCTTTCAAGGGGTCTCCTTCGATGCTCCGTCTCCAAGCAAGAAGCTTCTTTTAAGGTCTTTTCTGATGAATCGTACCTCCAGAAGGGCTGGTCTGAGGTGGTCTACTACCTTTTATGCATATACGGTGATGAGATCAAGACAGATGATATATTGAAGAAGGTCATTCCAGATGGACCATCTACGAAGTATGACTTCTTCTTGACATTCAGAGTTGCTGAGTTGAAAGGGGATGTGGGAGCTTTGAAGGAAAAGAAGATAGAGAAGTTCGTCAAGAAGCTCAGTACCAATGAAGCTTTTGCTTACGCAATGAGATGGCTTGTTCTCACGGACCTGTTCGATAGCATCAACACAGCACTTCTACAGAAGTTAGCTGAGGGCTCCAGCGAGCAGTTTTTGAACTTCTTCACTACCGAGGCAACTCTCATCTATGAACTTCCCGGATTTTTGACATCACTTGCTTCATTTATTACCAAGAATCCAAAGTTTCCATACACAAAAAATCTTTTTTGCATGATGCCTTCGACGATCTACAGAAAGTTCTTCTCCTCCTTTACTGACAAGCTATGCAAGGATGCTTTGAAAGATGATGAGGCAAAGCTTATTCTCAGGCATGTCTTTAAGGACGCGAACGGGTCCTCGATTCTTGAGAAAGACCTTGATCTTTTTAAGAAGTTCACTGCATCCGACAATTCTGAACTTACAACGCAGATCTCACAGCTCATTTGGAATGGTCACATAACTCGTTTCAAAGACTCTGCATCTGCTGACTTCGTCAACAATGCACTTAAGCATTTACTCAAGGCATTGAAGAAGAAACCTGCTGCGGCTGATATTAGACTTTCTCAGGTTGTGCTCAATGGCAAAAGATCCAGGGACCCGAGCTTCCAAGCATCTCTTGAGGAGCTTTGTGACGCTTATGTGACTTTTGTCACCAAGAACAAAGAAATTTCCGATGAAGAGATCAACGTTCTTGCAAACCTCCCATCACCACTTTCCGACAAAGTTAGAGCACTGTTGAAAGCATTGCTTAAAGCAGCAGGCAAAAAAGACTTGAGTACACAAACGAAATCAAGCCTTTTTGTTCTCGCTACTAAAACATCAACCAGCGATCTCCACGGCGCTCTTTTCCTTTGCAGCTTATACTTAGCTCTACAATTGGACACCCCTGTGCTTATGGATAGCCTTTCAGCATTCTTCAAGACATTGTCTCAAGAAGACTTTTACGAATTATACTTGCATTTACTCGCATCTTGTGAAGATGCTAATCCATCATATTTGGACCCAACGGTGAGATTACTTTCTACACTTGCTCATCACCTTGACAAGACTCACCAAAAGGAACACTCCAAGTTGTTTGTTTCCACAATCCTGGTTATCAGTCTGCGCATAGAAGACATAGAAGAAGAGCAGACCATCATTGGATTTCTTTCTGCATTGACCGTGATGCTTTCGGATCATGTCTGGATTGTCTCTCAGTATTCTGTTGAGCTTATTTTGGCTACTGTCGGAATCGTATTCAAGAAAAGCCAGCATCGTGACAGTTCGACTGTCTTCATAGCAGCCATCAGTCTTGTATCATACATTGTGTTGTTTCATCGTTTCAGACTCACTTCACGTTACCATCTTCTCGTGGCGATCCTCGTGGAGGCAATGAAACGCCTTACTAGAAAGGAAGTGACAAATGAAGATGCTACTGTGTTCGGGAGAATTTTGGTAACCCTCAGTGAGCCTCCAATCCAAAGATCCACCAAGGAGAATGACTCTCTCACTTCTCAGTCAGCCATCTACAAAAGAGCCATCAGAAAACAGGCACACGTTTTGTTGATTAATTATGTGCATATGCAAGTGTCTGCGCCGTTGAAGAGCTCTGTCACGGACGCATTAATGCCCGGTATCTACAGTGTCTTTGGGCTTTTGTCAAAGGTCGAGTTGCAACTCGTCAACCAACTCCTTGACCTGCTGGGCAAGGTCTATTTTAAGAACTTGTACCAGAGTTATAAGGATCACGGCAAGTGGAAGAACTGATGAATCAGTCTATATTAGGTACCCTCTGGAAACCGGCACGAGATGCCGCAGAGCTAAAATAGGCCCCAAGCATTTCAAATCTGCTCCAAACCACAGCATCAAGATTATCGTAGGTAGTAGGGTTATGCAATTCATGAGTGGTGTGCTCATATCTGAGAATATCTTTCCGTGTAATGGAACCAACCAAAAGTCCGTCTTTTTGGACAAGAACGTGACGAGGTCCAAGACGAACGAAGATATCCATGAGATATTCTAGTGTACAGTCGATGCTGACGACGAATGGGGCGGGATTGATGATTCCAGCCATATCAACGCCAGATGATTCAGGAGTGGGTGATGATTTGAAATAGCACTCATTCTCATTGCCGTGAGTTCTCACAACATGGTCCAAATCGGATCTTGTCACGTAGCCAAGAATTTCCGGTGCCTCTTCGGACATGACAACTGGGTACCCTCTATAAGGGGTTTTCTCTAGTATACTTTGAATTTGAGCAATTGAGTAATCCCTGTCGGCAGTAAATATGACCGTGACAGTGGACATGGCTTCAGCAACCGTTGCATCAAACCTGAACTCCTCCTTTGGATCAATATAAGGAAGGCCATTGAAAACAATCATCTGGTCTGCGATACCGCCTTGACCAAATCTGTCATTGATCAATTTAGTGACTGTCACTGCAACCATGGTAGGAATAATGTAGCGAACAGCTCCAGTGAGCTCAAACATGATAATAGCCACAGTCACAGTAAGATGTGTAATACCACTCAAAGCGGCGCCAGCGCCAATGAAAGCGTATGTTCCTGGAATGACGCATGTCTGATCCGGAACACATGTTCCGAACATGGAGGAGTCGGGATGAGCTCGATATATTTTCTCGACAACGATACCGATGGCTCTACCAAAAGTAGCACCAGCAGCCATTGAAGGTACGAAAATACCAGCGGGAACTTTGCAGCCATATGTGACGATTGTCAAGATGGATCTGCCCAAAGTTGCAATTATCAAGGAAAGGAAAAGCGTGGTTTTGCCCGAGTCAGGCTTGCACAATGCATGCAGCGAATCTGTGGAGCAGTCATTGAAAAGGGTTTGCATGACCTCTGTCATGTCCAATTTCAAGAACTGGTTGAAGTAGCAGAAAGCCGCACTTATGATTGCAAGAGTGACGGCCTCGTGGATGGCATATGGCACCAAGTATTTCTTACGGAAGCCAGCTACCCTCTTGTTGAGTTTAGAGACAATGACACCGTAAACACCACCGAACGCACCCAAAAGAGCATAGAACGGTAGGTCGAACCAGTGCCATGTGTTATGGTAGGAGACCTCAAAGAGGACCAATTGACCCGTGCGGAACGGATTGAGTGTGGACAATGTTGCAACGGCGATAAGGGCGCAAACGTAAGACTTCCAAAGCGTCAGAAGTTGGAACACAGAGGCGATTTCCTCCATAGCAAAAAGCACACCGCCCATGGGAGATCCAAAAGCGACAGCAACGCCAGCCGCAGACGTAGCTGTCAAAAATTCACGCGATTTTGAGGCCGACTGGCGGTATTTCTTGAAAAGCTTTGCAATGCAGTTACCCACACAAACAGCATAGTGGACAGAAGGGCCCTCTTTCCCTAGGGAAAGACCCAGTGCAATTGCCAAGGGCAAGCCCAAGCCCTTGATGGCCAAAGTCCACCAGCCCAAGAATCCCTTCATGACAAAGCCTGACACGATACACTTGATCTCAGAAATACCAGACCCAGCTGCTGCGGGAGCGAAGCGTCTTACAATAAAAGCGCCTATGCCCAGAAACACTATCAGCCAAAAGATGTAAGCCAAGTATCGTAGAAACCCAAATCTCAGCCATGGCTTCCAGTTATCACATTCTTCCTCTTGGTCCCAGCAGCAGAAGCCCTGACTTAGATAGTAGTTCAGTGAGCAGTAGCCTAGTCTCATCAGTGCTAGCCAGGCTGTTATAACATTAAGACACAGCGCGATGAAGCCAATGATAATTCCCATTGCCATAAGCACAAGCCACGTTCGAGCGTTTTGCACAATCTGTTGTTTCCACGAAGTTACAGGTCTCTTTCGTGCTAGTCTTTCTCTATGTTCCTCCAATTCGTCGTCCATCCAGTCGATTGTGACAAAGTCGTCATAGCGTGCTACGGCACGCACTTTATCCTGGTGAAGCCATTCTCCTGTTTGCTTGGATCGGAGCTCTATATGTTCGTAGCCTTCCATTGTGAAGAAGTAAATGTGGACTTTCCGATATATCGCATAGTATACCTGGCATAAGCCCGTGCACCACGACGTGGGGGCTTTGAAAAGCTGGACCTATGGGGTCCCAGACAAAAGTAAGAAGAGATGCTTTGAATCTATGAGGAACGGTTACGGCGACGAGGCTGAGAGAAAAAATTATTATGTAGCTGCTGTGAATGATACAGCTACGCACGTCAAAGCCACGTCTGATTATCAGATCAATCAGTGCGAAGACGTCAAAGAGTCGGAGCCGAGATTTAGACCCTGAAAAAACAAAGTGCCCGAAAAAAATACAATGAGGGTGAACTGTCATTTTTGTGTTGAATTTGATTGGTTCTTTGCGTGCAAGGCTGGGTGATTTTGCATCCGAGCTGCGCCAGGACTATTAGTCGCCTTGCATACCTAGATGCTTTTGATATGAGACACCTAGGCGATAAATATTGGATTCCACCGTCTAGACTTTTGCCGCATACTTTTGCAAGTTGCGTTCGAGCTCCTGATGGAGGCTCTCTATGTTGTCTTCTCCCTCGAAATATGACATCACAATATTGAGGCCTCCTCTTGGACATGAAACCACGTTGAGCACGAAGTCAGAGGCCCCAGGAGCCATATCTTGGGAGAAGATGATGTCATCGATTGTGAGGTCCTGTCCTTCGAGCTTGTAGATGGGAAAATTGTAGGCACCCACATTGGAGATTTTGATGGCGTCAGCCTTGTTAGCGCCCACAATGCCCGAGAAGAGATGCTTGTTCTCTTCATACTCTGAAGCAGCTTCTGCAAAGGCTTTTTGGGTGTTGAGCAAGCGCCGATTAGCAACAGTCTGCTTCAATTCGAGGTTGACCTTTTTGACAAGCTCCCATGAAAACTCTTTCACGGGCTCAAACAAATGCGGGAGACCCATATGAGCAAAGTTTCCAAACATCTTGTAGTCCTCTTTGGCTACTATTTGCTTGTATGGCTCATCAACAGCATCAGGTGAAAGGAAACGTCTAAGAGTCACAGCGATCATTGCAGACGTGTGATGGTCATCGCCGTAGACAGCATTGAAAGTCAATGCCTGGATGCAAGCGAGGTATGAGGTGAAGGTGACACCGTTCGCCTTGCAGGTCGCCAAAACTTTGCTGAAGCGGTCGGAATCAAGGTGGACTAATTTCATAACCTTAGTAGCATCAAGCGACGCCGGGAATCTTCCAGGCCATTTGTTAGGAAAACCCACTGGTGGGGTAGTCGAATAGTGGTTTGCGTCGCCATGCGTGTAGTCTAGATGCTTTGCTTCCATGATCATTTCCACAGGTGGCGGCAAGGAGTTTCTGATGTACTGCAAATCAATAGCAGAGTCGAAAATCACCGAGTCAAGAGTGACCAGCTCGGGAATAGTGCCATAGCTTTCCTCGAATTCACCGTGGTTTGCAGGATCAGCACAGTAAGCCAAATTGTCCAAGAAGATAGCATGGAATTGCGGTGCAACAACGCCGTCAGATGGTGTATGCTCGAAAGCAGCACCGAGGGTGCTTTGGCCAACTAGAATAAGGCAGAAAAGAGGCAGCTCCTCGTATAGACTGCAAAGTTTATCGCAGCATAGACGGCGGATGAACGCCTCGTGCCACTCCTTTCCTCCAACAGGGCCATCTTCCTTCTTGTAGATATCACCGAATTTGGCACTCTTGATCGGTCTGAAGATAGAGTTCTGCCTTTTCTCGTCCCTGAACACGTTGCAAATGAATATGTGGTAGTCCAAGATCAGCTTTCTCAATGCGGCGTAGACGAGCTTGTCCTGTTTAGATAGGTCCACGGAATAGGTGCCTATGGCGGCAAAGTTCTGGTAAAACCCCACAGCATTTCTGCAACGAAAGAAGTTCTCGTTATTGCCCAATGGGCGCTCAATAACAAGATCGGCCATGGCTAAAAAGTAGCGAGCCCAACGACTGAAATAATCGCCGCCTCTATACAATTCAACGGCTGCAAACCATCAGTGCGTTAAGGGCGCGGAATATGACTCAGCTTACCACAGCCAACACTATCACGAGAACAATCACCAGAAGCGCTATAAGCAAGATACAGCTCCATTTGCCTTTACGTTTCTGGTATTCATGAGCCTTGTGGAGCTCACGTGAAGCCTGTTGCGTGTTACCATGGAGTTCTTGCACGTTTTCTTCAATTGTGTCTAGCTGCTCTCCCTGTTGATTAACCAATGTGCTAAGGTCTTTGAAGACGGAATTCACTTCCTGGACGCTGGCGGCTACCCGGTCAATCTCCCTATTTCTTTCCTCTGTCAAAAGAAGGTGGTACTGAAGCTCTGTCTGGTCGATCTGCTCTTGAGTGAGTTGCTGCTGCTGCTGAGTTTGCTGCCCTGGCTGCTTCTGCAAAAGCGGCGTATCCTCTGTATCTAAAGACTTGAGAGGTATGGCCACTTTTCTGCTGTTGTACTGATCCAGTGCCTCTTTGAAACTTTTATGAAGACTGGCGTAGTCCTGAGAAATCCTCTCCTTTTGCATTGTCTGACGCTCAGTAACTTCCAAGCTTTGGTCAATTGCTTTGTTGATGTTGACCGTGAGTCCTGCTATGGCGGCATCCAAACCGGCGATTTTGGTCTGTAGCAAATCAAGCTTTTCTCGAAGATTGGCGCTATCTCTTTTGCTTCCCACGAGCCTACGCTGGGAGTTAAACTGTGATATTAAAGAGCCGAAGGTCTGGATTTGTGTGGATGTGGAGGAGAAGATCTTGTCGAGTTCAGACCCGCCACCATTTGTGGAGGCAGGTTTCTGGGCCTCAAGGTCGTAGTTAGCAAACGACATGTGGTGTTTGTATCAGGAATGTATGGATGTATGGATTATGGAGATATTTGGGAACGTATTGGTGGGTATGGCGTCTATGTGGATGATATTTATAGATGGATGTGTATGTATTGTGAGATAAGGAAATGCAGGTCAAGCAGTGACACGGCGGTTATGGTTGAGGTTACACGGTAAAACCGTGGATTTCGAAATTCTGAGAAATTTTGTGAACAATGATCAGGATTTAATTCTCTGAGATTTTTCTATGATAGTTTATTGGTCTCGGAAGGTAGTGAAATATGGAAATTCTGGAAGGAGGTGCTGGCTCACGTACCATATAGGGATTGTCTCAAAACACTCCTTTCCGAAGAGATCAATTAAGTATGTAAGCTTTGGTTTAGATAAATGGATTGAATAAATTCAAAGTGGGACCGCATTTGAACCAAATTCAACTTGCTGTGTCTGTCAGTTGGTTAGATTTAAAATTTCGCAGCCATCGAATTCAGACCGATGTCAGCCTTGAAAAATTATCAAATCATGGAACCAAAATTTCCTATCATCTTGCGCAGAAATCAGAATCTATCGTTCATCCAATTGTACGTCCCATGTTTCACAGTGCTACGAAATACGTGTGTTACGTACGAACAGTCAAGAGCAAATGAGACTGGTGATACTGTGTTTCTTGATTGTCCACCTGAAAAAGTTGTCCTTTCCGAACCAACATGTGAGTGGACAGAACTAACCACCTAACATTTTATTGAACAGATCTAACTACCTCACAAGTTAGAGATGTGGAAACCTCGACTCTTACCTTCCGAGGTACAAGAGATAAAATTCTTCTTACCCGTATATTTACACCAATGCAATAGATACAATTACCTTCTGATGAATTTGACATTATGTATTGTGAATCATGCCTGAACGCGCTAAAATGACATGCTCAAACTATCAGCTCCTCAACTGTGTAGGCCTTCACCTAGAGCGCATACCACGTTTTGCAACCACGCACCAGAGCGTTCCCCACTATCGGATCGAAACACGAATTTTGGCATTTTCACAAAATAGTTTAAATTCAACATATTTCGAAATATTCATCGATTTGATTGGACCCCAGGAATTGCCCCATTTTTGCACCAACGAGCACCTGATGCCTCCACGCTGATGCAGGTTGTTGATAGCGCGTAGAATCGCGTACCGCGTTCTACTACAACCACCATCTCTTTTTACAGCAAACCCGATTAATGCTGTCTAGAGCCGCCAAAAGAGACAAGCTCAAGCGGCTCAGAGAGGCCCGGCGGACCGGTACCATAGCGGCCGTCCTGGACGAAGAAAACGAGTTCATATACGATGAGGTTGACGAAGACACCTACAGACAACATAAGAGAGATCAGTTGATGAACGACGACTTTATTGTTGACGACAACGGCGAGGGCTATGTCGATAACGGTGTGGACGAATGGGATGACGCGACGCGGCCCAATTACTACTCGGACGAGGAGGAAGTGGAAGAAGTGGGAACGAAGAAGAGAAAGAAGAAGCAGCAGAAGCCTGTGAAGGTGGCCAAGACGGCGCAGATCAACAATTTCTTTGCGCCAGCAGCAGCTTCGAAGAAGGCTGAGCCTGCAAAGAACGCCGCTATCGACGATATCTTGGACGACTTTGACGTGAAGCCCAAGAAGGCCAATGTGTTTTCGCCCTTTGGCACCGCTGCACCCAAGAACAAGAAGTCCAACGCGTCTGCTTTCAGCTTCTCCACCGCTTCGCGTGACAAGAAGAAGGTCAAGAAGGAGCCCGAGCTCGATGCCTTCGATACTACCGTGGATTCGGGTGAGGACTTTGACGTGGGTGGTAAGGAAAGCACCCCTGATACTCCTGTTGAAACAGCCGAGGAGGTCGACGTCAAATCTTCCAATCTGGATGCTTCCATCAAACCAGAGCAGCCTGATCCTGTTGATGATGACAGCGAGGATGACGACATTGTTGTGACCAGAAGACCACGCGCTTCGGCCCCTGCTAGAAACACTGGTGCAACAATCTCCGCTGTGAAAGCTTCCAGTCTTCTTTCTTCGTCTCCATCTAGAGCTTACTCGGCCATTTCACACACTGAGAAGCTCGATGAGGACACTGTCAGTGAAGACGACTCATTCAAGATGTTCTGGTTGGACTACGCCGAAGCCGACAGCTCCCTTCTCCTTTTTGGTAAGGTGCTCACGAAGGAAAACAAGTTGGTCTCTGGTGTCGTCCAGGTCAATGACTTGTGCAGAGAACTTTACATTTTGCCTAGAAAGTACCGTATAATCGATGGTCAGGAAACTACACAGCCAGTCAGTGCCATGGATGTGCACGAGGAGATCTCACCTATTCTTATGGAGAACTACGGTCTTGAAAGTCTCAGAGCTAAGCCAGAACGCATGAAGTATGCATTTGAGCTTCCGGGCGTCCCCAAAGAGGCAGAGTATTTGAAGGTTTTGCTTCCCTTCAAAACCAATAAGCACAGGCACTTGGTTATGCCCTCAGAATTGGAAGGTGAGACTTTCTCCAGAATGTTCGGTACTAACACCAATATTTTTGAGTCCTTTGTTATGCAAAGAAACATCATGGGTCCCTGTTGGTTGGAAATCAAGAAAGGTGATTTCAGCGCTATCCAAAACGCGTCTCACTGTCAAGTTGAAGCTGCTGTTTCATCTCCCTCCTGTGTCTCACCAATTGTCAACTCGAACATGCCACCTCCAAATTTGACCATCACGTCTATCTCTGTCCAGACCCTCATGAACCCCAAGTTGAACAAACAGGAAGTCGCGTGTGTCACTTTGGCTACTTATAGAAACATGCCTCAAGACGCACCTATCGATGAAAACATTCAACCCGATGATCTTGTTACTTTGGTACGTCCAATTGGGGCCGTTGGTTTCCCACCAGGTTTGCAACAGCAAGCCCAAAAACAAAAGATGAATCTCAAGACCTTGCCGAACGAGGCATCTATGTTGGGATGTTTGGCTGCGCTTGTTAAAAATGCAGACCCAGATGTATTTATTGGACACAGATTGGAGAATATCTCTTTGGACGTGTTGGTCCACAGAATGCACGATTTGAGAGTCGGCACTTGGTCCGCAATGGGAAGAAGAAACAGGAAGTCTTGGCCTGACAAATTTGGCAAGGGTAATGGTTTCAACAACAACCTTCTCATTCGTGAGATTTTCCAAGGTCGTCTTTTGTGTGATATTGCCAACGAGTTGGGTCAGTCGTTGACCACCAAGTGTCAATCGTGGGACTTGCCTGAGATGTACAGTGTTGTTTGTCAGAAATCCTACAATGCCGTCGAGCTCAACTTCCAGAACCCTCGTTACGCTGAAGATGCTGCATTCTTGATGATGTCGCTTAAAGAGAACATCACTCAAGTACTGATCACTGCCAAGATCGCATTTGCTCTCCAGATCTTGTCGCTTTCCAAGCAATTGACCAATTTGGCCGGTAATGCTTGGTCTCATACCCTTAGTGGTACAAGAGCCGGTAGAAACGAGTACATTTTGTTGCATGAGTTCAAGAGAAATAACTACATTGTTCCTGACAAGGAAGACAAGTACCACAAGAACACCAGCCATCAGCAAGAAGCAAAGCTTGAAGCCAATGAAGATGATGCAACGACAGTGACACTGAACAAGAAGCCCAAGTTCCAGGGTGGTTTGGTTTTCGAACCTGAGAAGGGTCTCCACAAGAACTACATTTTGGTCATGGACTTCAACTCTTTGTATCCAAGTATCATCCAGGAGTTCAACATTTGTTTCACCACTGTCGAGCGTGATACCTATAATATCACGCATGACGAAGAGAGAGACTTGCCTAGCATACCTGAGCGTGACTCTGAAGCCGGTGTCTTGCCGAGATTGTTGAATGCATTGGTCTCGAGACGTCGTGAAGTCAAAAAGCTTTTGAAGAATCCTAAAAATACTGTTCATGAGCGTGCTCAATACGACATTAAGCAGCAGGCCTTGAAGTTGACTGCCAACTCTATGTATGGTTGTTTGGGTTATGTCAACTCCAGATTCTATGCTAAACCTTTGGCTATGTTGGTTACCAACAAAGGTAGAGAGATTTTAATGGATACCAGACAATTGGCTGAACTGATTGGTTTGAGAGTTGTCTACGGTGATACTGACTCTGTCATGATTGACACTGGTGTCAATACGTTGCAAGAGGCTCTCAAAATTGGTGATGAGTTCAAGGTTCAGGTTAACGAGAGATACAAGCTTTTGGAGATCGACACGGATAACGTCTTCAAAAGATTGTTGTTGCATGCGAAGAAAAAGTATGCTGCTATGAATGTGAGTTTGGACAAGAAGACTGGCAAAGAGATTTCTGCTTTGGAAGTCAAGGGTCTCGATATGAGACGTCGTGAGTACTGTCCATTGTCCAAAGAGATTTCCACGTTTGTCTTGCAGAAGCTCTTGTCTGATATGGACCCAGAGGAGGCTCTTACAACTGTTTACAACTATTTGGAGGAGATGAAGGGCAAGATCAGCAATAATGAAATCAGCATCGACAAGTATCTGATCAACACTCGTCTTTCGAAGGATCCCTCGAACTATCCTAATGGGAAAACCATGCCACCTGTCCAGGTCGCCTTGCGTCTTAGAAAGCTGGGTAGGGTCATCAAGGCAGGCAGTGTGATCACGTACGTTGTCACCGCTCCCCAGAACGATGAGGACAACTCTAACCCTGCTGAAAGGTCGAGGGCCATGCAAGAGGTGTTGGCAAATAAGTCACTGTTCAAGCCCGATAGTGAATACTACCTCGAGAAGCAGATCTACGCTCCTGTTGAAAGACTTGTGAACCGTATCGATGGTATTGACATGATGCGTGTTGCAACTTCTCTTGGTATTGACACCAGGAAGTATGTGATGAGGCTCAGAAACAGCGAAGAGGGAGGCAATGACATCGCTCCTCTCGAGTCCAACATTACCGATATTGAGAGATTCAGACAGTCCAGCTACCTCGTGCTTAACTGCAGATGCGGCGCCAACTTCAGATTCGGTGGTATCCAGCCCTCTAAGGACTATCTGATCACCTTCAATGGTGTCTGCTGCTCGAAGTGTAACTACGTCTTCCCAACATTGAAATTAACCTCGCAGCTCGAAAGCACTATCAGAAAGCACCTTGCCTTGTACTACGCCGGCTGGGTGATCTGCGACGACTCAGCTTGCGGGATCAAGACGAGGCAAATTTCGGTGTATGGTAAGAGGTGTATTGGCAGTTCCGGTAAAGCACACGGCTGCAAGGGTGTCATGCGGTACAACTACACCGACAAGGCTCTCTACAACCAGCTCTTGTACTTTGATGCAATCTTTGATGTTGTCAAGGCCAAGGAGAAGAAGTTGAGACCTATCATCTACGACCAAGACATGGTGGCACCGGAGTTGAGCACGGGTCAATTGAACGCTCTTGCAGAGCAGAACAGAGCAATGTTCGAGCATTGCAGAGAGGTGGTCAACAAGTACTTGGCGGACTGTGGTCGCCGGTACGTGAACATGAGGAGCATTTTCGAGTTCATGGTCTAACTTTTGTATACTAGCAGGGAATAAAGGAATTATATTGACATACTTACATCAATGCCGAGGGGACCAAGGTGCCACGGAGCTTCTGTTGAGCTTCGATGGTCTCAAACAAACCCTTGAAAGTACCCTTTCCAAAACCATTGTGGTGGTGTCGTTGGATGATCTCCAAGAACAACGTAGGCCTATCGTGAAGCGGTTTGGTGAAGATTTGGAGGATGTAGTGGCATGAATTCTTGCCATGCTTGTTTTTGTACTTTGACGCCGGGTCAAAATCAACAAGAATATGATGCTCCTTCAACTCTTCGAACGACTCAAAAAGCTCAATGTCGTCCTTTGCCAAACGCTCTTCCAAGTTGGTGTAGTATGTTTCAGAGATGGTGTTGAAGTCAATTCCTCTGGAACGCATTCCCTTGACCACCTGAAGGATATCTCTGGTTCTGAGTGCAATATGCTGAACTCCAGGGCCTTTGTAGAATTCATAGAACTCCTCGATCTGGCCCTTCATCTTTCCCTTTGCTGGTTCATTAATGGGCATCTTGACTTTTCCGTTTGCACAAGTCATCACGATAGATTTCAACGCCGTGGCACCTGTAGACACATCCTGTTCATCCACAGACCAGAATTTGTGGAATCCAAAAGCCGAAGCGTAGAACCTGGCGTAGGGCATCATTTCATCCCAGGTGAAGTTCTGAACGCAGTGGTCCACGGCAAATATCGGCACTGGGTTGCTTTCCGACAAACTAGTAACCAAAGAATCCCTGTAAAGAGGCAAAAACGGGCCCTTGAAATTGATGTTCTGCACCAAGGTGTGGCGAAGATCGGATCCTGGAACACCCACCACGGCAACCCTGACTGCACCGTTTTCTTCTTCAACCAACACTGGTTCTCTTAGGGAGATGGCGCCGGCCTCGATTGCTTTTTTGTAGGCTATTTTGGCGTCAGTCACGGCAAAAGAGACGTCCATGACGCCCATTCCGTGGGTATTCACAAAACGATCGATTTCTGTAGCTTCCTTAGCATCGTAGGCCAATTGTTCTGCTGCCTTGGCCAATTCGTGGAAGGAGGTGACGCCTCCACGGACCTGAAGCGTAACAGGCTGCTTTTCGAAATTTGGAGGCCCGGCTTTGGCAGCTCTGGATCCGGGTCTCAGGTCTCCTCGGCCCAAGGTGTTGATAACCTCAAATACACATTCGTCTTTTTTCAAGACATGGGCGGCTAAAGCCACAGATCCCGACTCCAAGCCTCTATAGGCGACTTCCTTGAACCCGAGGGATAACTCGAAAAAGCGGGCCATCTCTTTGGCGTTCGAGGTTGCAAACCTTATGGCATGGAATCCAACAATGCCATCCAAGGGAAGCTTGTTGTTTTGGTGGCCGCCCCGCAAGAGCTCGCTGACTTCAAAAGGCGATGTTTTCTCTACTTTTCGAGAGTAAAATGGGAGTTCTCTAAGAAGAGTCATGGTGGTGTGGGGGAGAATGCCAAACACAGAAGCGCCTTTAAATGGCTGCAAAATGAGCCTGCGAAGAGGGCCTCCTTAGGGCATGACGCTGGTGAACTGGAGGATTGTGGTAAAGCGGGGAAGAGAAGTCGTATGCCAATTATTGAGCTGTCGGTTGGAGAAACCTGGTTGGTGCCATTTGGTGATGATTCTTATAGTATGGTTCAGAGGTGGGTCTCGGTGAGTTGACGGTCACATAGGCCATTCTGGCTGAGGCGACAAAATTCCAATAAATATCATCAAACATCTTTCTATACCCCTCAAGAACATTTTTCTTGGTCAATTGTACATTCCAGCTCCAGGAGGCACGAACAATGTGCTCTCCATCGCATTGTAGGTCGATAAAGGTACACAATGTGCCCGAGATGGACTCGGTCAACATCAGCCCTGCGGTACTCCAAGGCAGGATTTGAGTTTGCTTTGGAGGTAGAAATCGATGATTTGAGACTGGTTTTTAAAAGCTACCGATGAGGAGCACTTATCATAGCACTCGGTGCGCCTATGTCTGGAAGCTAGGTATCATTTGAACTGAACTGCGCCATTGAAAGCAATTTCCTAGATACTATCCAGATTCAAGCGTCCAAATGTCAATTCGACATCTAGAAAATGACATGCAGAGTCAAAACCTGCTCAGTATTGGCGATCTACCATTCAATGAGAGGTCTACCACCTCACGTACAGTAGTAATGAAAAACCACACCAGAACTTCTACTACGACACTCGTTCATTTTCACGTCAGATCCAAGTTATAAGTCCTATTCAGAGCTGCCTGACAGAAGCCATAGATAAGCATGTATCCTAAGCCGAATTGCGCAGCATCCCACAGACTGCCATATCCAACCTCGCAAGAAACCTACCAAATTGATACCATGAAACCATCCCCTTATAGCTATTTCCAAAATCCAGCTACACTCAATATAAAAACACTTCCTGCCACCCGAATCCCCAGGTGGGTCGTGTGCGCACCGCTATATCTAGAGTTGAACCCACGAAAAACACCAACATCCACACCACCATGAACTTCAACAAGGGCGCCGGCAACCCCGGCCAAGGAGCCCAGCAGTTTGCAGGACGCCAGCGGCCCAATGCCATGCTCCCTCCCCAATTCCAGCATTTCACGCCTCAGCAGCTTCAGGAGCTTGAAAACAACCCTCAGTTCCAAAACACCATGCGCCAGTTTTACCAGAACAAAATGTTGCAGCAACAGCAGGCGTTGCTCAGACAGCAACAGCAGGCTGGAATGGGCCAGGGAATGGGCCAGATGGCAGGACAACCTAATCAGAACCTAGCACAAACTCCCAACCAGAGGATGATGAACAGAAACATACCGTCAGGCTACATGCCACAAAACCAGCAAGCACAACAACAACTCCAGGCTCAGCGTGCAGGCCACCAGGTTCTGGCTCAGGGCCAGCCTATGGGGGTCCACAGGGTCACGTTCAAATGGGCGGAAATGGTATGCCTGGAGGTATGAACAACCCAGCTGCTGCTGCGGCAGCAGCAGCGGTAGCGGCGGCTTCTCTGTCCAACTACAACAACGTGCAGAAATTCGGAGGCCAGTTTCCTCCACAGGGCGCCAGTGCTCCCGGACAAATGCCTATGGGAGGTCAGCCTGGTCAAGCCAGAAATAGCTTGTACGGCGCCATGGGCGGAATCCCTGACCCTTCTTCGGCAGCTGCCATGGGCGGGAACCCGGCTGCCTCATCTATGAACAGCATACTGACGATTCCTGGGCCCATTGCTGGTGCTGTGCCTACTGGAGGTGCATCTAGACCTCAACAAAGCTCAAGAACACTGCGCTTCGGCAACACAGAGGAGCCCGAGTATCCTCCTGGATTTGGCCCCGATTCCTTGGTCAAGCTTCCTTTGAAACAGCTCGCATCGCTCGACGAGTGGTCTCAAAAACTAGCTGAGGAGGGCAAAGAGATACCTCTCGATATCAAGATCTACGAGGCCATCATCAAGAAAGACAGCTCCTATCTCCGTGACTTGCAGCAACAATCCAAAAAGAACAAGACAATGATCGAGAAAATGGCTCGTGACATTAAAACATACAACACCATCAAACAGCTTCGAATGAACGCGATCAACGCCTCCGACAAAAACCAATACAACAACAGTATCTGGGGTGAGGGCTACCTGGGCTACGGTAACGGAATTAGCAACACCGCCACGCAGGTGATCTTGCCTCAGAACAACAAGCCATTTTCCCGTGTGCCCGACATCGGCTACACTGAGAAGCAACTAAATGAGGCCGTTTTGCGAGGTTTGAAGACAGGCAAAAACAAGCCATTGGTCCCCATTCGTCTAGATTTCGACCAGGAGAGAGACAGGTTCAAGCTTCGAGACACATTCTTGTGGGACTTGAGCGATGAAACGTACAGAATCGAGAACTTTGTCCGCACGCTTATCGAGGACTACAAGTTCATTCCAGACCAGCATTTCCATTCCATCATGAACACCGTCAACGAGCAAATCAAGGATTTTAAACCCATTGTCGATAACCCTATGGGCGAGTTGCGGGTTCCTATCAAAATTGACCTTGTCATCAACAACACACAATTCACGGATCAGTTCGAGTGGGACATCTTGAGTCTCAGCGAGAACGATCCCGAGGAGTTTGCGACTATTCTTTGTGATGAAATGAGCTTACCTGGCGAGTTTGTCACCGCCATTGCATTCAGTATTCGTGAGCAAGCGCAGCTTTTCCACAAGGCGTTGTTCCTCGTGGGCTACAGCTTTGATGGTTCGCTTGTTCGGGAAGATGAGATTCGCTCTCACCTACTTCCACCTCTACGTGTGCTCACTAATAGCGAAGCAGGAGAGCAGGTGGAAGATTTCATCACCACGTTGCGTAATCCAGCTGCTGTATCTGACTTCTCGCCTGCTTTGAACAAACTCACACAGCTGGAGGTGGAGAAGATTGATAAGGAGATGGAGAGAGAGTCTCGTCGCCGTAGACGTCACAACAACGACTTCAGTTACAATGAGAACGGACCAAACATGGGCGTGAACAGGGGAACTGCTTCCAGAAGAAGCGGGCTTCATATTGGAAGAGGTGTCAAGACGACGCTACCCGATCTCTCAGAGATTCCCAAGATGTTCCGCACGCCTATGCCCTCGAGTATCTTGCCTGGTGGTATTGATCTTGGCGTGCCTGAGATTTACGGCTACAATGAGCTCATTGTCAACCGTACTCAGATCAGAAACCCAGATTACAAGCCTCCGAACGCTGAGCTTGTGACTTATGCTCGTGACGGAGGTTCTTTCTTCGTAAAGATCAAGATGCCTCGCAGATACCATTAAATTCTACCATAGTGTACCTAATTAGACCTGTAATATAAATAAAGCCACATTACGTATTGAATAGACTACTATAATTTTTAAATCGCTTTGAGTGCCTCTGTGATGTCTTCAATCAAGTCGTCCACGTCCTCAAGACCGACACTGACACGAAGCAACGAAGGTGATACAGTGTTGTCCGACATGGCTCGCCATTCTATCAAACTCTCGACTCCACCTAACGAAGTGGCATGATAGAAATACTTCAATTTTGAAGGGAATTTTCTGGCTTGGTCCTCAGTCTGGAGCTCGAAAGCAAATGTAGGTGAGTGTCCACCCTTCAACTGGCGAGCAACAAACTCATCTTTTTGCAAGGACGAGTGGTGAACTTTTGAGATCGCAGGGTACTTATCCTTACTTTCGTCCAAGAACTTAGCTAACTTGGTGGCACTGGCACTCTGCTTGAGTACCCTCAATTCAAGGGTCTTCAAACTTCTGAGCAAGAGGGAGGACTCCAAGTTGGCGATGTTCGTTCCCAAATATATTCTGTCGTCTATCAAATCACGCCAGACCTTTTCACTCTTTGTCAAAAGCACGCCAGCCAACAAATCGGAATGGCCACCGAAATACTTGGTAGCAGAGTGCATCACGATATCAGCTCCAAACTCAAATGCATCCTGCAAAGGCGGTGGGGCAAAAGTCGAGTCAACAACAAGATAGGCGCCCTTGGCATGGGCTTTATCGGCGAAATATTGAATGTCAAAGCATTGAGAATCTGGGTTCACTGGAGTCTCCAAGTGAATGACGTCACCCTTGCCCAATTTGTCCAAATCCTCGTCTTTCAAACTGAATTGCTTCAACCCATGGTTGCGTTTCCAGATATCAGCAATTCCATGAACACCGTGGTAGCCCTGCCCAATGCACAATACCTTGGGGTTGAGGTGGGTGTAGGCGGCATAGACGGCACTGAGGCCAGAATTGTAGGCAACAGCATATGAATTTGTGATTTTTCCAATCGTCAGTTCCACTAATTCGCCTGATGGGTGGCCCTCACGCGAGTAGACTGGCTTGCCGACCTCGTAAGGAAAAGGTCCAGGAGGTGCTTTCTCAAGCTTATCGGGATCATTGGTATACTTGAATGTCGTGGAGATGTTAATTGGTGGAGTAACATCCGATACCGTATGGAGGTGGTCGGCACCGTGGATTCCGGTGGTAGATAAGCGGGGCATGTCTATCTGAATTGTCGACTATTTGGGATAGGATGTCGGGTATTTATATGAGCCAAAGTGTGGATGCGCACGGATGCATGAGATGCATATGGGGCGATATGGGTATTAGTCATTTTTGGTGCTGGAAGCGGATTTTTCGATTTTCCAGACCGCATATACGGGAATGTCGACTCCAGCGATTTTGGTGGCAAATTTTCCCTGTTCGGAAAGCAAGACTGTGTCGTGTTGACGGGCGTCAATTCTCGAGTCCGGGTTCATAAGTAATACGTCAAATATGCCACTTTGCGCAATTTCATGTGCTTTGGTGCAGGACAACAGAACCGCTAAGAGATATGGACCTCTTCGATGGGCTTCTACAACGGTGAACGGAGCAAAACTCTGGGGCTTCTGTTGGGCTTCCACAATCAGTGATTTGGGTTTGATCGTATTTTCGGGTTTCTGAGCTGTGCATTGCGTCCCCTCTTTTGCCACAAAAGTGTAGTTTCGAAGCTTGTACCACTCTGTGAAAGCCCTGATCGAGGAATTGCTCAGGCTGGTGAGTTCGTTGGTGTCGTTCATGGGCTTGATGACGTTTTCTGTGATGTGGCGGTATCTCGGCTCGAGTTTCGGCCTCTTGGAGGCAGGTACATCGAATAGAAGACTTTTGGTGGGAAAAGCTGATTTTTCATTTGACAGGGGCTGAGTAAGTATGGGTTTCGCAAGCAGCAGGACTTGGGATAATGACATTTTCAGGGTCGATTTTAGGCGTTTTTCGGATGCATGGATGGGTCTATCTGGATCTATGTTTCTATTGTGGCGGGTCGGTAGTAGTTTGGACTGATCTTTTCTATGCAGGTTTGGTTTGTTCACCAGTGACGAGACGTCACCTAGAGGCCGTCTTTTGGCCTTTCGTAGGTGGAACTTTTCGAAATCGTCCATACCCAGTAACGGATGCTTTATTTACATTATGAGATCTGATGCCGCGAGATGTGCGGTGTGGTGTTTTGTGCAGGCCGTTGATAACGATCCAGGCCCCCACAACTACGGTATTCTACAAAGTGAAAAATTTTGGTCGTAACATCTTTTCTTATTTACGTGCGGGAGAGCCCCTAACAGACTAGCTGTTGGGTTTCTCACAACTTGGCGGTGACCTTACGTCCCACAGTCGACTTGATCAAGCCGCTAGGGTCAGGAGAAGGGTAGAACAAATCGTCGTTGCTGATGCCCTTCCACTCCAAGTTGAACAAGATGAAGTGGTTGTTGGGCAAGGAATAGGACACAGAGTCCACAGCAGGAGCAGCGTCCAAGATCTCCTGCGACATGTTGTACATGGTGGCCTGGACCGAAGGAGAGTTCTCCAAGGCAAAACGGTCCAAAGTGATCTTTCTGGCGGCATTGTAGACATTGTCAAACATGCCGTCTCTGGCCTTTTGCATGGTGTCATCGAGAGAGCCCAATTGCAGTTCAAACTTCCACGAAGCGTCAACGTCAGTAGACAACATTCTGTCCTCAGTAGGCTTCAAAGTCGTGTAGTCACAGTCGTGGTAGCCGTAGAACATGGAGCCGGTCGACTTCAACACCTTCAAGTCCTTGATACCAGAAATGATGGTGGTCTTCTGGGAAGGCTTGTCGTAGGTCAAGAAGGTTCTGCGGGTCTCGAAGCCCTCGTGGCGGAACGAGTGGTCGTGCAACTTGCCGTTGACTTCGTACTTCTTCCAGAGGTCCTGGACAATGGTCACCTCAACACCTGAAACGTGGTTGTACTTTGTGGTGAAGTGCTTTGCAAGGTGAGCAGCGAATCTCTCGATGGGCCAGACCTCGGTGTTCTTGGCCTCGATGAGAATGGTGTTCTTCACCGTGTCAGTTGGAACGATGGGAGCGTTGTCGGCCTCGGTGTAAGAAATGTCAAAGTTACCTCTCAAGAGCACCTGGCAGTTGGCCTGCAAGACCTCCTGGATCTGGGGGTTTTTCTTGTCACGCTTGACTTTCAAGAACTTAACGTTTGTTTTGCCGTAGGAGGAGTCGATCAAGGACATGTTGGTATTTGCTGGTGGGAATTTGGTGGATCTGAATCGGAGGAATTGGGCTCATACTTATAGTGCTTATCGCGGGGTGCGATGCTTCGGCGATCGCCGAGTGATAAGGCTGTCCATAGTGAAGCGAGGGGTGAAGTGAAAAAGAGCTTTTTGGAGATCTTTTTGAAATTTAAAAAGAATGCCATAAATGCTGTTGACGCTCCGTTTCCAGATATTCCGGTTGTTTACCAAAATTCCCAAGTTTGCGTGGATTCGGTGGACCCTGGTGGGTCCGATGGCTGCGAAAACGGTGTACCGAAACAGACTCACGCCATTTTGATATCTCCCCTCAACGGCCGGCCTTTCGGGGATCTCCATCTCCGCTGCTGCCGACTGCACAATTTCCAAAAAGTTTGAAGGTTTGAAAAGGCAGGTTTACTATGGCCAGGTCGGCCATCGGGATGCCGGTGAAAATGCAAAAGGTAGCGACCAGTTGGACTTGGGATTTTTGGGGCACTAATCAAAAGTTGAATCGAGGGGACTTATCAATGCGACCTTTCTTCAAGAATAACTCAATAGAAGGATGAGTTTTATTAAGTTCTCAAATCTACTCTTCAACCATCCATGTTGGCCTACGGTGTAGCTGGTTGTAGATCTTTCGCAGCCATTCCCCACCAACCAGAGCCGTGCAGTAGAAGAGACGATGATGGAAAGTGGGGCGGCTAAAAGATCATTTTTCGATTCGTTCGAATGTGGAAATTTGACATTTCGTTTTGGGTTTTCAAAGTGACCAGCGCTGGCATTGTGGGGTGAATGTTTGGGAGTTGTTTGAGGTGTATTCGGGGCTGAGCGAGGTGGATCGTTTAGGGGGCTTTGGTGTGAGGTCATTGGGGGCGGTTTTGGAATATGGCGTGGTTTTGTATTTGGGGATGTGGAGGATTTGGGGATTTGGAGGATTTGGTATGGTAGGTGCATTTTGTAGATGTAGTAGTTTTCGCAGCCATCACGACGGGTTAGTTGGATCATGGTGTGGTATAGGTGTAATACAACCAAAAGTGTTGTGATTCAAAGAAGTGCTTTCTGAAAGATAATAGTGGAAAAAGGCTTGCATTATCTAATTGAGCTCGTAAAGACCCATCAACAATACGTTTATGATTGAACCTCATCACCTTCGGGCATTTCGATAGACAACCTCAGTAGGCTTACCATGAGAATGGAGTATTCTGGTGACTTCAAACAAGTGAGAAATTTACTTTGATTTTGTCTAGCTTTAATGACCATTGCTCCGAAATATGACCTGATGCGTCATATCTGTGTCTACTGCCTATGGCTGCAAACAGTCTACCATCTTCCAAAGCATACCCTATTCTACCCAGACTTCTCCTTTTTAGCAAGGGATATACAATTGAATATTTACAAGTCACAGTCACGTAGCATCACAGAATAATGTTCAGATCAACCACAAGACCACTCCTTCATCCCTGCTTCCGACCTTCTCATAAGAATACTCCATACCTCAGTCACCATCACCCCATCAACACCACCACCAGTGAACCAAAATCCCACACAGCTCCCCACCCCCACAAACCAAACAAACCCCACTCATCCAATCAATTCCCAAAACCTCCCAAAAAACCGGAAATCCCCCAGAATCCACATCCACCTCACGTGCACTTCAAGGCATCGCAGCATCGCAGCATCGCTATCTACTACACCATGTTTCGGACCGTCCAGCGCCAATCCCGACGGTTCCGGGGCCACGTGGCGGCGCCGAGACCGAAAAAGAAATCTCTGGCGGCTCTTTCCAAAGAAGCTCTTGCCGTGACCCAGGAGGTCTCACAACAAACCAAGAAGAAGTACTACGATCCGTCCAATGTGACGTTAGACTTTGAGCTTCTGAACGCCAAATTAGTGAATACGATTTTGGGTGACTCTCGAGACAGAGTGGCCAAGCGGCTCGATCAGCCTGGGAAACGGTGGAAACAGGATCACCGCTTGGACATGGAGCAGACCATACGGCAGTTTAGGCTGTACTTGATGGACGGGAGAATATCGCTAAAACAGAACCTCCAGCCCCTAGATATAGGCGACTTGGTTTTGCTCGATTCCCAGAGCACATTGGCACACCTAGTGGTGCAGAAACCGCAGGACCTCAAGACATCAACCTACACCTTGGTGAACCACGAAGGTGAGATAGTGTATGTTCATCGGGACCAGATCAAACTCAGGGTTCCCGGCGTGGTGCCTCCCTCGAAAGTGGAGGAGCTCGATATGATCCAGCTTGAGAAAAAGCACCCTGGATTGGCGCCTATCGGTTTGCCTGATTCCAAGTTTGCAAGGTCTCCCGAAGCTTTGCCAGAGGGCTGGCTGCCCAAGGAGGAGAAACTGCAAAAGGGCTCCGATCAGGAGCTTCTGACGACAGGCGACGATTTCATTATGGCCCAGGCGGCGTCGCAATTGCTCACGGACACAGATGTGATTACATACATTGTGCCTACACCTGTGAGAAGAATCATTTCCAAGCCGCTTGTCGATACCGCCATTCTGAGCTTCAGAAAGATCAACTCTTTTACTCGTGTGCTAGACAATGTTCACAAGATCTTGCAGTACGATGAGAACAACAGTCTCATTTCTCTGGCTCGGTCGATTCCTATCTTGGAGCTTCTCAACAAAGTGTGGAACTTTGAGCGCAAGTATAAGCTTCTCGAGCACGCCGACGGTCAGGAGGAGTTTCGAATTCTCAATGCCCAAATCGACTACTTGGGAATCAATGGCCCTACGGTTCTCGGAAAGCCCGTTGTGGAGGTGCCCAGTGAGGAATATAAAAAGGAAGATTTTCCTATCAGCTCTTACATTGGCTTCATGGTCGCCTTGGCACAGAATCCACGGAAATGGAAGGTCAACTTCCAGCACAACTCGAAAGTGCCCCTCAACGTGGATATTCTCCCTATAAGCAAATCCATTGATACAGCTGACGCATTGGACTTCTTGAAAGGCATTGGCATCAAACAGTTCACAAAGTTCTATACTGACTTTGTGGCAAGGAAGAGCTACAAAGAACCGAAGAAGCTCAAGCAGGTCATGAGTGTGCTAAGGGACTTTGTTGCAGGCAATATAGTTGAGGATAGAATGTTGGAAAGTGTTGTGGGAAACCTCATACGAAGCATTGACCATGCGTTAGACCTCAGAGGTCTTCGCAAGAAGAAGGATGTTGCCTACTCATATGAGTATTCCAAGAGCAGGGCACTTGAGATCATTACTTCCTTGGATCAAGGGCTCTGGTGCAACCCTTCAAGGTGGTCGTCTTCACTTAATCTTCCAAATACGGGAATCTCGCCCAAGAGCGACCTCGGCAAGCAATACTACGACTTTGTTGATCAAAAGTTCACTTCCAAGGATGCACTTTCAGAAGCCGTCAAGGGTGCCTCCGCCACGGAAGCATTGCTGGATTTGAGCTTGGAGAATTTTGATGATGAGATTATAGGAGCCAAATCGCCGGTTACTGATAGCTGGCTTGTTTCGGATTTCCACCAGATGGATCCATACGCTTCCGTAAGGGAGGATTTCCCTAACCTTCCAGTTTATTGTATTGACTCGGCCACTGCTCACGAAATTGACGATGGTATCTCCATTGAATACTTGGACGACTCGTTCAAAGTCGTTGTCCACGTCGCTGATCCAACATCTGTTCTCAAAGAGTCTTCTATGCTCAACCTGATCGCCTTCGAAAAAGGTACTACAACCTACTTGCCTGAAGGTGCGTCCTTGATGATGCCTCAACTCATTTCAATAGTCTGCGGTATGGACGCCCCAGGAAAGAATAGATCTTTTGGGGTTGAGATGGTGGTGACCCGCAAGGATTTGGAAGCGTTCGAAAACTCGCCAACTTCTGAGGCTGCCCATAAACTCATGGAGAGCATTGTTGAGTCAACAAAGATCAAGTTTTTCAACATCAAGGACAATGCTATTTGCATCACGTACGAGGAGGTGAATAAGATTTTGGCTGATGAAGCTAATATCGAGCGGTTTCTGCAAGGCATCACAGATCACAGCCAAGAGTCCGATCTCTTCAACCTTTCTAGAGTTGCGTCGGCGTTGAAAAGTGTCAGAGAGTTCTTGGGTGCACTTGATTTCCCTAACGAGGCAAGCAAGACCTTCGTTGATTACAAGCCAAAGGACGAGGTTGAACAGCCACACTTTCAGAGAACAGAAAAGGGTTTCAGAATTGCTATGGCGAGTGATGACTCCGAGCAAGTGCCGGTCATCCATATCGAGAAGGATGTGGATCAATCCCAAGAGTCCAAGTCTCAGGAACTAGTGTCCAATTTCATGGTGACTGCAAACCACTGTGCTTCTAGTTTTGCCATCAAGAACGACGTTCCGATCATCTTGAGAACACAGAGGTTGAACTTAAACTCCGACTTCAAAGCTGACATCAAGGCGCTCATGGACAAACACAGGAATGGTCCTGGAATGACCGTTCAAGAAATGGCTGATTTCGGTAAGCACATGACCGCAGCCAACTACGAGACCAATCAACATGGGCACGAGTCTCTCGGACTTTCGAGCTACTCGCATTTTACGTCTCCCTTGAGGAGATACACCGATATGGTGAACCAGTGGATGCTTGGACAATACCTTGTGAAGCAAGGCGAATGGACCAAGGAGCAGCAGAAGGATTTATCTGGAATCGCCAACCACCTTCAGATTTGTCTGATGATCAACAAGCAGGCGCAGAGGTCGTCTACTCGATTCTGGCAAGCAAGCTTCCTCAAGCAGTACTTTGAGCAGTTGAAGCATGGTGACGTTTCCGAGCCAATAGAGTTTGAGTTTTTGCTTTTGGGAGACGCCAAACGAGGCGATGTGAGGTGCAAGCTCAAGTACTTTGACCAGATGAAGACGACAATTGTCGCTGACGACGGCGTCAAGAGGCGGTTCAACAGCGGCGAGTTTGAGGTTGGAAAGGTGGTGACGCCCACCTTCAAAATAAAAAAGCTAGACATGATAGAGCATGAGTTTACCGTTGAGCTCACCAGTACATAGGCAGCGGAATACAGGTAATAGGGTGGTATGTGGAAGTCTATGGGCCGTTGAGGCTTGTGTTTGGGGCGAAGTGAGACAGTGTGGCTTGTGAGGTCTGAAACGTAGGCGGTGTTGAAATCAACCAAATCTTCAATAAGTTGTAGAATCTGGTGGTTTTGATGCACCTCAATGTAACCAGCTTGGCTGCGAAATCCTCTGGGTGTTCTCTGCAAAGAACCCTTCCGTGCACGGAAGACATGGGTGACATTTCTTCGATTTAGCAAAACCAAACTTCCAAAGAACAAATCCTTTTTAAATAGCAAACATGGTTGTGTTTCGCCTTTAAAGCCTAAAGCTTAATCATCACCGAAGGCACCCTTCTATTACGCAGATGACGACACGATGATCTGGATCTACCGCCGCGCGAATCATGAACAATGGATAGAAGAAAATGCTTGGATGGGGAAGAAAGAGCCGTTGAAGTAAACAAATGTGGATTTTTGATAAAAATCTTTAAGAAGTCAACTTTGTGAACTGGTCCTCTGGATCATGCAAAGTGGCTCATCCTCAGGTTCAAGCCCTCGCTGAAGGAGCTGAGGAAAGCCCACAGGCTTCTAGAACAATGGAAGTTTACACGGTGACTTTTTTTTTTTTTTTTTTTTTCTTCTCGCCGCTCGTCAAATCAAACAAGAAAACGGAAACTAAGAAAATGAAAAATCCACCACAAAAAAACCCGAGAACCTCTGAATCAAATGTTTCATTGTACGTGATTTATTTTTGTTTCTGGCGCTGCACTGCGTGAGGCTGAGAATTTGCAACTTCGGACCTGCTGTGAAACAAAGCCAGCAGCAATCAAAATCGGATGTGGCGGGATGAAACACGATTTTTTGATTTTGAAAAAAAAAAAAAAAAAAAAAAAAAAACCAACTACAGAAAAGTCTTTCTTTTTTTTAATTTTTCTACTCCCTCTCTTTTGCTCTGACTCCCCTTCGAGTATGCATTGCGGTGTTATGGTGCTGCACAAACAGCATACCGAGATGGAGAAGGGTCCCGAATGGCAACGTCTTTTCCCACAAAATCGGCATTTTTTTGAAATTCCAAAAAAAGCGTGCAATTCTCCAGCCCATTCTCTTTTGTAGCCCACCTTCCCTTTTCGTAAATTTGGGACCCTCCCTCAGATCGTCCCCTCCTTCTTCGATCCGTTGTTTGTGCGTATGCGAATTGCTAACATCAACCACTTTCTTCCTGATGGCCGATCCTGATTCACAGAGTACGTCGACGTCGGCGGTGTTGGTCACGTTGGTGTCCAACCTGATTCTTTTGGGCTGCTTTGTTGCCGGCTTTTTGATCCTCAGACTCAAGTTCAAGCGGATCTACTCCCCCAAATCCTCCTTTGATTTGGTGCCCGAGGAGAAGAAGCCCGAACCGCTTCCTCAGGACCCCGTCAGATGGATCTTTGTGTTGCTCACGAAACCACACTCCTTTATTCTCCAGCAGTGTGGCATGGACGGCTACTTCTTCTTGCGGTACCTTATCATAGTTGCCTTCATCTTTATGGGAGGCATGTTGACCTGGATCATCTTGCTTCCTGTGAACGCCACCAACGGCAATGGCCACGAGGGCTTGGACCAGCTTTCCTTTGCCAATGTTAAAAGCCCCAGAAGATACTATGCCCACGCCTTCATGTCCTGGTTCTTCTATGGCGGTGTCATTTACATGATCTACAGGGAGCTCTTCTTCTTCAACTCGCTCCGTGCAGCCGTCTTGCTGTCGCCTCGCTACGCCAACAGGTTGTCGTCGCGTACTGTGTTGTTCCAGTCGGTGCCTGACGCTTTCCTTGACGAGAAGCAGTTCATGAAGCTTTTTAACGGTGTTAAGCGTATCTACGTCTCCAGAAACGTCCGTAAGTTGGCCCACAAGGTCAGACAGAGAGAGAACATTGCCATGCAGTTGGAGGCCGCCACCACCAAGCTCTTGGTTGCTGGAATGAAGGCCAAGAAGAAGGCCGACAAGAAGGGTATCCAGGTGGACAATCCAGGTGACATCAACTCGTACGTTCCCGAAAATAAAAGACCCAGAGTCAAGGAGGGAGGCTTCTTCTCCAAGAAGATCGACACGATTGAGCACTGTCGCCAGAGGCTTGTGGAGTTGGACATGGAAATTAAGAAGCTCCAGAAGGTGTATAGGCACGCTACCCCAAAGAACTCGCTTTTCGTGGAGTTCGAGGACCAGTACAGTGCCCAGCTCGCCTACCAAAGTGTCATCCACCACAACCCATTGAGAATGACCCCAGCATACATTGGCTTCAACCCAAGTGACATTGACTGGGACAACATGCGTCTTTTCTGGTGGGAGAGAATCACCAGGAAGTTCATTGCCCTGGCTATCATCATTGCTTTGATCATCTTCTGGGCTATCCCCGTGGCCTTTGTCGGTGTTATTTCCAACATTAACAACTTGACCGAAAAGCTTCCATGGTTGGGTTGGATCCAGAACTTGCCTGACTGGTTGCTTGGTGTGGTCACTGGTTTGTTGCCAACCATTATGTTGAGTTTGTTGATGACCATCTTGCCTATGTTCATCAGAGCGATGGCAAAGATTGCAGGCTGTGTTTCTTTCCAGCACACCGAGGACTTCACTCAAACATGCTACTACGGCTTCTTGCAGGTTAACAGTTTCCTTGTGACTGCTTTGGCCTCTTCTGCTACGGCTGCAGTCACCTCCATCATCAACAATCCTGCTTCCGCCATGACTCTTTTGGCTGCCAACTTGCCCAGATCCTCCAACTTCTTCATCTCATACCTTATCTTGCAAGGTTTCACTATTGCCGGTGGTGCTCTTTTCCAGGTTGTCACTTTCTTCTTGTTTTACATCCTTGGTGCCTTGTTGGACAAGACACTCAGAAAGAAGTGGGGCAGATTCTCTGGCTTGGGTTTGGTTATGTGGGGTACCACCTTCCCGCTTTTCACTAACTTGGCTGCTATCACATTGGCTTTTGCCATTATTGCTCCAATGATCTTGTTGTTCGGCTGTGTGGCTTTCCTTCTCTCCTTCATCGCTTACAGTCACAACTTGACCTACTGTTTCGTCGAGGCTCCTGACAACAGAGGCCTTCACTACCCCAAGGCATTGTTCCAGACTTTCACCGGTCTCTACTTGGGCCAGGTTTGTTTGTTGGGTTTGTTCGTTGTCGGAAAGGGTTGGGGCTGTGTGGCCTTGCAAGCTATCGGCCTTGTATTTACCATCTTCTGCCACCGTAACTTGCTCATTGCCTTTGGTCGTTTGACTACTGTGCTTCCAATCGATTGCATGAAGCCATTGGATGGTGTCTCGCACACAGTCTCGTTCAAGGGCGAGGCCGACTTCAAATCCAAGATCTTGGATAAGCAGAAGGGATCTGGACATCACATCCTTGAAGAAGACAAGGAGGACCAGGCCAGAGTTGAGGAGGAGGCTGGTCAGCTTGAGAATGGCCACAACCTCGTGCCCTTGTTGGCTGACCGTGACTTCAAGACCACCGAATCCAAGAACTGGTTTGTTCGTTTCGTACGTCCCGACGTCTTCTTGAACTTCAGACACAGTAAAAGGATGATCCCTGCCACTTACAACATGGAGGAGGATGTTGCCGATGACAAACATGCATACGACCAGCCGGCAATCTCTGCACAGATGCCCAAGCTTTGGATTCCTAGCGACCCATACGGATGGTCTAGGAGGGAGATTGAAGACAACGAAAAGATCATCGAGGTGACTGACGAGAACTCTGGTTTCAGCGAGAAGTGCGTGCCACAGTTCTTTGGTGAGTCTCCTCTCTAGACGACTATTAGCTGATACTGTAGTTGTGTGACTTTTGTTGCCCAACTATTTTTGGGGCCCTGCCCTCTTGATTTCAATGATTCACTTACATGGCGATCCTATTGTCCTACGATTCAAAACAACGGCCCATGGGGCCAAATTAATAGCATACCAATACGATGCGGATGTACGCCAGGAAATTGGCGCTGCCACAGGCGCCGCGAGTTACCCATGATTCTGAACGGCCTCTTTTGAGATATGATTTGAGATACTTTTGTCTTGCTTTCTTGTTCCCGTATTTTCCCTATTTTTCCAGCTGCTCTTTTGTGAGGTGCGTTTTCATAGGCATCTAAGTGGGGCCGCGGATTTACTCAAAGGAGATAACATTCTCAACATAAATACCCGATGTACCCCAGGTTTAAAAATCTAAGTCTTTTTTCCATGACCACTCCTGGCACCCGGGCCATGTCCCGTCTTCAGCTCACGCAAAACCATCTTAGAGCAAATTCCACGGTCCCCCATTTTGAAAGTGTAACTGTTGGGGCTAAATACTCTCCAGAGTATAAGAACTATGCTGTGAATCCTATAGCGAACAAGGTTGTGCTGTACTTCCACGATATCCCGTTACTGCAGAAGAAGGAGGCTAGAACCGCCACCATGGTTGTGGAGGTGCCTCGCTGGCTGAACGGTAAATTCGAAATCGACCCAAAACAACCAGGGAACCCGATTGTCCAAGATATCAAGAAGGACAAGGTCCGTTTTGTGAGGAACCTTTTCCCATATCACGGATATGTGCATAACTACGGTGCTCTTCCACAGACATGGGAGGATCCCACGAAGAAGAGCAATGTGGAGGACTTGTTTGGTGATGGAGACCCATTGGATGTATGTGAGATTGGAGCCAAGGTGCTACCCACGGGCAGTGTTGTGACTGTGAAGGTCTTGGGCTCGTTGGCCTTGATTGACGATGGAGAATTGGACTGGAAGGTGATTGTTATCAACACTGAGGACGAATTGGCACCAAAGCTCAACGACATTGCAGATGTGGAGAAGGAGTGTCCTGGTCTTCTTGCGGCCACGAGGCAGTGGTTCAAGGACTATAAGAAGCCTGACGGCAAACCTGAGAACGTGTTTGCTTTCAAGGGTGAGTATTTGGGTGCTGCTGAGACATGGGAGACTGTGGAGGAGTGCCACGAAGCATGGAGAAAGCTTGTGAGCGGCGAAACAGAGGCAGGAAAGTATGCTATTCAGAATGTCACTTTGGATGGAACGCCAGGAAAGAAGAATACTTTTGACTTCAACAATGAGGTCTTCGTTGCCTCTGCTGTGTCTGATGCGCTCATCCCTGATGAGGTGCACAAGAGTTTCTACTACTAGAAGATTTACGCTTGGATTGATGAAGAGCAAAGGGGTTTAGATGTCTGGTGCTTGAGGACGACCGTTTGATGGCAGCTACTGAACCAGACAGAGTACATAGTCAGCGGTGCATTCAGCGGTAATGCATTCAACAGCAAAGCATTCAACAGCGATGCATTCAACAGCGATGCATTACTTAACGTGAAGTAGACATGTTTGTGACGTAAGAAACGTAAACTTCTTCTAAGCCAGACATATAAGTACACTACCATCAGCTCTGACCATTTTGCAGCCATTAGCGCGATGATAGCAATGCCCAATACGTGAACATACCCGGCCACAAATAAACAAAACATACCCTTTTGATCTAACTCTCTATATCTCAAAAACTCATAAATCATCTCTTACACCACCCCACGAGCTCTAATATTCACCAGATCACATCTGTCTGGAGTGTGCGCACCAATATCAACATGGAAAAAAAGCGAGTTGCAACCATCAACAACATAGACTCCACGCCTTTTGAAGCCATGCCTGCCTCTAATTCCGTGTCCCGCTCGCAGGCGCTTCGGCCCATGGAGCAGACCGCTCTGTGGACTTTTGGCTCCGCATTGACCCTTATAAAAGAAGAGCCTCTGCTCCATATTCTCGATGCTTTGGACGAGTTTCTCTTGCATCTGAGAGATGTGATTCTTCTGGCAAACCCGCTTGCCGGCGAGTCCAAAGATCTTGAAAAAGTTAAGGATATCACCTTGCGTGGGGTGCTCTTTGCTGATGTCCTGAAGAACATAGATATTGCAAACAAGCTCGCCAGATTATTGAAGGTGGACCCCAAGGAGGCCTTGAGGGTGGTCACGCAAACACAGATGCGTATTCCTGAGTTTGAAGACGTCAAGGGCTCGCTGAGCTTGCTCAATTCGAGAATCAGAGATGAAAAGGATGAGGCCAGAAAGAACGACAAGATCACCATCTACGCCTCAATGCTCCTCAAAGAGAAACGTACTGTGCTCAGAATAGCCAGAGAATGCTTAAACAAGCGTTTCAACGAGAGTGCCACTTCTACTATCCGTAACTTGGGAAGGTCGCTTGTGTTGGACTCCAAGTACGCAGAACTGACAATAGATACGCTCAGCGAGGCTGCTATATCTATAACTTCGGGCGCCTACAAAACAGGTGTCGATACATTGGATGAGATTATTTATACCGAGACGCTACTCTTCATGCTGGAGCAGCTATCGCTCTTGTGTGAGATCTTCGTTTCTTCTATCGGCACGAGGTCTGTGACAAAGTGGTTCGAGTTCATGGATGAAACAAACTTTATGGTTGACCTTGGCTCTTACGTTTCTAATAGAGAGTGCTTCGTGCTTCTCCAATCATTGGCTACAGTCGTATCTCTCCAAGTCCTCGATATTGAGAACCCTTTTGAAGCAAACGATCCATCCTACGTCAATGATGGGAAGGCTTTCAAGCTCATCAATGACATCATCTCCACTAGAAGCATCAACTCCATCGTCAACTACGCGTGGCTCATTATACTATACAAAAAGGCGATCGTGGTGGAGGAGTTCTCTGACTCTCTGTCAGCCTTTACCAAGGAAATCTCCCTCTCCGAAATCAATACCAGCATAACCTTCTTCACTGAGACCCTTGAGCTGAGCAGCGTGTTCCAAGATATTATGAAGATCAACTCTTTCCTCCATTTCGATGAGATTTACTCGATTGTGTTGGCCAGCTTGCTTATGGTTGCCTTACCACTTATGCCCATGAATGTTGAAACAGCCACGTGTGTTCAGCAAGTGCTTAGTCAAGCGCCTCCTGCTGTGGTGGAAAGATTTTACGAGAACAGCGAAGTGATCAATGCCATTATCTTGTCTCGTGCCAAATTCCCAGTCAGCATTCCTCCATATCTCAAATTGGCCTCGATCAACGGCAACTTTGCATTCAGTGAGTTCCGTGAGCTCAAATCATACATGTCTGTTTTCGACAAAGAAGAGTTTGGCAGGGTTTGTGACATTGATTCTGAAAACACCGACCTCATGAAGCTCTCTGAAATGGTCGACCTATATCCACCTTATGAAGTGAACAATAAGCTTTCGCTTTTGCTCAATTCCAACACAAAAGCAAAGGTCATTCCTTCCAATGAAGATGGAAAAGTTCTTGTGACCTTCTTGTACAAGTACAGTGGATGGGCATTCCTTGGTAGAGTTGTGCAAAACATCTCCAAGACATTTGACGTTACGGACACGCAAAAGATGCTTGTGCTCAATGACATGCTTCATTTGCTCGTTCAGACTAGTTCTCAAGTCTCTTTAGACGACTTGAAGGTGGCTCTTGATGCCATGTCCGCATACACCGATGACTCGGACATTTTGGAGATCTTATTCCGTTTACTCGAGCAAGGATTGCACAATCGTGATACGGAGATACTGACGAAGGTGATCAAGCTTCTCACCAACCTTTTACCCTTGCATTCCAATAGAATATGGCCCCACCTTTCCAAGTCATCCTTGCTACCAAACAGTGGTAAAGAGCCATTTATGTCTATCATGTTTGGCTCCATTGAAATGGTGAAAGGAAGTTACGATTTCACCGTCGCATTGACCAAATTCATTGGCGCCTTAGCACACAATTGTCTCACAAACAAGCATGATTATGCTGATGTTCTCAAGGCAGATGCTCTCGGGGTGATGGTCGAGCATGCCATAGTCGTCTTCGAAAGCTTCATCAATTGCAACTTCAATGATGGCTTGCAAAAGCTCGAATTAGGGATTTTGCTTCTTGAAGTGTTCCTTAAAATCGTCACAACTGTGTTTGACACTAATTCGGGCAACTTCAAAGACAATGAGCCTGCCAAAGAATTCGTTGGCTCTGCTCAGAAAATCCTTGATGCCTTTTTGGCACAGGAGGATGGCTCCGCTCGTGCTCCAATCCCAATTTATAAAATGGTGAGTTCTGTCGCCTCTTCCATGAACTACTACGACTTCAGAGATGTCACAGGTTTCTACTCTAAGCACTGGATCAATAGTGCCTTATCATTCTCAAAGGAGTTGATAAGGTGCAGAAGTCTCATTACCAGCAAGCCATCTCATTTTGAAAAACAGATGTTCTCCCAACTTCAGAATTTGGTGAAAATCTACTCGCGAGGCTCATTCAGAAGACCTGTTCTTGACTTGATCAGCACCTTGACAAGTGGAATTTGGGAAGGAGAGCAAATGCCATCAATGTTGTCCCACTTAGGGCGTGAACATTCTCGTATCTTCTTGCATTCGTTGGCATCAGACTTGAACAACTCATTTGATGACTACGGTATCAGAATCTCTGTATATGACTTGCTTTGCTCGATCTTGGAAGCTAGTCAAGAGGGCTTGTCTGTATTGTTCATCAGTGGACGTGATGTTTTCGGTGGATCCAAGAGTGAAACTCCGCTCACAATCTCTCTTTTGGCTGTTTTGAAGAAGAACGTGAACGAGATCAAGTACTACCCTCCCTCGGTCACTGCCCATCTTCTTGACGCAATTTCCTTGGCCTTCAACTCATGGACGATTGCAAATGAAGACAATAGCGATGAACACTTCGTTAAAGAGATGCTCAAGCTTCTAGATGATGATCTTGGTGACGGTCACTTCAAGAACCCACAAGATTACATCGCTGCTTGTTATAAGAACAAGGTTCTTGCGAAAAGTGCCGAAATCTTGTCACTCATTCTTTTCACGACCAAGAACGAAAAGACGAAAAACTTGATCATTGACGTACTTTACAAGAACTCATTCGTGGAGAAGTTGCCTCGTCTTTTGTGTCCCTCATTGAGCAAAGGTCCAACTCTTCAGTCGATTTCGGAAGAGTTTGAAGAGCACTTCTCCAAGTACAAATTGTCCCAGTTTGCAACTTCTGTTAGAAAGAGGAACCGTTTCAGTGCCAATGAATTATATGAGATTGACATGATGAACACTCTTTTCCAGTCAAGTCCTCAATGGGTAGGTATTAGGGATCGGATTGCGGATTGGAGTGCTCGTATTCAAAACTACTACTCCCAAGTTGCCATTGCCAAGTCTATTGGTGCACTCATCACTGCTTTATGTCGCAGATCGCCTACAAAAGAGCTTGCTCGATACTTGAAACTCACGCCTGAGATTCTCACCATCAATGTTGTTGAGGAACCCTACATTCTTGCGACAGCAACGCAACTTCGTCTTGAAAGGGTTGAGCTCTCTTTTCTACTCTTCCAGACAAATGGTGGAGTTGAAAAGGCTGATAGAGATACCAAGGTTGCTCTCAAAGTGATTGAAAAAGCATCCACGATGCTCAACGCTGCTTCTGACTTGAACAATACTACTCCAGTCACCCAAAGAGCCTTGCTCAGGTTAGCTCATATTGCGCTTTCAATACTCGGCGAAGATCACGAGCTCATCATCGCAAAATTCAGTGTGCTTCGAGACTTCTTCAATCGTGTTGTTTCTCAAGGTTCGAGGCTCATCATTATTCAGCTTCAAAATGATGTTTATCTCTCAAGAGCAGACAAGAAGCATAAGTCGCATGATTTAGGCGAGCTTCTCAATGACTTGCGCTTGGTGATCTCCATCTTCAAGTGCTACGTGATGTTCAACATTCCAGATTCGCTTCAAAGAGAGTTGGCGAACTCTTTGACAGACAACAAAACGGTGGACAATTTCCTCAGCCTTTACTCGTTCTCGCACTTGATTGTGGTGAACGAGGAGCCTATTTTTTCCCACTTGACTCTCATGTTTGTCCAGCTTCTTCTTTCGGTGGATGTCTTTGCCGAGAGGTTCATCAACAGAAACATGTTCATGGTCATTAGAGAAAGTGTGATTTCTCAACCACTTCGTGAAGGTGGCATCACGATCGAAAACTCACCTCAGCTCCACAGAAACTGGACAACCGGAATTCTTCCAATAATTTCAGCCACTTTGCTTGGACCCGGTAACAAGACTGAGGTCTTCAACACAATTAGATCATTTGGAAGACAGATTGCCTTCTGCATTGAAAGTTGGGCTAAAGACTCGCGGTCTCTCCATGTCTCATCGGCCGTTACTTGGGAAACCACTCAGATTTTGCACTTGTATCTGATTTTGAGTGAAATTGCAAAAGCTGAAAAGATCAGGAGTGACAATCCTACAAGTGTCGATATGGCCATTCTCCCAGGTCTTGAGACTCCACAAAAGAGAGAGGATTTGATGGACTACATCAGCAATTTGCTCAAGCACCCCAAATTCCTTTCGTCTATCATCGTGCCCAGCACGCCAGAAGAGGCAAAGATTCTCAAAAGTCACGATAAAGTACATGAAGAATTTGTTAGAGGTGTGATTCTGGAAATTTCAGAACTCAAAGACTACCTTAGCTGAGGAGGTGCTGCACAGAATGTGGATGTTGATACAACGCGACGTTGGAATATTCAGTCGTACATCATCTCGCCTTGAAAGATGAGCTCCCCGTTCTATGTTTCCGCCCCAGGAAAAGTCATTCTTTTTGGAGAGCACTCGACTGTTTATGGCAAGCCTGCCATAGCTGCCGCGCTCAGTCTCAGGGCTTACCTTCTTGTGAATCCAAGTGAGGACCCAGATGAAATTTGTCTTGAATTTCCAGACATCTCGCTCAAACACCTGTGGAAGAGACTGGACATACCTTGGGACGCCCTCGAGCCACTCATTCAAAAACATGAGGGCGTGCCTGTGTCTACTGACGAGTTGGTGCCTGAGATCTTGGACCAATTGTCGGACTTGTTGGACATGGAAGACCAACGTACTTACATCACTTGCAGATGTTTCTTGTACCTATACACCAGCTTGTGTGGACGTGATACCCCAGGCTGTCATTTTGTCATAAGATCCACCTTGCCCATTGGTGCTGGCTTGGGTTCTTCCGCTTCGGTGTCTGTCTCCATTTCTACGGCACTTGCGATCTTGGGTAAGCATGTTGAATACCCCACGATCGCTGCAAACAGCAGACAGCACAGCAAGGCCTCTAAAGATACCAACTTCATTGACGCATGGTCGTTGATGGGCGAAAAGTGTTTCCATGGTAACCCTAGTGGTATTGACAATGCAGTTGCAACTCATGGAGGAGCTGTTTTGTACCAGCGTTTCGGCGGACCCGGCAACGTGGCCGTGCGTACCAATTTGAGAAACTTCAGTGGTATCAACCTCTTGCTCACCAATACGAAAATTCCTAGAAGCACGGCTGACTTGGTTGGAGGTGTGGCCTCTTTGAGATCCAAGTATCCTAAAACTGCGGAACACTTGCTTCTGGCCATGGGCGAAGTAGCTCAGGAGGCTTTGGAGGAGATGCTCAAGCCAAAGGCTGACCACAAGGTGTTGAGCGAGCTTTTCAACATCAACCACGGCTTGTTGGTGTCTCTCGGTGTGTCCCACCCTGCACTTGAAACCATCAAGGCCATTGGAGACTCGAACAAAATTGGTGCCACCAAACTTACGGGTGCCGGTGGCGGTGGATGTGCAATCACATTGCTTTCGCCTGAAGCTGACGAGGCTGCGTTGGCCAAGGTCAAAGAGGAGTTCCACGAAAAGAACTTTGAGGTGTTTGAAGCACAGTTGGGTGGAAAAGGTGTTGGTGTCTTGCAGCTCAAGGGCAGCGATGCCACGGAGGTGTTCTCGTCGGAGAAGTTCATGGAACATGAATCGAGAGAACACATCGAGGAGGCCATCGGCGCCTCAAAACTTGCCGGCTGGCGTTTCTGGTGAGATTAATAGCAGCATGATAATAATGAAAGCATAGAATTGGTTACAGCGTAGTTTGGTTTAAGTATTAAAGGCCGTAGCTTTTGAGCTGGTGGGCCAGTCGGGGCTTGGTAGCCCGACAATAAATATCTAAATACCTCTATTGAACTCAACCTGCTCGATCTTGTTGCCGTTCTTGTCCTTGAGGTCGTGGAACTTGTCCTCCAACTTCTGTGGAGAGACAATCTCACGCTGTGGGAACACGGCAAGGGCTGGAGGCAAAGCAACAAGGGCTGTGACGAAGATAAGGCCGATGTTCACTGCGGTTTCGGTCAACTTGGACTTGCCCTTGAGGAATCTGCTTTTTTGAAGTCTCACCAAGATCAACGGTGGAATGGCCATAACTGGGGTAGCGTTGATGACACGGCTGGCAGCGGTCTCGCCAACAGCGTAGAAAGCAGCCTTTTTAGAAGAGCCCAAGTCGTTGCCGTCCTTGTCGTAGACAGAAATACCCTTTTTCAACTCCTCGCTTCTCATCAAGAAGACGTTGGCAATACCGGCAGAAACCACAGCGGCAAAAGGCACCAAGCGGCCCAAGACCATCTTGGTGTTGGGCTTCAAGCCCTTGAGCTTTGGCACAATGGCATTGAGGCCGAGAGCCACAGAACAGGACGCTGTAACGGCCATCGTATAGTTCGTAGCAATCTGCTTTGTGGTCAACGGGTGCAGCTTATTGGCGTTGGAGATGTTGATAGCCACGTTCAACGACTGGTTCGCCACCTGCCAGAACACAGTGCCCATCGTGCCCAAGCCAGGCGTAAGCATACCAGCCGTCACCACCAAGTTGGAAAGCACACACGAGCTCATACGGAACGGCAAGAAAACGGTCTCGCCGGTGTCTGGGTGCAAGGCCGAGTCCAACACTTTCTTGGACCGCCAGAAGTCAGGCGTAAGCTTCCCTGTGACGCCGTTTCTATAGTCCCACACGACCCTCTTGGCAGCTTCAATGTCTGACGAAGTGTTAAGAAGCATTGTGGGGTCCAGGATTTCAGCACAGTGCTTGACACGGCCCCAGTATGTGGCGAGATCGAAACGAGAGTCTGGAAGCGGCACCGGGCCGGGAATCAGAGACGCCATAAGGAAGGTGTAGTTGGTGTTGATAATTGTGCGAAAGCGGGCCGGTGAAAAGCGGTGGAGTGGGTGAGTGGTGGAAGGGATAAGGAAGATTTAGGGATTTTGTCGATTTTGTGGATTTTATGGATTTTACTCAAGTTTGGAGATTTTCTTTGGATTGCTGGCTTTGGGGTTTGGTGATGGAGATCTGGTGGATGCTTGTGATACACTTTGGTACCTGCGTGGGCTGATGAGATGAGATGCCGATGACCAGTTACATTTGATTTTGAGGATTTGCTCTTGGATTCAATTTGATGAGTTTTTATAATACCAGAAATCTGGTGGTTCTGATAAGTTAGGGTTTTAAATCTTCGAGCCATGATTGGCTGGTTACCATGACGATGATAAGCCATGGCAAGGTATGTCCCATGGTGAGAGCAAGAAGCCTTTTTATTGTGGATGTGGCCAATTTGGATACCGGAGATCGTTGGCTTTATGGATTTGTCACTTGAGCGAAAGTACCAGTCACCTAAGCGTTGGTGGAAATGGTTGCAAAATGCACCTAGATGCGGCAGTGCAGTTAATAGTTTCATGGCCTAATAATAAACCGCTCAGTTCGGCTTACTCATAGAGAAGTACTAACAATCATTAGCTCTGGAATTCGGCCATCTTCTTTTTCAAGCCAGGGAAAGTTGGAGTGGGTACTTGCTTGATGAAATGCTCATGACATGAACGGTCCTACGGTCAAACCACCTTTCATCATCGACACCACAATCAGCTTCGTGGCTTCTTCTTACAACGCCTCAATTTTCTGAGACTCGACAAATCCCCAAACCAGCATTTTGTTGAACTCTTCATCCACCTTTGAGTCCCCATCACTGTCCTGTTTACAGATGCGCAGGTACTACTCATGATACTAGGACTCGGGGTGGACCTCGTCCATATCCTGCGGTTCTCCCGGCTCCTTGCCAAAGGTGAGCCATTCACGAAAAAGCTATATGAAAGAATACTCCATCCTCGGGAACTCAGTCAATTAAAGCTCCTAGATGAGAAGTCAACCACTCGGTTTATCGCAGGCAGCTGGGCTGCCAAAGAAGCTGTATTCAAGACATTGGAGGAGAAGGAGCAGGCGACTTTTCAGTTCAAGCAGTGGTACCGTTATAAAGAGGGTAAACGGCCGGCTATTGGCTCAGAAACAAGTAATGACTCTTTCATGTTGAGCATCTCTCACGATGACGACATGCTCATAGCCACTGTGCTACGGCAGGGTCCAGCAAAGAAATAGCGTAAATAAAGCTTAATTGAGCTGTGGCCGCCTTGGCCTACTTGTTACAGCACACTCGTTCTAGTTAACAATTACTAATACACATTTTACCCTCTATTCCCACTCAACAGTGGCAGGAGGCTTGGAGGTGATGTCGTAGGTGACACGAGCAACACCGTCAACCTCGTTGACAATTCTCGAGGCAACTCTCTTGAGGAAAGAGGCCTCGAACACGAACCAGTCGGCAGTCATGAAGTCCACCGTCTCAATGGCTCTCAAAGCAATCACCTGCTCGTAGGTTCTTTGGTCACCCATGACACCGACAGACTTGACAGGCAAAAGAGCGGCGAAAGCCTGGGAGATCTGCTTGTACAAGCCAGCCTTCTTGATCTCCTCAATGAAGATGGCGTCGGCCTCTCTAGCAATGGTAACCTGCTCCTTGGTCACCTCGCCCAAAACTCTGATGGCAAGACCTGGACCAGGGAAGGGGTGTCTCCAGACAAGGTCGTGAGGAACACCCAAGAGCTCACCCAAGTGACGGACCTCGTCCTTGAACAACTCTCTCAATGGCTCGATCAACTTGAGCTTCATGTCCTCCAACAAACCACCGACGTTGTGGTGGGTCTTGATGGTCTGCGATGGGCCCTTGAAGGAGATGGACTCAATGACGTCGGGGTACAAGGTACCTTGCAACAAAAACTCGATCTCCTGGCCAGAAGCAGGCTTGATCTTGGCAGCCTCGTCCTCGAAAACGTGGATGAAAGTGTTACCGATGATCTTTCTCTTCTTCTCCGGGTCAGTGACACCCTTCAAACGGCCCAAGAACAAGTCCAGGGCATCCACAACAGTCAAGTTGATGCCAAGACCTTCAGTCAAGGTCTTGTAGACGTTCTCGGTCTCGTTCTTTCTCATGACACCGTTGTCGACGTAGATGGCGTGGAAACGGTCGCCAATGGCCTCCTTCATGATCTTGGCACCCACGGTGGAGTCGACACCGCCGGAAACGGCACCAATGACCTCGGCAGTAGGACCAACCAACTTCTGGATTCTGGCAATCTCAGTGTCCACGAAGTTCTCCATGGACCAGTTGGCGTTGACCTTACAGATCTGCAAGGCAAAGTTCTTCAACAAGACCTTACCGTTGACGGAGTGGGTCACCTCGGGGTGGAACTGGATACCGAAAATAGGGTCCTTTTCGTGGGCAATAGCACAGAAGGGCGAGTTGTCAGAGGTGGCCACGGTCTTGAAACCAGTAGGCAAAGCGTGCAACTTGTCACCGTGGGACATCCACACCTGGGAGTGGTCCACGCCGTCGAAAAGAGGGCACAGCTTGTCCTCCACGTTCAAAGTAGCAGGACCGTACTCTCTCTTGTCGCCTCTACCAACACCTTTACCGTTGATCCAGGCCAACTCTTGCATACCGTAACAGATACCCAAGATAGGCACGTCGAGCTTGAACACGTCGTGGTCAACGTGAGGAGCGTCCTCGGCGTAAACGGAGTATGGACCACCAGACAAGATCACACCCTTGGGCTTCCAGGAAAGCTCAGCGATCTTCTGAGTGCAAGGCAACATCTCAGCGTAAACGTTGAACTCACGCAACCTTCTGGTGATGAGGTGGGAGTACTGCGAGCCAAAGTCGAGAACAAGGATGGTGTCGAACACCTTGGGCACTTCCACGGGCACGTCGGGCACAGACATGGTGATGGGGTAGTTGAAGAAGATGGGGTCTAAAATTTGTGCGATGTGCGACGTAGGATGCGATGAGCAGTCAGGCGGACCCAAATTGGAGAAGTGGGGAACGGGGTTGATTTTTGAAAAATCGGTGGTTTTGGCGTTGAGTGGGTGTGGATTGGGTGTTGGTGGAATTTGGGCCTGTGGTTCCGCCGGGTTCCGTTTCTGTCGTGGCGGCTAAGTGTGTGATAACGTCCCGCGGGCCGAGGGACGGTGAAAAATGGGACAAACCGGGGTGATTTTTGCAATTGAGGGGGAGTTTTGGCGTTTTGTGGCTGGCTTTTTTTGTCTGGAAGAGTTCTGTTCTTGTCGGCTGGGTGGTGCTGGATATGGCGTGGCGGCTGACTCCTCCAGGCTAATAATTAGCGTTAATGAGGCGCCGATAAAGCGTGGTGGGGGTTGGAGTACATGAGATGTTATGTGTTTTAGGTGAAGTGGGGGTGTTAAGCTAATCGTTAAAGAAAGATAGGTTCTCTTTTGGCCCAGAATGTGGGTTTTGGTGGCATGGCTGATATAGGTGATGATATAGGTGATTTCGCAGCCATTCGATGCCACCACGTTTCTGATGCCTTGGTGAAAAAGATCATCTGGCGGGGCCATAGTCAAAAAAGGCATAGCTTTTTTGGATAATTTGGGTATGGATCTCTCCAGTAATGTAAATATTTGAGTTGCACCTTGTGGAGTGGATGTGTCTCACTGGAGTCTCTCGCTTTTGCACCCACATTACAAAGACGTCGACAGGCAATTGCCTAGCTTTTAACTAGTCTCGATTGTCAATTTTGTCTTGAAATCGCCGGCTTCTCGTTTACAGACTAATCGACTCCTACATTAAACAAAAGATCTTCTCCACATGAGATCACTTCCTCCTCCACGAGTCACACGAAAACGGCGCTGGAGACGGTTCAAGCGGTTCGTCAAAGGCCTCTTCCATCCACATTCGTACGACCTCCACATGTTTGAAAAGCCCGATTCTGTTAGCCACATCAGAGGGTCTAGAACACAGAGAACTGTGGGTTACGGTCTTCGGACGGTCGGTGCCCTAGGCCGTTGGGGGTGGTGGAAGCAATAGCCGTACGAGCTATGCTCAGATATAAGCATTAGAAGGTATAGTTTTGTTTTTGGTTTCGGTGTAGTTACTGAAAAGCGGGTAAGACTTACTGGTTTGCAACTACTTTGTAAATGGGGCGCAAAAGTGATAAATGTGAAAAAGGCATGAATAATCGAATACACCTAAATAGTTGAGTCTAATCTTGGATATGACGTAGTTGAAGCTATTTCTACCCACAGTAGCGAGCTACGTGTGATAAGAAAACTCGTCATCGAATTAGCCATCGTCGTGTGAGCCGTACAGGGACATCAAGTCCGAGTCATACAATACTAGATGAAAAAGATGAATTTGTGCCTGGCATTCAATCACCACATTGGGTTCCTTTCGAATACTTTTGAAATTGAAATATCAACGGTTTACTTCACTTCTCTGACGGTTTTGCACCCAAGAGCCACTATTACATTACACCTACGGGCTACCATCAAGAACAAAACTCAAACCACAACCACGAATCCTCTCAAATGGATATGGAAGAATCAACAAAGTTGCAACGAAACAACCTGTAGGCTCTTCATTCATCAAAACCTGTCAATCTATCTCACTCACACCCACCACTCATACAACAAAGTCACCACTTGTCACTACCACATCAAATCTGTCCCTACCTCCCCAAATCAATAACGTAAATTATTCCAAGACTTCAAACTCCTCTCCTCAATATCCATCTCATCAAATTAGCAACGCCCAACCCACCATTCCTGGTAGTAGCCTCCACCCTGTATGGGGCTGCGAGTTTTCCAGATGCTCATCGCAGCACCTACTACTACATCAATATGGCCGAGGACCAGGTGAAAATCGCCCTTTTCACGAAGGAGGACGACCAGCTGCTCCATGTTCTGGATGCGCCTTTGTTTGTTCCCGCCACCTTGAAGCGGTACGGTTTGTCGGAGATCGTCAACCACCTTTTGGGCCGTGAGGACGAAGAAACAAAGCCCATTCCGTTTGACTTCTTGATCGACGGCCAGCTCTTGCGCACGTCGCTCAGCGAGTACCTTGTGAAAAACGGCCTTTCCAGTGAAACTTTCCTCCATGTCGAGTACACCAGAGCCGTGCTTCCGCCGCTGTTTTTGGCGTCTTTCAACAACGAGGACTGGGTTTCCTCGGTGGACACCATCAACAACGCCCTGGACGCCGTTCAGGTCATCTCCGGCGCCCTGACTCAGCCACAGATCTTGTCTGGCTCGTACGACGGTGTCGTGAGAACCTACAACATGAGTGGTCAGGTCGACAAACAGTATGTGGGCCATTCTGCGCCTATCAGAGCTGTTAAATGGATCTACACCCACCGTGTTGTTTCTGCTGGTAACGACAGACAGCTTCGGTTGTGGAAGACGGCAGCAGACCCTACGGAGGTGGACGAGGATGAGCCTGAAAACGCCAAAACCTTGGCCATCCTCGATGCCCATAAAGCACCAGTCGTCGACCTAGATGTGCACCAAAGAACCCAAAGAATTCTTTCCGCCGGCCAGGACAACATTGTTGGTGTCTGGTCGACGAATCCAAAAGACATGAACCTGGTGGAGCCTTTTGCAGCCACCTCCCTTGCATCTTCAGCGCTGAAAAAGAGAAGAAAGATGGCGCTCAAGGACCAGAACGTCAAGCACAGAGCGCCATTGGCGCTTTTGGAGGGCCACTCGCAGCCTGTGGAAGGCGTTATTTTCGATGCCTCCGACCTGACGGTGGCCTACTCTGTCTCCCAGGACCACACCGTGAGAACATGGGACTTGGTGACCTCAAAGTGTGTTGACACAAGATCCACGGGATTCTCGTTACTTTCTGTTTTGCAGTTGCCCGAGGTCAACTTGCTAGCTACGGGTTCCTCCGCCAGACACATCAACCTCCATGATCCTAGAACGCTGCTGGAGGCTACTGAACTCCACACCACCAAACTCTTGGGGCACACCAATTTTGTGGTCAGCCTAGCAGCATGCCCAAACAACAAAAACATGTTTGCCTCTGGCTCCCACGACGGTACCGTGCGTGTGTGGGACATACGGTCCAACCAGTCATTGTACACTATCAAGAGAGACCTGGGAGAAGGCAAGGTGTTTGGTGTGGCATGGGACCAGGAGATTGGACTTGTCAGTGGTGGTGAGGACAAGAAGGTGCAGATCAACAAGGGCAACGATATTGCCAGGGACTAGGTTGGTCGAATGCTCGAGGTGAAAGTGATGCATACATACGTTAAAAGATTCTATAGAGTGAAGATGTAGTGAATGCTGGGAGACTTCTATGGTGAGGCTTCTACCCCTTTCTGGAATTGCCCTGCTGGGAGGAGCTCCACATGGACAAGCCGTAGAAACCCTGCCACATGCTTTCTCTATCGGTGATGTAGCCTACCACGGGATCCAGGGTTTCAAGGGTATTAACAACCTCGTTGTCCTTCCAGCCCATACGCTTCCGTAAATGCCGAATTTCTTCGGCACTGAGCTCCACCTGGGCAGCCGTTCCGTACTTCAAGGGCCCCACATTAATCCAGTAGCCGTTTTTGACCGGATTGCGCTTGGACGGAGTGGTAAGCTGGCTGATGACGTCTAGGTAGTCCATAAAGTTCTCGGCGGTGTCGACGAAAAAGACAGAGAGCACCACGACGTTCTTGAAGCGGTCCCTGTTGGGAATGGTGAAGTAGCGGAAATCGTCGAGAAGAAGATGTAGATTGGCTGGTTTCTCCGGCGTAGGTAGGCTCTTTTCACGAAACTGGGACAGCGTTTTCACGAAATTCAGGCACGAGTGGATGTACGGAAAGAATTTTGAGGTCTCCTTCTTCAGGTAGACGTACTGGTTGCATGCGTGCATCAAGCCTGAGAACTCCACAGCATAGACGGCACCAAAGTCCATGAAAGAGGCGACATCGTGTGCCACACGGCCTAGGCCCGAGCCAGGAATAACCACACACGTATCAGCAGCCTCCTCCTTTGGAATCGCCTTGGAAAGTTGACTCTGCAAAAAGCTCAAAATGGGTTGTCTTTCAACCTCACCAACATCGGTCCAATCCCGCACAAAATGGGTCAATACCTCCACGACACGGTAGTTTGTGCTGCTGGTATTCGGCAAGTTCTTCTCTGCATCAAGCAATGAGAAGTCCTTGTAAGTCAAGCCGTAGTTGTGCTTAGCGCAGTAGATCACATCGTCCATGATCCTCTGATTTCTCTCTATACACCCGTCGATCTTCTTCAATTTCTGGGTATAGCCGGCCTCCTCACACATCTTCTGCTGTCTCCACGAAAGCATCTTGAAAAGCCGGCTTCGGCGGGCATTGTAGTTCTTGCTGTTCTTCAGATAAGCGTCCAAGGACTTCATGGCAGATAGCAACTCGATTTTGGAGGTTGCAGCCAAATTTTCAAAGTTTCTATGTTCCTCCGGGGCATTGGCATCGCCGCCGCTGAAAAGAGCCACCCTCCTTCTCTGCAGCCGCTGGATAGCCAGTCTGACTGCTCGTTGAAAAACGCCAGTTCTGGAGATCATGTTGGTGCTTACAAACACCGCAGCCAAAAGCGGCACCTGCGAGCGGACTAGCAAAAAAGATAGAAGTCCGTAAACAACAGCGAACAGCGCCAAGGCAGCTAGGACGATTTGGTAGTCTGGAAGGTGGTTCATCAAGTTGAGGTTGAGCTCAAGAGTGAGACCTGCGTAGGAGGCTACGGAGGGTTGATAGTGGGTGTGGCCAATTGGTGATACAATGAGGTTTTGGCGATTTGTGATGGAAATGGGGGTCTGTCCGAACAGATTCAGCGTTTCTTCCACCTGAAGAATATTGAAGTTTGTGGTGAAGTTTTGTGGTGATCTCTTGTGGCTGGATGTGGACCTGAATATGCGATTCACCGTACCCACTTAAAGCGGTCAAACCCAGGATTTATGATTTTTTAGCTTCGAGGTTTTTTCAACATGATTAACCTTCAAGTACATCCCCTCCATCATCTTCAACGCCTGGAATGCCTTAGCTGGACCCTGGTCGACCCGCGACATTGTCGCACCGATTGCAACGCTACATTAGGCAAAGCGGTGAAACACCTTCGAAACATAAAAGGCAGCCTGATCCCACCATCAATTCTCCAACATGCTTTGCGACATTATGTACTCTGACGAGTACAAGCAGGTGATGGACAAGCTACGGACCTTTCTCGAGCAAAAGACATACAACGAGGAGGCACTTGCATTGACCGAATCAGCCTTGGAGCTTCTAGCTGCTCACTACACAACGTGGCAGTACAGATTCACCATCGTCAAGGAAATAAAAAGAGACTTGTTTGAGGAACTTGACTGGTGTGAGCTCATTGCGTTGGAAAACGAGAAGAACTACCAAATCTGGCACTACCGCCAGTTGATCATCGAGGAGATCTTGAAGGACGAGGAATTGGCAAAGAAGTTCAACTTCCACAGAGAATACCCTATATTAAGCGCAATGCTTCAAGAAGACAGCAAGAACCATCACGTGTGGTCGTACAGAAAGTGGTTTGTGGAGCGTTTTCTGCTTCATGAGGCTTTGGAGGAGAATGCCTTTGTGGAAAGCATGCTAGAGACAGATTTGCGGAACAACAGTGCCTGGACCCACCGGTTTTATCTTAAGTTTGGCCATGACGACTGGAAGAAAAACGTCGAGCTGGAAATCGCCTATGCCAAGCTGAAGATCGAGATATGTCCCAGAACCCTTCGAGTTGGAACTACTTGAGGGGCATCTACAGAAAAGCAAAGGGTGACATTGAGGAATTGAGGTCTTTTTGCGAACCATTGGCCGACACAAGTGCCAAAGAAATCAGAAGCTCTTTTGCCTTGGAAGCGTTGGCTGACATTGATAAGGCAGCTGGAAACAAGGAGGCAGCTGCAGAAGCGTACCGTTTATTGGCTGAGGTATACGATCCAATCAGGAAGAACTACTGGACATATGTCCAGAAGACGCTTTAACGAAGTAACGAATAAACAGAACTCAGAATGAGAAGCAGGATTTGAAGACCCTGATGAGCAGAACTCGAAAAAGCTTGACAAATGGATGAACAGAGCGGCACTGCTGCATGAACCGAGTCGGGAGAATTTGACCGAAAATAATTTGGAGTTCTTTTGGGGGGGGGGGGGGGGGGTTTTTCGGTATTTAGTTAAATCCGATTGGGATTGCAGGCCGCCTTCAGAAGGGGTCTAGGGGTTCGCTCGGCATGTGGCTTGATTGTTAGAACTGAGCGGATTTCATGTATAAATAACGTACCGAAGGTTTTTGAAGTGGCCTGGTGTTAATGCTTTTTTTGTATAATGTCGTCCTCGCCTTCCCATCGACGAAGGATATTTTCAGAATCGATAAATATGGAGCTTTTTCAACACTTTGCTGAATTCAAGTAGGTTAACTTTCAGGTGGAATTCAGATGGGGGCCTATTCGGCATGTCCTTCCTCTACCATATAAGCGAGGTAGATCGCTTGACCCTGGCAGATGGGCATCAAAGTTACTCTAACAATTCTTTCGACTTTCGAGAAGAGTAACTTGGAATCAAGAAAGTACAAAAACCCTTGCCAAAAAATGTCCGAGGAAGTTCATTTATATAAGTATCACCCAAGATCTCGCCTCGTTTAGTGTCAGTTTCAGCCGCACCTCGACCGGGATCAGTGGCTAATTCAGCCTAATCATGCATGCATATTCCTTGGGGGTCCATGAATGAAAAATAGAAATTCAAGCCGGGGAAGGAGGCAGATCCATGCACTGGTTGATTCCGGTGGTTGAGGTAGACGACAGGAAGTGAAGATCCCATTATCTGGAAATGGGGGCTACAATGTGCTGAATTGAGCTTATGGCTAGATTTTGAGAAGGAGCTGATTTCATGTATTAATAGAGTGTGAAATATTTCTTGAAGTTCGGTAGACATAGTGCTTTTTCTTTTCTTTTTTTTTTTTTTTTTTTTTTTTTTTTTTTTTTTTTGGATGACTTTCTTCTTCATCCCCTTTTTTAATCAAATCAATCGAATACGAATGTAGATAAATAGGGATTTCTGTAGACTTTTGACTTTTGATAGTAAGTATGCTGTTAGACAGCTAGTATAGGTATGTAGGTAGGCCGAATCGACATGTCCTTCCTCTGCGCGATAAGCGAGGTAGATCGCTGCATTCGAGGAAATAGGCACCAAAGTTTGTCCAGGATCACCACAATCAGACGACATGAAGTTCAAAGAAGTATCATGCTAGGTACAAAAATGTGAAGGTAAACAGTGATTTTGCTGCTACGTCTTTGTTGAGTACTAGTTTCAAAGCAGTCGCATCTTAACCTGACGGGAACAGAGCCTAATAAATATTGCATGCGTATGCCTAGGGGTTCCTTTAATAAATATTTAAACCGGGTACGGAAGCAGATCCATGCAATTTTTATGCATAGTTTCTGGTGGTTGGGGTAGCACGACCGGAAATGACGACCCAATAATTTGGAAATGGGGGCTACAATGTGCTGAATTGAGCATGCGGCTATATTTCTGGAAAAGAGCTGATTTCATGGTTTGAAGCTTTTGTCGAAGTTTCGAGAAATAATGGTTTCTGTGATGAGTTTATTCTTCCTCCTCTTCTTCAACTATATATGAGAATCCTTAGCATGGAGATACATGCAATTTCTGTTTAACCTTTGATGACTAGTATCCCAATGGGCAGCTTTAATGGATAATGTAGGTAGGCAGACTTGGCATGTCCTTCCTCTATTATATGAGCGAGGTAAATCGCTGCATTCGATGAAATTGGCACCAAAATCGTCCTAAAGAAAAAACCCCAATACAACATGGGAAGATTCTTTGCAGAAAATATCGAGAAGCACCACCCTTACACGAAGCTTCTCGACTTTAGCCTCGTTCAATGTTAGGTCCAGACTCAGTTTGACAGGGTTAATGGTCATATTAGCGTGATATTGCATGAATCCTCCAAGGGGTGCTTTACTAAGAAATAGAAATTCAAACTTGGCAAGGAAGCAGATCCATGCAGTGGTTTATTCCGGTGGTTGGGGTAGCACAACCGGAAGTGAAGACCCAAACATTTGCAGATGACGCCTTCCAAAACTGACTATAAGAAGGGGGTTATACCCAACAGTGTTTAGTTTACAATACGTTACGCTTCCATTTGAAAAATGGTCTTTGGTCTCTGGTTGAGATATCCGAGGTCGTTGGAGAACGCTAGCTTTGGGGTCACGTCTGTTTGTGCCTATCTCCTTTCCGCCTTTACAGTTTTATTTACCCATGTGTACTTCATCCTGCTTTTGCTTCCTTTCCGTGCCACGTTTACCGAACCACAATGCAAACATCTCAACTTTCCTTCGATTAATCAAAATCTGAGGAGAGAAAGTTTCGATGTTTTTATGAGAAACCAGGTTGAAGCTCAAGCTTTTCCATTTTTCCAGGGAAAAAATGAGAGAGTCGCTGATATTGTTAATATCACGTTTGAAGAAACTATAAACGAACTTTGTGATTCCCTAGTCTCCCAACTTTCTGAGGCTTCGGAAGAGTTGTTAGGGCACTTCAAAAGCGGACTCCCCAAGAAAGCATCCTCCTATCGGAAAGAATGCTCTGATTATGTGGATCAGCTTGTCTCCAATGACACGGGTGTGCAACGCAAGCTCGTCGAGGATGTTAAAGCTACCTATTGCCTGAAGATGTCAGATATGCTTGGACCGATCATGAAGCAGTTTATGGATTTAACCTCAGAAAAATGGGAAAAATCGTACAGGGAAGTATTGAATCAGGCACTCGAAGAATTTCACTCTGAGGAAGCCGAAATTGTTTGTCAACTTTTTGAGGACGTCAGAAAAGAAACCCTTATGTACCACGCCCAAGTGTACCCGTTGTCAGAACAACAATACTTGAAGAATGCTGGGTGGTTGATTTTGATACTTTTTATTCACGATGTGCTTTTTTTCTTACTATTTCACAGAAGCAAAGCCCACGCTATCATATTTCGTTGTGCAAGTACACTTTACTATTTGGAAATCTGGAGTACCCTTTTCTTGTTGTGGTGGGCTATTGTAAAGTATGGAAACTACGGAGCAACGCTTCCTTGCTTTTACTATGCGGTATACTTGTTTGCTGCCACTTCTTTTTACCACGTCATTTCTTCAATGTTGTAGGAGAAAAAAAACGATTTTGATCTCAAGGGCGGTGACTCTAACAGCCCGGGGAATAACGAAAACCCCGATGCGTCTGGGGAACAGCTCAATGAGGGGGATTATTTTGAAGGTCTTGATTTTCGGATAGCTCAGGCTATTCGACGTCTCATATCCATGCAAGAATTTTTGCAACGAGCCAGGGAGAAATACGATGATGGAAGGCGATCTTTTCAGGTGAAATCCGAGGGTGATGCTGTGGAGGGCAATTCACCTGGGGAAACCTCCCATAAATCAGAGCACGCGTCACAGCCAGATGTCCTCCAAAGTGATGATAAGAATGCTGCCAAGAAAAATTCACCTGGGGAACCCTCCAGTAAATTAGAGGCCGCATCACAGCCTAATGTCCCCAACGATGATGACAAGAATGATGTCAAGGGCAATTCACCTGGGGAATCCACCAGTGAATCAGATTACGCGCAAGAGCTGAAACTTCCTAGCGATGGTGATCAGCAACATGCCGAGACTCACCATCCTATCCCTTCGTGTGGATAGAACAGAGAATCTGTCAGCACATAACGAAGTGGGAGCTTCCTCACAGTGGTCGAAAGTTTGTTTTAATTAAAAAAAAAAAAAAAAAAAAAAAAAAAAAAAAAAAATGCTTGGTTGGGTTTAGGTCCTATCATCGTTTGGTCTTGTGATCAAAATTTTTGTATCGTTGATTGTTTGAAAAGGGGATTAAAAGTTTAAAAAAATAAAATAAATAGAAATCTTATGTTGATTTATCCTCTTATAACTCATTTCGTTGTATTATCCCATTTCATGTTTAGTGTTAGGTTCGCGCAGATCAGTGTTTAACATACTTAACTACCTTTTGTAAGACTAGGTACTAACGGATTCTAGCTAGAATATAGACCAAGTTGATCCTCAGCCTTCCTCCGAGTTCGAACGACAGAGCTACACGAGTGATGCGAGGCTAAGTGGCCCCGCAAAGCCTCTGTCGTCTGTGGTTGGTTAACTAGGAGGCTTTCTAGTGAGGGATCCTGGTGTCAAGTACCTAACATTTACTAAACTAATATGATCGCGAACTTGAAACACGAATGAACTACAGCCAAGAGTACCAGCGGCGATAAAGTTGATTTTTGATAGTCGACCTGTAGAATGTTTAGCTCAGTACAGAGTAGTGCCCTCAGTTGAAAGGTGTCTTTTTTGGCTTCGAGAATTTGAATGATCTTTACGTTGAAATCTCTCCCCAGGGACCTATGCCAAAGAATACGCTTCGTCATAAAGCTTGTCGTTTATGAGCAGTAGGCACAAATGAAAGTTGAACAAGCAAGGAACAGTATGCAATTCTTTAGGTGATTCAAATGGCCTCACTTTTTTTCTGTCGAGAGAACATACTACCATAGTTCTTAGGGATGTCTGGGTTTTTTCTTAGGGATGTCTGGGTTTTTTCTTAGGGATGTCTGGGTTTTTTCTTAGGGATGTCTGGGTTTTTTCTTAGGGATGTCTGGGTTTATTTCTAGGGATGTTTGGGTTTTATCTTAGGGATGTCTGGGTTTTTTCTTAGGGATGTCTGGGTTTTTTTCTTAGGGATGTCTGGGTTTTTTCTTAGGGATGTCTGGGTTTTTTCTTAGGGATGT